CCGAGCTGGGCATCTCGTTCAAGTCAAGTTGGCTCAGCATTTGGGACTCGGCGTGGACGAAAGTAGATGATGCAGCGGATTATGTTGCAACTACAATCGCGGATAATACACTGCACAGCCAAGCAAGCATAGCACGGTATCCTTGCAGGTTGTGGACACGGAAAGAGGAAGAGAGCAAGGCATGAGATCTACGTCCGGGGTTGAGATGATTGTTCCCCGGGGTGGGGAGGCGGAACCGGCAGAATCTTGATCACGCGGTGGCAACAACCTTAATTCATCTATTCTATTCAACGCGATGGAGGAATATTCCTGGATAGCCTTATCTATCGATATAGAGTAATAGAGAGGTGGATTGCTATGTTCGGTGAATGCTCCAAAAAGCCCTAGCTATCCCTAGATATGGACATCTCGAGCGATCATGCACAATGACTCACCTACGGCGAGGACCCTTAGGATGAGCGGTCTAGATTTTTGTCTCCCATGAACATGGTTTCCCGGTGTATGTTTCACTACTTTTAGTCTCTTGTGAATCTTGGTTTAACTCGTCTCTTGAGTCAAGCGAAATACACCATCTCAAGTCAACGGTTCTTAGTCTCAAGCTCTCTGGTGCCATGCGTGCGGGGTTAATTTCTAGGGGCCCCACTTTCCGCGGCTCCGCGGCTCCGCGGCTCCCAAGACGGCAGTAGTGGCGTGGCGAAAGTCAGGTTGCCACTGCCAACCTACACTAAAGCTTAAGTATAGCGCGGATCCGAAAACAAGGATGATTATCGTGGCGAGACATGATGTGAGTGTTGGCAGAATATGTGAAAGGGACAAGCCTCGGCGTGGAAAACACGAACTCATAACCGAGTCAAGGACTTGAAGTCTATAAGCCTATAGTTCTAGATTCCAGAAGTTCAAACCACCAGCCAGTACAGTACAGGTCATTTGGTAGAGAATCAACAGCAGCAAGGTCCCGCGCGATACTAGAACTTGGTGATCGAGACAGCAGTGAAGGGGAACAAGAAGTTCATCTTTCCAAAGCCTCAAGATTCGAATAAAGGCTATCTGTTAAATGGACCATTGTCTGCCAGCCGCCACTACACCACCGCACATAAGTCTAGATACTCTAGGAGGTCTATTCTCAAAAGAGAATCGGGATTTTGGGAGCTCTGAGGCACATTTCTAATTCAGGAAATAATTCAGGAAATAACAGTCGCAGATAGCCATTGCCAGTTGAAAGTAGCCTATGGGCAGATGCGAGAAGAAAAGGGCAGAAAAATTTCGGCCATGACGATCTCTCACGAAGGAAAACCATGGATTCATCATATACATATCAAGGTGCCACTACACACTTTGCATACCCACATTTTCAATCCATAATGACTTGGGTCAGTGCATTGGTGGCTTGGATAACAGACCACCATTCAAATATTGTGATTCCAGCATTATTATTCGCAAATATTTTACTATCTACTTTCAATCATGTTGCTACACCGCACGTACCTACAGCGGTGACCTGGTGTTCATTCTTTGCAGAACATAGCATGTTGCCACCGTCTGCTCCAAAAACCATCTTACTTGGCAGCAAATCATCACTATGTATTCGGTGTCGACAGTGACGGTCATCGTGGGTATACTTCGGATCCCGTTGTCCTGGTCTTATTCTGACTATCTCTAGGCTCTAGAGTGGATATTACTCGGGCTTTGTCTCCTTTTAATCCTTGCTCGTCTCTACCTTCGAGTGCACCTTCAGCGCAGAAAGCTGATCGCTAGCGACTATTTCACATGCCTCGCATTCATGAGCGGCATTTGCACAGCAACACTAGACATCAAGTTGATGAGGCTAGGATGGTTGGATCCATCGACTACTTGGTCAGAATTCGAGGGAAATGCAAATAGCAAGCCATCGACGCAAAAGGTGACAAAGCAAATGCCGGTATCTAGATCATGGTGCTGAAGTTTAATAGTTCGTGTTCGTTGGATGGTTTCCGCTTCTCACGGCAATGTACCTTAACAAAGCCGCCCTGCTCTCATTTCTTTTCTACATATTCCCATCAACTTTGCGATCGATATTCTATGCCTTATGGGCAGTTACGGTCTACTCCGGGTTATCATACGTTACATCAATCGTGCTTGTATTCCTAAGTTGCCTCCCGCACAAGGAGGCAAGTGGGTAAGAACAGGTCCCGACACCCTCTGACAGCACCAGGTTACTAACAAGTGCCAGTTTCAACTTTACGTTCTGTGGCACCAAGAGTCAGCTCACCCTTTGGACGGCGACCTGGGCCCTCCACTTCTCCTCGGATATATTCATATTCATCTTACCGTTTCCGGTCCTGCGAAACCTCCGGCTCAACTCGAAGAAAAAACTTGGCCTGTACACAACATTTGGGTTCGGTATTCTCAGCATCACCGCCGCTCTTGTGCGCTTTCTTGTTGTTATATTGACATACCCGCAAGTTTCAACGACAAATATTGAGCTTTGGTGCGCCCTTGATTCCAATGTTGGGCTTTTGGTTGCGTGTCTTCCGCCTCTTCGGCCGTTCCACAATTTGAAACAGGTGTCTTCAAAACGAAGCACTCCAAACAATGGCTATCGGGGGAGGCAATATGATAGGCCAGCCGGGTCAGATTACTCACTCACCATGCCATCAGAGATGGATTCAACAAAAAGTCCCCTCGGACGACATGTTAGAAATTGACACTCGAATAGTCGATGTTGTAATATTCATGAGATAAGGAAATAATTCCCAATATACCAGCGCTTTGACCCGCCTTTGTGCAAGCTTCTCGAGAAGGCACATTGCAGACGCTGCCGGGGGATAAGATGCTATCCTGACTCGAAGAGTGCAGCAGTACTGGCGATGACAATCTAAAGCCACCATGAGCAACGTTACAATCATTCCAAACCATTGCAATTGCATGCTTGCAACTACCCATCATTGTTCTAGATATGGAATTTCCAACTAGGCATGCCCACGACCATCTGGTGGGACATCACGGTGAGGGTCTCAACCCGGCGCCCTTGGTTCTCTCTCAGGACGGCTACCAGATGAGTATCGCCGCGAGTGGTTGCAATTGAAGGTTTAACATGGGCAGGCACAGACGCCGCTTCGATGTCTTGTACTGTGGCACCATCTCAGAAAACCAAGTCTATCAGGTGAAGAGACCAGCCCGAGACTGAGAAACCTACGTTACCATGCGGGATCCAATGCAATAAATAGCTTTCACGGGCTCTCCACAAGCTGCGACAATGAATTGAAGTTACTGGTCATCATCGTGTCATATGGGGTGACCTAGTGCGACTGGATCGGGGGATCAAAGCTAGGTGACATCCCACTTTTCAGAAGGGAGCATCCAAGGCTCACATGGTGTAAAAGGGCATGAAGCAACGGGAGCGCGACTTTGCATACAACATTGCGACCTGAGGGTCGAAGATAACACTTCTCTTCAGTAGATTACATGGGTTCCTCAGCAGTATCCTGCTGCCCTGAACGTGCCGCAAGTGCCTCATTTCCGGTGGCTGTCGGCTTCTGCCCAATTCCAATTGTCATTACAGCTTCAAACAATGATTTTTACCTCCATGTTGGATTCACTCTATTATCACTCATCAAAGTACTTACTAGGATTGATAATATGGTGCGAATAACCCACCACACTAAGACCAGTTTTGGAGCTCAATATTGTTCACCTTTGACATATTGTTACCTTCAATACACTGGTTATGCGTATTGCTACAGTCTGAGAATTGCTGACTGAGCAGCTCAGGCTGATCAGGGGTGTGCTCAATTATACCAGGATCCGGGGAAAATGCTTCATTATTTATGTTACATGCCAAGAGGAGGCTGGGGACGTGTCGCTCGTGAGTCAGTCGGCAAGATGCTTGATGCTGGCGAACTAGCGCACTCTTGGCTGAGACAAATCCAGCACACAAAATCATATTGAGCAAGGCAGCCAGTTTCAAGAATTTTGTTGCTTGATTTTTTTTCTTCTTATAATTTGAGCGCTAGTGTGTCATGTCTGAAAATATGAATGTCTTCCACGACGACTCATGGGCTGAACCGTGGCGCTCATCAGAATTTCCACCCGAGGAAACCCCCCGTGAGAGAACAAGGCGATTTATGCAAAAGCCAGGATGGGACCAACACTTGGGAATAACCTCATGCCAGGGTATATCATAACATGGTGCCTTAGGCTTCCCGAACCTGATAAGCCGGCAGGCTTTCTGTGGAGGTTCGCTGGGGCTTCGTCATCAGTACGTGTACGAACTCCTGCAGGGAACACCCTTGACAGAGGTTACACAAGATCCCGCTCCCATCCTTCTACCAAGGATATATCTCCTTCCTGTTTGAGCGATGAGATTGTATATAAATTGACCCATGTTGAAGAGGTTTTACGATCCTCAAGAAACAGTCTTTGACTATCTCACGCAATTGACTTGGCCCCGTTTCTCCTACCAGATTGACAGGCCTCTACCCTGACTTGTAGATTATATTCTTACACTTACTCCTAGCTTAGTGACAGTCGTTCACTCTATCGAGAAAGAGCTACACCTTACCTATTTTTCCGTCAAAGAATGCCTTCTCAGAGAGTATCAGTTTAAGAAGACGACCGCTAGTATTTCTATCACGAGTACGTGCTTAACTTATTTGACGGATATCAATAGTAGCCCTAGAGAGATCGAGCAGGACTTTCCAATAGCAAATTATACAGCGAAAATCTGGACAGGCTATACTACCTTAGCTCAGAGTTCCGAGGATATCGTTCGAGAGACAGTAAAATTCCTAGAAAAGGAAGAGGCATTCCAACGATAGGCTATTTTGTCCCAGGCCGATAGGAATTGGCAGGACGAATACGGCCTCCCCCGAGGTTCCGGGCTCTACTATGCTTGCTTCTATAGGCTCACAGCGTCTGCACAATATCTAATTAGCAAGGATGCGGATGTCAACGCACAGGGCGGCAAATATGGCAACGCTCTCCAGGCCGTCTCAGCGCGAGGCTATCGAGAGATTGTCAAAATGCTCTTAGACAAGGGAGCAGACGTCAATGCACAGGGCGGCAAATATAGCAACGCTCTAATTGTCGCCGCAGAGCCAGGCCATTGCGAGATTGTTAAAATGCTCCTAGACAAAGGGGCGGATGTCAATGCACGGGGCGGATGTCAATGCACAGGGCGGCTTGTATTGCAATGCTCTCCAGGCCGCCTCCGCAGAAGGCCATGATGAGATTATCAAACTGCTCTTGGACCGGGGTGCGGACGTCAACGCGCAGGGCGGCCTCTACAGTAATGCCCTGTGTGCCGCCTATAGGAGAGGCGATCGTGAGATTGTCAAACTTCTCCGAGGAAGGGGCGCTGCTATACCGTCTTCTAAGCGGTCCAACTTTAGGACTCTAAACAACCAGGCGAAAAACCCTCGTTTCGTAGACTCTGGACCTTTTGGTTAAATTTAAAAAAATTGCTCCGTAGCCTGCACTATAGTGTGTAGCTACTACCTATCTTCAGCCCCAAACAAGAGCCGACTCGCAGCCAGCAAAAGTCTCTATACAGGGACCGGACAAGCATCCAATAAGTAGAAGACCGGCCAGCCTATAGTTGATTACGGACATTAGCAAATCAATATCAATATCTACTGATTCCTCGTAGGAGACAATACAATAACCCAAGATCCAAGAGACGTTTGCAAAAGTGTGTACCCTTTTCCCCGGATAAAGAGCCCCCAGGTCCTTCACATCCGGGAGTTTGAATCACTAGTTGATTCAGTTTCAATTCGTGAAGTATTCCATGCATTAGGCCATAAGAGAGCTCTTCACTTGCGTTTATTACCATAGGGACGAGCTCTTCGCTCCTGCAGCTCTGGTATAGTCGGAGTATTCACAGCGTCCCTTGAAAAAGAGTCAACCAAGAAGAGGCGGTTATACTCGCCACGGTGAATCTATTTTCCGTGGTTAGCTCTGATCTGGGTCACCTCAAGCCACCAAAAAGGATAGTTGGAGTTGGGCGACGAGGGGAAGGAGGGTTGGAGAATGAGTAGGAGAGAAATGAGTAGGAGAGAGGGAAAGTTTAGCCGAGGGGCCACGTCAGCGCTTCAGGGGCCTTCAGGGCGATCGGGTGGAGTATAGAGGGCCTTCAGGGTAAACGGCAAGGGCTGATGTCTCAACGAATGGCAAAAAACGCATGAGCACCGACATACAACAGCCAGGATTCGCATGTGGTCACCCACCATACTACTAACTGGCCGGCGTGTGGCTTAAGTACGGCTGAGCGGACGGGAAGCCCTGTTCTCCACACCCTATGGTCGTATGTACTGGAGTCAGGATTAAAGCAAACTATATACTCTAATAATTTCCAGACCTCAACATAAGAGCGCCGGTGAGAAAGGGTGAGTGCGCAATAATAGAGAGGGTGAGAACTTGGGTGATAAACCGGTGAGAATCACCCCTGCCCTGCCTACGGAATTGTCGCACGAAACTTCCCGCACTGACCGTCTTAGCTGCAGTCGATTGCATATTATTGGGTGACCTTCCGCCTACTAAAACACTGGGTTCTTGGCATCTGTACTGGGACACCGACACTCTTCACCATCTAAAGACGTTCAATATAGATCAACCAGATGTTGTTCAAGCTCACTTCCACTATAATTTCGAGGAGCGACGTTTCGGCTCTCTGAATATCGACTACCGTGCTGCTTGGTTGTAAATCCCTTGGGGAGGGCAAGACGTGGCGTCTGTCAATGACTTCATCGTAGCAAATGTAAAGGTGACGGTCATATTGTCCTTATCGATGCTGACTCACTTTAGAATGACCATAGGGAGGCTCTAGGAAGTCTTCTTAGTCAAATTTCCTTTGACGTAGGTGTTAAGATTACCAAGTCCTTGACCATCTCCATCAAGTTTGATGTCGGAGCCTCTAGGATACTGTTGCCTAAGGAACATGGCAACTGTAGACTCATCATAGGAGGTAAAATAAGCGTCAAACTCCTAAGGGACCTCGGACTTCAGTTAAACCAGCGGAGGGCTGAGTCAAGCCCACTATGTAGCAGCACCAGCAGAAGAGCTTACCTCCGGATAGTCATTTCGGAATTTATGGAAACTCTCACATCAGCTCGCTATCTAGAAACCCGCCATTCAGAACCGAAGAAAATGAATCAATTACTTACAAGTTTACTCAAAGGAAGTAGGTTGCCTTGAATATTGAATGAAGCACAGGGATAGTTGTCATAAAAGGAAAGTTTCAAGGGAGCCCAGTTCGCATCCGGAAACCTGAACATAGAAATCGAAAGGAGAGCGGGGAGGAAGGCTGAACTATTTAACAGAATCTGGTGGAAAAACAAGACATCTTATTATCAATTTCTAATCACTTCAACGCTTCGTCGGACGCGCTTCAATTGGCCCCCTTGAAATACACTACTAAGAGAGATTGGCTTCGCTATGGAGGTCAAAAATACATACAGTGCAATATAATAATATCCTTGTCACCTAGCCACTCTGCAAGGTTTTCCATCACTGAGGACAGCTATTAATTCAATGAGAGCTGCATGCTTACAAACTTGAGTAGTAGCTTATAGTATAGGGGAGATTAGGATTTTACGGAATACACTATGCACAGATGTTTTATTAAACTTTGCCGTTCGATGCCAAGTAAGATCGACCTCGTACCCCGTCGGCATGCCGAACACCATTCTCACCAATACCCGACGCACGCCGAAAGACAGTTTTGTCGGGGTTTATAATGTTTATAATCTGGACTGATCTAGCCGACACTGATCGGTTCACCGGAATCTAAATCAATGCTTAACATGTCACAACCGCAAAGCCAATATCTATTGATGCCTGATAATCATCGGGTTACAGTGACTGCCGTAAGATTAATCCATGCGCGGGAAGGAGTCTAAAGTAATTCTTCTCGAAGAGATGGCCGCTAACGGCCCGGTATGCAGTTTCAACATCATCTTTTGGGCGGGATTAGGTCTGATTGATAAATTTCACATCATGAGCTGGTTAATCAATTCTTCGGTCCAAGCTCATCAGATGGCTGAAATATATCTTTCCAGTCTAAAAACAGCGATTTCATACATGCTAAACGCCAAAGTACAAGGGTCCCAGGGATCGACCTGCCTAGAGTCCGATGATTACATACATTATAGTCTTATAATAGCTCCACTTATTACGCTCATCGCAACCGAGTAGGCCACAACTTCATAATCTGTGGCCAATAAAGTCTTTGCAAGGTTCCTTCAGGATCAGTGTCAGTCTTGGCTTCTACTCCTATGAGCACCAATGTCCCACGTGCTTCATCTTCCACCAGGGATATTTTCAAAAAGATGCCCGGTGTGATGATATCCTTGCCAGGTTTTGGCTTGAACGTGCGTGATAGAAATGACCTCTGATTGAAGAGAAATGGGTATAAATAGGTGATACATATCCCGAGTGAAATAGTCGTTAAGTGACTGTGAGAAACCACACAGAAATCAACCAATCCGTTCATTCAATCCTGTCTTCCTTTCTTCATTTCGAGATGAGTTTCTTTATCCTCGCTTCTACCTTCGCCAGCATGGCTGCTGCTCAGGCCTACAGTGCACCTGAGCAAGTCAATGTCCAGGCCAGCCTGATCTCCGACCCCAATACGGTTGCCGGAAAGACCGTTGACTATATCATTGCTGGCGGTGGTCTAACTGGTCTTACTGTTGCCATCAAGCTGTCTGAGAACCCCAACATCAACGTTCTGGTCATTGAGAAGGGCTTCTATGAGTCCAATGATGGGCCGATAATCGAAAACCCAAACAACTATGGTCACATCTTTGGCAGCTCCGTGGACCATAACTACCTCACTGTTCCAATGGCCATCAATAACCGCACGTTGGACATCAAGTCTGGAAAAGGTCTTGGTGGATCTACCTTGATCAACGGTGACTCCTGGACTGGTCCCGACAAAGTCCAGATTGATTCATGGGAGACTGTTCTCGGCAACCCTGGCTGGAACTGGCACAACCTAAATGAGTATATGAAGAAGGCAGAGCTCGCCCGCTACCCAACTTCTACTCAAATTGCTGCCGGTCAATTCTTCAACGCTTCTTGCCACGGATTCAATGGCACTGTTCCTGCTGGCCCCCGTGACGATGGCCGGTCCTATTCTGTCCTCATGAAAGCGCTGATGAACACCACCTCAGCCATGGGTGTTCCCACACAGCTTGATCTCCTTTGCGGCCATCCTCGTGGTGTCTCAATGATCTACAATAACTTGTTTCCCGATCAGACCCGTGCTGATGCTGCACGCGCATGGATTCTCCCAAACTACCAGCGCCCTAACCTGCACGTCCTCACTGGCCAGATTGTTGGAAGAGTCCTTTTCAATGAAACGGCAGCCGGTCCTAAGGCCGTTGGTGTTAACTTTGGTACTAATAAGGCCGTCAACTTCGAAGTGTATGCTAAGCACGAGGTCCTGCTGGCCGCCGGCTCTACCATCTCCCCGTTGATCCTCGAGCATTCTGGTATTGGGTTGAAGTCCGTCCTCGACGAGTTCAGTATTACCCAGCTTGTCGACCTTCCCGTCGGTCTGAACATGCAGGACCAGACTACTACCACTGTGCGTGCCCGCGCCAAGCCCTCCGCTGACGGTCAAGGCCAGGCCGTGTACTTTGCCAACTTCACTGAAGTCTTCGGTGACTATAGCCCTACGGCAGTCAGCTTGCTCAACACCAAGCTGGATCAGTGGGCCCAGGAGACTGTTGCTCGCGGCGGCTTCCACAACGTTACTGCGCTCAAGATTCAGTATGAGAACTACCGTAACTGGCTCCTCAATGAGGACGTTGCCTACGCCGAGCTCTTCATGGACACCAATGGTAAAATCAACATCGACTTGTGGGATCTCATTCCCTTCACCCGAGGCTTCAACCACATCGCCCATCCCGACCCGTATCTCCAGTCATTCACCAACGATCCCCAGTTCTTGCTGAACGAGCTTGATCTTCTCGGCCAAGCTGCTGCTTCTATGCTTGCACGTAAGCTCCAGAACAGTGGTGAGATGTCCAACTATTTCAATGGCGAGGACATCCCTGGTGCCGACCTTTTGCCCTATAACGCTACCCTGGACGACTGGGTTGAATATGTGAAGCAGAACTTCCGTGCTAACTGGCACGCTGTCTCCACCTGCTCCATGATGCCGAAAGAGCTTGGTGGCGTTGTTGACCCTACCGCTAGGGTCTATGGCACTCTTGGCCTCCGTGTTATTGATGGTTCTATTCCGCCTACCCAGGTGTCTTCCCATGTCATGACCGTCTTCTACGGCATGGCTTTGAAAATCGCCGATGCCATCCTAGCGGACTATCAAAAGTCCTAGGGGTTCAATCTCCAGGACAGTGCTCCGAGCTTTGCGTATCTTAGATAATAGTTTGACGTTGAGTGTTTGTCGTGGAAATAGTAGTAGGCTTGACACAGGTGCGCCCTGTTTTCTTAGAGGTTGCCGATAGGGTCACTTCGAATACAAAAACTATATCCTCATCCTGTTCTCGCCCGTTCTCACCCACTTCTTCCTGCCGATTCCACCACAAAAGAGAACAAAACATACAACAGCCAGAATTCGCAGGTGTTCAGAAAGTAATATATGAATTATCCAGCTCATACGACCTTGATGCATTTCACCATTCAATTTCTATTGAAGCTTCTTATTTACTGCTCAAATTTTCTTTATTTCTTCCTCAGTGCTGGGGATTAATATGAGTAATCTTTATCTGGTGGCATGATCATAAGCTACAAAACTTGATCAGATTCGCTGCTTCAAAGTAAATAGTGGTAGACTACATTTCCTTATGTATATAAACCCGTGTGCATTGCATTGTGTTAACATATTTCATGTTAAGGTCAGGAAAAGACTTAGTTAACACGCCAAGATCTTGGATTATTAATCTCAGGTTTCTGACCCCTCCCCCACCTGAGCCCCCAGCCTATAGTAGTTGAGAGGGGGTGGGAAAAAATGGGGACGAATTTCTGACCCCTGCGAAGAATGGTGTGACCACCCTGAGCTGTATGCCCATCGAGGAGGAATTCGGTCGGAGGTTTGCTGGAAGGAATCAGAAATCACTCTAAGGTATTGGTAAAGAGACCTGAAGTTCGTGACCTAGATGGTGGCGGAGACGATGTGGTGTACCACTTCTAGAAGCTCACGATCAAAACACAGCAATCGAAAAATCGCACACATGGGAAGCTCTGAAGTTGCCACACTCAACGGATTGAATTGATTCTGTGAAAGAACTGGAAAAGAGTGGGCGGTGATACATCCGTTTGACAGAGAGCCCATAACCCGGGCACACCGCTAGTGGAAGCCCCTTGTCAACTGAGACCCAAATCGAGCCGAACTGTAGCAATAGAGTGTTTCGTCTAACACAGCCAAAGGCCAGCGTAGCGGACAATGCTCAGTTGTCTTGAGCGGTCAACGACAGGAACCTATCATCGTCTTCTCAGCAGAAGAGCAGAAAAGCAGTTGCCCAAGGCTGTTTTTGGGGTACTCTCAACACTAGGCCAGAAGCGCCCTGTTCATTCTCTCCTCCTGGCGCATTGTTCTCTCGCAAGCGGAAAATAGTGGCTTTGGGAAATACGAGGTTTCGGCAGCGGATGGAGGTAGTGAATGACAGGATAAGCTAGATGTCTTAATATAGCCAACCACTTTACGAGTAACATCAACAGTATAAAGAGAGCCAGCTCTACCTCCACATTCCATGGGTACGACGCGGTCACACAGCGAGTGAGTCAGTCAATTTTGACATTCCGGACCGCAATCCCTGGTTTTTGATACAGTACTAGAGTCTATGCAGGCTAGACCGGTGGAGATCTGGGCATCGTTGGTCGGAAATCCACTGAAAGTGTCAGGGGTACATCTTGGTAGAGCTCGGGGGCTCGGCCGAGCAGATGTGTCACTTTTAGTCGGGGACCCGACCGAGCATAGCGATCGAAGATTTGTAGCCAATACGATCGCGCCTAGGAGGAGATCCTACTCCACTTTCAGAGTGGGCTTCACTGGCTTACCGACACAAGTGGAGCTCGGGCAGATCGATCTCCCCTTTAGTTTAGCTTACCCTTAAACATAACAAAGAAATCTGTCCCCGAGATGAGACCCTTTCGGCTGCAACACCGAGAAAGAAATGTAAAGATGTAGGGATGGAGCAAATGTGTGCTATATTTTATGTTGAACACAAGCCAAAAAATGACGTTGAAACGTGTTTTCACTCTTTTACCAACTCTGGGCCGAAAAGTAGTTGTTGGAGCCTCTTAAGTTTTGATTCAACACCATGTCAGCATTCAGCGTTCGCGATGCGCCATTTGGCCAGCTCTGCCGATTAGTTTTCGGTCCCAAGGTCTTCCTTTACCCTGACGAGAAGGAGGGATTCCAGTATCAAGCGCCGGAAGAAACACCAGTTGAAACGCCTACACCTCAGGCGAACAGCAGCTCTGGGGACACTGATGCCGATGTGGAGAAAGCTGAGCCTGAGTCGTCGCCAGGCCAGTCAAAGCCTGGTTACCAGACTGTCGGTTGGTATAGCGAAACCGATCCTGAAAACCCGCAGACGTGGTCACTGGCAAAGAAGATTGTGACTTTTTTCCAGATCTGCCTTCTTACATTTTCCGGTCAGTCGATGAGGGATCTTGGAAGATGTTTTTTATATTGACCAGATATAGTATACTGTGGATCTGCAATCATTACTCCAGCCCAGCCAACCTTCGTGGAGGTCTTCGGTGTGAGCACCCAGAAATCGTCTTTGGCACTCTCGATGTACGTTTTGGGATATGTAAGTATTATCCCCGTGTCCGCGACGAGGATTTTCAAACTCACAACCGCCTTTCTAGGGTGTTGGACCCCTATTTTTTAGCCCTTTGTCGGAAATCCCGGCAGTTGGACGGAATGTCCCGTACTTCGTTTCATTTACGCTCTTCATAGTTATCACCGCTGTGACCTCTCGCGTGTCGAATTTTGCAGGATTGATTGTCTTGCGGTTTATCCAAGGACTGTTGGGTGGCCCAGTTCTGGCAACAGGAGGAGCCTCAGCTGGTGATATCCTTTCATTCCCAAAACTTCCGTACGGTCTCGCTTTCTGGGGATGTGCAACTCTGGCAGGTCCGGCTTTAGGTCCGCTTCTGTCTGGGTTCTCAGTGCCCTTGAGCTCCTGGAGGTGGTCTATGTATGAGCTTCTCATTCTGTGTGGCTTTACGTGGATTCTTCTGTTCTTTTTCCTGCCCGAGACCAATGCCGACTTCATTCTCTTGAACCGTGCCAAACGCCTACGCAAACTCACCGGGAATGAGAATCTTCGATCGGATTCAGAGATTAAGCAAGGAAGTATTCACTTCCTATCGCTTCTCGGTGTGTATTTGACTACGCCCTTCTTGGTTACTCTGAAGGACCCGTCGGTTGCCTTTATTAATGTCTACACTGGTCTGATCTACGGTATTTTTGTAAGTCTCGGCATAGCAGCAGTATTGGTTGCAGGAGCGTGAACTAACAATGGCGCTTAGTACTCATACTTTGAATCATTCCCAATTGTTTACACCCAGATTCACGGATTCTCCTTGGGTATCATGGGAACCATCTTTCTGTGCGTTGTAGTAGCCTGCTTCTTTGGGGCCGGCACATACTTGGCGCTTGTCAAGTTTCACTACGAGCCATACGTTTACCAGCATGGAATCGGCTCCCCTGAACATCGCCTTCTTCCTGCCGTCTTTGCGGCCTTGATTGCGCCGTGTGGAATCCTCATTTTTGCTTGGACGTCTCGCGAGTGGATTAATTGGGTTGTCCCCACGATTGGAATTGTTCTCTACATGTCGTGTGTCTTTGTGGTAGGTGAACTGACACGCCGTGAGGATTTCCGTGTGCTAAGACCTTTCTAGATTACGATGTGTATTTTCATCTATCTTCCAATCTCTTACCCTCGCTATGCTGCGAGTTTGTTTGCTGCAAACTGTGAGTTGGAAGTCCTGTCCCGTGTTATCAAACAGGCCTTGTCTAACAACTTTCCTTAGCCTTCCTGCGCAGCGCAGTGGCTTGTGGTGCTATTCATTTCGCGCAACCATTATTCAACAATCTAGGTATCGGCAAGGGATGTAGTCTCCTCGCTGGTTTGACATGGGCCTGTTTCTTTGGAATTTTGATTCTTTGGAAGTATGGCGACAAGCTGAGAGCTAGGAGTACATTCGCCCAAGTTTATTAAAGAGTGTAAATTATCAGAGAAATCCGTTTTTGGGTGTGAAAGACTACGGCCGCTTGGAACTGACGATTCTGAGATTGGAAAAGGTTATTTTCTTCAATATTCGGTTAGATTTAGTATGATTTTTAATAGATCAATGAGAAAAAAAAATTGGGGAGGAAATTCGGCTTGCCTCGTATAGCATCCTTGACTTCGATGTTTCAGATCTGTTATGAATTGCACAAGAGAAGAAAGGCGAGTGGAGGCTGTAACCGGCCCGGACGTAGCGTAGCCTACTGTACTAAGGAACAGATCCAGCTCCCCCGTGTTGAACTACGGACTCTCAATACGCTGATCGACACCAAGAGACTTCTTCTAGAGACTTCAAAGAAATTATACAAACAATTATGCCAATAAGTCATAGGGGTCAATAAGTAGGCTCTTCTCTGCCATGAGGTTGCTGATCAGAGACAACATCCGCTAACTGGCAGGCTGCACATCAAACGCAATGGTGAATCAAAAGGACTTCTACCGTAGTTGGAAACATAGAATATTCTCATGACATCTAATTCGGTTCAGATACCGACTCACATAATACCACCATCACTCCACTCACACATAGTTACTGATAAACTCGTACCCCTGAATCGCCGCCTTCCAACCCTCTGACTCAGGGTTACTGCTCAGATCACAAATATGCGGAGCCCCATCAATCAAAGCCAAACCAGCAGTGACCCCTGCGTCCCGAAGTGCGCTATACGTATCTTGAGATTGCTGCCAAGGGATCAAATCATCACTCGTTCCATGAATCAAGAATGTGGGAGTCTGGTAATTGCCCCGCAAGATCTGGGCGCGTGGACTGACACGGACGATTTCCTCCAGAGAAGGCTGTGGCAGAGCATTCCAGTCTCGGACGTTAAGGCCTGCGCTCTTCTTCTTGCTTGGGAGGCCACCAATAATTATGGGCAGCGTTTGGGCTTTCCAGTTGATGTGCAGAACGATGCGACATCGGGGGTCGGTGCGGATGCGGGGGTCCGATAGTGGCTCCCAGGCCCCGACGATACCGTAGTTGGTGATCTGTTCGATTGGTTAAAAGTCAAGACAGTATGATCAGGAGTGGAGAACTTACGGGCTCATCTTGGATTGCTTCTAGCGGATCGTATTCATCTCCCTGATCTTCTGCGCCGATGGGCTGGATGGGATTTCTCCACCCTATTGAGAGGTTAGTAAAACCAGTTTCCCCTTTGAGGGGTGATCAGATTCCAACTTACAATCATCTTCATAGTTTGTCGGGCAGTAAAATGCCAGGATTGCCTCTGGTGGCCTCAGCCCTCTTTGCGGAGCAGTCCAGGCCAATGACATTGCCAATTGTCCACCAGAAGACCATCCGACGACGACGACCCTCTCACCATCAATCTGGATTCCCTCATTCGGGAGTTTGATATGCGGCAGTTTGTTTCTCGCCCAATCAAGTGCATCACAAACGTCGACCATAGGTCCATCGACAAGTCTCACTTCAGGACAGAGCCGATGATCCAGGCTCACCGGGAGAAACCCCTTTTCCAGCAGGAGGCGAGTCTGAGCTGGTCGAATGTCTTTGCGGGAGAAGATGATATGGCTACCTCCATGTATCATCAGAGCTGTACACAAGTCGTCAGCGTCCGCTTGGAAGGTCACGGCAATCAAGTGTATATTTACCGACTGCCAGTTTTGTGTGTGCCGGAACCGGGTCAAGGGGGTAGTAGACGTCAGCATGGATCTTCGTGTCCCCAATTGTCTTGTATACGACTGTCTCAACAGCCGCCTTCACCGTGGGTTTTTTGATCTCGACGGGGGGTGATTTGAAAGCAGCAATTACCCGGACGGTCTTTGACTCGGGGGACTCGCCATCCGTCCACAGAACTTCCTTGAAGCCAGCTGCCTTCATCTCCTTTTCCCAATGTTTCTCATTCACCAAAGCATGCGTGCGGTTATCCTCAAATAGCCACCATCCCTCGAACAATCCAACAACAATATCAAGCCAGAACTGGTTTCTTGTGATCTCAACAAGGGCAATGGCGCCATCGTCGCGGACCATTTTGTTAAGGGTCACAAGGGATTGGTTCAAGCTCCTTGTCGCATGAATACAATTCGTGGCAATGATCATGTGGAAAGCGTTCTCATACTCCCGTTTTGGAGCTTTCTCGATATCCAACACCTCAAAGGACATTTCACTGGCATCCTTGAACTTCTTCTTCGCAGCTGTAACTAGCGACGTTGAGAGATCGGTGAAGACATACTCGAAGGGAATGCCGTGGCTTCTGAGGTACTTGATGATGTGCTTTGTCGTACCCCCAGTTCCAGCCCCGATCTCAAGAATTCGAAATTTCCCACTTCCATTCGAGTTGGAGAAAGCGGTTTTGAGAAAGTCTCCCAGGAGTAATGTCGGAGTTCGAAGAAGAGGCCAGTTCTCGTACATATCCTCTAGAAGTAGCTTGTTCGCTCTGTCCCCAAATATCAACTGGAGACCATCGATATCCCCACGAAGACATTCAGCAAGCTTTGCTCCGATCACCTTCACAAGCTGCGTCACGACCTTATGTTGCGGCCAGAGGTCGACAATCTCCTGGTATATGTCTTCAGCGAGTGTTGGATCAACCGGCACACCCGTCCGAATGAAGCCATCTTCCGTGGGGGAGATCAATTCTCCATCCTCAAGTACACGGTGATACTGACGCACTAGCTGCTTGTGCCTATCGAGAGCAGGCACCACAGGTACAGCATCACCAGGGTTCAGTCTCGCGAGATCACAGCCAAGCTTCGCGAATGCTTCAACGACGTATGCAAGAACAAGCCGCCTCTGGTCCGGGTACGCTTCAGCCCAAAAGTTGGCGGCGAGTGTCCCCTCCGCGAGTTGATCGTACGCGAATTGAATCTCCTTGAATGAACCATAGGCGGAATTGATGGATGGTATGCTTTCAAACTCTCCTGACGGAAAACTCTCTTTTGCCTCCTTTGGGACCAGCTCTTCGTCGATCAATTCTCCTGGGGTAGGCAGCGTAGAACCCTCTGAAGGCGTACCGACAAGCGCCCATTCTTCGCCACTAGATTCTTCGGAGCTCTCATCAACGCCGTTGAACTTCGAATCAACATAAGCTACGAGGCTCTTGAGGTCTGGGCAGAACAAGAAGCTGGCCAGATCGATTGTGAGACCAAGTGTTGCTCGAATATCGTTCATGACTTCTGTAGCCATAAGAGAGTCGATTCCAAGATCGTCCAAAGAGGATTCGTCTTTCATATCTTCCAAGGGTACGTCCGTAACATTGTTCAAGATTTGGAAGAGTTCTGCCCGCTTACTAGGCTGCTTCTTAGCTGCCTTGGAAGGCTTGGACGACTTGGCAACCTCGATCGGGCGTTCCGGTTCCTTGACCAAAACTGTGTCCGTCTTTTGATGACTGGCAGGCTTACTAGGAGTTTCAGCAGCCGCAGATTTGTTCACGCTCTTTAACATCCTCGTCAGCAATGCCTGCGACATCTTCGAAAACCGGAACCCAAAGGCCGCCATAACCATCTTCTTGCTCTTCGCTTCAAAGACATACGCATCGGCAGAGGCATCAGTCTGCCCTCCTCGAGTCATATTGGAATAAACGATCCACTCCTTTGCATCTGGATCGAAGTTCCCACCAATCTCAATGTGCGAAATCTTTGAACACACTAGGACATCCTCTAAACTGTCATTGTTGAAGTAGTTTACCAGGAATCCGGCGAATTGCATGAAACTATCAGTCATGGGCGTATCGCAGAGGCGCTGGTCAACTGGATCGCTCGGGTCCACGTCGATCGTCACTTTCCCGGCGGCCTCCAGACGCAGACACGCGACTTTCTTGATCCCGCGGAAGTTTTCAGCGTAGTGCACGATGTGGTTGAAAGCGCGGTAGATGTGCTTTCCTTCCATTGTTTCGGCGTCCGGATGGTTCATTATCTCCTCGCAGCGACCAATCCCAGTGAGAGTTTCGAAGCGCTGGAACAACTGGGCAGCTTTGGAGTCATCACGCCTCTGGAGATACACCCGTCCAGTCGATGTCTCAAATGGTGCACTGACACGGCCCGTCTGACTCGGAGGTAGTTGAGTAGTAATTGAGAATGACCAAGAAGGTGTTGGATCATCCGTTTGCTCCAGAGTGAGAAGGAGCTCCTTGTTTGTGTCAAGACCGATCGGCGAATTCATCACGAGATCCTGCACAGCTGGTACCCAGGTCGTGGCTGATGTATCTGACTGGAGAAACAAGGCAGCACGAGCAACGACCTCGAAGTACAAAGAGGCCGGTGCTAAAGACTGGCCTCCCATAACGTGGCCCTTCAGCATGGACTTGAACCGATCGCTCTGGGGCGCGATACGGAATACTGCGCTGCTCTTCTTGTCGTTGTTGAATCGCAGGAACTTGAAGAGTTCATAAGTCTCAGGTTCAGGTTCCGGAGTCGGCTCTGGCGCTGTTTCTTTCTCGCCTCTCCCAGCGATGAACCCAAGCCAGTGGCGAGTCTTCTCAAACTGATACGACGGAAGACGCAGGAATTGGTATGATGATTTCTGAGAGCGATGGAAGAGCCAGTATTGCGCAGCATAGCCTGCTTTCCATAGGTCCACGGTGATATCCGTCAGTGAAGCAAGTGCATTAGCCGTCGTGAGCTGAGGGGATAAGAACAGATGTTGGTTGCTGTCTGCCACACAGCCCTTGGCAAGCTGAATGACAGAAGACCCTCGCCCAACCTCGAGATATGTACTCTTAGAGAACTTCTTCTCAAGCCTCTCAATCGCATGCTGGAAGAAAACCGAGCGTCTCGTATGACTTGCTAGTACCCGGGAGTCAGGACTCTCCGCACCTTCAGTGCAGAGCTCAAGATGGATCTTAGGTTCCTGCCAGTTTAATTCTGCGGATAGAGCCGAAAGATGCGGTAGCAAGGGCTCTGTGAACCTTGAGTGGAACCCATTGGTGACCTGAAGTCTTTTTGTACGAATCGAGCCTCCTCCAAAAGAAGGGTTCTCTGAGAGGAATGTCTCCAGTGCATCAATTTCCTTAGCAGAGCCAACAACCACATGGCTCTTTGGACCATTGTAGCAGGCAATTTCGACATTCCCGTGGACTGAACTGAGAAGTTTGAAAACCGTTTGCTTATTTGCTTGGACAAAGAGCATAGATCCTGGTTCGGGACCCCACTGCTTTGTCATGATTGACGCCCTTCCAGAGATAAGTTTGAGGGTATCGGCGAGCGACAGCACGCCCGAGACGCATAGGGCTGTGAGTTGGCCGAAACTGTGGCCAACGACTGCATCTACCTTGAGTCCGCTATCAATCCAAGCTTTTGCAGAAGCGTATTGGATAGCGAACAGCGCAGAGTGCAGAGTGGTCAGGTTCGCAACTGGACTCTTTGAGAAGATTGCAGGATATATGCTCTCAAAGCCGGAAGAGATCAAGATCTCGTTACAAGCGTCGAGGTGATATCGAAGCAATACTGAAGCCTGGTACAGTTGTTCAGATAGCCCGATTGATTCGCTTTCCTGACCCCCAAATACAAGGACGATAGGTTTCGGACTCGGTAGGACGTCTGTCGCCGAAAGTGTAGACAACTTGTCCTTAAGCTCGGAGATACTGGCGACAGTCGTCGAAAAGAAATGCGAGAGCGAGTGGTTTGCTCTATCAGCAATATTGAATGCCACATCAGAGACCCGAGCCTCAGATCCAAGTGTCCTCAGCCAAGTAGAAAGCTTCTCCGAATACGCAAGAGCACTACTCGAAGAGCCTGCAGAGATAAACACAGGATATCTCGTTCCAATCGGAGAATGCCTGAGGTTTTCAATCGGCTCAATCCTAGAAGATGGCCCCTGGCGAACCATAACAGCTGCATTACTTCCAGCAGCACCGTAGCTGTTGACACAGGCCAGGAAGAATGGAGCATTCCAGGGCAGCAAACTACGCGGGATTTCCATTCGCGCATTCGAAAATGAGGCAATCTTCGGATTTAGCTGCTTGTGACTCGCTTGCTGAGGGATCTGACCATGCTCCATCATAAGTAGGACTTTGACGAGCCCGGCAATACCGGCGGTAGCTTCAGTATGCCCAATGTTACCCTTGATAGAGCCGAAGCGGAGTATGCTGTCTCTTGAAGCGCCGCCAAATGCTTCAGCAATGCTGTTACACTCAACGGGGTCCCCCACACCGGTACCTATTTCCAAATCAGCAACTGCATGACCGAAGCGTGAGCGCACTATCAGAGGCCCGAGAGTTACATACCAGTTCCGTGAGCTTCAACGTACGTCACCGAGTGCGGGTGAACCCCGGCCTGGCTCATGACATTCTGATAAAGCTTCACCTGTGAACCCGAATAAGGCACGGTGATGTGGCTGAAATTCCGATTCTGGTTCGCCGCAGACCCCACAATGACACCGAAGATATGATCCTTCTCCTTCAATGCGGCGGCCAGCGGCTTAAGAACAACCGCACTAACTCCCTCTCCACGACAGTACCCATCTGCCTGGGAATCAAACGGCTTGCACTGTCCAGTAGGACTAAGGAACCCGGCGGCTTTGAGATTCCGATAATCGAATGGACTAGTGATCACGTTCGTCCCCCCTGCCACGGCCTGGGAGCACTCACCGGACCAGATTGCTCGGCAGGCGGTATTAATCGCGACGAGGGAAGACGAGCACGCCGTGTCGATCGTCAGGGAAGGTCCAGTCCAGCCGAAGAAATGGCTAACACACCCGCTGATAAAGCAGCGCGAGGTTCCGATGGTGGCGTAGGCTGTTGTCGGCTGGCAAGACATGTTGTCGTAGTAGTTGTTCATGACAGCGCCGATGTAGCATCCGTAGTCATCTAGCTCTGGCTTGACGCCGGCGCGGAAGTATCCTGCGGATTCAAGGGCTTCGTAGACGACCTCGAGAAGAATCCGTTGCTGAGGATCCCAAGCGACAGCCTCTCGCTGAGACTTCTTGAAGAATTTATGATCGAAGGCATCAGAGTCGCGGAGGAAATTGCCCCACCATTTTGTATTCGCGTACTCGCCGGTTGTAGGTAGTTGAAACTTTTCAACGGGGGCAGGTTCGGCCATTGATTTGCCTGATAGCAGCAGTTCCCAAAGTTCATCTAACGAATCTGCTCCAGGGAATCTGCCAGACAGACCGACGATAGCAATGGAGTTAGGAGGATATTCAGAGGGCACCGAGTCTTGCGCATCTGAAACTCCGTTTCCTGGCTTGGTACTTGTCCCATTGGGGAAACCGTGAAGACCTGACGCAGTCAACTTATTCAGATCCAAGACATGCAAGCCCGCACCGCTGACAAGCGAAGCCGGGATATGATTCCCGAATCCTGCAAATGCAACTGTCTTATGACCCTCTTTTAGCTGAGAAACTGCCCGTTGTACCGTTGTGAACCACGCAGCGGGCTTCAGCAGGGTATTCTCGAGGGCGTGTTGGAGGAGGGATCCGCTCGTGATGATTTCACCGTCCACAGTAGAACGGAGTGGAGCTTGCAGCTTGTCAACACTGGGCAAGTTCAAATCTGGACGGCCCACGGCGAAGTTCTTGATCTTTTCAGCAGCAGCGGTATGGATGTCCGAGTGAAAGGCTCCTTCCACGCTGACAGTGGTCACATGGGAGCCATGTGCTCGCAGCTGTTCAGTCAGGCTGGGTATATCAGAAAGGCTGGCGGTGACAGTAATAGACTTTGCATCTATAGTGCATGATGTGTACGCCTGTCAGTGAAGTCAGCTTTGACAGCTTAGCAAGAGATGGAGACGATGAAAATACCTTTGGAAACGTGCTGACAAGATTGGAGATATCTTGTTCATGAACTTCATCCCCCTTCCATCGAACAGCAATACAGCCTAGCTTTGTCCCTTGTGTATCAAATTGGTTACTGTCGACATAGGCACCAACAATGACAGCAAGACGAAAGACTGCGGCAGCGGTGAAGGCGACTTCAGTTTCGCTCTCCGAGGTAGCTACCGCAATTGCGCTGAGGAATCCAACACAGAAGCCCAGGACACCACCAGTTTCGACGCCTTCGAGGAAGACGCGATGAGGGTTGACAACATTCAGCTGCTTCAAGTAGCGGAAGTACTGAGCGATCTCGAGAAGAACGGTAACCGGGAGACGAAATGTGTTAAAGTTGTGACTTGGTAAAGGGCTATCTCCTACCACCCAATCCCGGAGCTCATCGAGCAGCTTGGCTCCTGGAATATGGTTCAGGGTAGGATCAAAGTTGACGAGGGTTTTCCACAGTTCGGCCCCGTTCTTTGCGGCGTTGAGGACGTCGAATAGCTGAGGATTCTGGTTGAGCTCCTGCCTCAATTGGTCAATGGCATCTCGGGAAGAGAGCTCTGTCTGAGGCCCGAAGACTGCCAACGAAGGTTTAGATGTGGTAGGTGCCATTTTAAAGAGTTGAGAGCTCTAAAACTGCACGAGATTAAATAGGTTGCGCTTTGGTGGGAATCCGAGGCTTGAATTGGTAGATTTAGTTGCAATTGCAATGGTCTATACCCTAAAGTTTGTGAAGAACATTTCTACTTATAGGTAATCCGCCAATCTCATATTGATCGATTCGAGGATGGTACCTTGGAACGGACCCAAATCGAAGCTCCCTTCACACATACCTGAAATTAGCGCTTCTCGCCGAGACGTACTATACAATCTCACACCTGGCCCCTAATCGTTTTGGAGTGACAATCCTGACCACTTGGCTGCCGACGAGACTAACTGATCACAGTTTAGCCATCTTACTCCTTGCCGATACGAAGCCTCGTTTTGGTCTCACGCGCTACGTGAGCACGCTACACCTTCGGCGGCACGCCCGACTAGCTCGGGTCATGCCCCGGCTGTGTTGGTAAATGAACTCGGTTGAGGACCGAGTGCGCCAAAAGGTGAGCCTCGTTGTATCAATCCTTACTGGTATCTGACCTTTCTACTGTAAGTGCTGGCCCGGACGTACACGTACTTCTGCCCAGTTAAGGCGTATTTCACGTGGTGGTAGGGATAATTGGGCCGGCAGGGGTTAGTAGGATATAATCATCTCTCCTCTCTTATCTACTATCTCGTGATATTTATTTGGACTCACACGACTTTCTCTTTCTATTGTTAGGGCTCGGATTTCGACCACCTGGCCCCTAACGTAGTGCGCTACTTATATCGGTCACTGGCATGCTGCAACCTAGTGTTTAAGCAAATTTGGTCTTTTGACTTGTTTTGTTCGCAGTAACAGCTATACCCTTGCTGGCCAGCTCTCAGTGACTCGAGATCTTCAGTACTTGGACAGCCTGACTTTTGAAACGACGCCAGAGATTGATTTCTTTTTCCGTATAATCTTCTTCCAAGCTTTCATTCCCCCTGGTGAACCTTACTGGTACTGATAACCAAGTAAGAAAAGCCAATTTGCAGGAAATCATAAGGTCTGATATATCATGCGTTGTCTGTACTAATCATATCCATACACCCCCCCGCCCCCTCTCTCGAACACCAAAAAATGCACTCACACTCAGACTACTGTACCGTAATCATAGATAATCTCCCCTGAACTTAGGGCTCCTAACTCCACTGCCTGTAAGCATTTCAAATACCAGCGCCAATTCCCTAGCAGCCCCGAATAAAAACCCTCTCAAACTTTGTTTTCTCCAGAAATGCTGCGCATGCTTGAATCCTAGGGTCATACTCCCCAGTCGCAGGCTTACACACCACCATAACATTACACAACAGTTCGAGGTTCTGTCGTATTTCGCGCGTCGATGAGAATGCGTTATAGCTCACGTCTTGCGGGTTTTGAAGGACGTCGAGTTGAATTTCAGCGGCTAAGGATAGCGGCCGCATTATGAAGAGCGACATTTCCTTGGTCGTGGGGATCTTCCAGGGAGTAGAACACATGTCAGTGAACGGCTTTTTGGTTGAAATAGCCTGCTGTAATGTTGAAGAACGGGATCATGGGAAGTGATGAGATGAGATTGGGAAATACATACTTGTTTCGCATCAGTGACATTGGCTTGAAGAAGCAAGTCACACATAGCATTCGTCACCGCGACACACGAAGTGCGATATTCCTTAGCAATAGGACCCAAAAACGCGGCTTTCTGAGATCCAATAATTGCCGTCTTGAGCCAGTCTATTCGGGCGCCTAGGACGATGATACAAGTGAGCACACGAAGGTCGTCGTCTGGCCCATCAAGAAACTCCTGTTCCGAGAGGGACTTTGACATGATCGTAATATCTCTCCCGATGTTCTCGTGGATAAGGCAAAAATTATAGTCAGATGCGTCATCCCTTACGTATTTCTTGGTCGATTGGCGGTGGCGGTCTTCCTCAACGACAAGTTTCATGGCGAAGATAAAAAGGGAAAAGACGGAAATTCCTTTCGTCATGGTTTTCGTAATTCCATCGGAAAGATAGACGTGCTGGTTTGGATTGGAGTCTATTGTTGGATTGGGAACTGGAATTGCGGTGCCGATCTAGTTTGGAGTTGTTGGCCATCAAGGAAAGCGGCAAGTCGTAATCAATAAAAGCTTACCTCACTGTCTTTGACTGGTATACAGCACGGAAAAATTGCAGCCGCATTGCAATGCATCGCAAATGCAATCCAGAACGTCCGCCGTATCAACTGAATACGTCCCGGGCTATGTGTTGTTGGTAGCATCATCTGAGGGCTACCTTTTTCGCCTTCTGCTGAGGTCTGATCGAGTACATCATATCCCAGCAAGCTTAGCAACTGCATAGCACGCGCTATGGTTAGAAGCCCTTTCGGTCCGCTGATATGAGTGAATTCAAACCTCGCAACAAGAAGCAAAGCCTGAACCGTCTCAACGTTCAAGAAAGAAGAGTTCTCCGCCAGATTCTCGGCTCTTTCCAGATGGAACCGGGCTGCTATGTACGACTCCATTGCGAGGGCTGATTCTCCACACGCAGTGGATCCAGATAGAGCTATGGCATATTTTAGAGCCATGCATTGGTGCGTCTCCATTGGGACGACGGATTGCAAAAATTCCTGCTGGTCTATTAGCATCATGTGTTTTTGCACTAGATCGAAGTACGGCTGGTATCTGCATGGCGCATAATTAGACAGCGTATCCATGTTTTTGTCATAGTGGGGTACATACTGCTGCTCCAGTCCGCTGAAGGGAGTGGGTTGCTCGAACAGTGGGTTGAATGTGGGGCCCGGGGGATTGTCGTTTAGGTTGGCTATGTTCAAATCTAGATCCGAAGGAGTCCCATCTGTGCCAGAGCTGTTCATAATATCGATCATAGCGGGTGGCTGATGGTAGTTGCTAAAGGGGCTATCAGCCTGGGACATAGCTCTTTGGAGTGAATCATAGAAGAGCGTACCTCGGGTCAAACTCCGAGAATGCCACACTTGAGTAGTCCATGTCATCGCCTTGTGACAGTAGGTCATATGCAAACTGGGAATTCTGCGATATATAGCTTGGGGATAAGGTAGAGTTCGGCTTCATAGACTGGGTCGTGAATTGTAGGCCTTGTTCCTGGAGCCTAGTTTCCGCTTGCACTACCGTTATAAGCACAAAGCCAAAAGACAGCAAAAACGACTAAAGCAAAGAAATTCACTGCCGAGGCAGCATCTGGAGCATACTTACGCAGACGGGAGTGAAGCAGATTCAACGCCGACTTGATCTCGTCGTTGTCTGTCTTGTCCGAGGGATAGACGCACGTCTGGCCCGATTTTCGACAGCGATGGCACTGCGGCTTTTCCCGGTCGCAGCGCACCTTGCGCTCACGGCATAAGTTGCAGGTTGTTCGCTTCAGCTGGGACGAGGTCACTTGTGTTTGCGATTGAGGCTTTCCGGAGGGACTTAGAGACGCCATGGTGTTCATTGCGCTCCGCCTGGAGGTACTCGGTGGAAATCTGCTTGGGTATGTGTATATATAGAGCACGATACGGTCGTTTTGCTATGCTTCCTCTCCCGCAACTAAGCTTGGTAGGTTAAGCAGCACGAGGCTCCGACTTGGGATCGGAAGGTGTGAAGTGGGGTTCTCTTCGCCGGAATGCGCTATCCCATTTTGGGCTAATGTGCTGCAGTCTCAAGCGACTCGCTCTATATTACTCAAAGGAAACCTCCTCATTGTCTTGCTGAGTTGCGCAACATCAACTCAAAACTTCGATGCACCACAGAAAACCCGCACAGGGCCTGAAATCTTACAGCTGCGATTGATCCAATCGCAACTACTTCAAAAGTTTGTGCAGATTCTAAGTCCTCGTGGCGTTCAATGCCAAATTCGATTTCGTCGAGCTGAGGGATAGTATATTACGACTACTCACTCCGCCGTGTGTTTTCGTATGGTAAACCGGGTCAACTCGCAAGGCTAGCCCCCCAGGATAAGAAACGCTCTCAACCAATCTCCACGGTAGTTCTTCAATCAAATCATCTAATTGGTTCCCTCAGTACTAGCGGGTACGGATACGAACATCCTGCAACTCGTCATTATTACGTTAGCCAGAGGGCCCGTCCACGACTCCACGGGTGTCAGTGTTCGTCCGCCACGCTGCCGCCCCCACCGGCGTCGCAGATCCACTATACTACATAACCAAGCCCATCATCAGGAGAAGATAGAATATTACTCTACAACATACAGGCGTTCCGTGCCAAACTGCCAAGCAATAGGCACACACATTTACTGTGTCCTATCAGACCATACTCTCCGTTAGCCTACTAGGGTTAGATCTGGGGCCAAATCTCCTGCAGGTCTGTCTATCCAGAATGCATGTTGGCGACGGGAGACCCACATCCATCGGAAATTGTTGTCTGGTCTCATCCTCATCTTCTCGTTGTAAAGTACGTACCACCAGCCCAATCTGGCCCAATCCATTAGCTATCAATAATCTATACCAAATTATAAGTGGGCTGCTTACTGACGAAACTCAGGAAAGTCACATAATATATCACTATTTCTACCTTTGAGTGTTCATCGGATAGTATGTCTCGGTCCTCCAATGACACCATTCTGGGCGTGGAATAGGGAGACATGCGTTTAGTATATTGCATGTTAGAAAATATAAACGCTTTAGGCACGGCCACGAGGAAAGTCTTTAGTTAGCCTAGCACGGACAGGTAGCTAGACCAAAAGAAGACAGTGGGTATCTTGCAGCATGCATATGCAAGTCTCTCCGCGCTGAGGAGGTGCGTTGGGGATGAAAGATAGTGATAGTGTCTTGACTACAACAGCCAATAAATGCTATAATTATGCTGAAGGATTTGGCTGGCAGAAATGGAGATTAGCCAAGCAGATCCCATTCCTTCAGCCCTCACGCCTCTACTTACTAACTACCCGTCGCATTGACCAACCCTAAAACTAGAAGGGGCTGGGTAGTCAATGCTACGGGTACTTCTTCAAATGACTCAGCTAGCCTTAAAAGGGGATAGAACAGGAACTGCACTCCCACAGGAATCATCAACGCCTTTCCTTATCTTTCATTTAATAAGCTTTACTCTTCGATGTCCCTGCGATACTTGTATTGGCTGCTAGGTCAATTCAATATTGATTTCTCTTCCACAAGTATCGTGGGGTACAATCATCACGAGATGACACCTCAATATCCAGGCCGACTAAGCGATGCAGTCATGGAGGCGGGGGTATGCCAGTTGTTTATTCCCGAGTGGCGCTTATCCAATTAAAGTAAGCTGACTTTAAAGTGGTCAAATCTAGCGCATTATTCATGGCATCCAGCGGCTGCCGTAAGCTTGACACCTTGGTAGCTGAGCGCTAAAGTTTGACACGATACGAGTTGACATGCATTCCGTCACCACCCTTGCCTATTGCCCCATACACTCCGAATCACCCCAGGGATCATGTCACTGCGCCCGCCTGCTGATGCGGACACACAAGTCCTTCTGCATCCAGACTCCAGCATAGAATGAACTCCACGGCCGAGAAGGATTCACCAGGGTGACATCGTACTTGCGCAAGACCTGGTGAAAATTGGCAATGGAACAACACATGAGTTTTGAGGTGACAGAACTTACCTCCACAAAAATCTTATTGAGCTCCATCATAGCCACGGGTCGACCAGGGCAGGTATACTTCCCCGAAGCGAACACTAGATCAACAGTGCTGCGCATTCTCTTCTCCCTAGCCTTCTCAGCCTCGCCTTCCCCAAAGCTCAACCATCTCTCAGGTCGGAACTCATCCGCATCGGCCCCAAAAATCGCCTTCGATCTCTGGATCCCCATAGTAGAGACCCCGATGCTGGAGTCTTCCGGCAGAAAGAAGCCATTGATTGTAGCACCTCCCTTGGGCACAATCTTTGACGCGAGGAGACCGATGGGTGGCCAATAGCGGAGCCCTTCCTCGATGACTGCTTGGAGGTAAGGCAATCTCTTCGCCTCGGCATCAGTGATGGGCGAGGACAAAGGGCCGGCGTTATCAATTTCGTTGCGGAGCGTCGAATAGATGTGTGGGGAACTAATGATATGGAGGAACGTTGCCCGAATTGATGTCGCTGTGGTGTCAGATCCCGCCACACTATCCTGCAGGTCAGAGCTTGTCATATGAGTATGAACCCGTCGAAGCAACGTACATTTGGACTAGAGTTTCTGAATTTGCTTCGTCCTGAGTCATTCCGTGTGCAATAAAACTGCCTAACATGTCCTTGCGGATGATCTTGTTAGGACCAAAACGCTCGCTCACCACTTCTTTGGCAAATCTATGATTTGATTAGCTCACTTTAAATCATTCTTGTAGCAGTACTAGAGAACGAAACTTTGCAACTTACCCCATAACCTTTCCCATCCCCGCCTGATCAGTATCCTTCGGGGCCATCATCTGCAGGAATCTCGACTCCAAAACATTACACAGCCAAGGATAAACCAAGATAATGGCAACCATAGGCATGAAGCTTTCCGTCATATGGAGATATCGATAAACGTCTGAGTCGGACTCCAGATGCCCAAAATTCCTCCCAAAGGCAACTGACATGATGACATCCAAGGTGAAATACTGCGTTATACGCGCCAGGTCAACAGGCCTGTAGTCGGTCGATGTGGATAAGTATTTCCTCTCAATCAGGTCGATAAAAGACTCTACGACTTTGTCAATTTGGCCCTCTAGGCCCTCGACGTCCTTGCCATTATACTGCAAGCTCAAATTAGCATGTTTCACGCAGGCTGGTTGAGTGGATGTTACCCCGGCAGTGGTCTTTGATTTCAAGGTCTTATGGGCCTTTTCATCTCGCATGGACAGTATATTGTCACTGCCCGGCCTGAAGCGTGCAGCCTGGTAGTCAGGAGCCCTGATAAAGCCGGATCGAGGCTGGAGGACCTTAACCACGGTTTCGGGGTTGGAGTTTACTACGACATTCAGTCCTACACGTGCGAGGGAGCCTTATCTGAGTTAGCAAGGTTTCATTTCATGATGTCAGAAATATATTACCATATTGATCAGTAGCGTCTTTAATAGCCCATGGCAAAGTTCCTCGCCATGCATGCCACACCAACCATAGGTTCGAGAACGAAGCCAAAAACGGGCCAGGGATATGTCTCAATCGACGCCACGCAATGAAACGTTGTGTGAGAGAGTACACAGATAGGCCGAGAAGGGCTACAAGCAGAAGTCGGACTGACACGCTCGTTTCGGCAGGATTGTAGCTTGGAAGAAACATGATGGGAACTGGAGTCGTTGAGCTTGATGGGAATGCGTAGTTGGGAGCCGGAATCTGACCTTTGATTGCGGTTCCCTATCAAGGTGAGGACAATGGACAATATAGCTAAGCAGGGGACGGTCAATTTCCAGCCATTCAAGAAACCGTAAATGCAGATCTATTACATCAGATGCTGTTCTGTACAAAATGCTTGAAGTGGGCTCATTCCTCTTGGTTTAACGTACAAAGTTCGCCGTCGAGGAGCATTTCGTGCACTTCTTTGCTTCTCTCCCGAGAACGCGACAAGATGTCAGATCGAAAGCCGACGCCGACTCTCCATAACGCCCGTAAAGCAGAGAAAGCTCGGGCTTACTACCGAGGGTAATGCTTATAGCTGGGGACAATCCACATATGCTATCTAGATATCCAACATCTTCGGGCCTGTACCCGAAAATTACGTGGCTGTATTATCAGGTACCAAATCTCCAGTTGATATCTTCCAATTGCGTCACCCTCAACTATCACAGACCGTGCGGGGGTATGTAGAGTCTAAGCCTCTCTATTAGATCAACTCACATCTAGCAGTCGACTGTCAGATATTTCAAAATCCGGCTCTCTCAACATCGCCCGATCTATTATTATCCTCGGCCGAGCTGCTTTCTTTCCGAGTCCAAACCCCAAGCCAGCCCTCGTACCCTGCCGAGGTACATTCGCAGTCAACACTGACTTCACCCTCGTAATTTCGAGCTGGCGCTTACAGCAACGTCACAATGAGATCCATTTTAAGTTTCTCATGCTTAGAATATGCAGGTGTCTGTTCGTATAAGCAGCAGGGAGGCTAGACACATGGCTTGCTTCCACGAGGTAGTATCTGTCGTGTAATCCCTGCCCGAGGCTTTCTTAGCTCTGCAGCGCCGAGCACTTCTGCAGCAAGTCCTCGGGAGCGGTCCGAGCAGGGAAGTGTGTATGTGAGTTCCTGCATCGTACTTGAGATAAGCCATAATAGCGACATATTTTCGTGTCTTGCAGCTCTCACATTTCGTAGCTCTAATCACACTCCTGTCAGGGCAAAATGTTGTTCAAAGCAGTCATATCGGTGTTGCTTGTCTTCTCATTCTACCTGGCTCTTCTTGTGCAATTTATTTCTCAGTTTTGGGAGAAACTTGGAGTTATTTCTAGCTCATTGCGTCAAAAGTCGATATTGCCGCCGTATTCTGGCAACATCGATGGCACCAAGAGCAAGATAACTCAATTAAAGGGTGATTCCGGAGGGATATCCAAGGCGGCTTTGTCATTCAACAATAAATCGCCAGCCAATAAGTCTCCATCACCCAACAACGACACATCAGCCATAATCTCACTCGCCAAGCAAATCTCCGAGCTATCTACACAAATATCTTCCTGCTTCAACGCATCTACCAACCCGGAGCCCAATTTCAGCGCCTCTTCCGGAGACGTGCCCAAAACACCAGAATACGAATCCTTAAGATCGAGCCTCAATGACACTGCTCTAGACCTGCTCCGTCTTATTAATGGCCCAAAGAACACTTTGCGCACTTACGCCTTCTCCCATTATGACCTCGCGGTGTTGCAGGTTGCAGTTGAGCGAGGCTTCTTCAAATTCATTCCGCGGCAGGGAAGCATTGCTGCGGGAATGCTTGCAGACAAAGCACAAATGGATGAGGATCGAACAACAAGATTGCTACGCTTTTTAGCTACGCGACGGATATTCGAGGAAGTTGGGAGAGACAGCGGAGTGTTCAGGCATACGGCTATGTCTGTTGTCATGGCGAGGGATGAGAATTTTCATGCTATGGTACATATGCAGTAGGTCTATGTCGCTCGGATAGAAGACGAAGAAGCTGGATAACTCTGAACTCTAACTCTGAGGATGATTTAAATAGGATGGACGAGATGTTCAAAGCGGCGTCTGAGCTATCAACACAAATCGACCGTTCCCCATACGTCTCAGACAATGAGAACTCTGCGTTCTATGCTAGGTTTGGGTTACCCGCATACGCATACTATGAGCAGAATCCGCAGAAGGGAGCAAGATTTGCACAGTCAATGGATGCATGGTCAAAGTGTGAGTCAGCCCTAGCCACGTGCTCCCTGTGCACAAACTTCTTCCCACTTCAGTGCTTGACCGAGTAGTAATCTGACTGTTGCGGTCTAGTGGATGGTCAGGTTACAAGGCTTGTGCACAGCAGCTTCCCGTGGAAATCGTTGAAAGCCGGTAAAGTGGTTGACATTGGTGGTGGCTCAGGCCATATATCCATCGCCCTCGCTCGAGTACGTTGTCTACCTCACCGTCTATAGTACACAAGTAACCAGGAACAATGAGCGCACAGGAATACCCATCTCTACATTTCGTCGTCCAAGATCTCTCAGAACAAATGCTCTCCCAAGCCAGAGATGAAGGTGTATCAGGCCGCGTAACCTTCCAGCGCCACAACTTCTTCGATCCTCAACCTGTTCACGACGCCAGTGCATTTCTTCTTCGACAATGTCTACATAATTACAATGATCTTGATGCAATCAAGATTACACGCGCAATTGTCCCGGCCCTGGAGAAATGTGCTCCGGGTACTCCGCTTTTGTTGAATGAGGTCATTTTGCCGGAGAGTGGCTCGACGGCACATCATATAGAGCATCATTTGCGCCAAGTTGATGTGACGATGATGGTTGTTTTGGGCGCGAAGCAGAGATCGAGGAGTGAGTTTGAGAGGCTCTTGAAACAGGCGGATCCACGGTATGAAGTAAGCGATCCTCTTTGTTTCATTCATTTCTGTTCTTCGATAGTGCGTTTGCCGAATAATGGCTAAACATAATTCCAGGTGGTGAGAACCTTCGATAATCCGATGGGAGTGGGCTTACTAGAAGTTCACCTTAAGGCTAGGTAGGTTGGAGGTATCTGTCGAGGTTTAGATACCGTGAGAACTCTACTTCAGGACTGGATCTACCCTTCCTTGGTGTTTCCTTAGCCTTATTGTGCCTTGTTTCTTGTCTCAGCCTGGACAAATAAGCGATTGTTTTTCACTTCTTTGTTTGGAGTATCTATGGTGTTCGTATGAGTCTAGGTATCAGATGTACTGAGGCAACTATACGGTAGAGCAAGACCAATATATTTTACTTCTGTCTCAGAAGAGGAATCTGTAGGAAGAACCGGAGGAGGTGGACTATTCCCTAGCGCAGGTATCTTCTTCTTCAGTAACCCATGTTTGACACTAGCCACACAATCTATCATTTCACTGCTCTCTTGCGAAAGGGTAATGCTTGACACCATGGTGCCGGGCGATTTCGTATGCTCAGACACCGTAGAATAGTTCGCTTTTTTCGCCGATCGTAAACCCGTCCAGGTTTACCCATGCTCCGTAGATGCCAGAAAACGCAGAGTGAAGGTCCTTCTGGTTATCCTGTGAGCCTTGGAGGAGGGTCACATTCGGTCGAGCAGCCAGTTTTGGAGCTTGATCTGAGGCTGAGTTTCGAGTCAACACTCTGACACTGTAGCTACCACTCTCGGAGAGTGCTTTGAGCCCGTTAGAATAAAATTGCGTTCGAATTTGTAGTTGGAGGACCTACCCTTGACCACAGAACTGCCTTGGGCACTTGTTCCCCCAATGACGAGAATCGACTTGAGGTCCGACATGTTGGTATTTAAGTTAAAAACCTAATGGATGAAAGATGTATGCTGCCTCAAGGCCTGGGTACGCGGGAAGCAGTATATATACCTAATCCTCGCGAAAACACGATGGTGGAGGACGGCCTTGAATTCACCTAGGTAGCGAATGATTTATAATCTCTAATTGTAATGGGCTACGAAAATGGTTACATTTTGTGGTTTAGCACACAATATAGGCCGATTGCTTTGTAAGGTAGCTATCCCAAGCTACAGAACTACCTGGCAGATTACCAGGGCTGATTTTCGTCATCCCAGAGTCTCATCTTCACATTCTATATGCCTATAGAGCGTTTCACACAGATGTAAGCACAGCTAGGCTACGTGGTAACAAATATTATGTTCATCTCCTGCCAATAGCGCTTACAGACTAAAGATAATCAAATCACGCATCATGCACTTGTCCTAATCTTACATGGGCGGGGTGGGGTTGCAGACATTACGGAAATCTGCGGGAATCTGCGGCCTTGCGGGCATTTCGGCATTCTATGCAGGAACACGCCCCTCCATAAGAACCAATCAGAATAGCCGCTCCATATGTCAAGTTGGGAAGAACAACTCAGGCAATTCGTCAGAATACATTCTCGCATATACAAAGAGCTTAATATTAATGATATTTGATCTCTAGACAACCCTATAAGAATGGCCAGTCGCACTCTAGGAGAGAATCTGTAATCCAGATCATGAACTACATTTTTGCCTTGAGAAGTTCCTACTTTCACAACCTAAACCCCAAAAGTCATCTACAACATGTCCAAGCTTTTAGCCTCACTGGTGCAACAGGCATGCAGGGCTCAGGCGTCATTGATGCTCTTGCGAAAAACCCGGACTGGAAAATCCGAGGCCTTCCACGAAACACCAACAGCGAAAAGGCAAAGGCACTAGTTAATCGTGGCATCGAGATGGTAGCCGCCAACTTGGACGATGAAAAGAGTCTCATTGAGGCATTCAATGGTGTCAACGCCGTCTTTGCTGTTAGAGACTTCTACGAATCTTTCGTGACAGGGATCGGTCCGGAAAAGGCCATGGAAATCGAGTACGGCCGAGGTGTCAATCTGGCCCGCGCAGCTGCTGAAACGACTACTCTCAAATAATACTTCTGGAGCACCCTACCCGCTGCGAGTGACTTGACCAACAGCGAGGCGAAGGTTCCGCATTTTGATGCCAAGGGGGCTATCGAAGCATATATCAAGAAGGATCCGGTCTTGAACGCCAAGACAATCGTTCTTTTGACGGGATTTTATGCGTCTAATTTTAACTATCCGCCATTTACCCCCATTTACTTGGTATGGATTTTTCTCTTCACGGCATGTGGGGGACTGAATTGGGTCTCATGGTGAAGTTCTGGGAAAGTGCTGAACCTCCAAGGATGTGGGGAACAGTCGGGGAGGGCGATGTTATGATTGATTCTCGTGATCTTGAGGGAGTCAAGAATCGTTTGGTTAGCGCAGAGGACGCTTGGAGACGGGCTGGTTGGAGTCAGTGTTAAATTTCCTTTATAGACCAATATGTAGCCCATTTTGATTTCTATTATTCTGTCAGCTTATTCTCATGAAAAAAAGTTCTTACCGCTGCGAGAGACAGCCCATTCGAGTGCCACTCACCCGTCAGCCACTTATCACGTTGCTGTATACTAATAATATGCACTCAGACGGATTAAGTCAATGTAAACGATTCCAAGATGAAAGAGTGATTAAGGAGAATTAACTGCGATCGAGGGCAGATTGGAATACCCGCAAATTCGTTGAATACGTATGCTGATACTAGATGGTCGCAACACCAAGATTGGTAAGTAAGCCAATGTACGATGCAAAACATGGACAGATGTGGGCTTCGGAGTAATCAATCGCTTCCTAATAGTAAATGACAACTCCATACGTTCAGATAAGGTTATCTCGCGATCGTCTCCTTTAATGTGTTCTCATCCATCACCCAACACATGTTATCGGGCCCCTTAAAACACCTGGAACCGGATGGGCCGTCTTCATAGGGACTTTCTCCCGCCCAGTTTTCAGCCTGGGCGTAATAGGCGACTGCTAGATACATGCCAGAAAGATAGTCGTCAGATGGACATTTTCGTGAAGATACGCCCATGCCAATTTTGTAACTTTTGGCCCAGACAACCTAAAATATAAAAGATGAAATGTGAGCGAGCTTCAACAAGAGAATTGAGCAGAGGAATTTTATCATTTATTTCACTTACTTGTGTGTAATGGTCACACATATCACCAGAATCCCACGAACCGTGCCCGTCGTAATGGTAAAACACCCTTTCATCATCCCAAGATGTAATTGCATTCCTCACGATATTTTCATCCGACTTAGGGGAAAGGTATATGTTTTGACCAACATGACCATAACTAGGGGAATTGGGCTGAGGATTGTGCGCAAACTGGCAGTTATCAGCCCATTTCTAGGCTAGATCGGCGAGCTCATCATCCCAAGTCATCTTTAACATGTTGGCGGCCTCAGGCTGCACAGTTTGACGACCTAGAATAGTTAACAAAATGTCTTATTCTCATAGACTCAACTCGAAATGGGGACCTTACATTCATTATAGAGGTCAATAGCAAGTGCCTATCCATACAACGCGTGAGGTTTTTGCTTTCAAAATTAACTTGATTCAGTCATCCCTTGTTCTCGGGAGTCAATTCTGCTAGAACTATTGAAGAGCAAAAGACCAGAGTAATAAGCATCAACAAAGAGCTAGAGGTAGACGCCATTTTATGGTAAAGTTTCTTGGAGAATAGAGACAATTCTCAAGGACGATGTTGCAAGAAATTATTTGTGGCAATGGGGGCTAGGGCGGCAATTTATAGATACTGGATCATGTATTATTGTAATCTTGGAATCAAAAAATTAGCTATTTGTTTTACTATTGGGCATACTATTAGAATATCTGCAGTGTTTCGGTGTCTCATGGATTGATCTACTGTAGCCGATCAGATAATTGTTCAAGTGGGTACGCGCTAATGATTTTGCCACACATTATGGTATATAAAACTACTTGAAACGCATAAGAAAAGACTGGCAATTAAAACGGGCTGTTCTAACCACTACTAAATACACACGCAAAAAAATAAGACCAAATCGCACGCAACCTTGCCATGCTATATCCTAGCCAATAATGATCGAGGATCAGGATAGTTGCGTGTGGTTTTAGAGAATCAGGGTACAGTGGACTGTACTCTACTGTATGGTCTGTACACACGGTGATAGTACAACGGGGTTCAAATTTTCAAAATCATCGTTGCAGTCACAATTTGAACAATAGACTAAAAGATGATACCTTAGCTATTAAGAAAGAGGATTTCAATGCCCTTTAAAAGGACCTTTCCAAAAAATAAGAAGTGGAAGCATACCTGTTGGTCTGTTCCCCTAGTTTCTAGACTCGGACTTTTGAACTACCACTGTACCCCTCATTTGCCAAGAACTAAAAAACACGCCATCATAAGGTGGCCTCACTCCGCATGTAAGAGAACAAGTAGAGCTACAATTCCTTGTACTCCTACGTGACCTGTCCGTGAAAGTGATGATGATATCGATTTACATATATATGATGAAGAGCCAGAAAGCGGGAAATGGTGGAACAGGGGCGGAATTGAACCAAGGACCACCCAAGTATCCCAAGATCCTGACATCAGTGGTGGACGCTAGATCGGCGCCAAAATGTCGCAGACTGGCAGGGCCCAAAACGGCTGTAGCTCGACTGGCAGCTGTAGCCAATGTGCAGTGGTCAAAAGTCGCGCCTAAAACATCCGAGCCGCGTCTCGTAAGGCCGTAGGGCTGTCCCGTGATGTCACCGCCGAGAACTGAAAATAGTACGACTCAGGTAGACAGTTGATTTCCCCCTCTTTTCTTTCTCCTTCTCTTCCCCATTATTATCCACAATCACAACTATCTCCATAACCATGCAGAAATTGAAACAAAAGTTCGAACATGAAGTTGATCACTTGGAGGAGAAATTCCGAGGTCTGGACCCCAACCGCGAAACCTGCTTTTTGATCTTGTTTTTTTCCCGCTTTTCACCCCTCAACCTCCACTAACAGTCGATAGACTCGCATCTCCACGATGCTAAAGCCTCAGCGACTCACCTAAAGCACAAAGTGGGCAAGTTCTTCAATATTGTCAATCCCAACCACCGCCACGACGAAGAACATGAACAGGCCACAGACCGAAAGCGCTCGGCAATTGCCCAATCGCATCGCTACCAGTCCTTCGCCCCAGTTCAAGAGGGCAATCGCGTCAAGTGGTATGTCGATGCCTTGGATTATCTGTGGGCTGTCTCCGAGGCTCTGGAAAAGGCTACGGAGACCATCTACATTGCCGATTGGTGGCTGTCTCCGGAGTTGTTCCTCCGTCGCCCGCCTGCCAAGCACCAGGAATGGCGGTTGGATCATATCTTGAAGCGCCGCGCAGAGGCCGGTGTCAAGATTTATGTGATTGTCTACAAGGAGGTGAATCAAGCGTTGACCTGCAATTCGGCACATACCAAGCATGCATTGCAAAATCTTTGCCCTGAGGGTACTCCGGGTCATGGTAATATTCGTGTGTTGCGCCATCCAGATCACAACGTCTTTGAGAATGCTGCCGATATGACTCTTTACTGGGTGCGTCTCTTCTATTCTGGCTGGTGATGAGAGATCGCAAAACTGACGAATTAGGCGCACCACGAGAAATTCATTGTGATTGATTATGCTGTGGCATTCATTGGCGGCATTGACCTCTGCTTCGGCCGATGGGATGCCAACCAGCACCCTCTGGCTGATGTGCATCCAGCTGGCCTGCGGGATGATATCTTCCCTGGGCAGGACTTTAACAACAACCGAATCATGGACTTCCAGAGCGTCCAAGACTGGCAGAGTAATGAGTTGAGCAAGGCTAACTTCGGGCGCATGCCGTGGCACGACGTAGCCATGGGCTTGGTTGGCGACTGCGTCTACGATATTGCAGAGCACTTTGTTCTGCGTTGGAACTTCGTCAAGCGTGACAAGTACAAGCGTGCCGATAATGTGGATTGGCTTATGATGGAGGGCCGACTTGGGGATGATGAAGATCTGGTTGCTGTCCAACGACCAAAGTACCCCTGCGGCGAGTACATCCAACATCCATTGTCTCCATTGTCCAGCAAGCCGCGTGGACAGCAAGGGTCTGTTCGCGCGCAGATTGTTCGAAGCAGCGATGATTGGAGCAGTGGTATTCTGAACGAGCACAGTATTCAAAATGCCTACTGCGAGATTATTCGCAATGCCGAGCACTTTGTTTACATTGAGAATCAGTTCTTCAGTACGTATAGCCATAGATATTCCCACACTATACCCTACCATTTCATAGCCACTAACCGTGAGCAGTTACCGCCACTGGCGACCAGCAGCGACCAATCTTCAATACCATCGGTCGCGCCATTGTCGATGCTTGCGTCCGAGCAGGCAAGGAAGGACGCAAGTTCCGTGTCATTATTGTCCTGCCCGCTATTCCAGGCTTTGCGGGCGACCTGCGCGACTCTGCTGCCACCGGTACACGTGCTATCATGGATTACCAGTACAAGTCCATCTGCCGTGGCGAGCATTCGATTATGGGTCAGATTGAGAAGACGGGCGTCAATCCGAAGGGTAAGTCATGATCCAACACCCTAAGCATGGATTGTCAACCATGCACTCGGCCCTATCGATTTACTGACATCCATTTAGAGCACATCTTTGTATTCGCACTCCGTGCCTATGACCGAATCAACAAGACCCCATCACTCGAAGAGCTGGAGAAAGAGGCCGGTGTCACATATCAAGACATCCAGCGTGGTATCGCCGAGTCCATCATGGGTGAAAGTGTGCATCCTTCCGTCGGTACAGAAGGTGACAGTAACGAGAAGAGCTACGATGCCGATGACGCTCAGAAACAGAAGAACCTGAGAAACCTGGAGAAGTTCGAAGAGCAAGTGGAGAAGCGCAAAGCGATGGAGGGCGATGGTAGTAAAGACTCGGTTGCGCATACTACCATGCTGAATGGCGGTAAGATGTCTGACGAGACGTGGGAGGGTGATCCTGAAGCCGAGAAGGAAAATATCGTCCAGGAAGAGTTGTACGTGCATGGCAAGGTATGCATTGTCGATGATCGTATCGCCATTTGCGGAAGTGCCAACATCAACGATCGGGTAAGTTCACTATCTGGAATTGTTTTGAGTTTGTTTTGCTTTTGACAGCACTTGCTGTTTCTCGCACTCCTACTCGCAGGCCGCTGATGCTTACTTTTCTTCTTCATGCAGTCCCAACTGGGCTCCCATGACAGCGAACTCGCCATCGTAATGGAGGATCAAGACTTTATCGACAGCGAAATGGACGGCAAACCGTATCGAGCATCCCGTCTCGCCGCAACACTCCGTCGCCAGCTGTGGCGCGAACACCTAGGCCTCTTACCTGCACAGAACTACGACGCCACAGGCCACCCGAACGCTCAACCCCCTGATGTCTGTCTCAACGAGATCCTAGAGGACACTCACAACGAATTCGTGACTGATCCGCTCAGCGATGCGGTCTGGAACACCTGGACCGGTCAGGCTAGCGTTAATACCGAGACGTATCGGATGTTGTTCCGCGCTGACCCAGACGACAATATCAAGACCTTTGAGGATTATGATAATTTCCGTCCGCGTGGGTCGCACAAGCAGGGTCATCTGTTTGATCCGTATCTGCCGGTTGCGGAAGTGCGTGAGAAATTGGATCGTATCAAGGGACACCTTGTGTGGTTACCGCTGGAGTTCCTTCGCGATGCGGAGATGGCCGAGCCTGGGCTGGCTGTGAATCAGATTACGGAGGTAAGTGGTTGTATGGGACGTTGTGGGGCTGGCCTTCCATTAAAGGCAGCTGGGTCTCGGATACTGTGCTAATTCTTTGACTAGAGTATCTACACGTAGACATGACCCATTTTCAGCCCCAGTCTGAGTCCGCCAAGTGCAGTACATATTCCGGATGCTTGGTGGATATCCGACAGCTTTTCCCCGCTGCCAAGTGAGGGATTATTTCCTCGAACAATTCCATACTACTCTTCATTACTCGCCGCTCGTAATTCTTTTCTTCCTATCATGATCGCTTTGCATGGTTTTCCAAAGAGGCTTGTATACAATTGCATTGTGCGAGTGTACTCACCTTTTCTATTTCCGTCTACACACAGACACTATTTATCTTTCCACTTCCATTTTCCTCTTCGCTCCGCGGAGATAAGCTGTAGTTTCCCCGCCCCTGAATCTCGATTCTCTCGATGCATATCGATCATCGATTATCGATGATTTGCAAACTACCAAGTCGGAAAAAGTAATTCAGCCATTTGCTGGGCAATACTACACTCCCACACTACCGGCATAGTCTAAACCTATTTTAATTGTAGTTCCTAACCTGGCGTTCAGACTACAGCACAGTACTTTTGTACTTGACCCACCGAGTCTCTCCGACTCTCCACCTGCCGCCGTGAGAAAAAGATCTCCTACAGACCACTAGCTGGTCCTTGCGTGATGCTTTTTTTCTCCCCTTCGTCCTCTCTGAGCTCCTGTTTCCTCTCCGTGCTCTCCTATGAGTGGATACTGACAATAGAGTTGGCGGATCCAAACCCCTGGAAATTCTTAATGCGATTTGTTCATTTTCATCATTTTCCCCCATCGATCCGAGCGCCAATTCCCCCTAGTCTTTTAGTCCTTTAGTTCAATAGCGCTACCGCCTCGGTACGGGGAGTATTTCGGCAGCTGAAAATAATCATCCGTATACAGCCACCGACATGATGGATCACTTTGTTCCCTACGTCCTGGCTTACTGAGCCAGCCACTCGTTTGAAAGATGGAAGACTTCTCCGCGGCTCTCCATTGGTGCATATATCCTCCAAGCTTCCATCTCTTTACCTTTTCGTGAGGGAGGTTCCCCCCCCCTTAATAATGCCAGTCGCCAATGAAGATTTCGCAGCAGGTGGAAATTGCTGGCAACGTCGACCAAGTGGTCAATTCTGATGCCTGATTGATTTGTGTTTTTTTTCTTTTCTGAGGAATGTGCCCAATGGAATTTGAAAATGTTCATGTCGGGAGTGTGAAGATGCAGTTGGTCGTACAAGGGCCAATCGATTTAAAGGGAAGAACCCTGCATTAGAAACTCTTTTCAATGTAAGGACGCGACCAATGTCCAAGTTCTTGGATCTTGCTACGGAGTACTCCGTAGATGAACCGGCATGGGTAATTGCGTAGGCGATGCAGTTCATCTCGATCTGGTTCTAGCGAGTTCATCATTGTGGGGCTTTTTAATCGCCCGCCTATTTTCACGCGCCATGAATCATTGAATGGGATGATCTGATCTCCTGTTCATCGGCTATTCCAGTACTTTCAATACTCTTCTGCGGGACTATTTTTCGATGTGTACGATTTCCACAGCTTCTTGAAAGAATGATTTTGGAATCGAGATAATAGGCTTTTTGATTTCAAATCTGCAAATTATTGACCACCGGAAATACTCGCAGCCAGAAAGGAGGTACACAGAAAGTAACTGCCTCGACGCCGATGATGCTTGATCAAACCCAATCTCTCCACATAAAATGCACGACCGCAAGAAAGGGGGGGGGGGGGGGGGGGGGAAACATCCAACTCCCAAGAACCAAGCCACATCTAAAGCCTTTGAACAATCGAAACTAACAAGTAAAAAAACTCCGTCCAAATGCAAAAATCTCACACGCGGAAACCTTTGTAAAAAGAGGGAAGGCAAAACAAAAAAGACAAGATCTTTTGGGGGAAACCGATCAAATGCAGAGCCCGTAATGTCGCCGATAACGCAGCCACGGAAGGAATTAAGCCAGCCAAGAAAATAGTCAAAATGGAAACGCAGGCTGAATTCGCGCTGATCATGAAGCATGCGCGCTCTAAAGATTGAAAATTGAAGATGATTGCATGGAGCATGTTGGGATACCCTTGCTCGGGTTCATGCGAGAGACTGAGGCGAGCGTGAGATGTCTCTTAGAGCTAGAAACAAGGAAGCGAAGTTAGCCAGCGAGCCACACAAGAGGTGAAGATAGGCTCGGTCAATATGGCCTTGTATAGCACAGCAGTACGGAAACGCCGACAGGTACAGGTTGAGTTGATCGAGCTGAAACGAGCTCAGTGAAACTGACCGACAAATTAGGACTTGTTGTTGTGGCAGCTGTTGCAGCGGCAATGTCCACAGATCTTGCACCGCCAGATAGCCACAAAGGGGCCCGAGTTACAGTCGGAGCAACGCCACGTCAGGATGTTGCCATTAGTAGCCTGGACAATGGCAAATTTGTGACCGGAGCACTGGTTGGCCATGGTTGTTCTTATGCGTGGAGAGATGAAGAATGGGGATATAAGTGAGAGTCACTGTTGGATGAGATTAGCTCGGCATTATACTCACGGTTAAGGACCCGAGAGTTTGTCACCTACCAGACTAGGTGAATGATCAAGGCCCGAGGGAATGGAAGCTGGCGTCGATCACCGGAAATTGTTTCCACGCGTCTAGAGTGGCAAGATGGATGGAAGGGAGGTAAAACTGGAACAGGTGTTCAAGATTTTGTTGATCAAGGGAGAAGTGTATAATGTGAACCCGAGGGTTTGGAAGTTTGATAGCCGAAACAGAAGAGGAAGGTGCGAGTGATGGAGAAGATGAAGAATCTCAAAACTGCTGGACTCGGGTCCATTATATAGCTTCGAAGAACTCCTGTGCTCTGTATCAATTTGTTTTCGAGGGGCGGGTCGACGACAGATCTCGATCAATCCTGGTCCTGGTCGAAAGAACTTCAATGGACTCTGCACAATGCCGTCGATGACGCACCTAGCCGAAGGTGATGCTTGACAATCGTCAGGGTCAAACCAGACAAGGTAAAAGGTCCAGACTGAATATAATTATATTATTTGATGTTGTGGAGGACGGGGGAGCATATATCCTTTTCTTTTTTTTTTTATTGGGGAAGGGGGAAGAAAGGGAAAAGGTACTGAGCCGAGTGGATAGAACAATAGGTAGAGCTATGTTCGATCTACTGTGAACCTCGAACCTCGAACTTGATCTTGCATGGCGCATGGAAAATTAGGCGAACGCGCCATCGAAGGTCGGCAGATCCCAGTTTCTTTCCGCCGGGATCAAGATCCCGATCGATGGACATCGAAGGATTGCAATTGGTGAGAAGCGATCTACGAACACGGCGGAAGGGGGGTGGTTTATTTAACTCATGTTTTAACCAGTTTAGTAAATTCAATTGGAACATTAGAAGCTCGGACATGATTGGAGAGAAAGGAATGAGCTGACTAGACAGCTTCGAGACAAAGAAAGACCAATAGGGAGGCAGAAAGGCTAAATCAAAACTAAAAGGTGGGGGGAGCTGGACAGGGCAGGGAACTATGGCGTAAGTATGGTGTAGGGTATAACTACTGACCACTACCGAATAGGCAGTGTACATGAAAAGGGAGAGATTTGATTTTATTTAGCATGCAGATCGACTCGTGTTGCTAAAAGGTCCTCGAGTGGATCTACACGAAAAGAAAAGAAAAGGCAAAAAAAGTGCTGGGAACATGTCAAGAAAAAGATCTAAACAGGTTGACAAGTTGACACAATTGGTCAATTCTCAAATCATAGACGCGACTAAACCCAGCCGGGCTGGGCCTGGAACAAGGCTCAAGCAGAGAGGAGATCGTCGGAGGTGTGCGCCTGGCATAAATCTAATCCACCAGCTAACCCTCGAATTGCGTGAACTGGAAACTGACGGAGTTATAGTTACAGTCCATAGTTGGTTAGTTAGCGCTTGCTATTCTCCACCAGCTCTTCCCGCCAGTGTGGTCCTGGCTGCCAGCCTAATGCGGGATGCTCATTTGGGTCAAGGCCCTCACTGCGCCGATCATGGCCGATCGCGGCCTTGTGCATCACTGTATCCCAGCAATTTGGGTTGGGTCCGATCATCACTGGTGGAGAACAGTTTGGGTCGATGTTGATTGTTGGGCGAATTAATTTGACTTTTTGTAGGGGGTTTTTTGGAATTCTGGGTCGAGTGGATAGATGCTAAGGGGGGGGGAAGAGAAGGGAAATGACAAAAAATGATTAAAAATGGCTAGGGCTCACTAAGAACTAAGGACACCTATTTTTCTTTCCCTTTTAAGGTTGATACATCACATACAATTCATAAAGAGGCTTAGAGCGTCGAGGCGCAAAGAAAATGGAGGCCTCCACCGCTTGGACCAGGGCCTATTGTTATTAGGTGTGAATGAAAGTCTCCACATGGCACATTGTCTCAGGAACTTTTGTGACTGCTTCATTATTACCATTATAGTCGTATAATAGTACTACTGTCAATCTGGCCTTTTGTTCTTTTGGATTACTCACAGGGTACTTTGTACAATTTTCCAATGTTTCAAACCCGAGGACTTGATACGTTTTTTGTTTTTGTTGGCGACGCCTGCATACTTTATTTTCTTTTTCTTTACGTAGTTTTGACGATGAGTCCTGTTTTTGATTGTCCCCCAACAATAGATTGGCGTCATGATGATTATCAGAATAACAAAAAATAGAACAAATGAAAGGGACAATCATGATCAAGCAATTGTTGAGTTGACGAGTCCCCTCATCCCTGTAACATAACGATCGCCCGGAAGCACACCTTTGGTATTAGTTGGGTTCTCGCCATCGCACCCAATAAAACTGGGACTACAGGGACTACTGCAATCTTAAATCCAAGCCGGACCGATGCCTCGCGAGAGTTTCTGTTGAAGGGGTTCAAGCTGAATTTTATGGCCCAATTTTGATATAACAGTAACTGATTCTGTGAATCCAGACCTGCTAGACTGGCTGTTAACTGCTCCCAATAATAGTTGACACCTAAAAACCCCATACACCCTTCCTATCTTTTCCTCACTCGATCATCTAAGATATTCGGTCACACATGACACCCGCCTTGTACTTTGCGTTCCCTCCTAAGCGGGCCCTTGTACTTAGTTTACGCGCTTTTATTAGACGAGCTGCATGGTCGGGGGCTTACCATAGCGCTGGAGCCTCATCGGAGGTCCATGTCCATCCGAGTATCTTTGTCAATAGGAAACTAAGTACGATGGCAGTTCAAAAGTCTGAGTCTAGAATCCAGAGAAATGGACCAACCAGGCATGCTTCAATTACTCTCATTTGAAAGATCTTTCTGAATGCCCTTCGAATCATCTTTTCGAATCATCTTTCTTGACAGCACAGTTAACGTTCAACTGGTGAGTACTTAGATGATTTCGAATATTTGCCGGGGGTTCAAAGTTAGGGAACCCCACTGTCGTCATGTAACCATGTCGCTATGCCGCTATGTACTGTTACTATGGATAGGTTACTTCCGATCCGATGCTGAGTAGTGGACAAGTACGAGAAGCAAACCCACATCGATCAGGCGAGTCGTAGTGGAACCCGCTTCGTAACCACAACCAGAATTCCCGTCACTGGAAAGTCGCCACGACATAGAAAGAAAAACTACCTGAAGAGGACGTCCAAAAAGATTGGCCACCGTTTCTTTCCTTCACTACGCGCCGTCCCGGCTGGGCGCCTGTCAAGCAAAAAGCGGCGTCAGGGATGACGGACTAAACGCAATCCCATTTGAAACCAGACCAGCCATCCGACGAACCAGGATGTTTTTCTTCGGGTTTCTAGATCACGGTGAAAGTGGAGCTCGGAGAGCTTCATCACCGGGTGCTCGAAAAGGGAAAGATGGCTCATGACCTGGACACGTCAATTCACAATTGCCTTTGAGTCAGATCAGACTCAGCTTCATTGTGACAGTGATAGTATCAGGGCGCGCCACTGGTGGCTGAAAAGGGCGACTTGCGACTTGTTTTGCTTTTCTCGGCACGTTGACCGCTATTCAGTTCTTCACGGATTTCGGCTTCGTGTGGAGTTTTTAGCAATCGGTGCGTTAAATCGGACTGTTGGGGACGGGCGAGATGGGGAGCCGCATCCGATGGTGACGAGTTGAAGATGTTGAAAGTGCCGTAGGCCTATAGAATGTGGATACGTCAAGAACGATGCAAGACGGGAAGTTGGAAGTATAACTTGATCAACACGAAAACAAATATTTGCCACGGGAGAGAACAGAAACGGGATTTCATTGATAAATCGACGGTTGAGAAGATTGTTTTTGCTAGTCTACAATCACGATGATATCCGAGGGGTTCTCTTGCACCGGTTTCACCGCCAGAAGGCATCGAGGAAGTCTCCAAATAGAAACTCCCCCGAATTAAGAAACCGGTGCCTTCAGTCCTCGTAAGGTCTGAACCTTCTCGCTTCCTCTCTTCCGAAGAAGAAAGAAAACAATCCGGATCAGACCCGGTGTTTGCTCTGCCAACGCTCCGTTAAGAACACCTTGTGGGTGACAAGATGCTCCTGCAGTACCCAGAGTGGACTGCATCGCTGGGGTGATAAAAAAAAGAGAAGAAAAACAAGAAAAAGATTGATCTCATCATAGTTTGAGATGAGATCCATGGAAGGTTACAGATCGGGTCTGGGCAAGGCAGACTTCTTCGAATGGGTTTGTTTTCATTTTGTAGAAAAAAGAGTAGGTATCATGCCGTGGGATCGCAAGAATGCAGAGATCTCGGAGTCTGCAAATCAGTCATCAACGCCGCCCTAGAAAGATGTCAAGTCAAGTTCGTCACAGCCATCCGCCCAAAGGGGCCATCATTTAGTCATTAAGGTGGAAAAGGGCCGAGACGCTGTTTCATGATTAGTGATCTATTGTAGACTCGAGGCCATACAGGGAAAACACCCACCTTTCACCGTAGTGATGCCGCCGAATGCTCTCAGCCAGAAGAGTCGAGATATCGATCACGATCAGCTTCTTGGACCGTTTGAGCATCGACGGCTCAATCGGGAATGTGTTCGTCACGACAATGTGGTCAATGGAAGGGCAAGCCTCCATCTGATTGAGCGAATCGGCTCCGAACAGACCGTGAGTGGCAATGCAGTAAACCTTGGCAGCACCACCACGCTTGACAACCGTCTCTGCGGCGGCAATCCACGATCCACTCTTGTCAATCATGTCATCTACGAGGAACACTGGTCGATGACGGACTTCACCGACCAGCGTGATGGTCCGCTCGTGGTCGTAACCGGCAACGCTGGCCTCGTCATCCGACTCAACAGCGTCAAAGGAACCACCCAGGGCATGATCTGGGGGCAATGAGGAAACGCTCGAGATCATAGAGTTGAACATGGTCTCGGGGACGACCTCGGTGTTTTCACCGTGGGCGCTACTACCGCCAGCTCCGGGGGTGGTTCCACCAGAGTGCGATTCAGACCCCTGGTAGTCATCGTCAACCAGCTGGCCCTGCACCAGACGGCCAGTAACCACATCCCGAACCCGAACATCGGTGTACTCAATCTCAAGCTCTGAGGGCCGGCGAGCTGCTGGAGGAGTCTCAGGACGCAGCAGGTCTCGGGGTGAGTCCATATCTTCCATCTCCTCAGGGATGGGAGGGGTTGCTAGAGAACGGTGGAGACGAAGTTCAAACGGCTGCGGCTCCTTCGAGCCTCGTCCCTCATCCTCAACGGCATCGAAGAATACTGTGCTATCGGACATCGTGTTGATAGGAACCTTGGGGCGCCGTCGATCGGTGGTCACGATGCCGAAGTTCAGTTTGAGGGTATCGGCCAGCGAGGTGACTCGCTTGGTACCGCCGGCGTTCTTGCTTACCACGACCGCATCCCTCCAGCCCGACACATTCATCCGGATCCAGCGCGCAATGAACGGTTCGGCGAAGAGGTTATCGACGGGCTTGCCAAAGAAGCCTTGCATCTGGGATGCCTATTTGAAACCCAAATCAACATCGAGGTAGTCAAGGAGGTTTGGCAAAAACGTCAAGGGCAGCAACGTACGTGCAGGTCCATGGTAATCACATGGTCCACACCGGCGATGGAGAGGAGGTTTGCGAGCATGCGGGCCGTGATGGCACCACGATGACTCTTCTTCTTGGATTGACGGGAGTAGGGGAAGTATCTCGTCAGGGGTCAGCATCCAGTGTTTACTTATTCAAACAGAACAGGCAGCATACGGCATGACCGCTAAATGAAAGAAGAAATACGTCAGCCTCAACACACACATTTTTGTAGCTCCAGCTAGGGAACAGCGACGATAACATACCAGTAATCGACTTGGCCGAACCACCTTTGCACGCCGAGATCATAATGAGCAGCTCCATAACACTGTCATTGATCTTGCTGCTGCCACTCTGAACAATGTAGACATCTTGGTTGCGGACCGAGACGCCGATGTTCACGCTGGTCTCGCCATTGGCGAATTTCCCGAGGTCTGCTGGTGCAGGCGAGGTTCCCAACCGCTCACAGATGGTCTCTGTAAGGGCGGGGTGGGAATTCCCCGAGAAGATCTGCACACCCCGCATGGCTGATCTTTGGGAGAGGAATTGAGAAAGAGAAGAAGGAGAAGACGGGGGGTGAGGAAGAAGAAGAGGAGGAAAAAGAAAAAAGACGCTAAGAAAAAAAGTTCAGCGGGTCACAACTTGCGGATGTGGATGTTGTGGACTGCCGTAGTACCCCACGCTCGGGTCTCTTATCATGTGGTTGTCACCGCGGAGATGTGAGAGACTTGGAAGATTGTACCCCCTCTATTCAGTTCGGTTCGAAAGGGGAAAAGGTCAAAATGCCAGAATATCCCAAAGTTCAAGGGGGAGGCTCACTGATCGTCGCGTGGCAGGTCAAGAACAAGCACGTGCTGGTTGTTGGAGGTGGAGAGGTGAGCTCCAGGAGCTATCTACACCGAAATATATAATGGCTTCATGAACCAGACATGACTGACACCGATTGTCCCTCCAGGTTGCCGCTGGGCGTATTCTCCTCGCACTGAATGCCGATGCCCGAGTAACCGTCGTTTGTCCCTCCTCCGGCCTCAACGGCGAAGTCGCCTATCGCGTCGCCGAGAAACAAGTGACCCATATCGATCGCAACTTCGAGCCATGCGACTTGGATACAGCGGATATGGTGCTCTGCGCCATTGATGACCCAGAGGCTTCGACTCAGGTCTGGAAACTGTGCAAGGAGCGACGCATTGCGGCGAATATTGCAGATGTTCCGCCAGAGTGTGACTTTTACTTTGGCAGCATACACCGTGATGGTCCGCTGCAGGTAATGGTCAGTACCAATGGCAATGGTCCGAAGCTGGCCAGTATCGTGCGCAAGAGAATTGCCGAAGCTCTACCAAGTAACATGGGTGCTGCTATTGAGAATGTGGGCAAGCTACGGAGGAAACTGCGTGAGGTTGCGCCTGATATTAAAGAAGGACCCAAGCGCATGAAATGGTGAGTATTGCTACCGCGACCGTTCGATATCCTATGCACTTTGGACTGTTGAATCGCTAACTTATCCTAGGATGTCCGGGGTCTGTGAATCCTGGAGCTTAGATGACCTGGTTGGAATGACCGAGCAGGATATGGACGGGCTGCTGTCCCATTACCAGTCGGGCGACATTCCACCACTCTTGGAAGTACGGATGAAAAATCTTTAGAGGGAATTTGACACGAGTAAAATTTTTACGTCTTATCAGTACACGGCTATGCCATCTCTAGAAATTTGGAGGAAGCTTGGGGAAACAGGAGAATAGGGGGGAAGAAAGAGAGAAAATTAGAAACGCCTGGATCACCTGTAAATCACAAAGCCAAGCGAGGATATCCCAAGAGGAAAACAATAAGGAATACAAAGTCCCATCAATGGGTGGCCTGGCTGTCGCGGCGCGAACCCTTTTGAGAGACGGAGCTCCGCGGGCTGATCGGAGCATCCAACGGGTTGGACGGAGCAACGCCTAGGCGGACTTCGCCGACCCGACGGAGAAGCCCCTGTAAGGCAATGCGAATCTCCGGGTTGAGGTCACGGCTAAGCAGCTCCACACCGAGCGGGTAGAAGGTCTCAATATGCTTGTCGAACCCGTCCTGGGGGAAGTTGTTATAACCATCAATGACATCCACCACTACGGGGCGCCAGGCCACAATGTTGCGGTGTTGGCTCTCTTCGTCGAGGCGGACAAAGCTGCGAATGATATCGGCACAGAGTCTAAACGGAGTCAAAGTTGTCAGCAAAAGGGTTCTTGTTGACGAGGTGAAGAAAGTCTGAAACATACGGAATGAGAGCTGCCTCGGTCTCGGTGCGACTGCTCTGTCTCTCCTCTCGCTCGTCGTGATACATCCGGAAGAGTATATGGACATAGGTGGCAGCACTACCACTCTCTTGCTTCAACAAGTTGGGTGGCTGCTTCATGAATCCTTGGCGCCAGAGTTGCATGCGAAGGTCCTTGTCCTCGTTGAACTTCTTGGCGAACTGATAACTCTTCTTCAGCAGGCCCATCAACCGGAGAAGCTCGTGGCTGGGGATCTGGGCATAGACATTGTCGTTGGAGAAGAGCTCGTGGACCGTCTCGATCATGAGCAGCTGCAAAACGCAGTTGGTGATGATCCGGTTGAAGAAGCGACGACGTGCCGCAGTGACGGCTGCGGGTTGCTGTGACGAGTCTGTCGGGGGCCGGTAGTCCTCGAGCTCAGCCCGAACCTCACTCTGGACGGGTGGTTCTCCTTCATCCTGGAGAGAGGCGGTGCTCTGAGATCCATTCGCTTGGAGCGAGTCGGGAAGCTCAGCCGATGTGGCATCAGACTGGGCCACATCACCATTGGTGGTGGCAATGGCGGGCGTGTCGGTCAATTTTGACATGGATGCTGCCGCCGTGAAGAGCTCATAGGCAGTTGTCTTGCTGAAGAGCTCGACGAAAGCGCCCACGACCTGGGTCCAATGTTCCTCTCGGAACTTGGATACGTTCTGCAGAATCAGCTGCTGCAGACAGTTGCTGCCAATTCGGGCAATAGTGTCATTCTCTTGACAGATACACAACGTCAGCAGTTCCAAGAACCGACTCAACATGTACTCCAAGGACTCGAAATAGTGAGTGAAAAGAGTGATCATGTTGCGCAGAGCTTGGATCATAGTCGTGGACAGCCAGACTGAAAGATCTTCGTGATTGGGAACCTTGGACATTTCAGACTTGGACTGCAGAACGACGAAGATCGGGCAAAGCAATTGGCGCCAAAGAACATCCCAGAAGTCCCGAGGGAAGTCACCTCCATGTCGAATCAGAGTATCAAAGAGGTAAGTCAGTGCACGGGACCGGACCTCAAGATCATCGCCGGTCATCAACACATCCTGGAAGGCAATGAGAATGGGATACCAAAACTGCTCTTCTTGCGACTGCCGAGTGAGTTGTTTGGCAAGGTTGGTTCCCTCCTCTTGGAAGTGCTGGGCCGCAGCGCCGCCGCGGTGGGAGAGCGGGCACTCGGGAGTACGCAGCATCTTGGTAACCGTGGACTTGAGCGTCTCAATCGCCTGTAATGACTTCTTTTGGAACTTGGAATTCTTGGAGAACTCCGTCAAGCAAACAATCAGGTCAGCGAAGGCACCCTGCGTGATCACAACGCCGAAGCGAGTATTATAGATTTGAGTGACATGGTCAAAGGCCATATTCACAATTCCTTCTGTTATGAAGTGATTAGCCAATTTGCCACATAAATCAAGGTTGATAATTTAATGAGAGGAACAGGTCGGGCAAATATAAAGAAAGTCAAAAACAGAAGAGAAGAGAGCTTACCATAAGGTTCACGGGCAGCAACGGTGAAAACGCCAAACATGGTCTTCCACCCGGACCGGATGTTGTCACCACGCGCCTGAATCATCTGAATCAGACAGCGAAGAATCATGTCCTTGACGGCAGCAGTAGTGCTGTTTGCCATAACATGTTCGAAAGGCTTGAGGAAATCCTTTTGGAACTTGAAACCGGGCAATTCGCCAATCTCCATAAACCGCATTGACAGCTGTCGCAGAGAATCCAAAGCGAAGAACACGACGGTTGTGTTGGAGTGGCAGCCAACCTGATTGAAGTGCTGGCCTAAAACATCCCAAATCTTAGACCACTCAATCCTGACACGAGTCATGTTGTAGTAACTGATTTCAACTAGCTTCTGCAGACTGTACGTGCGAGGAGAGTCGCTGTGTCCCGAGGACTGAATTTCTTGCCAGCTAACGTCGCTCAATGCCCGCACAAAGTCGATGATGGCTTCGTGTGACAGATTGGCGGTGTTGGTGAAGATCCGATCGACACCGCGAACCATATCGGCGGATCGGCTTTCCATGGCGACCTCCATGCGGAAGGCCGAGGGTCCACCAACAGACCGTGGCCGAGGTCTTCTGGTAGACTGCATTGACTTGCGAGAGGCAGTATCGGAGGATGTCGTGGGTGCTCGTGAGACATCAGGCAGGGAGCCTTCGTCCACACCGTCGCTCAACAGCTGCAATCGGTCAAGCTGACTGACGCAGGTCAGAATCTCCCGCCATGAGCCCCGAAGACGGTTTCCTTCCGTGAAAGCAACGTCAAGCAGAGCTTTCAAGGCCTCCACGTTCTTTGGCATCATTTCGCGAACATTTGCAAGGTTGGTGAATTTTGCTAAGGCAGTAACAAAGGCGACACGAGGGGTCTCCAGATCAAAGGCGCAGCTGATTCGGATTGCTAACTTGAGACCTTCCATGCAAAGTCGGATTGTCTCAAGGTTCTGGGTATCTTGCATCGGAGCTGACAATCCGGACAAAAAGGACATCCAGGTGACATTGAACATGGATCCAACGTGTCGAACAGAAGTGGCGGGGATGAAACGAGAAAGCGCATCACGGACGGCGGTCTTGCGCTGGGCTCGGATGAGCGAGCGATACAATTGCTCAGTCTTGTTAGCCATTTCCTCGGATGCCTGTGCATACTTCTCCCCTTGAATGTCTCGACCGACGGTAGCAAAGACTTGTCCAGCTCGAGTCGCCAACCCGGTCGGGGCAGTGGCCTGGATGCCCAGATTAGCGGCGTGTTCTCGCTCGGTGTCGAGAACAATCTCGTTGTTGGCGATTTCTTCGTAGATGGCGATGAGATAGTCGGTCGGTAAGTCTTGGCTGTCGTTGATGCCGCGGTTGTTCTTGATGAAGTCCTCCTTGCTCATTCGGGGACCCTTCATCTTAGCGCTGTGTAGGTCGGTGTTGAGCAGGATGACCGAGTACGACAAGACATACGCCGTGTCTGCGTTGGCAAAGGCGTTAGGATTCTGAGTCGTGTACCGTTCCGCAAACTTGAGCATGAAACGATCAATCTTTTGCGCTTCACCGGGAAGACGGAAGTTCTGCAGGAAAGACCGAAGAGCATCGACGAAGCGTCGTTTGGTGAAATCCATCTGGTCAACAAACTGATGCATAATGGCGATGTTTTCGGGTTCACCTTCGCCCAGATACTCGCCAAGCATAGCCTTGTCAAGACGATCATTGCGCAACAAGAAGCTGGCAATGTCCTCGGGGGAGTCTGAACGAATGAACCCTTCTGAAAGGAAAAGCTTAATACCACGCTTGGGCTTGAAATTGAATTGTTGAGTGGCGTTCATCATAGCGATCTTCCGCTGTTTGACCTTCTCAATCTCATTCGGGTCATCCTCCGGAGCAGGAGTAGATCGGCCAGTGCCTGCCTCGCTGATCTCTGGACGTGGGGAAATGAGGACATTGGTATCCAGGGATTCCCGAGAGTTGTCCATCGACTTGGTTGGCCCAAGTGACTGAGCGGCGGCGGCGGCGGCGGCGGCTTGGTCATCCAATTGAGATCCCCAGTTGTCGAGAGATCGGAGCATCTCAACGAGGGACTCCACAGCCTGATGCTTCAGAATGTAATCCGAAGGGATGCTAGGCGCTGCTGGCTGGGGAGGTGGTGTGATGTTGGCAGTCGTGAGCGATGGAGGTAGGGTTCCACGCTGGCGCCACTCGGCCCCGATGTTGGTCATCTTGGTATGATGGTCCTGGAAATATTGTTGTTGCGAAGCTGTGGTGGTAACTGGCAGACTTGAGTACCGCGAGAGCTGCTCAACGACATTCTGGAAGATGTTCTCCAACGCCGTCCGGTCACAATCATAGTTGAGATAGATCTCCACCAACGCACGAGGGTCACCTCCCAATCGTTCCAAGACTTCCATAAAATATTGCTTCTGGAACGAAGGGGCAGCCCGCTTCTCTAGGATAGCTAGGTAGATCTCCTTGAGGAACACCTCCAGCTCTTTCTTCATCATAACCCTCATTTCCTTAAGCATCAGCCAGAAAATTTCGCAGCAGACCTTGAAGACATGGGGAACGGAGCTGGAGCCATTCCGGCTCAGGCTTAGACACAGGTGGGGCCGGACAGCTTGGACGAGTGTCATGGCTTCCGTGCTGGATGAGCTGCTGTTCCTGATTGCAGCCAGCGGGGAGGTGAAAGTGCTGGTGTGGTTGTTGATGAGATAGTGGATGAGGTGCAGTGAGAGCAGCTTCGAACGCATGTTCTGTGACTTGATATCTTGTTGCTGGTCGTGGCCAAGAACCTTGTGGCTCAGCTTACACAAGGCGCGGAAAACCAAGAACGCGTCCTTGACGTAGACTTCATCCACATCATCCTCGGTTGAACTGTCATCTTCACGATCCTCGGGGATGCCTGAAATTGACCGTGCGATGTTGTACCGAGCCAGTTTAGCACGAGTGACCGTAGTCGGCGCATTGTCATTGACACTGGTCACCTCCTTGGGCGACTCGAAGCTCTGCAGAGTGAGCTTCTCCGAGTTGGGTTCTTTGCTGACGGGCTGGTCTGGCTGATCCACTTGGTCCCCTTGATCGACTGCAGATACGGAGGCAACTTCTGAGAGTTGACCTTGGTCACTAGCTAATGCATCCAAGCTGGCACCGGTGACTTTGTCAACCTCACGACTCCGGAGCTCCTTCAGGTCCAAACGAACACGAACTCGGTCAAACACCGTGCTCACCATCTGAGTCAAGGAGCCTTGAGCAATTTGCTGGTTCTGACTCGACTTGGAGTAGATGAAGATATTATAGATCTGGCGAACTGCCTTCAGGAGACCAGCTCCATGCACCACGATCTTGTCATTCAGCACGGCAGCCAACAAAGATTTGATGATCTGCTGCTGAATCTCATTGGGAGTCGCCTCATTCTCGAAACAATCGCAAATTGCGTCAATGGCTCGTTCGATCAAGGGTGGCTTTTCCGGGGTAGCCTCGCTTTCGGATTCGGCGGAGGGGAAGGCAAAGTAGGAGTATGTGATGAGCTTGCCAATGCAATCGAGTGCAGTCACCTGGAGGGGAATGCTGAGGGTTTTGCTAGCCAGGTGAAGAGGGCGGAAAATAAGCTCCGGATCGATAGGTTGTCCATCCGACTGTCTGACATTCGCCAAGGCTACTTGGACAGAGTCCTCTAGCTCCTTGCTTCGGCGGGCTTCGCGGGAGGCGCCAATGGCGTCGAGGGCAGTCACGATGAAAACTGTTGAGCTGACGACAGTGGATCGGTGCGTCGCAAAGGTAGCCGTGGTTGAGCGCGAGTCGGAGCGCATTCGAGCATCAGGCGGCGCATTGTCGTCGGTAGACTCGGGTTCGTGAATTTCGGGAGGCCCAAGATCAACCTGCCGCTGCTCTTCAACCTGAGGGCCATTGGATGTATCCTCCTTTGTATCCTTTGGTGGAACTTCAGGCTTCACTTCATCATCATCCTCCTCGTCTTGTCCGTTTGCTGCCTGTTGGGGTGCCTCGGTTTGTTTATCACCCTCTTCTTGCTGGTCTTTTTGAACCTCCTTCTCTTCCTGCTCCTTCACTTCTTGCCATTCTGTCTTCTCAGACACTGATATCGGCTTGTCAGAGGTCAACATTGTGGGAACTTCTTGAGCTTCCCTAGTTGTATCCACGGAGGCATGCTCGGATTCGGGGATGTCGGCCGCGGGGTGGTGATTCGGCTCGGGGCCATGATCGACGTCCGCCATGGTCAGAGAGACTCCGGACGGAGCTATCGGATCAAAGCAGAAGCATGCGACGGGAAAGCAACAGGGTGGTCAACGTCTGGACCCTTAACGATGTTTCTCGCCGGTATATGATTATTGTTTCATATGGGGATGCGTGTCTTCTCCCAATCGGGACTGGGTCGAGCTGAGTCAGCAACTGCCCGTGCCGGAGCGCGGGAGTCCAGCCTGTTGGCTTCACGTGACTCGGAAGAGGCCGCTCACCGGGAACCTTAGAAGCTCAACAGAAAAGTTCCTGACCTTTAGAGGCCATCTTTCTCCCCCCAACTCCTTCATCCCCGGCTTTTCACCGTCTCCCCCGCGCCGGAACTTCTTTGTTTCTTTGATCTTTGTGTCGAGGGAACTTCTTGTTAAACAGATTCTCCGGCAATTCGAGCCCAAGATGGTTGCTGCCGCTGTCCGGATGCGCACTCCGAGTGCCATGTTCATGTCTCGAGGCGCCGCCTCTATGCGGCGTCCTCAGGTCTCCTACAAGTTCCAGGAGGTCATCCAGTATGCGCTTCTCTTAATCTACAGCAAGCATGGGAATTAATACTGATGAGCTTTCTTCGCGCAGAAACCAATTGCCCGCCCTGTCCGCTATTTCCCGCTTCTATGCCTCCAAGTGTATGACATCCAATTGATCCCATCCAGCTCGCCCAAATCGCCTTCCTCTAACAATGGCTTTACAACTACAGCTTTCCCTCCCCACACCATCATCAGCATGCCGGCTTTGTCCCCGACAATGACCGCGGGAAACATTGGCGCATGGCAGAAGAAGGCCGGTGACGGCCTCCAGCCCGGTGATGTCCTTGTGGAGATTGAGACCGACAAGGCGCAGATGGACTTTGAGTTCCAGGAGGAGGGTGTTCTTGCGAAGGTCCTGAAGGACTCCGGCGAGAAGGATGTCCCTGTCGGCTCTGTAAGAATTTTTCCGAAATTCTCCGCGGAGGAGCTTTTTTGCTACCTCCTCAGCCGACATAGAACAATCGCTAACCATCGTTTTCTCCATTTCTACAGCCCATTGCCGTCCTTGTTGAGGAGGGTGCCGATGTCTCTCCCTTCGAGTCCTTCACCCTGGCTGATGCCGGTGGTGACAAGGCCGCCCCGGCCGCTGAGCAGAAGGAGGAGCCCAAGAGCGCTGAGCCATCGGCCCCGACCCCGGCCCCGGAGCCCGCCGCGCAGGAGCCCGAGACTTCTGGCGACAAGCTCCAGCCCAGCTTGGACCGTGAGCCTGCGATCAGCCCTGCTGCCAAGGCTCTCGCTCTGGAGAAGGGTGTCCCCGTCAAGGCGCTCAAGGGCACCGGCCGTGGCGGTGTTATCACCAAGGAGGATGTTGAGAAGTACCAGCCCACCGGTGGTGCCGCTGCTGGTCCTACCTTCGAGGACATCCCCATCACCTCCATGCGCAAGACCATTGCCAACCGCCTCAAGCAGTCCATGGCTGACAACCCCCACTACTTTGTCTCCACCACCCTGTCCGTGACTAAGCTTCTTAAGCTGCGCCAGGCCCTGAACGCCTCCGCCGAGGGCAAGTACAAGCTCTCCGTCAACGACTTCCTTGTCAAGGCCTGCGCTGTTGCTCTCCTGAAGGTTCCCCAGGTCAACTCCAGCTGGCGCGAGGAGAACGGCCAGGCTGTCATCCGCCAGCACAGCACCGCTGATATCAGCGTTGCCGTGGCTACCCCCTCCGGTCTGATCACCCCCGTTGTCAAGAACGTCCAGGGTCTGGGTCTGTCCAGCATCTCCAACCAGATCAAGGACCTTGGCAAGCGCGCTCGTGAGAACAAGCTCAAGCCTGAGGAGTACCAGGGCGGTACCTTCACCATCTCCAACATGGGCATGAACCCCGCCGTTGAGCGCTTCACTGCCGTCATCAACCCCCCTCAGGCCGGTATCCTGGCCGTCGGCACCACCCGCAAGGTCGCCATCCCCGTCGAGACCGAGGAGGGCACCGTTACCGAGTGGGATGACCAGATCATCGTCACTGGTAGCTTCGACCACAAGGTCGTCGACGGTGCCGTCGGTGGTGAGTGGATCAAGGAGCTGAAGAAGGTGGTCGAGAACCCTCTCGAGCTTCTGCTGTAAAAAGGTGGATACTTCAACGTGCCGACCTTTTTCCATAGAATGTAATCTGTATTAAAATGGTTTCCCTTTAGACCACCATAGGTCCTTTTTTGTGTTTGGTTTTAGCAACTTCAATCTCATTTTCATATGTCCCGCTATTGTTTACATTGGTATTCTATGGATCCATATTTTCTAGAGATTCGCTTGAATGATGCGCCTCATCTATCATCCGTAGCGATTTGATTCCCCGTATTTTGAAGCCCGCCTGTATTTAACTGCAAGCAGAGTCCAAATCCATAGGTTAACTGCCCAGAATCCCACCAGTTGGGCTCCTGAGGCACCTACTCCCGATTCAACCCGATCTCGCCGTCGGGGTAGATCATACCGAGCCACCACTAGAGGTTCCATAGCACACTGTACCGCAACATTGATGAGAATTATTGAAAGCATTAATGATTTGTACAGACTGGACAATATTCCTGCCTATGTCCAATACTATTCTAATTCATCCCTTGGAAGACACAAATGTAAATGGTAGCCCGGTACTTAGGTGTCGAATGCAACTATATATTTCTTGTGCTGGACCCACTTGCATCCATAGGTATCTACTGTCACGAGTTGAACGATAGACAACAGAAATGGATCTGGACCATCAAGAGAAACGATCCGAATGGCATTAGAAAGATATTTCAAATAATATTGATTGAGGGAAACCTGGTTGGACCGTTTCTTTGGGGTTTAGACTCGGAGTTTTGAACGGCTGTCCTTGCATCAAACAGAAATGCGCAAGGGAAGTTCTGCTGTTATCTGACTTTCTAGAGGTAGCTTCGAGAAATACCCACTCATGTATAAATCGAGAATCGGATCTACTTGTTAACGGGCGACCAGAAACGTGGCTGTGAATCGAGACGGAGGGATGTGTTGGCATAGTGGACTTCCATTACGGGTCGGGTACGGCTCTAGATATCCACGTGGGGGTTAATTGGAAGGTAGTTGAATTTAAGTTGGAGGCTTGTGTTTACCAATATTGCCCTTATGAGTCTATATACTGAATGCTATTCTCATCTCAGAGAGTATAGTTCAGTGGTTGTTGATTGTACCGCCGAATCGAGCCTGAGAATGATGATTGGCCGGAAGCACCCACGTCAGTGGCTGAGGAGGTATGGACAGAAAATCACATGTTTACTGCACAACCATGATCAAAGTGGTTGATTTGGATGATTTAAGATACTCTTAGAAGGTATTCTTTTTATTATTTGTTAATTATTCAAGAATAACTCTAGGTATAGATTTTATTAATCGATCAATCAAAGAGTAAACACATGGGCGTGGTCTGATGATATGCTTCTAGGCTGTGGCTCCACCAACGAAATCAATGACGTGATGTCACTCCGAAGCTTCCAAGGTTCACCTGCCAGCTTCTGCCACCACATTTAAATTCCTCACTCTTCCCCCTCCCCTGATCATCATTTTACGCACTCTTGTTGGTAAGCTCTCACTCTTTTGTCTTTGTTCTAGAACAACCAACTGACAGACCCGACCGACTTCAGAACCATCTCCATCTACTCTATCATTCTCCCACACCCACAGTCTACATCATGTCTTACGCCGACGCTGCTGCCAAAGGCCCCAAGCAATCACCCGAGGAAGTTAGTACTCCATGTGACTCTCCATAACACTACTTGAACGACAGGCTAACCAGATCTCAATAGGCGTAAGTTTTTAGCGACAGATAGTGTCCCTATCTACATCCCCATACTAACTCATTCCCCATATCAGTCGCGCCCCCTCCATCGGCGGTATCTACAAGGATGAGTCCGAGAGCACGGCCTCCCTGATCGACGTCGACTCGCCCCACGTCCAAGCCGTGGACCCGGACTTCCTCAACCAGGAGGTCAAGACCACCACCCAGGCTGAACGCCTCGAGCGCGAGGCCCAAGAGGAAGAGGCCAAGCGCGTGCAGGAGGAGTCCGCAAAGAAGGCCAAGGCCCGCAAGGCTAAGAGCCGTGGTCTGGCTGCCAACTCGGATAACCCTGTCTTTATCACCAACGCTGTGGTGGCTACTCTGGTCGGCGCGGGCTTGGGCTTTGGTGCTTATCGCAAGCATGTCGAGGGCAAGTTGTCGTGGGAGGTTGTTGGTCTCTGGTCCGGGGCTGTTGGTGCCTTTGGTGTGGTGGATTACTTTGTGAGCAAGTAAGTGGCCCTCGTCAAATACTGAGGAATGAAGGAAGGACGTGAGGGAAGGTGATCATTGCTAATCTGTGTTATCTTTTGTTATAGATGGTTCCTCCAGAACAAGTACCCTCCCAAATAAACGGGGACTTGTGCAATACGACACGACATAGTCGATTCCTTGCTTGATGGACTGCTTGTGTGTTTTTTTGTTTCAATCATATACCATCCCAGCTCTTTGTGAGATTCGAGATTTTGCATTCCTGGTTGTGTTTTTTTATTTTGGGCGAGAAACGGAGTCCGGGCTGGATTGTGAGGGCTGCGATAGTAGCTTCAACGATACCATTTTCGAATGAACCTGTGTCCATGTGTAAAACCGAGTAGATCAGCGACGGGCTTTATGTAGTCAAGCATAGTAATCAGATTTGCTTTCCTGTTGATTGTTGGAGCTGCATGCAGTCTGTACCTGAGACTATCTGTCGGTGACGTACTGTGACAGCTTGAAGCTGAAGGCGGTGAGCGGCCCAAACACCAAGCTGGCCTTGGGAGACGTGGTTGATCCCAGAGTTTATACACTTGATTGATCTCTCCCTGTCGACTAGCCTGCTGAATATTCAGGTCGCATGTTGCAAGTCCCTCTGGAATATATTACACCCTCTCGAACCATCCCTCCCTTCGTGCGCCGTGAATCTCCGACCTTGAACGTGGCGCTCGCCGCCCCCTCGACAACATGGTATGTCTCCATCCCCTCATACAAATTCCTTGAGAATACTTGCTGATTTGAGTAGAACTCCCTCTTCAATTCCGCCCTGAAGCAGTCCTCTGCTGTCCGCCGAGATCTGGATTTATTCTCCCAGTCGCCCGCTACCTCTTCGCCCGCTCTACAAGGTAGGTTTGTTCAACCAGGAACCTTTGTCCTTGCGCAGCCAATTCTCATACTCTTTCTTTCTTACTCCAGGCCAGATCGCTGCCTCTCTCTCCTCACTATCTCGTACCGTCGATGATTACTCGGCTCTCTCGAAAAAGGAGTTGATCCCAGAGAAACAGCAAAAGGCATTTGACCGAGTCAAGAACTTCCGCACCGAACTGGCCGACTACCGGGCCCAGTTTGATCGTCTACGCAAAGAACGAGAGGAAGCGGTATGCGCCAACTATTATCGACTTCGAGTCCCCCTTCTGTGATTGGTATCCACTGACTCTGTGCTTATAGCAATCCGTCACCAACCGCAATGAACTCCTCGGTCGCCGTCCCCACCACGCCGCCACCCCCGAGAATCCCTATGCCCAATCCTCTCTTCCCACATCCTCGGCCTTCGCACCTTCCTCCTCAGGTCTAAGCTTCGGCGCCGGTCCTAGCAATCATACTCGTGAAACGCAGGCGCTGCGCGAACAATCGTTCTTCGCGAATACACACACCCAGCTAGACGACTTTCTCGATCGGGGTCGTGCGGTGCTGGCGGACCTCGGTCAACAACGGGAGGTGTTGAAGGGGACGCAGCGTCGACTGTATAGTGTGGCTAATACGTTGGGGGTTAGTGGGGATACGATTCGCATGGTGGAACGGCGGGCTCGTCAGGATAAGTGGATTTTCTGGGGTGGAGTGGTGATTTTCTTCTTGTTTTGCTGGGCTGTGTTGCATTTCTTGCGATGAGCAGGGAAAATGTGCTGGAGAGATGATTTCTGTGTAATTTTCTTTCTTCCTTTTTCTGGGTTGGGATTCGGATTGACTTTGTTTTCATCAGCGATGGCGTCTGTTTGATAACCTTTTTTATTGATGGTTACTTGTTTTCTTCGTTGAGTTTGGGGTTCTTGTTGGGGTAATTCGATGCGACTGGACCCTCGGTAGAATAGCTTGGGGGGAGTCAGTACAGTAGTTGGATAAAAAGTGTAAGTAGTATACTCGACGAGGTAGGAAGTATACGAAAATATAACGGCTGGGGACCACGAGAATCGACGATAATCATCACTGCATTCAGGCTATTCAGCACATGCTTGTTTAAGTTCCTTCGGTGTGCCCTTGAGCTTCTGTTAATAACCAAATGGGCCGAGCATCGGGAGGTCGGCAGCCCCAAAGTGGATCCGTTTTCCCGTCCGCTTTTCCTCTTTCCTTTCCACTTTCCAACCTTCCGCTTTCTTCCCTCTTCCTCCTCTTCCCCCAATCCATCACTCCTCTAAAAAACAAGGCATTCATCATGTTCGCCGCTCGCCAGTCCTTCAACCTCTTCCAGAAGCGTGCCTTCTCGGCCTCCGCTAGCCAGGTATGTCAATTCCTCTTCCATTGTCCACTCCCCTTCATCTGTCACTCTCGCTCTTCCTGATTCTTCCGACCACATTGCGTGCTAGCGCTAACCTTCCCTCTTCCATCACAGGCCTCCAAGGTCGCTGTCCTCGGTGCTGCCGGTGGCATTGGCCAGCCTCTCTCTCTCCTGCTGAAGCTCAACCCCCGTGTTTCTGAGCTCGCTCTCTACGATATCCGTGGTGGACCCGGTATGTCACAGGAACTTGTCCTCTTCCGCTCTTCCGCAACCAGTTTCAATTGCGATTCTGCGCCGTCGCACTTTTGAATTGGACCCGCTGACTTAATGCGATGACAGGTGTCGCTGCCGATCTGAGCCACATCAACACCAACAGCACCGTCACTGGCTACAACCCCGATGCCGCTGGTCTGCGCGACTGCCTCAAGGACTCTGAGATCATTCTCATCCCCGCTGGTGTCCCCCGCAAGCCCGGCATGACCCGTGATGACCTGTTCAACACCAACGCTTCCATCGTCCGCGACCTCGCCAAGGCCGCTGCCGACGCTGCCCCCAAGGCTCACGTCCTGGTCATTGCCAACCCCGTATGTTCCTACAATTCGCAATCTGCATCTATGACTTCCTTTTTTACTGAAAATTCCTCCTTCCTACCAGGTCAACTCCACCGTCCCCATCGTCTCCGAGGTCTACAAGAGCAAGGGTGTCTACGACCCCAAGCGCCTGTTCGGTGTCACCACCCTCGATGTCGTCCGTGCCTCCCGCTTCATCTCCCAGGTCCAGAAGACCGACCCCGCTGGTGAGAAGGTCCCCGTTGTCGGTGGCCACTCCGGTGTGACCATCGTCCCCCTGCTGTCGCAGTCCAACCACGCCTCCATCTCTGGTGAGACCCGCGACGCTCTCGTCAACCGCATTCAGTTCGGTGGTGATGAGGTCGTCAAGGCCAAGGACGGTGCTGGCTCTGCCACTCTCTCCATGGCCATGGCCGGTGCTCGCTTCGCCGAGTCCCTCCTCCGCGCCGCCCAGGGCGAGAAGGGTGTCATTGAGCCCACCTTTGTCGACTCTCCCCTGTACAAGGACCAGGGCATTGACTTCTTCGCTTCCCGCGTTGAGCTCGGCCCCAACGGTGTTGAGCAGATCCACCCCGTTGGCCAGGTCAACGAGTACGAGCAGAAGCTCCTCGATGCCTGCCTGGTTGACCTGAAGAAGAACATCCAGAAGGGTGTTGACTTTGTCAAGGCCAACCCTTAAATAATTCCACCCTTGTATAACTATCCCCCCTGATGACTACTCGTTCCTGTGGTCCCGTCCCGGTTCGGTCCGCGGGAACCACGGAATTTGTACTTTTAGACTGATATGAATGCCATAATCAATATCGGTCTAATCCGCCGTGAATTTGGGTTTGAAAGTAGTTGTAAAATAACCTCGTAGCTCAAGACGTTTCAACGACTGATGTTCCCGGAAACCAGTGAATTTACAGTAACACTCAGCATGACTACTCCCGCATTTCGATCAAAGTAGATTCGATTCGATATAATGTGTGTCCTGCAACAAGTCCACCATCTCGAGTAGACATTAAAAAAGACCGAGAAGCAATGAACAAGAAGGGAAAAAATTTGGTAGACAATCTCAAATATTTCTCCAGAATGCATATCGTTACCGCGGACTTGGATCTGTCCTCTTCCCATTCCTAGTTCCAGTTCCAGTCTCGCCTTATTTCTCCCATCTCCAGTATTCCTGGTCCCTGGTCCCTGCGGTGTGTACCAAACTCCAAAGTCAGAATGGGAATAGAAACAGAGGCATGGTCAAAAGAAAACAATTAACAACGAAGAAAGGAGGTAAAAGAAATGGAAAAAAAACGGGGACAAGAAAGGGAATGAAAGAAATGTCATGGCTAAAATTGGGCTTCAAATTGAAATGCTCGCTCGCTTCGCTCGCTTGGTTAGGTGTAACTACGCATCGCATCTAGATATCCCGTTCCACCACGCAGATCCTGATCGAATGTCTCTGCTACCTCAAGGACACGCTTGATATGTTCCATCGAGAGAGGGGAACGTTCGTTAACGGCGAGGGCTTGGGCGGTGCGGACAGAGTTTTTGATCTATTGTGAGAAGGAGGATGTTAGACTAACGCTTCAAAGATATACATGTTGGTGCTGTGGTTGCAGGACTCAAACTCACCTGACGACCGTTCAATGTATGCCGAGAGAGTAAATCGTAATCCGTTTCCGTAAAAGTAGCCGTCTTAACGCCCTCGATGGCACGTACTCGTTCAAGGAACATCTTCCAGATACTCCGTTTCGCCTTGGCGTTGAGATCCCCATAGCGCAACGCAACGTGAATACGCGATTGAAACGCATCGTCAAAAGTTTCAACCCGATTCGTAGTTAAGAAGAGAATACCCTGGAAATACTCCAACAATCGCAGGAAAATGCTGACCAGCGCGTTGCGGTGGATATCGTGGATCGTGCGCTTTTCCAGGAAGATATCTGCTTCGTCGAGGAGGAGGACTGCGCCCCAGGAGTGTGCGATGTCGAGGATCTTGTTCAGTTCTGCTTCTAGCGTGCGTGAGTCTGTGCCTAGTTCGCCTGCGCTGACCATGTACAGTGGTCGGCGGAGGAGTTCGGCGATTCCTTCGGCCGTGAGGGTTTTGCCTGTTCCGGGTGGACCGTGGAGGACGGCGACGAGGCCTTTGCCTTTGCCTTGGATTACGTCGTCGATGTTTTCGGCTGCGTGGAAGGTGTGCGATTCGACGAGGGCTTTGACGATGGATTTTTGGTTACTGGCGAGAACGAGTGAGTCGAAGGCGTCGGCGTCCCATTCGATGTCGCTGATGCCTGAGATGGTGAATTCCAGCCAGAGCTTTTCGCTGAAGGCGAAGCCTAGGACGACGGGGCTGGCGACAAGGAGTTCTTCTTCTGTGAACTCGCGCTCCTTGTTGCCGGCGGCGTCGCCTTCGATGCGATCCATTTTCTCTTTGTGGATCTCGTTGCCGTTCTCGTCGACTTCTACCTCGACGACGCGGGGTATTCCGTCCTCGTCTTCGATTACCTTGTAGACCGTTCGGGGGTATCAGATGAGCAGCCTCGATCAGAGTCGGACTCGGATCCGCCACAGCAGCATCCATCGCTACCGTCGTCTTCGAGATCGCTGAGACCAGCCTCGGAGCCGTCGAGCAAGTCGGGATCTTTGGGCCGCACCGTGCTGATGGGGTAATTGGGATTGATACGTCGGTGGATGGCTGGATCGATCATGACTCGTCCGTTAATGTTGACTTTGATCACGAACGAGCGCTTCTTCTTGTAAAAGGCCATTCCCTTGTGGAAGCGGTAGTTCATACCCCGCAGGGAGACGAACCGCTTGCCCCGCTCGACGAGTCGTGCTCGTAGAGCTTCGGCATCGCGGTGGTACTGCAGAGGGTAGCAGGCCAGACTGGTGATCTTGCGAGCTCCCTTGAAAGCATCCACGTCGGCGGACATGGTGCCAAATCCAAAGTCCTTCCCATCGTACTCGAGGTACCGGCCTTCCACGCTGTACCATTGTCCCCGCATAAACGAGGACTCTTTCATGGCGTATTCGATTTTAAAGGCGCGAGGCTCGTCCGAGTTTCCATATGTCGGGGTGTAAGCGATGGTGTTGGGCTTGAACAACGCCCACAGCAGGTCAAAGGTGATGGTGTTAGCCTCGAGAAGAGGGTAGAGGGTCTTCTTGATGTCGGCGTAGTCGGTGTCCAGATACTTAATCAGGACTTTCAAGTGAGCAGCTTTGGCTGCAGCGATTTTCCGCGCCTTCTTCTTCTTCTCGTTGCGGGATTGCCGCTTGAGCTCCTTCATATACTGCCGGGTCTCCTCGAGGTAGAGGAAGAGCATGTTCGGATCGACGACGGCGGGCTCCTGCACCAGACTGACGCCCTTGACCCCGTCCATGACCTTGCCCAGGGCATCGCGGAGGTGCTTGCTCTTGATGTCGACCACCGTCTCTAGGTACTTGTTTTCCCAGTTGAACTTGCGGCGTACCGTGAAGATATACTGGTCCCAGCCGTCGGCGTCGGGGTCATCGACTGTTTCGGTGAGTTTGTAATTGTGGATGGTGCTGTCCCAGACTGGTGTACACATGTATGGTTAGTAAAGATGGATAAGATAGGAGAATAAGAGCGAATCGAACTGAAACTCACGTTGATCAACCCGTTTAAAGGCCACTTTAGATGCAGGCTTCTTCTTTCGCGATTTCTTGTCCCGTCGACCATCGCCTAGCGGGTCCAAACCGCCCAAGCTGTCGTTGGCCTGATCGCGCAGACGCTTGCCTCGTTTCTGCTGCAGCTTCAGGCGCGCGACCAGCTTTCGTAGGGCCTTTTCATCCACCGCCGAGTCCCCCTCATCATCCGACTCGCTCGATTTTGAATCCGAGTCACTGCTCGACTCGGACTCGGAGTCGGGCTGTGCAGCCTTGCGAGACTTGGTCTTTCTTTTCTTCTTGTTCTTCTTCTTATCCCGCTGGGCCCGCTTGGCTCGTGCCTTGGCGCGGAGTCGCTGACGCTTGCGATGGCCCGCGTCTGACTCCGTGTCCGCCGAGTCGGAATCGGCCTCTTCTGAATCCGAGGCTGAATTGGCTGCAGAGTCAGAGTCGGATGAAGACGAGGAAGAGGATGAACTGGATTCGGATGAGGAAGATTCGGCCGCCTCGTGGTGCTGCTTCTTCTTCTTGGATTTTCTCTTCTTCTTTTTCTTATGACCATCATTCTTGGGATCTGGGTGTTTTTTGCACACCGCGGCTACTTTGGGGGCATTCTCGGCGGAGGCGGTGGTGGTGGCCGCATCTTTTACGGACACGTCGGGAGCTTGTTGGGCCCCGTTGATGTTGTCCGAGGAGGGATCCACCTCATGCTTCGTCTCGCCCACTTCGGTGGTTGGTTCAGCCATCGCGGGGAGAAGAGGGGGAAGCTTTCGGGAAGCTCCAGTGGGGAATGTGGAGTAATAGTGGGAATCAGAATAGAAGACTTGAATCAACTAGGAAACAGGACCAGGAGGAATTCAAATGAGGTTGACTTTTCGATAAATGAACTAGGTAACTTGAAGAGGAGGTGGGAGAGGAAGAGAGAAAGGAGGGTTGGAGATGGGGGGAAAGAGGAGACGAAAAGAAGAAAAACAAAAGTAAAAACACGAGTCAGAAAGAAAGGCGCAGTGGGTGAGACTGGGACTTTAAGCAAAACAGAAGAAAAGACTAGGATATCCTCAATCCAGGACTGTACGATCTCAACCTCTCAACCTCTCAGCGAGAAGCTGCAGCCGCCTGCAGGCTGCAGCTCCCAAGATGAGGGCCTCCAGTGCCAATCAGAAATCCCCACGCAAGTGAGGCGATGTGTTGGTCCTATTAGCTGAAGACTTCATTCAACTTGGCCCATACTGGAGCCCGAGACTGAACAGCCCTTCATGGAAAAGGACAAAGCTCTGGGCTGGACGAGGCTGACCTGGTCTCTTTCACTCCTTATTCGTCCACTTCCCCACTGCGGCTCCGCCGTGTTTGCTGATCTGTTGGTTACACCGACTTGTTCTGGATGAGGTAACTCAACGGGGAAGATAGATGCCTAGAATGATGGAATAGGATGACGATGATAAGCGTGGGAGTCTTGATATGATATTTGAGAGCCTCTATCCTGTGACTATTGACTGTGGCTAAATATCGTCATTTGTATGCTGGTGTCTACCCCACAATTTGCATCTATGGAGTACATCTGCTATCATCATGTACGAGCTATCAGGATACACTATGAATCTGTGTACTACATACGTATTCTGCCTACATGGACATGGTTTTCTTCCAGATGGGACATCCGTAGCTTCTATTTCTCCCGAAAGCTCCTTCTCCGACCAGGTAAACGGGGTCCGTTGTCAGGGGAGAAAAAGCAAAGGCCCAAAACAAGGCTGATTGAATTAATTTTCCGTGGCGTGTCAAGCGAACCACGTTGTTTGTTGGCTGGTCACTAGCCCAGGATCAGACATGAAGAATGGAGAGACTCGAATTAACTCTTGACTATCTTGATGCATCATGTGGCGGTCAACGGTGAGATGGAGTCATGTGAGCCGATGTTCCCCCCTGCCAGATTCCTCGCGTGTCTTGTTTCTTTTTTGTCTTTCTTTCCTTCTTCTCTGCATCCTTCCAAGTGCACATTATTATCTGCCCTGACTTAAACCATCAGAGACATATCTGCCACAGTCCGATGAACGCTCAATCAGAGCAGAAATCATCTCACACATGCATCAAAAACAGACCTTCTAGAGCAGCCATCCACAACATCTACTATTGACCCGCTCTCTCCAGCTTCCAGCTTCCCCCAGACAGTCCCCGGGCGACATTGTTTACCAGTGGCACACGCTGACCCGTCCTCGATACCAGAGTCCCCCGTGTCCCCGGCAAAACCACATCACCCCGCGTAGAGGAAGGAGTCTGAAAGGAGAATGTCTCATACTTCCCATTCTTCCCCTGGAACTGCACTGCAAATTGCCCACGGGAGGTCGACAGGCCAGCATCAATGGTGCTGAGATTACCCGGTTGAGGCGCAATGCGCCATTCCGCTCCTCCCGGCCCCGTGAGCTGAATACCCGCTGCATACATGCTCAGCGCCGAGGTTGGCCCCGTCGACCACCCGTGGGCATGCGAGATACGTGCATCATTGCTGTACGGTGCATAATGTAATCTCCCGTCCGTGGAATACCCTTCAATGAAAGATGATTGTGTCATGCGGGGATCTTGAAGCATGAACCCCCATTGTAGCCGGATGAGATCGAGTGCTGCCTTAGGTTGGGAGGCAAGATAGTGTGCTTGGAGTTCGAATCCGCCGATGAAGGGAGAGATGGTTGTGCCGGCTTCGGGAGCGGGGGCGCCATAGGGACCCCAGCGGGATTGGAGGGCTTGGGAGATGGCGATGCTTTGGGTCGTGGAGGTGGTTAGGTTGGCTTTGATTGCCCAGGAATTGCCATCCTGCGGGTGCAAGGTGGTGGTCTCATTGTCGCGATACAGGGATGCCTGGTCATCCCAGAGAAGGTTGTTGGCTGCTGTTTTGATGCGAGCGGCGATTTGGTTCCATTTGGTTGCCGTGGAGGTATGATTGAGTTGCTGAGCGAGACTCTGGGCATCCTGGAGCACGAAATAGAGGATGGCATTTGCCTCGATGTTCTGGAAGATGGTAAGTGATGGTTTCACAGGATGGCCGAGTATCAGAAAATGAATGGACGATCGACTTACATGACCTCCCATTCCAAAGCGCAGCCAGTCCGCACTCGCAGTGATGTTGGCCAGACCAGTACCGTCAACACTGGACAGGGCCCACTCGACACCTCGCACATACTGATCCCAGTATTTAGCTAACCAGGTCTGATCGCCCGAGAAGCGATACAGATACGACATGCCAATGAGGCTGTGCAGATGGTAGGTATAGCTCTCGACATCGTAGAACGGCTTCCCTGCGTATGGAAGCCGGCCATTGGACTGTTGAAGTGCGAACAACGACTCGAGTGCCATGCGGATGCTGTACAAATCCCCAGTGCTAACGGCAATGCTCTCGAGAGCGATGGACATATCACCAGGCCACACTAGGCGATCCCGCTTCGCTCCGTCGGTGATGGTACTGCTACCATTCGTGATTGTATAATTATTCCACCAGGTAACAGTCTGCGGGAGTGTGATATTATCTCCTGAGCCGATACTGCCCAGATGAACCAACGCATTCCCCGATGTTGGATTGATCGTACAGAGCTGATTCGTGTACGCGCCAGCATACCAGATCTTATTGATAAGTTCGTCATCCGAGTGGAACCATCCAGTGTAAGCCCGGAGATCTTGCTTCGGGGCAGCTAAAAACTGAACATGGAGCGAATGGAGTGACACACTCGCAGTCGTGTTGCTCACGATAGTGAGGTAGCGGAATGCACCGCGCTGATACTTCTCCTCGGGCGTATACTTCCCAGCCCCCTGACCGATGGCGAACCAAAGCGGAGCATCCAGGCCTGCGTCAGCGGTGGCATCACTGGCATCACTGCTGATATACAGACTAGACTCGGAGAATGTCACGCCCAGAAAGGCCGAGGAAGAAGACGAAGATCCCACTTCGAGGGAGACTAGGCCGGCTACGTTCTTCCCAAAGTCGTACGTGACAGATGAAATACCGTTGAAAGTGGTGGACCCGCCGGAGGGCCGTGTCAGGGCTTTGGCATTTGTGACTGAGCCATTGATTTGGTGAACGCCGACGGGAATTAGATCACGAGAGGATGGAGCTAGGATATACTGCTCGTAGGGTATACGAGCTGCGCACGCCAGCGGTGCTAGTAGCAAAGGCGCTAACAAATGCATGACGGGACTAGGGAATCGACTAATCTCACTGAAAATAGAAGTCAAAGATGCCGCTAGGATGTGCAAACTGGATTTTGCAGAGTATTAAATGCATTTCTGGCGACCGAGACCGAGGCATTCGTACATCCTGAATTCTTCTCCGCAAAGGCAAGGCCGTCCTTTGAATCACCCCGCGAGGATTCACCCATGTCTCTCGGGCTCCATTAACCCGGAATAGAAAGGATTGTACAAAACTGCAGACATCCCGCTGATTAATGAGTGATATCTGGCCAGAGACTTCGGGTGATCAACACTCCGATGACGCTTTGATTGGAGAAGACCGGTTATGCAAATGTGGGAAGTGGGGGAATATCATGCAGATGCCCCATATTTCCCCGCCTTTGAAACATCCAGACCCCCTGTTTGGTAGAGGTTGTGTTTCCCCGTAGAAAGTCCGGTTGGGCAGGTTGGTGATTTTTCTGTGGCGGATGGTAGTCTGGAAGGTTGTGGCTATGTCCGACGATGATTTGATATAGAGTTTGCCGTTGTGGGATATGCTGGCCCTGAAGCTGAATGGTCATTTATAGGTCTGAAACTCCAAGTAGCTCACTACCATGAAAACCTATCTGTGCGATACTGGTAAGAAGTGAGACCAAGTCGGTGTCAAAAGAATTCCACTGTAGAGTCAAAGTTCGCATTAAAGAGTATTTTAGAGGCGACTCAAGCCTTATGGTATCTGGTAACCAAGTCATCGCTCGGGCATGCTGGCCTGGATAGAGAGGGCGGAAACCTGACCAGCTATGTAATCGCTGAGATGTGTTTCTAGCTATTCGGCAACGGTTATGCACGTCGTGTTTGAGGCCTCGTCCCAGAAAGTCATTAGATATACAGAACCGACGTGGAGTAAAGCAAATTTCAGGTCCTAAAAATTCCATGCAGGGACATTCTAGGGCACCGTGTATTGCCAACTTATTATGCTCTGACCACAGTCCCACTCCGTCAAAACGGATGGCACTACTACTCCTTCCGCATCATCCAACGCGACAAAACCTCGCCATAGATCCTGTCAAAGCCTGTTCCTGAGCCAAATAAGCCTCGCTAAGCTTTACGGCCCCGCTCTTATACGTCATAGTTTAGCCCTGTTCAGCCCTGTTCCAAGATCTGAGGCGTTTTAATGACACAATAATCATAGAACTAGCCTGTATACCCTTGCTTGATTACTGCAAAATGAGGCAAATCTTACAGGGCGCCCAAGTACTCTAGTCTAAGTGATATTGCTATGGGATTCGCGTTGACTTCGGCTTCGATTACACTGGCAAGCTAGAGGGAGAAAACTTGAAAAGGACACTGAGTGGAAGTGGCAAAGTTTTTGCAACAAAGATCTTAATCTGAGCGCGCTGACAATAGTTGTGATTGTTCCTTTCAGATCATGTGGGTCCATGACGACAGACAAGGGCAGGGTAGCGTACTAAGACTCGAAGTTGAGCAGATGAGGGCCATGATGGCCATAGTGATTATAGCACACGAAAACAATTCGTCCTAGAGGGAATTTCACGAAGTCTGATACTAAGCAGTACTATAATGATTAGGCCAGTGTCATTTGGTGGCTTCAGCGGCATAAAACGTGATTGTACCCGGCGCCGTGCTTTATTTAGACTTGCGTTGCTCGGGCGGTTCGATGACGTCGAGGCCCGTTGAGCCGGGACAAACCACATGGTACTTTAGGCATCCGCATTTGATGCTCATCCTGAACCAGTCAACTTTGCGAATTAATTAACGGCCGTAGCGCTCAAGTATATTTGTGCACAAGTCATAAACCCCACTTTTAGCTCCGCATTAGTAGCCCTATACGTCACTAGGGCTCGTCCGCAATAATGCTAGCATTAGATCATCTCGAGACTGCACTGCCAAACTACTATTTGTCCAAGCTATATCCATGAGACGGCTACTGATTGATTTCAGCTATCGGACTTACACCACTATCATAATCGCTTTACTTTGAAGTCGACCATACCTCATCATGATCACGGACAGGGTCTATAATTGGTGCAAACAGTCGGATACTGTCACTTCTGAACTGGCAAAAGATCCATCACAATGCCCGTGGAAAATTTTCAAAGATCTTTATGAGACCCACGATCATACTCCCCATCCCAAAAGATCCGTCGACTGTGTAAGCGCATCATCGGATGAATTGTCGTCTACACAGGAAAAAGATCAATTACAGAAAGCGCTTTCTTGCGGAAACTGGGGATCATCAGTGCCTAGCGAATTATTCCTGCAGGTGAGAATGAATCAGCCACCACCGATGCCGAAAATTCAACTTGAGCGAAGAATGGGCTGATCGGTCATAATATAGGTTTACCATGGCGCAATTGGCTCCTTGGAAAAGGGTCCATCCTCTGGAGTTGTTTCGCCTCCTTTACTAGGAAGCACTGGTGTTGTCCCCTTGACTATAGTTGCGCCTTTACCAGATCTTTGTCGACATCTTGCAAATTGTATCGCGCGAGCCAAACATGAAGTCTTCCTCGGCACAAACTTTTGGGTTCATTCGGACGCGTCGACCCTGGTTACCAATGCTATCCGAGAATTGTCCAAGAGAGCTGGACAGCGTGGTGAGAAAATTGTTATGAAGATGGTCTATGATAGGGGCAATCCAAGACAGGTTCGTTTATATCTTGTGGGTGGCCAGAATCCATACTCATAACCACACAGGCATGGGAAAACCGACTGAGAGTCCCAGAAGATCAATATTCGGTGGGGAAAGTCCGATTACCTGCCGCGGAGGAGATCCCCCACGTTGATCTACAAGTTATCAACTTTCACCGACCGATCTTTGGCACATTTCATGCCAAGTTTTCCGTCATTGACCGACGCATAGCTCTATTACAGAGCAGCAATATCCAAGACAATGATAATTTGGAAATGCTCTCTCATATCGAAGGACCAATCGTTGATTCGTTCTACGACGCAGCTCTCTTGTCATGGGGAAAGCCTCTGGATCCTCCTTTGCCGCTTCTGAACTCTCCTGCTATACATGCTCCAATCCCCTGCCATGAAGCTAGAAGTCCTGACCTGTCCTTGGCCAATGGAACTGAAATTTTTCCAGAACACTCAACAAGTTCGTCATACTATGATGTGAGCCTGGCGCAGGAGGCAAAACGTGTGAATAGTGGTGTTTATCTCAGGGGTGAAGAATCACCGACACAAGCGGTCACTCGCTATTTGAGTATGTGATTGAAATTTCATCTCCAAAAATCCCAACTGGATCCCTGCTAACGGAAGAATAGATACTACAATCCAGCCTGATACAACCGGGGATGCACCAAAAAGCGACCAAGAGGACAGAATGACACCCTACACAGTATTGCCCAGCCATGACCCAGTGCCCATGGCTTTGGTAAACAGAGAACCATATGGAGGTGAGTGAAGGAAGTTTTTCTATCCCTGTCTGCCCAAATTTTCCGCATTCTGGACCATTTACTGAATGTCTCCAAAGCTCCAAACCACAATAGCATCGATACTCCCCAGAACGGTGCCTGGTTATCCGCAATTAATCATGCGCAAAAATCTATCTTCATTCAAACACCCAACATGAATGCCGAGCCGTTGCTCGAGCCCCTTCTGAATGCTGTCCGCCGCGGCATCATTGTCACATGCTATTTGTGCTTGGGCTATAATGACGCAGGAGAGCTATTGCCTTTCCAGAATGGTACAAATGAAATGATCGCGAACAGGTTATACAATTCTCTTAATTCTGAAAAGGAAAAAGAGCGACTCCGCATATTCTACTATGTTGGCAAAGACCAAACAAGACCGATTCATAACTCGTTCAAAAAGCGAAGCTGCCACATTAAGTTGATGATAGTTGACGAGCAGATTGCTATACAAGGTGTGTACAAAGAATGATCTCTCTCTACCTGAACCGTTGTTGATAAAGCCTCTTTCCCAGGAAATGGAAACCTCGATACACAGTCTTTCTTTCACAGTCAAGAGATCAATGTTTTGATTGACTCGGCCTTGATTTGCAAGGAATGGCTTGGAATCCTTGACCGAAACCAGAATACTGCCAAGTACGGTGCTACCAGCATCGAGGATGGCTGCTGGCATGACCCTGATACGGGTGAAATTCCACCAGGGTCTATTGGTACTGATCCTGGAAGGCTCAGCTGGGCACGTGGCGTTATTGGTGCGGTAAAGAGGGTAAGAGGAGTCGGAGGTTTTTAAGATCCAGGTCCCGGTTAATCTTAGTACCACCTATCATTCATCGATGGAGGCCCCTGTAAGCAATGATCTGTGTTACTGCATATTTGCACATGAGCTGCCTCAGAGAACATGTTCATCGATATCGCGATAATGGACAAAGCGGGAGTCTCAATATACATATCGGAAGCTTTGGTTTTCTTTGTCCGTAAGACCTCCCCAAGCTGCCTCGTCGCTGATTGGGTCTTCACCACCATTTGAGTTTTGAAGGCGTTCTCGGCGTCTGTTCTCTTTGATATAGTAGGCGAATAGAACAACTGCTAAGACGGCTGCAGCTGCTTGAGTTGCAAGCACTGATATTTTCGCCGGTCTGTACTCGGGTGCGTCTCGATCCTGAAAGGTTTGTGGTCCGATAATGTTACCCACACAGAAAAACCCAGCGACCGCTGCACTTGCGAATGCACGCTTGGTGTACCCTGCACAGTTGGCTGCTACCCAATGATAGATAACCGGTAAAGGTGCCACAATCGCGTTGACCAAGTATATCCCAGCTAGAACACCGGCTCGATTGTCCTTGGGAAGGAAGGACATAAGCCCACCACCAATGATTCCAGGAATACTGCAAACGAAAACCCACGCCCATCGATTCGAGGCCTTACGAATACCGATACCGACAAGCAGTGTGAAGGAAATGCTTACAATACCAGATGGGGCATTGAGAAGGGCAGAGACTGGGCCACCGAAGCCAAAGCCTGCTATGAGGGTTGATGAATATGCAATGACCACCCCACTGGAAACGGCTTGCTGTAACAGCAGGGACGCTTGTTAGCTTTTTGTATCGTGATGGTATTTGTAATAGGAGGCAAGATATGGCATTGGAATGAATAACGTACCAAAGCAACCATCAAGCAGAATAGCCAGACTTGGACGTCTAAGACTGCTTCGAGAATTTGCCTAAAGTTGAATTTGCTGTTGCGAATACCAGTTTGATTGATCCGGGTGTGTTGCAAAAGTGCCACTTTTTCGTCGTCGGATAGCCACTTGGCCTGCATTGGCGTGTCAGGGAGACAGAAAAGCGTACTGAAGCCGACGAGCACTGTTATCAGTCCCATGACCAGAAACATGATCCGCCAACTAGCGAATTTGCTGTGGACATGTTGGAAACCGAACGATATAACCCCGCCAATGATCTGTGCTACTCCCAGACCCAAGAACCAAAACGTGAATCTTGGTGCTTGCTCAGACTTGGTGTAGTATTGACTGCTGATCAACATGAGCGACGGCCCAACTGTGGCCTCGAATATACCCAGAAATATTCTTGCGACAAGAAGCGTTGTGTAATCCTTGGCTCCAGCGGCAGCGGTAGCGGCAATACCCCAACAGATCACATTGAAACCAAGCCATTTTGCCGGAGGAATCTTTTGAAGGAAATATACTAGATTAATGAGTTGTCAGAATCACTTGAGAGACCGGGACGCACGGGATCCTTACCATTGGGAACTTCTGTGACTAGATACGCAATGAAGAAGGCGCTTGCTGCGTTACTAAAGTCATTTCCTTTGAGTTTGAGATCGGCTTTCATTCCCATAACGCCTGCATACTAGAAGGACAGGAAGTTAGCGTAATTTTCATCTTTTCGTTCCTTTGGTCGGGAAATTATGAATCTCACGTTGTACATAACCTTATCGATGAACTGCAAGAAGTAACAGCAGAACATGAACGGCAGGATCCTCCGATCAACTTTGTGACGAATATCCGCCAGACCCCGTGGTGAGCTCCCAGTATCGCCTTGTTGGTTGAGAAAATTTAAAGCATCATCGGCGGCGGTAATACATGCTACCGGATTTGTATTCGATACTGATTCTTTAGTTTCGGACATGGGTGCGGGTTTGCAGTGCGATGATTCAATAGAACAGAGACATGGGGGCTTAGAAGGAAAAATTGATTATGGAGAATGGCCAAGGGACCCCGGGTAAGCTTGCGATAGACTGAGAATTTGTTGGAACCAAAGGCCAGGAAGAGGGGGTTTTCAAATGAAAGCAATGGAACCCAGCCAAAGCAGAAGCGAGACACGCACCGATGTAACCAATGTCAACTACGCAGGGCCAAGGGAGGCCAAGAATCGCCTTGACAGATTAAAATGTTCTAATATTCTTGATTTGGTGGCATTTATGCATGATCCTAGCCAGGGTCGCACTGGCATGAAAATTGAGTTTGGCACGCCTGACTCGCCTAGTCCACAGTTTACCTCAGTAGAACCTAGCGCAAGCAGGCTCACAATAAATATTCAAGGTAGCAGGCATAGTTCTCCCGCGATTAAATTTATGGAAATTGTCGACGGGACAAGTCGAGAGTTTTCCTGGAAGCCTTTAGTAGAGGATATCCAATGCACTGTTGTGACGAGAGAAGAATACTGCTTATACAGTTGGTCACTACTTAGCAAATCCTAGGCCGTTGGTATAGAGTTATCTAGTTCCTAAACGGTCAATAAATTCGTTAAGTTAACGTCAAACTTGGAACAGCTGATGACTGATCTGATTGACTGGCTTTTTCCACGATCTTCATTGACTACGAACAAACATTCCGACACAGCGCAATGTGAGTATCCGTTGAGGAAAGATCGGCCTAGCCGAGGCTGAAGATGCCAAGAAGTCAGTCCAGCCAGACATGATCCATCTTCCTATAGCTACAGCGCCGACTGCCATGACAATGCATAACGTAAATGGCTAGATGAGTTATCCTCAAAGGTCGGGTATGCCTAGATGTGGTAAGAAGGTTGGTTGAAGAGCTGAGAGCCTACAAAGTGGTGAAATTCCATGATAATACCAGACACTATATTCAAGTCTATACACAATGGTTACTAAACAGCTACCCAAAGGGGCATCAATAACTATTGCGGCGAGAGAAGGTTGAAAATCCCAATTCTTCTAAGTTCGACGTCGAGTACCGCAATATGCATTTCGGCATAATCTTTATCCATTCTCAAGCCCTCTGGAGTGATATACTAGGGAAATGTAGGAAACAAGATTCAACGAGTGTATTAATCCTTTGCAAAGCTTCGTAACCACCTTAGCTTCCACTCAGTAAAGACCGAATATATTCAAACTCTCCTTTCCAGAACCCGTAAAAAAGAGAATAGCAAGTTGCTCCGTAAAAAGTCAGCACAGTTAGGCATGGTTGATGCCATCATTTTCACCACCCTCTCCAGCCACCTCCCCAGCCGGGATGTCCCCAACCACCACCCCAGCCGGGTCCCCAATTATTATTCTGGTTATTGTTCTGATCCTCATCTCCACGTCTCATAATCTCAGGGCCTGAATAACTTAATTAGCCATTGTGAGGCTTAATCGTTAACCGATTAATCTCACACTTACCGGGCGGCATATCAGGTGCTGGAGCAGCAAGAGTTGCCCCTGCAAAACCAACTAAAATTGCCAGATAGTTGAGATGCATGTTGCTCCTGATTCTTTCTGTGGGTGAACTTATAGTCTTCGGTTAATGTAAGAACAAATAGGATGAGTGGGTAAGAGAGAGTCTGACCACACTGGCCTTCAAAGGGTTGATGCGTTTTTATATCTGCGTTTTCCAAAGGTGCTGGCGGATATCAGCTCATTTTATACCCATGGATTTCACTTCTAAAAATGTTTGTAAAGTGGCAAGATTTGCCAAGAAGAATTGAATATTCTCCGATTGCTTTAAAATGACGATCCGTCATACAAGCCAATTCCCATGCCTGGATATGTTCACGGGGAATTGGGGTGTAATTCCGCGAGCTTGCGTCAAAGCGTGCCTCATGTATATAAACCTCACACGTTCATCTCTGCTGATGGTCAGATATTATATTCGTAGGTCACAGCCCTGTCACGCTGTAAGGATTGTTGTGCGCACGTCAACAACCGAGTCCAAAAACTACAAATGAAGGATGGGGATATTCCTGGACGTGATCGATTTATTTTCTGGGTTATGTGTGACAAACATGCCCTCGAAGCTAATTCTATGTGTCCATCTTTCGCAAGAAACAGGTAATGTGTATCGAGGAATTGGCTTAACTGTGTGATAATGATGCTTTGATAATTATAGCCAAAATGGGCGGACGAAGAACATCCAAGGTAGGTTTCATTTGAGTCGCCAAGCGTCAGCATTTCAACTCCAGCTGGACCAGATATAAAAAATCTTAATGCATTAGTACAGAAAACGGAATATCATGACATTCTTACATGGTTTCATGCAGCAAAAGAAGAGACAGAGTTGTCATTGGGGCTCGTTCTATTCAATATCACTCAACGCATCCTCATCTTGAAGCTTTGTCATGATACATTCGGAAGATATATCAGTACAATCCAATGAAAGCCAATCCTGCCCTCCGAAATCGACGACGTCAGGTAGTGAAGGCGTTGAAAAAGGCTTGGTTCAGCTCGGGAGCCGGTCCAGTTGGCTAGGTATGTATCTCTTGACAAAGTTTGTTGGCTAATGAGGCGTTGGGCCCCCACTAGTATATCCATGTTTTTGAGCTTCCATGGGGTTTTCCTGGCAATGCCAGAGAGCTGTCAATGGCGTGACAGAGACCCTATATGAGCATGCGATTGTGAAACTAGAGCTAGATCTGAATTATGTCCTATTATTGAATTAGAAGTTGTTGCATGCTTCACGCAAGATATTCCAAGAGTCGACATGTAGTTGTGTATTACAATGGCCAGATTCTGCGTGGTAGATCTCATGCCCAAAGGAGGAATACATGTCACTTTCTCACGCGTTGAACAATGTAATGTGCGAATTGAATTTCGAGACTCGTAGGTCGCGGCTACCTCATCAGCCTTAAGTTAACATTAAGAGGATGTTGTTCATTTTCAAAAATGTACTTGTTCTAGATGTAAATTTGTCTCAAGGATTGCACTGGAAGGTGATGCTCGGTAGATAATTTTGGGCGAGCACCTCGCTGATGATATCTCTTGTCAGTGATCATGCTCTACTCATCATGTTATCCTTGATGAACTGTGTTAACAAATGGAGATTCTGGGCATTATCGAGAATTGCGTCTTTAAAAATCGGATTGCCAAGACTGACAATCAACCCTGAAACTTTGAAAGAGCCTCGAAGAAACCCCTCAAAAGCACCACTTTTGGGGGGCCAAAAGAGGCGCGACCAATTAGCACCATTTGCGACCGAGCACTGGGCGGGAAATGTGGAGAGTGGCCGGATGATCCTGGCTATCATTATGAATTACCTCACGCCAAATTTATGAGGATTTTGATATCAGCAATATTTCAATGTCGCATCTTTTGTTGTTCTTTTGGGACCACCTACGTGAGTCACGGTAGGTATGTGGTTAAGTAATCAACTGTCCGAGGCAGACTTAACAGAGTATGTACATACCTTGTCAGAACAACAAATGACCCCCGAGCCTCGTTTGGCACCCGATGATCCACATGAAACTCGCGGTGCGTTGAGTTGCAGCGATCATCAACTCAGACTATTACGATGATTGGAGATTTTCACCTCTACTTCTGTGGATATTTCATTATGGATGAACAGACGTCTCCTCTCCCGCACGAAAGACTACTACAACAGCAGCCAAAAAAACACGACTTTTCTGTGTCGCGTCGCTCTCAGCTCAACCGTCGCGATCGTCGGGAGGCCCGTGTTTGTGCCGCCGCCGACTATCATCATACCTGATGGCTTCTGTGTTTCATCATCTGCAATTTTGCGCTGTAGGGAAGTGGAGCCATTATCGGACGGATTCGCGCCCCCGGGCGGCGCTTATGACCCTGTACACTCCCCCAGTAGGCGAAAAGCATCCTGGCTTCTTAATGGAAAACCTGCCCATCTTCAGTCTCTTGAAATAAAAATCTCTCTGGAATCGTATTGCTTATAACGAGCCCGAATTCTACTCGTGACATGAGAGCATCCAGTTTTGCTCCTGCTGCACGCCGTCCGAGCGCGACATTCTCCCCATACGGCTAGACTTGGTTATTGTGGGAGCTGCAAATCCGTCTGTCTCGCAAGAAGTGGAAGCAAAAGAAGAGAGCCAAAGACATAAGAAGAATCATCTAGCAAGATGGCACCACCCTCAGTCAGTGACTGTTCGCAACATGGGGACTTGGCCATAACTAGAACCTCATCGGTCTCGTCAATCCACCGCCTCTCAGAGGAACGTGACCCGGCCACCGACACACGCGAGTCTTTCAATTATACCTTCCAGCCCTTATTCAACGAAGGTCCAAATTCGCCGACTGCGTCCAAAATCAACGAAAAGAAGCCCTTCGACTGGAATGGATCCTGGGCATGGGAAACGGGTGGTTCTGCCTTAGGAATCATCTCCCTTGCCCTTCTTGTTGCATTCCTCGCCAAAATAGATGGGACTGCCTACGATCGCTGGCAATATTCAATCTCGCCCAACACAGTCGTCTCCGTTATCACCACCATTGGCAAAGCGGCGATATTGGTTCCTGTCTCGGCATGTCTAAGCCAGCTGAAATGGAATCGATATCGAAGGGTCAATCGTTTGTCCGACTTACAGGCTCTAGACGAAGCCAGCCGTGGCGCATGGGGATCGACCGTATTGTTTTGGTCGATGACACCTAGTTTGGCCACTGTTGGAGCATTGCTGACCGTACTGGCGGTCGCGATCGATCCTTTCTCTCAGCAGATTATCACCATCCACTCGCGTAATGCTTTGGCACCAAACGGGACGGCCTATGTGCAAATGGCTCGCGGCTACAATTTAAACTCGGACGAGCAAAAGTCACCAACTATGCAAATCGCAGTACTCAGTGGGTTGTTTCAAACCAATGCAGCCCTAAACCCGCACTGCGATTCGGACTATCACTGCGAGTACCCAGAGTTTGTGACACTGGGGATCTGCAGCAAGTGTGAAGACGTCACTCAGGAGACGAATCAAACCTGCAAGACGTCACCAGAAACAGCCGCCATCAACTATCTAGGCTCTGGGTGGGACAATATGCGTACCAATTGCACTTATCAATCACCCAGCGGATTCGATGTAGATCTCGCAGATGTTACTTTGAGCATGAACAACGGACGAACTTTGACCTATTTGCAAGCGAAATCTTCGATTGTGCTGAACACCACCATCACGAGTGCCGTTGGAATCGAAAGCCCGCTTATTGCGATTCTGAGCTTGATTGATAACAACAAAACCTACTACTCGCATCAGAATCACACAAAATCGCCAAATAAGCCCGATATGACGGAATGCGCGGTATATTGGTGCGAGCAGGAATTCCCAACGGCAAGCACACGTCGAGCATACCAGCCCAGCAGGACCCAGCCTTTGATTCCCGTCGACCCTGTGGTGACGCAGGGGACAGTCATCGGACATGATCAACCATATCTGGCTGCCCCATCGGGACTGCACACTCTCTCTGAGAATTCTTCCTACCCGATCAACCATACTACCTACACTACCTTGACCTCCGATATATCCACCATCCTCACATCGGATTCGGATTCTGCAAAAATCTTTGGAACGGAGAATCTCGTGACTCGAAATATCACGGACATTCTTTCATCTCTCGCTACCAGCATGACGGATGTCATTCGTTCCGACCCAGACACAAGCATCCCTGTCGCTGGCAATGCCTATTACTCACAAAACTTTATTCATGTCCGATGGCCGTGGATTATTCTTCCCGTCTTCGTCGGAGTGATGTCAACAGCTTTTCTTATTATCACCGCAGTCTCAAGTCGGAAAGCGGTTCTTTGGAAGACATCTCTGTTGCCTTTGCTTGTTGGGCGGCTTGAGGTACAGCCATCCCATGCGTTGTCGACAATGGGAAGCGTAGACGAGATGGGACGAAAGTCTAAAAGCGTTCGAGTCTACTTAGAGCATGACCCTGGGTTGACATTTGTTGAAGATACAATTCCAAGGAGATAGTCTTGCGCTACGGCTGCAAGATATTCGACCTGTGGGACGGAATGACTGCGAGAATTGAGCGCAATATCGAATTACAATGATTCCTAGGCTTGAGCCTCAATTTATCTTCATTATATAATTCCAGCTCTGCACGAGCCGATGTCTTTTTGTAGTGAGTCAGCGGCAGTCTATCACACCAGGGGCTCCACTGCATGATGTTACCAAAGCATTACTTAGAAGGTAGGAAGTACTGGTGTGACAGGTTCCTGAGACTATACAGAGAGACAGGCAGTTTCGGTAATGGTTTCACGCATCTAGAGGGGAAACCATGAATTTCCCCTTAATCTTTACTGATCTAAACGACGAGGGTAAAAATATTACCCTTGGCTCTAGTATCCATGACAATACGGCCGAATATTGCATCGAGCACCAACAACGAGATTCTTCGAAAAAGAAAAAAGCATCTATAAGTAGGCTTCTGAATCCCCAAAATTAATTTCTAAAGCTTAAGTAAACTCTTGTCAATGAGCACAGCTAGCTAAAAATTCCAATTATTTCGGGTAGTCGTTGGTGGAAAAGAGAGTCATCCAGTGTGTGATGGCCTCACTTCGGAAGTCATCCTTCTGAACACGGCATAGCTCGGTTGCATTGACGTCGAAAAAAATAGTTTCCGGATTATTGAGGCTGTACTTGGGCCACGACACGGTTCCATTCACTGACCGATCATTAGCGAGAAGCGTGACATGAGGATGCAGGGTCAAACTTACTCGGAACATTGTTTTGGGCTCAGAGTATTGACGAAACTGATCAGTATGCTCGTCATCAAATAGTTCAGTGGCTCGAATGTCTTTTTCTGAACGGCCTGGTCGGTAGGACTGAGAGACTCGGAGAGAGTGACGTTATGGAAGAAAAATGCAATGTCCTGTTGCTGAGACCCTTGTTTCCACCATTTGGCATGGAAGAGGACGTCGTAGATATATGAGTAGACGTCAACACCATGATAGGCCCCCTACGAGGTCAAATATCAGTATCGGCAACTCGCGAAAGAAAAATGAACAGCCACTAGGGTGCTAAGTCACGCCAGTGCCGGGGTTTAATCGGCTTATCATAGTGGAGTTTATCGGATTGGCCTTCTGTACAAGGGTAGTGTTGAGGAAGAGACTTACTGCTTCACTGGCTAGTCGACGGCCAGCCTGCATGACCTTGGCGCCATTGTATGCGCTTGATCGTTTCCATTGAAGGCCCAACCCGGTATCACTGCTTGGCCGTCCGTTCAGCGTTGATGGGATGCCCTGAGCTGGATCATCAGGATAGAGACGTGCGATTGTTTGTGCGGTCGCTTTGCTGATACCATCGTACATTACCATGTCCAGGAAATCACCATCGACTACCGGGTTAGGATGGTTCAATATGGTAAGATCACTGCTGAAGACCCCAGAAAGTGTTTTGGCATCGACACTGCGAAGGCAGGCCAAGGAATCAGCAGTATTTGTGCAGTTGGCCGCGTTCAAAAAGTCATTATAGAGTGGTTGCCACTCATCCGCCGTGACTGATATCCACTTAAGGGTCGGACTGCCACTCTGCGCAACGGCACCACGGAAACGACCATCATCACGGCCACCATATGCGAGGAGCTGTACACCGACACTATATGCTCCGGCCTCTTGATCCCAGATGATGACATTAGTAGGGTCACCTCCGAAAGCCTCAATGTTCTCCTGAATCCAACGCAGAGCCAGACGCTGATCCTTCAAACCAAGATTTGCAACACCTTCATTGGCAACTTCGTTTCCGTACAGGAAGCCACCAGTAGCTCAGGCAATAATTCAGAGTGACACTGATGAAATCCTGTTCGTTTTGGACCGCGACTTGGAGAAGAGACGTCATGTTGTATCGGGGATCACGACCCGAGCCGTGCTTGAAGAGACCTCCATGGATGTACACAGCGACTGGAAGGCGCTTGGTAGTCGACACATTCGAAGGGCTGTAGACGTTGAGAGTCAGACATTCCTCAGAGACATACTCTCCAAGGATCTGCTGCGTAGGTCCGTAACGGTAACAAATGTAACCGAGCTCCGTAGCATTCTTCTCGCCGGTCCATGACGTGGTCAATGATCGTGGATTGCGGAAGCGAAGATCGCCTATCGGAGGCTTCACATAACGGGATACCTTAGAAATAGTCTTGGTACCATCCCGGAGCGTGAACTAATCTTTCATGTCAATGACTGGTCTCTGTCGAAGCAAGAAAATGGTATGAAGTGTGAATAGCAGAAAGAAAGTCCAATGGTGTCCCTTCTCCATTGGGAAATGCATGGCGAGATAAAGTGAGGACCTTTCAACGCAATATTGTAAGTGAATGAAACCAGTAGACATACTGCTGTAATAAGTCCCATTCCTGGTCTTCGCTACGGGGACAGTGTCGTGCGTAAGGCACGTACTAATGAAGTTTGACGGCGCCCACGGCACTGCTGGCACAGGAAGCGAAGAGAGAGAGGGAGACTGAGTCAAATTGGTCTATCTAGAACAGGAAGACGAAGACGACTAGGAATGGAAGAAGAAGCAGAAGGGAACAGAACAGGGTCTATAAGGCCCTGAATAACAAAGGAAAAGAACAAGGCCTGGTACTGACAGGAAAACCCCGGCCTGCTTCATGCAGGGCCAAAGAAGACGACAAACCCTGCAAACCCTATCGAGGTCAAAGGGATCGAGTCATCAAAGTTTGTGATTGCCATATTCCTACGACCCAGTATGACATCAAATTGATCATGGCCAAGACAGGCCAAGATTCCATCTTTGAGTGCAAACATCAAATGCAGGGAGGTAGTGGGTCATTCGTGGGCCGGAAGTCACGGACGGGTCTCTTTTACACCTCAGCGATCTTATTTTCATTTTTGATGACTCCAGAATTGACCCCCACGGGAGAAATAACGCAATTTCTAGCGTCCAAGAAGGCTTGAAAAAGGGGTTGCAATCGACCCTGCCTTGCCAGCAAGGATCGAAGCAGGAATTCAAAATGATTTGCATCGTCGTCAAGTTGTATCCACCTCGGCTACATTAGCACTGGAAGATTTGAATCGTCAAATTAAGCTGTCGACCAATCACAGATATAACCGGCTCTTCACAGAAGCTGGGGAATTCAGCTGCACCCTTACTAGAATAGGAAATCACGGTCCACTTAGTCAGTTTATACTTCACTGTGGACCTATGGAATTTTGAAAAGCATGGAGCGAGATGGCCCGCGTGGCTCTCTCGTTGCAGCCTAATTCTAGGTATCAATATTGCCTTGATCCAAGCTCAGATCCCCCGCACAGCATCGCGAAGCTATGGCTGTGTTACCAGGTGATGGTAGCCATGCATTGTTGTTACAGAGAAGTGCAAATCTAGCTTCACCAATTTACACTCACTCGTTCTCTCTGAGCCCCACCGCCAAGGCGCTAGGCTAGGGAATGGGTGTGTCTAAATGGGCCTCTACATTACGGCATGAGTATTCTGCTTCACGTAATAACGGATCGTCAAAATACAGACGTCTTGCAATCCCTACGAACAAGCGAGATCTTTCACTCTCGCCGCCGAAATCTAATAGCAGGGATGTCTGAGATTCCACATCTTACGTTCCAATTCCACCGTGCCAATGTTAGGACGCTAGCCTGAAAAACCGGGGTGTTTTTCCCCTTCGGCTAGCATAGGCTGTACGGTGTACAGGATCTGGATCTCATGAAACTTGGTGGAAGGTACCTTTGATATTGAGGAGCTTATCAATCCCATTGCTATCCCACGCCCTTTAATCAAAATATAGAGATGGAATCAAATGACGATAATTATTGAAAGTTGCTATATATGGAATCGAATAAAAGAAACCCGCCCAGATTTATGTCCCAAAGCAAGTGAATTCTCATGAATCGTAAAACAACTAGGCCGAAAGTCAGGAGGAAGCCATAGTAAATTCTCGCCGTTCAGGTTTATCCACTGTCCTTCTTCAATGAAAATTGTCAGACTTTCACATGTAGATGGTAAAGCCTGGGTTTTGCGCCCAGACTGGACATCGAGTGCACCTATGTTGGTGATTAGATATGAACCATCTTGAGAGAATTCAAGCTTGTCGACAGTTCTATCTCTGTTAAATATCTCTTGCAGATCACCTGTTGCCATGTCCCAGAGCCGCACTGTCTGATCGTAAGAGCTAGACGCCAGCAGCGACCCGCTTGGTGAGAAGGCCACCGAGGTAACCCAGTTTGAATGACCCTCCAGGATCTGCTGCAGCGCGCCAGTCCCCGTATCCCAGAGACGTACAGTGTGGTCACCCGAGCCTGACGCTAGTAGCCGGCCATTAGGCGAGAAGGCCACCGAATTGACTGAGTGCGAATGGCCCTCGAGAGTTTGCTGCAGCGCGCCGGTCGCTGTGTCCCAGAGGCGCACTGTGTGATCGCCCGAGCCGGATGCTAGCAGCCGGCTGTTAGGCGAAAAGATCACTGAGTAAACGGGGTCTAAATGGCCCCTAAGAGTCTGCTGCACACTACCCGTCGCCGTGTCCCACAATCGCACAGTGCTATCCCAAGAGCCGGACGCTAGCAGCCGGCCATCGGGCGAGAAGACCACTGAGTTAACTAAGTGTGAATGACCCTCGAGAACTTGCTGTACTGCGCCTGTTGCCGCATCCCAGAGCCGCACAGTACTATCGTGAGAGCTGGATGCCAGTAGCAGGCCGTCGGGCGAGAAAGCCACCGACGAAACTGAGTTTGAATGGCCCTCGGGTGTCTGCTGCACGCTGCCTGTTGCTATGTCCCAGAACCGCACAGTGCAATCGCCCGAGCCGGACACTAGTAGCTGTCCACTGGGTGAGAATGCTATAGAGCGGACCGAATGTGTATGGCCCTCGAGAGTTTGTAGCACGCTGTTTGTCGCCGTGTCCCAAAGCCTTACTGTGTGATCGCCCGAACCGGATGCCAGCAGCCGACCGTCAGGCGAGAAGGCTACTGACTTGACAGAGCGTGAATGCCCTATAAAGGTCTGCTGCCCGCCGCCTGTCTCTGTATTCCAGAGCCTTATAGCTTTATCGTAAGCGCCGGACGCCAGCAGCTGGCCGTTAGGCGAGAATGTCACCGAATTGACCGAGTCCATATGGCCCTCGAGGATCTTCTGTAGGCTGCCCGTCGTCGTGTCCCAGAGCCGCACAGTGTAGTCCCAAGACCCGGACGCTAGCAGCAGGCCGTCGGGTGAGAACGCTACTGACGAAACCGTAGCTGAATGGCCCTCGAGGGTCTGCTGTAGGCTACCTGTACCTGTGTCCCAGAGTCGCACAGTGTGGTCGCCCGAGCTGGATGCTAGCAGCCGGCCGTCGGGTGAGAACTCCACTGACGAAACGGTAGCTGAATGGCCCTCGAGGGTCTGCTGTACGCTACCTGTAGCCGTGTCCCAGAGTCGCACAGTGTGGTCGCCCGAGCCGGATGCTAGTAATCGCCCGCTAGGCGAGAAGGCCACCGAGGTAACCAAGCGTGAATGACCTTCGAGAGTCTGCTGCACGGCGCCTGTGGCCGTGCCCCAGAGCCGCACGGTGGTATCATTAGAGCCGGAGGCTAGCAGCCGGCCGTCGGGCGAGAATGCAACCGAGGTAACCCAGTTTGAATGGCCCTCAAGAGCCTGACGTTCTGCATTCCATCGTTCATTAACTTGTGGGAACTGGCATATCAACCCTGGAAGCTCCGACTGGAACTCTCTACGGATTAATGCCGTTCGTGGTGCGAATACTAGCCCTGCGCAATAAATTTGAAGTGGTGCTTCATCGGCGATTTGGCAATTTTTCAGAACGAAACGTGTTGCATCAAGTAGAAAATCAGATAATAAAAACCTTCCATCTCCCTATTCCTGTTAATGCAAACCATAGATAGCTGCCTGGCATATTACTTACTGGTAGAATCGTGTAGAGGTGACTAAGCATACTCACCAACTCAGGAAGGAGACCCAACAGACTCATCGCCTCTACCCAGTGCAAAAAATGCTCTTGGAGGAACACTAGTATATTTTCCAACTCGAGAGGCAAAGCCTGACTTTGCTCGAGGTGGTGTATCCAGTAGCGACAAGAGTATTGCAATTCGAATGGTAAACACCGGCGGATATGTCGAGGGTTAATAGCCACCCGACACTTTCCAGGGCTTGCTAAATTGCAGATATTTCTCCGTAGATAGGACCGCATAGTTGCAAGACAAGAACTAGCAACTTCTTTATGCGTTTTTGGCTCATCCACATGGAAATCGCTCTTGGAATTCACTAAGAAGTCCCGAAATGATAGATGCAGAATCCTAACGGGCTGATCCCAGTCATCGGGAACGCTCAAAACGGATCGGAAAAAATGCAATAGATTGCTGATCCGGTCGGTCTCTATCCCCAGAAATGGCGATAGAGTATTCATTGAAAGCGGATAAGCTAGAAGGATGATAACACCGACTATTTTCTGGAAATCTTGCACTAGCTGCTGCTGCTCCGATTCGTCACTATGCTGATCGTCTAACAGTCGGGACAGGATTGGTAGGTAAGTCTTGTCCATTCGCGATATATATTTGGTTTGGCCTGTGAGAAGCTCTTCCAGGCGCAGTTTGGGCTCACATTTAGAATCTTCGATATAACGGCAAACTGTGGCAGCTGAGATGAACAGTGGAACGGACATTGTCGCAATTTGTTGGATAATATCACCTCCGGGCCAATCTCCAGGAATTTTTCTGTCATGTTTGATCTTTTCAAACCGATTCTGTAGAAATAGCCGTATATCGTGTTCTGTAACTTCATCGGGTATCTCATGAAGAGCTAGATCCTGATATTCCTGATCCGCGATCTCAGAAAAGCCGAGGCTGATTGGGAGTTCAGGCCTGCTAGTCAAGAAGATACGAAGCCGAATTGCTTTCGCCCTCTGTAGACCAGGTAAGAGTCGAATTATGGTGCGGATATCTTGATCGTGGTCACACTCGTCTAGAGCATCGATCACGATTACAGCGGCCTGAGGCTGTCGGCCGAGTTGGTCGAGGTTAAGCAGCGGTTGGAGGAGTAGTTGTTCGAATTGCTCCGCGAGCGATTTTGACGTGATGTCAGGATCATGATCGAGGGCCGCTTGCACACCAGACCTCAGCTTAGGGATCCTAAGCATTAGTTGCCGTGTTAATGTCGGGAAAAATTTCTTCGCGTTCCCTCGGTCCCCTTCACCTCTCTTAAAGAAGAAGCTGGCGCCTAGATGGTTTGTGTCCTTAAGAAATCTTGCCACAGTCCGGGATATTGTAGATTTTCCTGTCCCAGCCATTCCTTTTAACCAGAATATGCTTTTTTGAGACGGCGACATAGCCCATTCCTTTATCTGCTGGAGCAGTTCTGTCCTAGTACCTTCGAGACATTGAACTTCATCTCGATCCGAGAATGATTCAAACCCCGCCTCGATCGCGCCTTCCAGCTTCGTAAGATCCATATGTTGATTCAAGCGATCGGTATTCTGAGCCATACTGACTATCAGAGAACTGTGCAGCCCCGGGGTCAGTTATACAGTGTCATCTGATTATGCTTAAACGTACCTCTGATCCACCTGCAGAGATAAGAGGAATAATGATTTATATCTCTCGAGGTTCTTAATAGCGCCCTCTACCTCCGTGCGTTTTAAGGGCCATTTTAAAGCCCGTAAACCCACTGTCTTCATCAACTTCTTTCCCTTCCCTGGATTGAGTCTCGCTTCCAAGGCCTCGAGGTCGGAGAGGCAACTGATAATGTTATTGACTAGCCCTGAGGAGGTGGCCATCCGGTCGTTATTCTGAAGCAATTTATGCAGATCTTGAAGTGTGCCTTGGAGGCCTGCGATCACCTGTTGTAGGGTGAAAATTTCGCCCCGTGCATCTTTAATCTCTTGAATGTACCCCCCACAAAGCTTCACAATGGTCCCTGCCAATTGAATAACCGCGATAATGCTCGCCGCCGAGGATATAGCATCCATTTGAAAGAACGCAGCATGAAAGCGTATATTTCAACGGGGATAGGTACGCTTGCGGCTGGAGTGTAAAATTTCAGGACCGTGATCCAATTGTAAGGATTTTTGGACAGATGGTGAGGGGTAACTTGGACGCTAGGCGGGTGGGCTGTAATCTACAAGGCACGTGGAGGGTATAGGATAGGCCAGTATTAATTAACGGCTCGATAGTCGGCCCGAACCGTACCAGACCCAGCCCGCTGTCATGTGCCCTTGGCCACCTCCTCAAACTTATTCGGTTCACAATGAGATAAAGACCATCATGGTTCCTCGACTCGCCCCCTCGTAGCGGGTGATGATCCGCGACATGATCAACAGCAAATCGCTAACTACCTCTCAGATGGCAGAAGTAGCTGGCTGCAGTAAATGTTCGATGATAACCATCAGTAACAGCCCTGGTGGCCGTCCTCGAATATTTAGGCACGCTCGAAGCATATGATCACTTGCTGGAGAAACCGGTATTGTACTTGGACGGAATGGCAGACATTCTATATAATGGATTCGGACTGCTCGTATCACATACACTATCGGCCGAGCCCTTCGATCGCAGGGTTGGACCAAAACGGTGGCTAGGCGAGTAGCACAGGAACGAAATACGGATTTGAGAGACCATTATTCGCATCAGTTCTCAGACTTTTGCTCGTACTACCTGGTCTTCATAGTTGATTCGGGATGTGATAAAAACAGGCGGGCTGCAGGAGAACCGGCTAGTCTCCACGAGGGGTGTTACCTGTCCAATCTTCCCGTTTCCAACGTGGTCAGCGGTATCAGATTCTTCCGGCATATTGTTAAGATGGTATTTTGATGTCGCGAACCTTCCAGGGATCAAATGCCGGTGTCGAGCTGTTGTACTTACCACCATACTCACCTGATCTAAACCTGATCGAATTTTCCTTTGTGGAGCTTAAAGCATTCGTAAGAGCATTCATAAGACGAAATTGGCAACATTAAGAAATCAAGTTTTCAAAGATTTTCTTGAATGGAGATTGGATTTCGTCGGAGCGAAGAGAGAATGTGCAGAGGGTCGTTCCGACATGCGAAGGTAGATGAGGAATCAAATCAGAGATACATGCCGAGGGGCAGGTCTTTGGCTATTGTCCAGCAGGTGAAAGTTTCATTGATCTAGAATTCGTGTATAAAATAACGTTCCACAACGTGTAGAAGGTCAAGATTTTTGGCTGATATCTTTAGCAGCGAAAGCGATTTGTGTCTGTCCTCTTCTCCCCCAAAATTGCAAGCCATTTTCGCTTCACAATCTGTGGCCATATTGGGCTAAGCAAAATGGTCATGACGTAATGTGCACTGGATCATTTCACTACACCCAGTTTCTAAACTAGCGGCTTGGCAGTGGAGCTCAGAAAGAGTGAATGAGTGTAAGTTGGTGAAGCTGGATTTGCACTTTTTCTGTACTGTGCGGGCGTACACCGCAATTATGAACTCGGCACGTATTATCGGCAGCATGCTCTTATAGATGGTGACCTAGCAATGAACAAGATAATTCCTGGTGGGTGTAATGGCAAGCAAGTTCAACACTTTATTTATTGGCCCTCAAGTATAAGTTCAAGCTGTTTTTACACTCCTGAAGGCCCTGCACTTTTCGAACACTCGCATTTTCTGTGTGCGCTCCAAGATCGACAGATTCGTGTCTTCGTTACGCTTTCATCCCATTGCAGGCCTTAGTATCGACTATCAAACGCAGGATAAATATGTTGTTGTCATCGATGAGGCCGGCCCTGTTGGGACTCGCTACCACGTCTCTCGCTGGGTCATCATCCAAGCAGACTCATGGACATAGCAAACAGGAGTTTGCCATTGAGGACATCTGTACCAGTCTCACTCATCGGAAGTCGGTACGTATACTATGCATCCAGGGCGCTCTTTAGATCCTCGTTGGACGAAAGAACTGACAGTTTCCTTAAGTGGAACGCTCTTACTGTCAAGGAGCGGCACGAGTACATCGAAGCAGGGCTTTGCATCGTGTAGCATCCTCCAGTGACTGGATTAGTCCAAAATGCGACCTGTGTCTGGGATGAGATTGCAAATATCCACATATCACAGGGAAATGACATCCATAAGTCGATCCACCGATCCATTTTCTCAAGGAGGAAGTTGCCCTCTCCCCTCCATCGCAGCCCGTGCCAGGGTGCTTGTACCAGGCATCATGAGGTTCACTTGAATATCACCAAATAAAGACGGACTTAATGTGTTAGATTATGTTGGACAGTTCCTTCCCTGGCATAGGTACAGCGTTCGGATGCACGAGTTAGCGCTACAGAAGCTTTGCAACTACAAAGGTGCCCACCCATACCGGGACGAGCTCACCGACTATACCAATGAGGATGTCAGCCAGTCGCCTGTCTTTGATTCGATCACCGGGTTTGGAGGCAATGGTACCGGCGCCGACTCTTGTGTCGGTGACGGGCCTTTCAAAAACATCAAACTACACATGGGCAATCGTCACGCTCGAGGCGACGAATTCTGCTTGTCTAGGGGCTTGGATCAAATCAGCTTTGCGGAGGGTGCAGCCGCGAATGTTGAGGAGTGCTTTGGTTTCCAAGATTATACGGATACATGATAGGTTCTTATGCCCCTCTTTTGACTAGAGAAGGGACTGCAACCTTGTACAGTGTGCTGAGTGAATATATACTGATTCTAATCTCAATACTCAGGCAATGCTACAATGGTTACCCACACGGTACAGGGCATGGAGCAACCGGCGGACTCATGAAAGATCCGATCGATAGCTGCAACGATGCACTGTTCTTCATGCACCATGCATATCTCGACAAGCTCTGATGGGAATGGCAGATGGCTGATTATCCCCAGCGGCTTTCTGATATGGGTGGTAATAACACTGCGCCTGACTCGATCCTTGCCATGACTGGACTTTCGCAGCCTGGGTCCGATATCCTTGACTACGACGGTGACAGTGGCACAACCACCACACTTCATCATAATTTGTGGATGAACTCTATTGTGGCGATCACCACGATTGGTGATATTATGCAGCTCAATGGGTCTGTTATCTGTGCGCAATATGTCATCGCAGAGGATGCGGTCATTTACAACACGAGCGTTCACACGAGCGGTAACTATGTGTTGGTATTCTTCTAGTGGAAGACAACGATCGTACGGTCCGAAATATTTGGGGCGGACTTGGAAGATGTCGGATGTCATAGTGGCGGATTTTCGGGGAGATCAATGTCGTGGTCACTGAGGACGATGGTATGTGGTTTCGGTACTGATATCTGCAATGGCAGAGGTTTCGGGAACAAAGGGGGAATTTGAGATACTGTGATGGAAATATTCTGTGAAGAGGAAGAATGGGACGCTGAGGGAATAGATCAATCATGGATTCGACAAATGCCTTGCCTTCGCAGTCTGTGGTGAGAGCCTGTTTTAGTAGTGGAGAGCTCGATGGGAGACAGTGACAGGGGCAACACAGAACGACTGTAAGCTCGGTAAGCACGCGCAAGTCATAACTATTCCAGGTGTTCATTATTGATATAAATCCAGTGGTTACTGACCAAGGTTGCAAGGCGGCTTCATCCGTGGTCATAATCTGTAGCCGTTGACAGAAAATACCAAATTGCCGCAGCCCCCTCAAGTTCGCGTCGAATACCCACGATCAAGAGTCCATTATCCAGAAACTGATCGCTGATTTCCCGTGCCAACCTCACCGTCTCGTTAATTCAATTTAGAGGTGGTGAACAGTGACCGCAAACCAGCTCTCTGACGATCCAAGGTTGCTGCGTAGCTGCTATGATGCCGAATTGAGCCTCCTTGGGCACGGCCCGATCGTTTGTGGTGACAATAAACGCCAAACGTCCTCGGTATGCGTCGTTAGCCCAACACAGATGAGGCTGGGGCGAGGTGAAAGAGTATATCGCCTAGGGTTTGAGATTTGTGGTCAAGGACTGTGCTAGAGCCGGATCGACATCAGCGGCGAAGTTATTAATCGGATCGTCTCTTATTTGCACCTGCCAAACTGGATATTCATCCGCCAATGGGGACATTTCTCAGTGCGCCCCACCACGCCCAATTGAAGCCTAAGAGCAACATATTGGAAGGCCGCTTGTCATATTTGAGTGCTCGCTGCAATAGTCCGCTTACTGGGCGAACTAAAGTAATTATCTGCCACAGTAGTATGACTTTTCTCTGATCCCTCCTTGTAAACTTCCGAATCTTTTCATAAGCTCGTCAGATGCCTTTGTTGGCTTAAAAATACGAGAGAGACATTAGTAGAACCACTTCAGGCCAAGAGATTTGATCTAGGCACCTCCTGCCGTATGATGATCTGGATTCAACAAGATTTTGTAACTAGGTCAATCAAACCTAACCTTGTGCATTATCCGGCGACTCAACATCACGAAATCCTATGCACGAGAGATCCTCGCTCTACATACTATATCTTCATTACCACTACCCACGCAATTCATGAGGCGGTACTTGTATTGCCTATAGTGTTAGTTCTTAGGTAGTATATCCACGTCTTTCCCACGCTCCGTTGCTTCGCAATTCACCCGCGTCAATAACTCGATTCATTACCCCTCCCCATAGTCCACAGAATTATATTACAGTACTTTCAATCGTGGCTGAGGGGGATGCCGAATGATACCTTGTGATTCTTGGCTTATTCTAGCGCGATTTCTAAAGCTCTACTGCTAGCTTTAAGAGCCACCCCGGAGTAAGTGCGGTCTCTACGCGCAAGAATGGTGTTATTTCAAGATTACTTACGCAATTCATTGTCTAGAATCTCAATATTGCAAGTTGCATCACCCGCATATGTGCCTCATCTCTAGCTCCAACTTGCAAAATGTGTCTCGCCACCCGAGGCTATATGTTTCTTTAACAAAGGCTCATTCATTACGAGATAACCCCCGCATACCGACCTTCCAAAAACAGGGTCTTGTGTGGAATAGTGCTCAGGACTTGTCAATGCAGCTCGCGCGCGGGGTAAAAAGTAACGCCTATCTCTCAATGCTGTAAAAGGATTGGGGAAACTGAGTGACTGGGTCGTATCTCCGCACGACGCTTCCTTCCAACACTATCACCCACGCCAAGCACTTTCCTTAAACCGCACTTGGCACTGTAACCTCAGCCCCCTTGTCGCCAAGTGCCGTCGGGCATCCGCCTGCAGATTTGGTCTTAGATGTTAGCCGGTCCTATGGAAGTGCTTCCTTGCTTGCCAAGGACAGACCGCCTCTTGGCGTGTTTTCGACAGTACTAATCACGCGAAATTGCGATAGGATAATTGCGCGCTTTGGAAAGACATGGACGGGCGGATGGAAATATAAAAGGACGCTGATCATGCCGTTTGTTATTGATCGATCATCGATTTGTGAATCACTACACAATGAAGTGGATTTTCTTGTTTTATCATTTGTCCAGTGCCCTCGCTGGACGGGGGAAACCCCCAGTTTCACCGGTACGTTGTTATTACTTCCCTCCCACTGTGATCATGGTGCTAATCTGATCTGACTGAACAGGATGACCTCGCTTCCGAAATTCGGCTGAAAGATCTGCTGAAAGGCACCCAACGGCTCGAGGACATTGCTTATTCGTATCCCGAGCGGAACCGAGTCTTCGGTAGCAAAGCCCATAACGATACCGTTGACTTCCTTTATCATGAGTTGAAGAAGACCGGCTACTATAACGTCTGGAAGCAGCCACAGGTGCATACATGGACCAAGGCGGAGTCCTCGCTGAAGTTCAACAGCGACTCCATCGGCGTGGCGGCGATGACATACAGCCCCAGTGTTGATATTACTGCGGAGCTAGGAGTGGTCTCCAACCTTGGATGCAGTGCAGCAGACTATCCAACCGACTTGAGTGGGAAGATTGCTCTGATTAAACGTGGTGAATGTGCTTTTGCCGAAAAGTCTGTGCTTGCTTCTGCGGCCAAGGCAGCTGCTGTGCTTGTCTACAACAATGTTCCGGGATCTCTCAGTGGAACACTGGGTGGAGTTACTCCTGATCATGGATCCTTTGCTGCGATTGCAGGAATCTCCGACAATGATGGGCAAACCTTGCTTGGCGCCACAACGAACGGCGCGGTGACTGTGTCTCTGAAAATTGACAGTCAGATCGAAAACCGGACAACGTTTAATGTGATTGCAGAGACCAAAGGTGGTGATCACAACAATGTCGTGGCTCTGGGAGGCCACACTGACTCGGTCGAAGCTGGTCCAGGTATCAACGACGATGGCTCTGGAATCATCGGTAATCTCGTCGTTGCGCGAGCATTGACGCGGTATTCTGTCAAGAATGCCGTGAGATTCTGCTTCTGGACCGGTGAGGAGTTTGGCTTATTGGGCAGCGAGTTCTACACCTCACACCTCGACGCCGCTGAACTCGCCAAAATAAGATTGTACCTCAACTTCGATATGATCGCGTCTCCCAACTACGCGCTCATGATTTATGATGGTGACGGCAATGCCTTCAACCAGACCGGACCAGCGGGTTCTGCTCAAATCGAAGCCCTGTTTGAGAAGTATTTCAAGTCCAAGCATCTGCCATACATCCCCACTGCTTTCGATGGCCGATCCGACTACGACGGGTTCATCTCTCGTGGCATCCCCGCCGGTGGACTTTTCACCGGCGCCGAAGGCCTCAAGACCGAGGCCGAGGCCAAATTGTTTGGTGGACAAGCGAATGTTGCCTACGATGTCAATTATCATGCCGCGGGGGACAATGTCACCAATCTCAATCACGAGGCTTTCCTGATCAACTCGAGGGCTACGGCCTTTGCGGTTGCAACCTATGCCAACAGCCTTGCTTCAATTCCCCAACACAATGCGACCGTCACCCGACGACATGTCTACAAGCGAGCACCTGGGTCGCATGTTCACACTAAGAATACTGGGTGCTTCCATTCTCTTGTGGAAATCTAAGGGTTACTCAGACACCTACCAGATAGCATCTGTCGTCGACTTGGGTTGAGACACTAGGTTCACTGATCATGATCATATCGCGTGGCCTAGAATATATAGTCTAGGGGTCTGGCTTTCGAAGGAGACCAACCTTATCCCCGACAGTTAAATAAGATCATAAAATCAAGACATTTTTTGTTCTACCTTGTCGATCCAGCTCAACTTTACGTAGTTGGAAACATCCATTTTGGCCCTCAGAAAAGATGTTAGTTACTGACTCTGGCTACATACGGCTTAGTAACTAATTGTATCTCATGGAAAGTCCCGGTCGGCCGACAAGGTATGGTCAACGACATCCCCTCCAAATATGTTAAACACTCTGCCGTGACTAGGTATGGGGATAATATCAATTCAACTAATGGTATATATGATCAATGCAATCGGTAGGTATGCGACATGTACATCAAAAATGGATCATCCAAACTTTTACCCGATCCTCCCATCCATCACCGTAAACAAAGCCCTGCGTGCTACCTATAGTACTACCGGCGCAAACGACGAGTCCGGAATCCCCTCAAAAACCCAATTCAATGAATCAAACACCTCGGAGAAGCCAGCCTCACTGAAGAAGGCCCCGCTCTCGTCGAACTGGGTAGGAATCATCAGTCCCGGGTTATCCAATGAGTTATCAGGGACGGGGAGCCCATTGACAGTCGATATGGGTTGATTTGCCGCCGCCGCCGCTGCCGCCGCCGCTAAAGATTGGATGTCAGTGGTAGACCTAGACAGTGAGGACACGGGAGGAGTCGTACCTTGAATTTCTTCGACAGTCTTCCCCGGTCGGAACCGTTGCCGCCATCGCCAGACCGTATCGTAGACATGGCTCATGCTCATCCGGCAGCGCACTTTCAGCTGTAGTCCATCCTCTTCGGCAGCCATGGGTCCAGTCGCATTCCACATTTGAGAGAGGATGTCGGCGAGTCGGACGGGACGATCGTGATCCATGACGCTGATTCGTCGGATGGCCGAGATGGCCCCGTTGAAGAGGAGTTTGCCGTGGTTAAAGTCGATGTGTCGGCTGAAGTTGCTCTTCAGGAGCTTCATGAGCGCGAAGGCTGCTGACACGATCATTTGGAGAATGTAATTGGTCGAGTGGCCGATCAGTTCGCCCGGTGAGGTTTCGAGATCGAGGACTCGGCCGAGGAAGGAGGTGGTTGCGATGAAGAGCTTGGTGAGGTCGTCGCTTCGGGGATTGGAGCTTAGGAATACGAAATACCGGAGGTGCAGTTCCGCGGCACGGAGATGAATCATGTTGATTGCTGGAGAGTTGGGTTAGTCGGCGCACAAGGGACGGACAGTCAGTATTTGAACGCCGAATCATACCCGATATTTCTTGCCCAAACTGAAGCTCCATCTCTTTCAATTCGCTTTCGAGGATCTGTACGATGACGAGCTTCTCTGCACTGACGAATTCGGCGGGCTCGGGCTTGCTGCTATACAAAGACTTGGTGACTCGGTCACAGAACTTTTCAATCCGCAGCCGGATAGCCAGGTTCTCTGGAAGATGGTAGTCGGCATCTTTCAGCGAAGCAGGCTCGAGAGCCCAATCGTAGATAGTGCTAGGAGGCTGGCCATAGCCAGTTGCCACGCTGGAAGGGAGAGTCAACAATGGCTCGCATGTTAGAGACAGGCAGGGAACACTCACTTCTGCGCCACGATATTGCAAATCACCCACGTATGGAGACGATCTTTCAAAGCTTCCCCTTGGGCCTCGATCCGGAAAGTCGTGAACTCTTCGGCTTGGACAGGGCGATGCATACCCAGTTGCATGGCGATTTGCATCATCAGACCGCTCAGCATGAAAGTTGCATCGGTCCGTTGGCTTGTGGTCGGTAGGGGCCATGTGCACAACACGCACAAGGCCTTGACAACTCGGTAATCTTGAGGAACACCGGTAATGGTAGACCATAAGAGGCGACTGAATGGTCCTGAAAGGGCTGTCAGAAGGCCCGGATCTGAGGGAGACCGACGACAGGCCACACAGACAATCGTCCAGGCCAGCAAGGGACATCGACTCAGATAGACCTCAGGCGGCTTTGGCAGATTCAGTAGCGGGAGGAAGGGGTGATAGTAATTGAAATATCTAAGAAAGCCGATGAGCTGTCAATCCAAGGTCAGGAGGTGTCTCGAAGGCTTACTGCTCGAAGAGCCGTGCGACTCGCGCACGGGAGAGGGTGATATCCTCAAGCCTCCACGGCGTATTTTCGTCCTGTGACATGATCGACCCGTCCCTCTTCATCGTCAATGGAGTTGCCATCGACGGATGCGACTCGGCCGGTACTGATACCGGCCGGGATCGATCAATGCCTGTCGAGTCTCGGCGGGAGAAGGCCTCGTCCGAGCATTGCGACATGTCATCGCCTTCATGAGGCTCCCTCGATTGAGGGTACTCTGGATTGGTCGAGAGACGGCGGCGAAGATCCGCAATCTCCTTTTCCATCTCGGCATTTCGTCTAGATAGAGTGAGCGTTAAGTATTGGGGATGTTACGTGGGATGAAAATCACCTTCTTTTGGAGATACGCTTAAAAGATGGCTCGACCTTGCAGTCAATGCCTAGCCTACGACAGCGAGAGCATGCCGCGGCCGGAGTTTGAACGATATCACATCGTAACTGTTAAGCACACCGATTTGCACTTCGTTAGCACACGGCGTCCCCACAGAGAGGAAAGGTGAGCGACTATTAAAGGGCGTGGCGCCGGGGCCACTGGCAGGTCGGCTGGGGGAATTGCATGTGGAAGGCCTCTCTCTCTCTCACTTACCTTCTGCTGCTTGCACTCATTGCAAGCTTTCCGACAGCCGCCTCGGCGCTTCCCCGTGACAGGCGGGACCTTCTCCATCTCGCTCGAATCGGGGGTCCTGTGTAGCTCGTCAAGGATCGGAGGTGGCCGTGGCAGTCGCGGGGACCGAAAGTCGCTCGGGGGGATCAAGTGTGGCCCATTCGGTGCCAGGAGGTTCCGATACCCCAAGTCCATCAGGATCGGCCTATGCTCGCCCCGATATAAAAACTAATTCCCCATGGACCATGAGCGTGGTGCTCATGTAGCCGTATGTGCCGGAAATCGGAGCAAGCGGCGGTTGGAACTTGCAAATTGGCAAATTGGCAAAAGAGGGAGGGCCTGTTCCGGGGGAACTGGACTGGGGTGGAGTCTCGGCGGGAATGAGTCGCGCCTTGTGATTCGGTCCTCATGACTGAAGTCAACTTAGTCAACTTGCCCCCAACGAATTTCGGCGGTTTTCGCGTCGGTGCCTGGTGATGCCTTAGGCATCATGAATATGTTGGAACAATAGCAGCAGTGGAGACCGGATAACGGAGATACTATCTCCCATTTAGATTATTCATTATTATGCCCACATAATTATACAGTAGCAATTCAGAGTGGTTGATATCCAATTGGTGCGCGGTATGATTTGCTAAGCAGTACTCCGTATTTCCGACTGAATACAGGAAGAAGTCACCTGAGCGTATCTCGCCCAGAAATTAAGGCGTCAACAAATTAAGGCAACAAGGCCCTAAGGCACTAAGGCACTAAGGCCACCAGTATGGAGTTACGCCAGAACAACACATATGATCACATATGATTGGTTCCTGACTACAAAGTATGTACTCAGTACGTACAATACAATCAAGGGGTGCAGACGGCGAGCATGATTCTTGTAGGACAGCTCTGTATTATCTCCCTGACTGTGTGCCAGGTGTGTGAGTGTCCCTCCTCGAGGTCATCGGCTTAAAATTGCGCCCATTTCGATTTTCATCTTATTCCGCGTTGATGATCACCACTGGACCTTGGTGGCGCAGCCTTCCCGCCCAACTATAACCCAATCTCCCAACAAGCTACCGCCGCTCCCTGCTTCCGTAGCCCGCAGTGCCTCAAGCTGGCAAGGCCGCGGCAAGCGAAATAGCTTCGCGTCCCCTCATGAGTCATGAGCCATTGGATGTTTTCTTTCTGGTGCTGCGTCTCTTCTCCTGGTCCAAAGCAATCCGGTGACTGATAAATAGGAACAATGTCTTGGAAATCTGATCTAGTTGCGGGACAACATCGATAGTCAGTTGGTGTCCAACCCGAGTTGCTCAAGCTTGCCAGAGACAGTGGACCATCACAGGATGGCAGGCAACCCCGAGAGCAGTGGCAGGATCATTCCTGCCCGGCAGGACCCTGAATCTTCTCACCAATGGTGCCGGTTGAAACACCCAGCTCCCCCGTTGTGCGAATGAAGTCATCCATCGTGAGGGTGATCCACCTCGGCTTGTGTGGATTTTGTCGCCAGGGGCGCGTTCCTGGATTTTTGGCCGTTAGCGTGTGCCGATCCATCTGCCTTCTTTCTTTTTCTAGCACCCGATGATGGCCAATTGTCCCTCACGCCCTGTTTCTCCCGCCAGCGACGCGTCGATTGGTGCGCTCGGCGCAAAGGAAGCTATCTGCGTCCATAAAGCTGGTCCAGCCGAGGGACGCGATAGTAGCTCGTTCTCCGTGGAGTGTCCCGGGTGAGGGTATCAATCACACAACGGTTTCTTGTATGGCATTGAACATACAGTTTGGCACATGCGTCACATTGCCTCGTTTTCTCATACTGTTTTTGTCATCAATTCCCAGGATGGAACAATCAGTCTAGACCTTAAATCCTGGAAGTCTGGAGTACATATCCCAGGGGGTTTACGCTTCATGCCTGATGCAGCCCCCTGTCTCTGGCGCTTGCAGCTGGACCAGTCAGATATGCAACCGCCACATGGCATTGCTTGTCCGACCGAGTCTGTTCATAAGTACGGAGTACTATTGTATCATACTGTCACGTTCAATCGTCCTCCTTTCTCGCCGGAAAGTTCCCGATGTCGCGCAGCATAATCAATTATTGAATGATGATATGATCTGGCCATTCTTTCTTCTTCAGAGAGAGTTTAACCCCGGTCTGGACTCACAATTCCTCTACCTTGGTTGTCCTCTTCTTGTTCATACTGTACACTTCAATCCACACAGGCTTAAGCATCTATCCCGACCGAGGATGTTGGAATCTGGACCTTGCCATGGAGGATTTCCTTTGGCGCGCCAGCCATCTTATCAATTCTACGAAGCATACTCACGGACCAGCCTTGTTTGATATAAACAGACACGAAAACGTCTCATTGACCCGTCCGACCGACCCAGCAGCGTGGTGCCTGGGAACACTTCAGTTCTGCAGCAATGCAGATAGGAAATAAGCTGGCATATGTGGAGAGAAAATTGGGCCTCGCAGAGTTTTGAGAATCAATAGCCTTGTCGATCGGATTCAATAGCTTTCCGAGGGAAATACTTGGGTGATATCGCGCGATCTGAAATCGGGCGATGAACACCGTCCACAACCCCCGCGAGGTCCGCAAGAACTCTCCAGTACTCTCCTAAATGCCCAATCAGGACTTGACGAGGTTGACAAATACATGCAGCTACGGAGCCCATTGTCGTAATAGGACCAATCAAACACTGATTAGCCGCCCATCTGCCTCCATAAACGCTCATCTTTATCCCGATCTGGTCGGGCCGGTCCCCACCTGCTATCAGTCTTGACCCACCATCGCATCGAGGGATCGACAGGGGATTGTCCACCATCGCTCGTGCTGTTTGGTTCAGCACGCACCAGAAGTTGGTTCAGGTTCCACTTGCCGTCGTGTGCTGGGGCCTGAACTGGATCTTTGACTGCACTTCATTTCACGGACAATCCTGCAAGGCTTTCATCGTTTAAAAAAGCCGGCTAACCCCCGTCCTTTTGCAACGGACAAGCGCTATCCAACTTCACCACTCTCTTTCAGCACTTCTGCTGCGTCAAGTCCCTCCAAACTTCATCATGGGTTCGGAATTGGGAATCACCGCCGATACCAAGGCGGCAATTGACCTCTCGCCGGTCAGCATCTGGTGGGTCGTTTGGGGATGTGCCTGGACGGCCGCCGTAGCCGCCGGCATGGCATATCTGATCATCAACCGGGACATGCCTACTCTTCGAATTCGAGGCCTCGCCTTGTCGCTCTCTTCAATCGTTCTTCTTCATCTTTACTGGTGGGTTTGCCAATTTGGCACCATGGTAGGCGCCCTTTTGCCCGGGGACGCCCAATATTGGATCATGGGGACCTATCTCCCTTGTGGTATCGCTCTTTTCCACGCCTCCAATACTCGTTTCCTCCACGTCGCCAAGCTTCAGCGCAAGTATGCTCAGCATGGCTACCGTCTCGTCGACGCTGTGCCGGATCAGAGACCTAAGACCGGCCTGATCAATCGTTTCCGCCGTCTCGACTATACGACCAAGATCCTCATCACCGTGGGCATTGGAATGTTCCTCCAGGTCTTCCTGACAGTATTCAACTATGTCATTTCTCGCAAGTGGCACAGCTCCTGGGGTATCCCAGGTACTGAGGTCCACGGTAGCGAAATGGCCCAGAAGACGGCTCAGGGTCAGGGATGGGAGTGGTAAGCATACGACAGATCTTTGCCAGCGCTATAATTTCCCTCAGCTAACAATTAATTGACTTGTTCAGGTGGCCTGGTGTGTTCTGGCAATTCTTATGGTCTTGGGTCCTTGCCCCTATCATCCTCTGGAAGTCGCGCAACATTCACGACACCCAGGGCTGGCGGGTGCAGACCATTGGCTGTGCTCTTGGCAGGTGAGTTTCATCATGGTCCAAGGCTAAACACGAATAAAAGTACGTTGAATTAATTTGGCATCTAGTCTCCACGCTACCCCAATGTGGCTTATCGCTCTTTACGTCCCTGGAATGGCACCGGTCAACAAATACTTTATTCCTCCCCAGTGGTGAGTGCCTTGCCCTGCTATATGGTCGGCATTAGATCTATGTTTGTGTCATCTAACCTGTTCTCTCGTAATCTATAGGATCTGCCTGTCCATCTGGATTATCGAAATCTTCACTGTCTTCCTCCCTTGCTGGGAGGTCATGCGTCACCAGTCCCTTCGTCAAGAGACCCTCGACTCCATCGCTCGGTGGGAGATCAAGGTCAAGTCTAGCAACTCTGAGAACAAGTCTCTCAACTCAGAAACCACCATGGTCGAGTCCATGATGTCGGGATGGAAGTCCACCAACGCCTCTATCAAGACTACTGGCTCGCGCGACAGCATTCTGACCATGAGTGCTCTGGAGCACGTCCTGGAGCGCAACCCCACCCCTCTTCAGGAGTTCTCTGCGCTCCGTGAATTCTCGGGAGAGAACATTGCCTTCCTCACAAGCCTTGCTCAGTGGAAGAACTCGCTCCCGATAGTTCTGAAGGATCCCACTGCCCCCCGTGACGGCAACTCCAAGGATCTCCTCCGTGAACACTTCAACCTCGCCTTGCACATCTACGCCGATTTCATCAGTGTTCGCCTTGCCGAGTTCCCGGTAAACATCTCGTCCAACGATCTCAAGAAGCTTGAGGACATTTTCGAACGGCCCGCTCGCCTTCTCTACGGCGAGGAGCGCGAGGCCGACCCCGTCAGCCCCTTCGACAAGTTCAACTTCGAGCCCGCGTCGCCCACTGTCTCCGAGAGCTCCGAGAAGGGCATGACGAATTGCATTCGGAACCGCGTCCACTACTGGGGCGATATTCCCGAACAATTCGACGCGACCGTCTTCCAGGACGCGGAGGCGAGCATCAAATACCTCGTCCTCACCAATACCTGGCCCAAGTTCATCAAAGATCGCAGGACCTCGATTGATTCCTTCGACACCATGAGGACCAAGACGGAGATTGTCTAGGAGGGTTTTATGAGCGACTCATGAGTGATTCATGATATGAGCCTGTACCTGTACCTTTTCAGGTGTAGAGTCTTTCTTTTTTACGTTTTACCTTTCTTCGTTCGCGCCAGGTAACTGCGTGCGCCCCCCCATCTACGGAAGTTGAAGAAGAACCCCCGTATTTTACATATAATAACTTTTTTTGCCATTTGATTGAATGTCAACAGCCGGATACCCCCTTAACTTGTTTATTCTCCTTACGATTGGAATCGATGTTTCTCTCTTTTCGATGTTTTCTTTTTTCTTGTCAGATTATCTGGGCTACTGTACCCTTCTGTTCTGAAGATTGCTTCGTCTTCTACCTCAATTGATAATTTCCCTTCTCGTCTGCCTAGCAGAACACTAGATCTTATTAATTAATGCTAGGGAATCAAAGCAATTCTCTGTAATATGAAATTATCTAAAAAGGTGCGGGCGGCAATTGGCTCTTCCTCGAATCATGGCAGCAAAAGTGGGTAATAAGTCCTCTACTAGCACGCTCTCGAAGGCTCTTCTGGCTAGTTACAAGATGAAAGTGAGGCATCAGTAACTAGAACATCTGACGAGATAATTTCGGGAAGTACCATTGTAGCTCCCAGCTAGTCGCAGATAGTTTGTGGCTTAATAAATTAGTTACTATCGAGCTGTGAGTGGTATAGATCTGACTAGATTACTGCCTGGGAAACTAGGCAAACATCGAGGCACCTCCGCGGCTCGGCTCCGCAGTTTTCTGCTTTCGCGCTCGCTGCTTCCTCCTCAGCTTCTCAGTCACCTCACGCAATCGCCGTGTGCCTCTCTTTTCCTTAACTCGCAGGATAGTTTCTTTCTTTTCTGGCCAGCTCACTCTCTATGCGCACCTGAATAACTGCTCAAATACCACTCATTCGTAGCCGGTTGACACGTCGAGTCCCGCGCATCCCACCCCCGACCCCCGATTCCGCTGCCACGGCGTAAGCAGCCTTCGTCGCGTCACACAATCTACTCCAAGAACAGTCGTTACCAATCCATTCAGGCCTCGGACTCACCGCCGCTCACACTTGTGTGGTATGACCTCGGGAACACAACTATCATCTCAACGGGGCACACCCTGAATATCCCGCAATACTTATGGAGCCCCAAGAGTCTGCGACGCCTATGGCGCCCCCGTCTAGATCTCTCCGGGAACAGACACAAAAGCGCCAGCGCAATTCTTCCCCGGTCACGCCGTCAAAGCGACGTCGAGTCCAACACTTGCCATCAAGTGTGTCGCAGAGGACTCCAGCGTCCACCCAAATATCTTGTACATCCACTCCTCTAAGTGGTCCGCGTACTAGAGCGCAGTTGGATCGGTACTATGAAGATGTGAAGAGGGACGCGCGTCGGATCATCGCTGTGAAAAATCAGCTAGATGTTCTCCTCCCAGAGGTAGACACAGATCCACAGAGCACACCGGCGCCAACCTCTGGATCAATGTCAATGACAACGAAAAATGCCGTCAAGCTGCTGGAGAAGATCTTGAAAGATAATCAACTTATCGAGGACCTGGAGGAAGTGCGCAAGGAGGTTGACCCTAAGGTCCGCGGCCCCAGACGCTCTGACACGGACGGTGTTGTCAAACACTATCGGAAAAAACAACAAACCACACGTGAAAAACTCCGCAAAGATATCAGAAAGGCCCGGAAGAGAATTGGGTACAACTGGGACAGACTTAAAGCAGCCCAAATGGTCACCGAGCCCGAGGCAAGCACAGCCGAGGACACCGTATCCTCAAGCATATCATATCCCGTCGTTTCGGTGGCTGCCACAGAAGATGGAGATGATGATTCCGGCGCAATGGCAGATGACTCGGATAGTGAGCCCATGCTTCCTACAGGCAATACTGTTGCTCGGTCAATCATGTCACCTTCTTTTCTTCCAGATCACACCGTGGAGGAGGAGAACCGAACCAGTAATGATAAAGACAAAGCTAAGACGAAGAGGAGTGGTGAAAACGGCGACGCCGATAGAGAAGCATCCAAAATCAACGAGCCAGTGGAGGGAAAAGCGGCACCGGAGTCTCTTCCAAGGTCGGTCCAGAACAGTCTACTTCCCTGCATGGCGCTAATACATGACTATAGGACTGTTCGTGCTCCTCGTCGGTCGATCTACACCCCCGATTCAGTTGATGACGAAGACCGCCCTGGACAAACTGGTCAAAAAGAAATCTCGACACATACCGCGACGGAGGAAAGTCCTCATAGTGATGGAGGACTAGCTGATAAAATGGTGGAAGAGACGACGAAGCCCACCAACCCTCGTGAAGTGGAGACCCAAGTGAAGCCGTTCTCACGGCGGTCAGTGACGCCCTTTTTCCTCTCCTCAGTCCCATTGTTTAATCATGAACTCTTCTCCAGTTCCGATGACGAAATCTCCGACAGCGGGGAAGACGAGGACAGCTCAGAGGATGATGAGGATGATGAGGATGGCAGCGATGTAGAAATCAAGGAAGAAGACGAGGATTTGGATGTCAAATTGGACATGTTTGGTGATGGCAGTGAGGATGACGACGAGGACGAGGACGAGGATGAAAGCAACGATGTTGGACTCAAGGTGGAAGTGGAAGATCAGGAGGAATTCAAGGAGAGTAGTGAAGATACGAGGACTGAGCAAGACAAGGAAGCCGAGGAAGCAACGGGTGATATCGAAAGCCAAAAGAAAGGAAGGTTAGTGGGCATTCCCGTCTCGTTTCATTGACTGCGCTGACATCCAGACCAAGCGACGAACGCCTGAATGTCGTACAGTCGGGCCAGGGCCATCCGGAAGATCCAAAATCTTCACGGCCCACAACTGGCTTGTTTGAGCGCATGAATGGCATTCAAACTTCCGGCTCCTTTGAAGCAATGATGGCCGGATTGAGACAAGCGGCAGCCGAGAGAGAGAGGCTGGCAGTGCTCAACGGGCGGATAGTGGACACTGACACGTCCGACTCGTCTGACGATGAATCACTGCCGGACTGGCCGCCGGAATCTGATACGAAGCCATCTATCGCCTGATTCCGAGTGTGGCAGGAGAGAAAGCATTCCTGCTTTAACTTTCCCTTTTATGAAAGATCTTTCCAAATGTCTTTTGAACCGTCTTTCTTAATAGGTAAAGCAACAGGCTTAGTAGGTATTATAAGGATATATAGGTGCTCGATGTACCTATTATCCATCATACTCCAAATGGAATAGTCTGTCGTGCGGAAGCACAAGTTGGTGTGCGATTAGCCTCAGCCTACAATGGAATATCACACATATGTCCCATCCAAATGACTACAAGACCAAAGGAATACATAAAATCTCAAAGAGACCATGACTATTCCGGGAACCCTCTCGTGGACATGAGTCAAATCGTAACGTTCAAAACGAGGCCACAGTCTGCATGCGTATGACGTGGTGTAGAGGTTTGGCCATGTGTATCTCATGCAGGCGATGGAGTCTTCCAGTATGTCTGGGTTGCGTGCATTGATGGCATTCCCAGATGACAGCTAGCATCATTTAATCAGGTCATTGGGAGAAGGGGTTTCATGATCTACCATTATTGAATCTACATTGTGCTCAGCAACACTGGACTGTCGACATTCGCTGGTATCCGAGACCTCGTTATGAACGAACGTCTCCGGGAGCTGCAACTTGTCCCTCGTTAGATTCCACATGGACACAATGCAGACAGTCAATAAAAAAGACAGCATAGCAGAGCTATGCCTCGCAAGGGGCCTTCTAGAGCTTACAATCTAGCAGTTGTGTGATGTACATGCAGCTGGATTAATTACCCCTTGATCCGAATCACATCAAGTTCCAGGGCCATCTGGGGTCCGAGCGACCTCTTTGCATACAAAGCTGAGTGTGATCTATGTCATTGATCTGGATTGATCTTCGCATTAAAGATTCCATGTCTCCTGAAAAAGGAATGATCATGCAGATCAGGGGTCTCAGTGAAGCAACTGGGTGGATCTGATCAACAACATGGATCTACGATAGGAGCTCTACAGCCAATCAAGGGATCTCGGCGGCTACAAGGTATCTTTGTGCTCTGAAAAGGGTATTTGAAGAAAGAAGGGATTATTTTTAAAGCTTGCGACTGCTGAGCCTTTGACTTTCTCGGGTGTTGTATGTCGGCGACGCAGCTTCATAATGTATTTTTCTGGTCTTTTTCATCTCGCGTTCTTCATACCACTCTTTTGCACTCGAGTGATTGCCGATAACGCGCTGGCACGAGCTAGGACAGCTCTCGACACTCTTCAGACATGGTATGATCCTACGACTGGACTTTGGACTACGCGACAATGGTGGAATTCAGCCAGCGCGATGACAACAGTTGCAAACCTGGCGAAAGTTGACCCCTCAGTCATGGAGGCCGCCCTATATGTATTCAACAATACCTACAATCTCGCGCCAGCCTCCAATCCACATCCAGGTCCGGAAGTGAAGACCGTCTTCCAACGAAGAGATCTCCTATCAAGAGCGGGTGGTTCGGGAAATGCTTCGAAGTGGTTGGATTCGGCATACGACGATGATGGATGGTGGGCCCTTGCGTGGATCGCTGCATACGATGTCACTGGGAGTGACGACTATCTAGAGTTGGCAGAGGGGATTTTCGCAGCTTTGGTCAGAAACTAAACTGTACTTTGTTGAAATAACGCTCATTGTTCAACAGACTGCTGCATGGGGTACAAACTGTGGAGGTGGTGGTCTACCATGGAACCCCACGAGTACTTATGTGAATGCTATCACGAACGAGCTATTTCTCTCGGTTGCAGCTCATTTGGCCAATCGTTCGCTATCTAAGCGCGATGAATATATCAGCTGGGCGCAGAGGCAATGGGACTGGTTTTCTGCCCAGGGATTCATGGGCGAGAACGACACTATTAACGACGGACTCCTGGATAACTGTCAAAACAATGGCCAAAATGTGTATGTCTTAGTTCTTACTCAAGCTGTCTCTTCTCGGTCTAACTCGACTGTCTAGATGGTCCTATAACCAAGGCGTGGTACTTGGAGGTCTCGTGGAACTCAACAAGGCAGCACCCGACGCTACATTGCTTGAATCGGCCAATGCAATCGCTCAAGCCGCCATTGAAACCCTTGCCAATGCAAACATGATTATCCATGATTCATGCGAGCCGAATAATTGTGCTCCAGACGCAACTCAGTTCAAGGGCATCTTTATTCGCAATCTAAGTATGCTCCAGAAAGTGTCACCCAACCACATTTACAAGCAAGTTATCGACAGCTGTGCAAGGAGTATTTGGGCGAATGATCGGAACTCGCAGAACCAAATGGGCGTTGATTGGGCGGGTCCCTTCCAGGGCCCGGCGGATATGTCAACTCATAGCTCCGCGATGGATGCACTCGTTGCTGCTATCTACGGGTAATCGTCTTGCTCACCCTCGTGGCAGCTTATTTCTAGATCAATAATGTCACAAATGATTTAAACACATTTGAGAATCTTAAGATGCATGACGCCCCACGACACAATTTCGATAGCGAAATATCAAGGGAAAAATAATAGACATCCCTGGGTAGCTGGGTTGAGCAACTTATTTGGCTCCCATCAGACAGCCACTGATAAATCTGACTTGAAAAACAAGTTTGTTGTGGATCAGAACTAAAAGATCAATTTTGCTGTCACTTGATTCCCCCCCCCCCCCCCCCGGGACGTGTAGATTTCCACTGGGATAGAAAGAGGTCTTACATACAGCCCCGAAGGTCGACGGGCAGCATGGATGCCCGGTGGTGCAGTTAATTAAGTCAGCCCAGCGTCTTCGTGGAATTTGTCCAAGGATACCATTTAGGTGAGAAATGGTACACCTTGTCGGAACAGAAGAGAAGGACGTTGGTCACCATATTCGTGCGACTGGAATCTCGCCCCTTTGATTTGAAATTCCCAGCGAGCGGAAGTCTCTACTATTGCGACGATTTGCCCAACCATTGCTCCAGAGTCGAAATCCCAAGCACTGGTCCAGCCCGGCCGCTGTGCATAGGTCCCGATCTCTCCATAAGGCTGTGGTACGGAAGAAGACTGGAATTATCTGTCGACCGCGGTGCATGTGAGTACTACTCTTTTGGGAATACAATGAATAAGAACGACCTTGTTATTAACTTGAGAAAGACCGTGATAGCGTAGTGGCTCTCACCGCTGTTGCTAGAAAGGAAATTGCATATCTTCAGAGATTCGGACGAGCGATTCAGCCATTCCAGCGTTTTCACTGGGATGTGCACAACTACAAGGCCCAGTCTCACCTCGGACATATGGCGACACTGGAGAAACACCTGCAGATTACGCCTCACATAATACCTCATGGTCCTATTGGTCCTACCCTTCAACGTCCGACTCTGCGACATCCCGACCTTCAGTTTAATAATATATTCGCCTCCGAGGATCTCGAAATTACAGGGCTGATTGCCTGGCAACATGGTTCAGTTCGTCCGTTGTTCCTGCAATGCGGAATTCCAGAAAGCATTCAAACCTATGGCGACGAGATTTCCGAGATATGGCAGGTCCCTGAGCTACCAAGCAAATTCCATGAATTAGCGGAAACAGAACTGGACAAGGAAGTGGAGATATTCCGCAGGCGTGAAATTCACTATATTTTTCTCAAGTCAACAGCAGAAACTAATCCCGTTCATTTCCACGCCTTGACATACATTTTCAGTACTTAAAGGCGTCGACTTTTTTACCGTGCGAGCTCCCCTGGCAGGGTGATAATGTGACCTTTGAAGGCTGACTTGATCATACTGACGAGGAATTAAACGGATATAACCCGTGATGCGCCAGCCCTTTGCCCAATAGCCTTTTCAGGTGACGAATCGAGCGAATGTCTGCGACTTAGTCGTCTACAATCGGAAGCTGATGAGGCCCTTCAAGCTTGTCAGGAAGCAATTGGCATGGGTAGCGATGTATGGGTGCCTACTGAGCACTACGATGAAGCAAAACAACGGAAAAGAAAACGAAAGCGGTTGTTCTTGATGCATCTGAAACCGAGGAAGAGTGAGCCAGAATGCAGGAGAACTGGATTTTTGACGATTTCAATGAGGAAGATTACATGTAAGCCAATAAGCAACCCCTTTTGGTCTCACAGCTCCTAGAAAAGCCAACAATAGACAACACTACTGGGCCCAACATTCAACTTTGGCATAATTTCCAGGTGGTCGATGGAGAAGTGGTGTTTTGCCTCAAAAGTAGCCCAGAGATCCTATATCAACTATATACAGACCCACATCAACAAGAATATGGGAGGATTCATCCATTATGTGGCAAATGGTGAATGATGTACAGTTAGGCTGTTTGGTCAAGACGAAACACCCTCGTCGTCATGTGAACAGTGAGATTCACCGCCTAATCAATCACGTGGATATCTTCTAACAAGACGGAAATATTGCTAAGTAAATCATACCGCGCACCAATTGGAGGTCAACAAGTCTGAATTGCTATAAAACCCCTAGTTATCAGGCAATCTAGTTAACGTAGTTCCCGGCTTACCTGATAACCCGGTTAACCCGATAACCCACCCCCATTAGAAATTTTCAAAATCGATAATCGCAACCAACACCAATTAATCTAACTAGATAACACGATTTTTACATGAAGTAATCCTGTGGCCAGTTTTTCCACATCCACTGCAGGTAGGCGGAGCCCTCCTGGCCGGTTGAATCGGCTGATTAGGCAGATCGACCTCCTCATGCGATACTACCTCATCAGCTTCTACTGGCTGAATTAGCTGCTGAGCTAGCTGTAGGCCCTCTTCGATTGATAGGCCCCCTTCGTGTGTAATCCGTCTAGTCGATCGAGTGCGCTTTTGACGTTTTTTTCATTCGTTGCGCGTAGATCGGCGTTCTCCTTCACTAATAAAGCAGTGTTGTGTAATGCTTTATAGTGGCCCTTAAGAATCTGATCAACCACTAATTTCAACGGGCTTGGAGGGCTTTTTGACCGCCGATCTATTAGATCTTTCATCATTTTAGCCTGCTTTTGTAGCTGGGCTACTGTTCTAGGCGTTTCTAGTGTGAATTCGCTAGATCTGCTGCTTGGTCGGCTTAATGGGGGTGAAGGCGTTCGAAGAGATATAGTAAGCTTAGAAAGCACCCTTTCGGCATTAACTGGTACAATACCAGCAGCTGCGAAGCTATTCTGAATAATGTTCGGCTGAAAAGCTTCTAGCCGTGCGCGTGGGTAGTCAGCTAAAAAATCAAGCTTGTCGATATGATTATAGCCAGTTCGGGTTAAATCGCTCACGAAGCGACTGTACGCACGCTTTAGCACTGCGAAGCACCCAACATCAAGCGGTTGTAGTAGATGTGAAGAATGCGACGGCATACAGAGTGGTATAATATCATTTTCGACACAGATTCGATCGAATTGAGGCGTAAGATGACTACCGTGCCCGTCAAGGATTAACAGCCGAAATCGCCCTCGTACACGCGAATTAGTGTACGGAATAAAGATCTTTTGGAGCCAGCGAAGGCCGATTTCATCGGTAGTCCAGCCATTATCTGATACTTCGATTCGCCAATCCCTAGGGAGATTTGATTCAAACCAACCAGCGATATAAACCGAGCCTTTGAATATAATACAGGGCGGCAGCGAATAGCCGTCAGCGCATATAGTTTCGATCGCAGTGACCCATTCGCGATTTCCTGGCTGTAGAATTGATCGCCGACCGTAGTATTCTGCTCGTGTAACCACCTTTTGCGATGATATAAGGCCCATTGCGAATCCAGTCTCATCAAAGTTGTAGATATCCTCTGATTGGATACCGTTCTCCTCAATCGCGCGTTGTACCATCGAAAACCACTCGTTTATAGCCTTTGGATCCTCGTTAAGAGCGCGATGATAGTCATATCGCTTAGAAAAGCATGATCGAAGCTCATCGCGCCGTTGAACGAAAGAAGATGGCCAATTTTTGCCAACAGTAGCCGGTGGGCTCTCACCACGCGCAGCTAGTAGAATATTGGCCATATCGCGTACGGTAGAGGGCCTAGGGGCTGCACCACGCGTATCCATAGATATAATCCACTCAGCTAGCGAATCCTCTTCCAATTGGGTCAATTTATGACGATGCCATCGTGTATCGACGCGTGGGGCTACTCCGGAAGAGCGCGCATGCAGGGTAGCGTAGGGTATATCATATAGCTTCGTCGCTGCGTGTAAAGATTTGATTCGACCCTCTTTAATATCTTGGAGGGCTAATTGAATCTTGCCCTCCTGATTGGCCGATTTTAGCCAGGATTCAGAGCGGATTGGTGGCATGGTAGGTGGTTGAAGTTGGTGTGTTGGTAGGAAGACGCGAATTTGGAGGGGGTTATCGGGTTAACCGGGTTATCAGGTAAGCCGGGAACTACGTTATGTGGGCATAATAATGACTAATCCATGTGGGTCTATAACTAAGTTAGTCAACTAGTATCTCCGTTCTCCGGTATCCACTGCTGCTTCTGTTCCGTCCTAAGATTAGTGCCTGAGGCGACAATCCCGGGCTGTGTCCAACATCTCAAGATTCACGGGGGAAAGCTCCTATCATTGAGCAAACTTCACAACGAAGTTCCCCGCTGCTGAGTTTACCGGAGAGATGGGTTGAAAAGGGCCATTCCACTGCGTTTATATTCATTGCTCCTTCCCTATCATGTCAGCCCGTCTGCTACACCCAGATGAGTACGAGCTCGGCTCTCGCTCGTCGGCCGACTCGGATGGCACTTTTAATCTAGACGATGATGATTTCGAGTCCCAGATTCCCTCCACGTCTAGGCTAGGTGCACGGCGACTACCTTGGCTGTCTCGACTCTTCTCTTCGTCCGGATACCGACGCCTGAAGTCTAATGCCCGACCCATCCTCGTCAGTGCTGCGCGCCCAACTTGCGCGCGACGCCTCTTCTTCCGCCGCCGATGCTGCCACGTCCATGTCATTTTCGGAATCGTCTTCGCCCTCGTTCTCTTTGCGTCAATTTTTACGCCTTCATATACCCACCCGCCTGCGCATTACGCTACGCTACGGAAATCCGCGTTGGATGGGAACGTTGCCGGCAGAGGAAACCCACACAACAAGAAGGTGTTCATCGCAGCAAGTCTATACGACCGCGGTGGTGATCTCGCACGAGGACAATGGGGTACACAGCTACTACAGCTTATTGACCTCCTTGGGGGCAAGAATGTGTTTGTGAGCATATACGAGAATGACAGCGGGGAAGAAGGGCAAGCCGCGTTGCGAGAACTGGAGCAGCAGATTCCCAGCGCAAAGGCAATCGTTTTCGAAGAACATCTGGATCTCAAGACAATCCCATTCGTGACAATTCCCGGGGGAGAGAAGCGGGTGAAGCGCATTGAGTATCTGGCAGAACTTCGAAATCGAGCGCTAAAGCCACTAAACGACCGCCCTGAGATTCGATACGACAAACTTCTTTACCTAAATGATATCCTCTTCGACCCTATAGATGCGCTGCAACTACTTTTCTCCACCAATGCCAACGAGCAAGGCGAGGCTCAGTATCGTGCCGCATGCGCCGTCGACTTCGATAACCCCTTTAAATTCTACGACACTTATGCCACGCGCGATCTTGAGGGGTACTCCATGGGATTGCCGTTCTTCCCCTGGTTTTCCACTGCTGGCAACCATGACAGTCGAAAAGACGTGTTGCAAGGCAAAGATGCCGTTCGAGTCCGCAGCTGCTGGGGCGGCATGGTAGCCTTTGACGCCAAGTATTTCCAGGACCCGTTGCCTGGAGGTACCACCCCGGCGCGTTTCCGCTCTGGACCTGATCTTTTCTGGGAAGGATCCGAATGCTGTCTCATTCATGCGGATATCCAAGTTCCACGGGCTGGGGAAGACGATACGACTGACACGGGCATCTACATGAATCCGTACGTGCGCACTGCTTATGATGGTCGAACTCTGTCATGGCTGGGAATCACCCGTCGGTGGGAGCGGCTGTACTCGCTCATCCACAATATCGGTAACCAACTTGTCGGTCTGCCATGGTATAATCCCCGTCGCACCGAGATGCCTGGTCAACGTGTGCAGGAGACGGTATGGGTCCCCAATGGCAGCCAGGATGGTGGAGGTTCCTTCCAGACTGTCGATCGCACCGCTGGCAATGATGGCTACTGTGGGCGACGGGGTTTGCAGGTCATTGTGGAGAACCGCAAGCCTGGGCAAAAAGGGTTTGAAGGCATCCCTGTGCCATCACTCTAGTCTTGGTTGGGGACTGGATAATGTAATGACTTGGCCTGCCTGTTGAACCTGATGATATCTCTTGAATGATTTACTTTACATAGCTTCATGAATATAGAACAACATAATTTTGATCAATTGTGTCTTCGCTAGAGAAACCTGAATCGAGGCTTCAGCTTATGATGTGATTTGATGGGCTTTTCCGGATGATTGTCCCCGAAGCCGAATGGAATCCGGAGGACCCCAACAATATCGGCATCATCGGCAAGTGGAGTCGGCTTCGGGAGGCTTGGTGGCTGTTACTAAACACAACCATGTTACGGTGGTCAACTTTGTTACCTTCGAATTCGCTTGGGATATTCCAGGCAATAGCATTCCTATATCTGAATATTTTGCTACCCTGGTCCTTCGGGTGCGATAGTCCGTTCTCGTACAGGCACAGTCTACTGTACTAACAATGCCTTTCCGGAGATCTTCCGACATAGGCTAATGTCATTTGAAACGTGGTTCCGGTCCCTGCGTCCTGCAGCATATTGCAAGAAATCCCTGCTACATCCTTATTGTTAGAGGCTCTCGTCCATGTCATTCAGATACATCGAGGTGCAACAGAACATCAGATATATACCTGCACTGCTACTCACCAAAGAGTCTTCCATGTCAAACACTATCGGCAAATATCGTTGCCGATCATCGTCTGTGGATACAGACATGTGCAACCGAACTTGGCAGTCTTCAACCCGCTCGGCATGGAGCGGGTTCCTGAAGACTATGTCGATCCGGAATTGCCGAGTCTGTGCTTTTATCTGGTCAACAATCGTGACAGACCTTAAACGCGGATGCTCCATATGAGTAGAGAATTTCGTCAAGGGGGCCATCTTGGCCCTGGGGGATACATGGAAGTTTCTTGTCCATGGAGACTTGGCCCGGGAATTCCGGACTGGATGTCCCACATGCAAGTTAACCCTATAATCTGGAGACAGCACTAGATATCCCCCTAATCAGATCCTCTGAAATATTGCAACCTCTCATAATGTTGACATCTTCCTTACTGCTATTAGCATCGCTCAGCACTGGCCTGGTACATGCCCAGCTAACACTGGAGGACCTGTATCTTGACAATGCGCCGTCCTCGCCTCAATCATACGTCATCCCTCACTATGCGAACTCTCATGCAGTGACAATTGATAGCTAGCTATATAGATTCACCGTAACCGGGCCCTCATCCGGGAATGTTTTCACTTTGATGAACACCAATGCCCCTTCTAGCGGTTCATTGGGCGTGCTCCCGCATATTCACCGTAAGCATTATGAGAATTTCTTCTCGTTCAAGGGCCGCTTCCAGCTCTGGGCTCAGAAAGGTGATAATGAGCAGCAAGCTCGTGTCCTCACACGGGGAGACTATGGATCTGTGACGAGGAACACCACGCACACCTTCCAAATTCTCGATCCTGACACCGAGATGGTTGGTGTGATTGTTCCCGGTGGCTTTGAGTGAGTTATAGCAGAGTAATGCCCACATTGGAACATGTCTTTGTTAATATAGAGTGTAACAGGGATCTCTTCTATGCCCTCGGCACAAACTATACCTCTGGAACAGACACTCCTTACGTCCCTCAATCCACCAACAGTTCTCCCACAACTGGCCCAGGTGCTTCCACAATCTCTGCCCTACAGAAATACGACATATACGCCGAACTCGACTTCAAACCCCGGCGTGATCTAGTCAACGGCACTGCTCCCATCGGTGACAGTGAATGGCACACTGGTGCCCATAAACTCGGTACCCCAGGCCAGCCGTACTTAATCGCAAACAGCTACGGACCAATGTATCTCAACTCCCAGCATGGGTATCAGATCGTCCAGCCACTGGTATCCCCAAAGCAAGCCCAGGATAAGAACTATACTCTCTTGACCCTGACTATCAGCTGGCAGACCAAAAGTAACCCACGCCGGTGGGTTCTCGCTGGCGCGGCTGCTTTTGAGGTCCTCGAGGGCGTGTTGTCGATCAAGATTGGTGATTTATCCCGTTATGCAATTGAACATGGGTGACGTTGCTTTTCTTCCGGCACATGTCTCCTTCACTTACTATAGTGAAGTTGCCTTTACCAAGTTTCTCTATGTTAGCAGTGGCACCAAGGGTGTGGATCAGCAGTTGATTAGAAGTGGTAAGAGTTGGAACTTTGTTACTTTCCCAAAGTATTGATTTGAACCTGATTGAGGCTGCTAGACAGATCCGTGGGGATCTGTGTACTAGTTTCGTTCGCTTTTATCAGATCAGATAGGGTTGGGATTAAGCTTATCCGACAGCCTCCGTATCACCTTCCCATTCATTCTTCCTTAGTTACTACCTAGGATTCTCAGCTCCTTTCCTTTCAGAGCCATTCAGATGGACTACTCTGTTCATTGTTGGTGTTAAAAGCCTGAGGCACTGATAATCCTGACGGAACAGAAGCAGCAGTGGAGAACGGGGAACGGAGATACTAGTTAGTTATTTAGTTATAGACCCGCATGTATTAACGTAATCATTATTATACCCACATAGTTAGTTAAGTTAAATTGCTATAAAGCCCCTAGCTAGTTAATGCAAGCGGTCTAATATTATCTCCGTTCTCCGGGATCCATTGCTGCTTCTGTTCCGACACAGTCTGTCGGAACAGAAGCAGCAGTGGATCCCGGAGAAGGGATATTGTAAACCCGCATGTATTAGTCATTTTTATGCCCACATAAATTGCCAGATAGGGGCTTTATAGCAATTCAGACTTGTTGATATCCAATTGGTGCGCACCATGTTTTACTAAGCAGCATTTCCGTGTCAGTCTTCATGCCTGAGGCAGAGATCCGTTATCAAATCGCGGGGCGCATTTCCAACACGCCGCGGGGCTCAGAAGAAAAAAAAAAGAGACACGGAACAGCTCTTGTCCCACTTCACCTCTCACACATCCCGCGACCATGTTGCAAGCCATCAAGTACAGCCAGGGCCACCTGGAAATCCTGGACCAATTGCAGCTCCCCTTCGTCGAGAAATACATCCCGATCCAGACCGCCGAGGATGGATGGAATGCGATCAAGGACATGAAGGTCCGAGGCGCACCCGCCATTGCCATCGTGGCCATGCTGGCACTCGCCTCGGAATTGCATGCGCTGCGTGCTGCTGACAGGATCCCTCCTTCGGCGGAGGAGACGAAAGCGTTAATTGCGCAGAAGCTGGATTATCTTGTTACTAGTCGCCCCACTGCGGTGAACTTGGCGGATGCGGCGCAGAAGCTGAGCGCCGTGGTGACTACCCAGGCTGGGCAGACGGAGGCTACGGGTCAGAGTGTGGTGGCTGTGTTTATTCAGGGTGCGGAGGATATGATGGGCAAGGATTTGGATGATAACCAGCGCATTGGACATAACGGTGCGGAGTGGATTATGGCCAATGCTACGAAGCCTGGTGCCACTGATGTCGCGGTTTTGACGCACTGCAATACTGGGTGGGAGCGCACTCTTCAAGTCGATCGTACAGGTGCTTTGATCGTGGATGCTAACCATCTCACTCTACAGCTCCCTCGCCACGTCCGGCTACGGCACTGCCCTGGGAGTCATCCGCTCGCTCTCGTCCAAGAATGTTCTACGCCACGCCTACTGCTCAGAGACAAGACCCTACAACCAAGGCTCCCGCCTGACGGCCTTTGAATTGGTTCACGATAAGATTCCTGCTACACTGATCACGGATTCCATGGCGGCGGCATTGCTAGCAGACGCCAAGGTCGGAGTCAATGCCATTGTGGTAGGCGCAGACCGCGTGGCGGCCAACGGAGACACGGCCAACAAGATCGGCACATACAGTCTGGCCGTCCTCGCCAAGTACCACGGAGTGAAGTTCCTGGTCGCTGCGCCCCGCACCACCATCGATCTGGCCACCAAGTCAGGGAGCGATATTGTGATTGAGCAACGTCCGGCATCGGAGATGACCAGCATCAAGGGTCCTCGCGCTGGAGCCACCGCGGTCGATGGCAACGTCACCCTGGAGACTGTCTGCATCGCTGCCCCGGGAATCAATGTGTGGAACCCTGCCTTTGATATCACGCCGGCGGCCTTGATCGATGGGATTATCACGGAGGTGGGGGTGGTCGAGAAGGGACCCGATGGTCAATTCCACATGGAGGGGTTGTTCAACGGCTCGGCTCCTCAGGTTTGATCTTCTCTTCTTGTGCCTTTGAGTTTGGTGGAACTGCGTCGTTCGTTTCCTGTTGCGATGCATCTTGTCCCTCGAAGAAGGCCAGCAGCTCGTCCATTTTGCCTTCGAGAGCGTTGAGGTGGTTCTCCAGTGCCGACGCAGTTTGTTCCCCCCTGTTGTTCATGTCAGATAGCGTAATTATGCAAATAGAATCAAGGTATATACTTTGCGATGTCGGCCAAAGCCTAGAAGGGTTGAGAGTTAGCGTGCCTCTTACTTGTAGAAGGTGGACGGTGCGTTGGGGATCAACCAGCAAACACCATCCACTGGATGACTACCTCCTTCTAGACTTATCGACGCACCTGGGCAAGACCGAATTCATCACCTTTTCTCTGTGGCATATTGACTGTTGGATATTTCTGACGGCACCGAGGCTCTCGAGTGTGTTGCGAATCGTAAGTCGCGGAGGGGAACCTAGAAAGTCCAGTAGCCCGGGAGCTTGCCTTGGCGCTGAGCTGCTGTGGTAACAGAATTTCAAAAACCGACCAGGTGGTCTAGCAGACCGCATCCTCCCAGCCGATTCTAATTGGCGCCCAAAACGGGGAGGGTGCACTGAACGTAACGAGCCAGGCCGCCGCCCAAAGTTGGGTTTTTGCTGCTGGAAATCTGGCGTTCGAAACCCGCTACCGTCCTTATCCTTTTGTTTCTTCCAAATTATGACCGATTTTCATAGTGACATGATACTCGTCTGTCTATATAATGTTCCATTATCCTACATGCTCTTCTGCTTCTGTTGAGAGTCGTCGGGGGTGCCCTTGTGAACTTGAAAGCCCCGAATTCTATCTATACCCATAGCTATGTCCATCCCCGACAAATAAATGCATCTCACGAAAGTGCACGAGCTTTTGCCTGTCTTTCGTGCCAAGTATAGGGGTCCCAATACAGTACGTCGCGAAATCGGTGCAACCTCCAACCTTCGATCGTTTTTCCTGCCTAGTACGCCAAGAGACACTAGTCTATACTAAGGGTTCATACGGAGGCCGCTGCTTGTTGCAGAAGTAATGTTTTATACATATATTACATAGTAACTTTAGGTATGTATTTGACTTGTAATCAATACAGCTAACATTACCCTGCTCCTCCTTTCCTTTAAAACAACCTTTCAGTCTCAGGTCCCACTCCGTTTGGCCAACATCTGATCGACCTGAACCTAAGGGTAAAAATACAACATGATTTCCAATGCCATTTTAAAAGGATACTATGGAAAACTCCAAGCTTTTGGTGGAACGCACGGTCGGGTTCCCTTTTCCGACAACATCATTAAAGGAGCAACATCCTTAAAGATATCCAACAATATCGGGAAAAAAAGCATGACACTTCTATCGAATAAAAAAAGTGGTATTCGTTCTGGTCTCAGAGAATATCCAATATCCATATGGACTGGGTATAATGGCGTTCGGATGTGCGAATACCTAGTGGGCGTTTCATCAAATGGCAGTCCATGCATGTTACAGGGGCAGAGATGATCTATAGCTCGGTTGTATTTAGATACGAAGAGCTAGCGGGCCCAATTTCTCCCGCATATATATCTTCACAAATTGTTGATTGGAGATCAACTGGGCCTCATATGAGTTGCATTTTGTTTACCGCGAGAAAATATAAAGGTCTGGACTTATTTTGATTTACAAGATTGATATTCCCAGGCCACCAGCAATCATGGGTCTACAGTAACTACTGTAACTAAGTTAGTTAACTAGTTAGTTAACTAGTTAACGTTAAGTTATTGATCATGCTTGACTAAGCATTCCCTTTTCCAACGGCAGAAAATCGGCGTGTGTATTTTTCCCTCCACTTCAGCTCTTATTTGGTCGGTCAAGTTTATAGGTTATAATGAGCTCAGTGGCCTGACATCGTGCACCTTTCTACCAAGGTTTTGAATCGAAAGATATGAATAGAAAATATTCGAATATCGAGTTACAACATGAGTTGCTTACGTTTCGAGCACTACACATTGGACCTCATAATCAGGAAGACGCGAAAATTAGAAAATTAGCTCTAAACAGAAACGAGGGGACAAGTCCTGGATAGTCAAAAAGAATTCATTTGCAAAACAACCAACATCGTGATACCATTAATCGATCATACTACCTAAGAAGCTTGCAGATCCTTTCCATGAGAAGAGTAGAGAGACTTCACTCATCAACGTCGCGAGGATAGGCCTCCCAGTATTCTCCCAATTCCGCGTCAGTCATTCCAGGGACAGCATCATAACGGGTGAGAGGAGCCAAATCGATATTGTGCTTCTCGAATTGCGACAGCTTCAACTGAGTGAGCGTTCGTGCTTTGTTGACGCTATACACTTTGATGCGATGGGCCGAAGACGTGACATGAAGTCCCCAGTTCCATGCCGCTCGCACATTTAATGGCTGTGTATTGAGAGAGTTATCCCAACACCTGCAAACGATCTCAATCCACCCTTCCACATCGCAGGGCAGATCAATTTCCCAGGTTCGCCAGGTCCACTTACCCTTTGGGGATAACTGGGCTTCCGGTACGGCATACCAATTGAAACCCCCGTCGGCAGAGAGCTCGACACGTTCCGGCCATCTTCCGCCACCGGAATACGCCCAGCCCTTGCAGTGGATTTTGCCGTCATGCATAATCACTTGCTTTGTCCAGGGAGACATGATCGCTGAACTGACAGGCATCTCCTGGATTTGGATGCCGTCTATAGGGCGCAGGTTGTACTTGCCCACCTGCTGATTGAAGTAGAGATATTCCCTGGATTGGACGGGCGCGAGGGTTGGACTTTTGATGGCTTTGATGCGGTATAGCCACTTAACACTTCGAGCCCCGATATACCCCATCACAATAACTCGTAGCGGATAACCATGGATCTTAGGGAGCACCTCGCCATTCATTTCCCAAGCGAGGATAACCTCGTTAGCCTTGACCTTGGACCAAGGCACGCTAACAACATAATTGCCCACTTCGAGGTCCTTGACGTAGGTCTCGGCACCATAAAGTTCAAGGTGTTTGGCATGATCGATCAGACCACCGCAATCTTTAATCACCTTCTTCAAGCTGATACCCTTATACCGTGCGGTACCAATAGCTCCCTCGGCCCAAGGAGCTTGTGGCACTTCGTCACCCTGGCCAGCATACAACGCAATTTGCTCGATGCGGCGGGTTCCCGAACATTGCATCGTGATTGTCTTTTCCATACGTGGGAACTTAGTCTCATCCATCAATTCCTCCATTGTATATGTTTTAGGTGATTTCACGAGTCCGTCTAGCTTCAGCTCAAATTTGTCCGCATCGATGATCGGAATGCCGCCATGGTTGCGCACGAAATGAAGAGAGTTTGGAGTTATTGCCTTTGCGGCCACCAGTCGCTTTGGTGGCTCCCCATTGTAAGGGAACTGCAACAAGTGAAGCATTTCAGGATGTTTCTCTTCCAGCACCGTCTTCCAAGAATCATCCGCAACAGGGGCAAGCTCTCCACCTAGAGCTGCATGCCAGGCTTTGAAATCATCGCCAGTGAGTACGGGATTAGTCCCCGGGATTGGTCCCCATTGAAAATCGGGACAAGGTGGAAAGGTTTGCGAAGTCAAGATTTTGTGGGCTTGAGCCTTCTTTTTGGGGTAATTCTCCCATTCGACGTAGCTGTAGTCCAGTCAAACGCCATATCAGCTTTGCTGTTCTGATTTCAATAATCAAGTGGTTATGAGACACATACCCGACCCAGCCTTCTCTTTCACGGGCAAAGAGCTTCTTACGATTACCCACTGCTTGGATAGCCTTCTTATTTTGCACTATTTCAGACGGTTTCGGGGGAAACACTTTGACGACCGTCTTTCCTGTCTGGTCAAGGATAGGCAGCACATGGCCTGCCATACCCTGCTCGATCATCCATTGATCAGGTCTGTCCAGAGCCGTAAGGCTTGATCTTCTTCTGGATTCCATGTTGTACCAAAGGTGATAGACAAATTTATCGGAGTGGGCAGTTTGAAGAATATATTAGCAGAATGTCGTAGTTATATAACTCGCGGCGCACGGCCCCGCAAACGAACCCGCTCGGCGTCAATGTCATGATATCAACCGTGTCTAAACTAGGCAATACTTCTAAGCCAATAGTAAATAAGCTCTTTTCTTCAATTATTTGCTAGAACTCTAGTCATGTACGCCACAGGATGGTACGCTGTACTGCATGTATCACATTTTCATGATGCTGTGATTTTGAACCTACCGTGCGGCGAACGATAGCGGCTATCCTTTGGCAACGTTCGTTTCGCCTTTTACATCATCCGCATCATCCCCTTACTGATCGGGCACAAATATGTCCGAATTAGGTAATATGTATCACACCGCCACCCTATGAATCGTTCTAAGCAAGGTTGTGCGATGATGAAGAGTAATGGAATGTTAGGCAGTGCGCAGTTATTGAGTTGCGTATGTAAATCAAATAACAAAACTATAGAGTATTTGTGCTTGGGTTCGTGGTGTTTTTAAGCAAATAAACGGCTGATCATATGGATTCTGATTGATTTAAATAGTATGCCATATCATGAATGTAAGATAAATTGTATGAGCGAATTATATATTTCATTATTGATTGGTCCTCCGGCTCAATCGGTCTCTTCTAATTTTGAATACGATACGAAATCACGTGGTTATTGATTATGTTTGGTTGTGGTTTCAAGTAAGGTTTCCCAGCCTGGGAGCCGTGTTCCGGCCACATGGCGTCAATAGTCGGATAGTATGCCTGCATAACCTGCCAGGCCTTTGTAAACATTGCTATTCTTATAGACCTGTTCAACTCCGGTTTCACCTATCCTTTCTAATGCTGTCGCAACTTTTTCGGAAATTAGGACTGTGAAGACCTTCTATTCAGCAAAGAGCTGATTAGATCCGATACTCGGTAGATCATATAGATTCAGGCAAAATGGTTGTTGGGAAACGTGTGTCAAAAGCTGACCGCTAAGATTGTAAACATATGATATCGTTCAGGTGGAGGGCGAACCCTCGCCCCGCAAGGGTCCGTAACAATCGTAATTTCTGTAAGGGGCCGCTTATGTATCGATCCTAGTTTAGTCTCTAGCTTGCAACAAACTATCAAAAGCAGAAAGTTGCAGACTCTGCCTTACAGAAAGGGCTGATACGTCCTCAATCACTCCCTTGCATACCCACGTCTTCCATCTTCCAATCATCGATATACACAGCATCTCGCTATTTGAACCCAGTCGGATTGTCATTAACTGACATGTATCTACTTTCACTACTTTTGGTACGATAACGTGGAGGTATATTTTTCTTCCTGATCCGTCCTCAACCTAAGACGATTAGAATATGTGGCATGTTAAAGTAGTTGCTCTATTACAGCTATCGCAGCAAGAACTACTGACTGCTGCCTTACATGTTATGTCTCCAAGTACGACTTTGTGCTTTTTGAAGAGTAGAAAACGGCTCTCTGATTTTACTTTCCAAGGTGAGCAGTCAACTTGGGACAAACAAGGTTAGTGATAAGGGCGGGGTACTGGGGTATACGAGAGTTCCGGCGGTCTAGACCGACAACTCACACCGATTCATTCTGGATGCATAAGTACTTCGCCACAAGGCGATATTGTCCCATACAACACGAATTATACTTCCGGATAACATAGGAGTTAATGGGAAAGTGAATTTCAAAGCTGATCTTATGATTCACGACGGCCCCACTTACTGTACCGGGATTGCTACCCTCAGAGAAGCTTTGGTCCGGCGGACACCCTTCGAGAGACTGCCTTTGAAGCACTTCACAGAGCCCCGAGAAAAACATCTGGAAGATAGCAAGAAATGACTTCCCTCTAGTTAGCAGTTTCAATTTGTTCAATATAAAATTCTCGAAGCCAAGGTTGGGGCGCATAATGTAGATGAGTTGCTACAGTACCACTGACTGAGCGACGGCATAAATTTCCTAACTTGAAAATAGAATAGATTGCCGCCGGAAGGTAGGGCTCAAAACTCAACTTGGATATGCAGTATGATTCGAGCAATCATTTACGTTTATCATGGATTCTTGGGTTTCTCTCCCTGCAATCCTAGCCTTCAATTAGGAAAGCCGTAGCCAATAAACCGAAGAAAAGAGTACCCTTTTCAGTTTGTCTGCCAGACCCCATGGCGTTCTAATGTTTCGTGAGTTCTGATGGTATTTCTTGAGGCGTTTCATGCCCCAAGACCAAGGATATGTAATTGCTTCTCCCAGTTATCCCCCAGCTGTTCCTTCAAATAAATCAGCCCCTCTTCACTAGGGAGCGTTGTGAATAGTTCAAGATTTTACCGCTATAATTGATCAGTTGATAGATTTTGCTTTGAATATCGCTCGGATCAACGTTCTTGAAAACTAAGAAGTGTTTGAGAAGCACAGAGACTAGCTCTAATTTGCGTGTAAGATTCATGTACTGCTGGTGTAAGGTCGAGTAGTTCGTTTTGATCGTATTATCCTGTGAGTGGTTGAAAGTTGGGTAAGGGTTGTAGATCTTGCATAACCTGAGTCAATCGGAGGTATATTCCTCATTCCGTCTGATAAATTACTGTTAGCTCTGAAATTATCGTCAATGGCCCTTACAAATCAAGATCGGTGCTAACGAAAACGACTCCAGACACTGGTCATGGGTAGGAAGGATTCCCTTTCTGGTGGCCAAAACTAATTTGCCCTGTAAGTAGACCAAAGAAAGTATTCCGGCTAAGAACTTTTTACCTCTGAGCAGAATATTTAATAGGTACTGTCCTGGTAGAATGCGTTGTGAGTGGACTAGATCAAATTTCTCATGGTAAACCGTTCAGTGTATCTAGATTCATAAGAACCCAGACTCCTTCTAGGAGCGATCAATCTTTTTTTCAACTCTTTTTAGACAAGAATTTGGATTTGGATAAAGACCTCGTGATTCCCAATGCATTCGCATGGCATGACTTCTAGCGCGAGATGGAGAGTTTTCATTGACAAAAATTAAAGACTCGTCAATTCCTCGGGAAAAATCAGCCATTGAGAAGTTCGGCAAATTCGGTTCGACAAACAGACTCTCATCTTATCTCATCACGCACGCTAGCCCGCCTTGTATAGAGGCTCTCCCAAATGATAAAGAGTCCATCATAGGTATCTTGCAGACTGCTCGTATTTTAATAGGTAACCAAGAAAGCCGAATCTGCAAAGACAACGTCATACTTGAGGCATTGAATCAAGTCATGATATCATCAAGCCATAAGCCGGTAGATTGGTACGAGGTCCAGTATTGACATTTCCAGTCCGTGCGATGATTAGTCAGATGAAGCTCTTGCGTGTTCCGGTTTCGATGAGGTAAACAATTTAACGCTTGATAGGGATTCATTCAACACTTCCAGAGACAACTTCATAGCTGCCCGAAGAGTGGAAAGCGGGCAAACGGTATTGCCAGATCGCCGGGTTCACCGGGCTGGGAGGGTTTGACGTACAGCAAGGGTATTGAGCAATCCCCAACCTCCTCTAGAGAGGACTAGTGACTGAGTCTCCTTCTCTAGGAAACTTGCTAAGTTAGTCGGAGAGTTCCCCTGGCTGATCAATACAAGTATGATACAGCGCACAGTTCTTTTTAGAGTATATCCCGGAATTGACACTGGTACAAGGATATTGATATTCCGGGGCTATTCCTGGTGATGACAGTCAGGATGTTTTTCGCATATGCAGCGGCTGTTGCTGCTGCGTACTTCTGCCACCCTTGATTCTTATGAGAGTCCGCATAGTCAGATATTCCTCGAATCACAAGACATGGCACGTAATCCACTAGTCCTGCGGCTCCCATTTCAAACCAAAGTATTCCAAGCTCGGGGGCTATTCTATCCCTTGTAGGTTCATGCTTTATTAACTGATTTCCCGTTCCTATCAAGCCATAGTGAAGTTCTGGCTCTTTCGTATCTCGAGTAGGTCGTGGCACTACTTTTTTCCTATCGTAGTTGTCACCTGTTGCTGTTTGAGTAGTTATGATCATAATGAGTCTCAGAAAGCAGATCTTCCTCCTGTCCAGGATGTGTAAATTTGGATATACAAGGATTCCTTGTCGCCATCTCAGAAAGAGAGGATAAAACCCATTTAGATAAGCTCCACTCAATAAATAATCTGCGCTAAGGGATTGGCAGCGGGGCTAGGAAGAGTGTCTAAGAGTGTTCTTGTTGCACCGGTTTCCATCGAGTCATGAAGCGTCGCAACGGACTTGGACGGCAACTTTCTAAGCGTAATACAACGCGAAAAAGTCCTCGTGGGATCTTGAACGCAGTGCCTCATGAGTCAAGTCTTGTGCAGTTCGTATGCGTGCTCATATTTGGTACATAAGGTGGTGGGTAGACATGGAGTGGCAGGTCGGATCTGGAGAGCAAAGTAATGGTCCAACCTGGTCTACTTACACTCTCACTTTTTCGAAAGATCTTTCCAAGCCTCCTTTAAATAATATCTAAGATTATCTGTTAACTGACGATCGAGGAGGTGATTTCAACGTGTTGTCGGGGTCAATTGTATGGAACACGGGCCCACCCACTTCGTCACTACCCCTTTTTAACCAGTGGAAGTTAGTACAGTCGATGGGAAATCGGAGCCTATCTACAAATTTCCGAAACTCGACTTCAATTTTAAGATGTTTTCTGGGCGATATTTCGAGTCGACTTGATCAGCTATACAGTCTCCTAATTCAGGGGGGATCTATCCATTACATGCGACCCACCGACCGCGACTTCGCGTCCACTCAACGCGTTGAGTTGTCCACTTCATCAGACTTGACAGGAGTCGTCCTGCTCGTTCCGCCCGACCCGCTTCGGTCAAATCACCGGCCTACGACCAGTGCAACGATTCTATTGTGGAGCAAAAACCATCTACAGCGGTCTCCGGCTCTCCCATCCAACCCAGCAAAGCGCGCAAGGTTGTCCGGACCCTATTCAGAGCCCAAGCAGAGCCAGAAACGAAAAAGGGCCAGCTCTATTGCGCCGCCTCCAAAGACAGGGTCCCACACTGTTCGAGATACACCCAGCAAGTCGTGCAAGACAGGCCGGTCCGATCCAGTACCCGATCATGGCCAGAAACGAAAAGCTCATCTAAAGACGGTGTCCCAAAATTTGCGGGATGGGGAAGGTGTAGCCGAGCGCCGGGACCATCCCGCTGGTGAGAAGGCTGTCACCAACCTCACTGTCTATCAAGATGGCAAGTTGTGCAATCTGAAGCCCGAGGCGCACTGCACAATTATCCACCGGGCAGCCCGATTAATGCGACAACATTGGTCAGACGATCACAGAGACGTCAAGCCTTTAATACCCAAATTTAAGCCTGCTGAAGTATCGAGCAAGACGGTGGATGAGGGCCTCATGCGGCAGTATACTGTGCCAGTGACATGTCAGAAACTCAGAGGCGCTGTTCCTGGCGAGTCTCGCTACTTTTTGATCAAAATACCGGATGCTGCTCCCGAGTCCAAGCCACGCAGTCGTGATGTCCAAAAAACTCAAACCACCGCGCACGCTAGTCCACCCTCTTTCTCTCCCAAGCCGACCAAACCAGAGAAGGCTATCAAGTCGAATGGTGCATGTCCGAAGCCTCGGCGAAAAGACTGAGCCTCCTACCTTTTTTCGACCTGAGGCCCGATAAACTATTCGCATGCATCCAGGAGCCCGACCCAAAGGACCCTCCGACAATGACATACACGCGGCAGCGTTCCAGGTAGAAGATGATGAAATTATCCATGAATCTTGGCTACCGAGCATGATGTTCAACAAGAGCATTGCACAGGACTGGATAACCCCATGGCAGCAAGTCATGATGGTCTTTGCGCGTACCCAAGTGCCGCATCAGTGGGAAAGCCCCCGCTACCCCTTCACGGAACGTCAGCAGCAGGCATGGGATCGTTTATGGAACGAAGCATTGAGGTGGAGGAGTGGTAGCAGATATACCAGTACTGCTCCTGATGAAACCCCTCGCCTACCTATCGATCTAGCCTGTTTGGACTTTTTGTGTCGAGCTGTTGAACCAGACGATCGAGAAATTGGAGATGGAAAGTGCATTACTGTGTGCACTCGCCGTCCAACGAAGGAGCCCAAATGGATGGCGGATGGATGATACTACTCAGCCAGATTGGCCAAAGTCATCCAAGTCTCTCGGTTCATCATTGTTCTCAAAGCGGCACATTTATACATGGACCCCAATACCTGCGTAACGCATAAGACGTTTACAGACACCGTCAAAGCGCGCCATGAAATCGAGTCTGAGCCTCCATTGCCTAATCCTGATCTGACTGGGTCCGATCCCATTGCGGTCGAGGCTAAAGCCGACCCAAAAACCCAGGTGCGATCTATTGTTGACTGGATTGAACTCATGGTTAGGAACTTCATGGTGCGTGGCACGCGGAGTCCTACACAATGGATTTTCGACTCCTGGATCCGTGCGCTTGAAAGTAATTATTACAGTACGTGACAATGGCCCTTTGATGCAAGGCTTTATCCTGAATGCTTGGAAGTATCTAGTCACTTGGTATAGCAAAGCGGCCCAAAACGGGGCTTGAGATAGGTTGAGAAACTTTGCCCAGAAAAACCGAGAGAATTGTCAACGCGAAGGTGTTCCTGAAGACATGCAATGCCGAGACAAGGCCAAGAGTGACGTACATCGGCTATACCATAGAACACCAATTCTGTGGACAAATCAAAGATGAATCCGCCTGTCAAGTTTGATGAATGATGAATCAAAAAAAGGCCGTCCGTGTGGAATGTAGGGATAAACTCAGGCCAAGATAAACATGAGTCCAGGCTCTGGAATGGAATGTAACATCAACAATGTCAACATGGGCCGCCCATCTGTCATACACGCTCATTTATAGTTCGCAAAAAGATCCCTGGTTAACATTTCCATTCATCCTCAATCCATATCTGGGTCTGCCCTGTTTCATGATGCATTTCCACGCCACTTCAATCGGTCTACTTGCGGCTGTCCCCTCGGCACTGGCCTTCTGGCCAAGCTACTATGCCGAACCCGCGAGTCTCTACCGGAATGATGAGCCCAGTGTCAAGGTCGAAACATTGTATCAATTCCCAAACAATGGATCCTGGATTGACAATCTTGCCTTGCGCTCTGACGGGAGTGTCCTTCTCACGCGTTTGGATACTCCTGAAGTCTGGTCTGTGGACACTGTCACTGGAAATGCAACGCTAGTTCACTCCTTCGCCAATGCGACCAGTTGCTTTGGAATCAGCGAGATCGATGATGATGTCTTTGCCGTTGTGGTGGGCAACTTCTCCACAAAGACATATCAACCCACCGCGGGATCCTTCACGGTCCAGAAACTGGACTTCAATAACGTTCATGCAACCGAGAACGAGGACGCGACCCAAATGGCATCAGTCTCCCACATCGCTGCTCTTCCAGAAGCCCAGGCTTTGAACGGCATGGCTTCTTTCACCAAGGAGTCGCACTTGGTGTTGATTGCAGACAGCCCCAAGGGAGTGGCATGGAAACTCAACACCGAGACCGGCGAATACTCCATCGCTCTCAATGATACCACCATGCTACCCGCCGAGGGCCAGGCCCTCCCACTCGGTGTCAATGGCCTCAAATTGGTTGATGACTACATCTACTACTCCAGCACCACCCGCATGCAATTCGGCCGTGTCCAAGTCAATCAGGATGCCACCCCGGCCGGAGACTACGAGATCATCGCCAGTGGATTCTTGCCGGATAACTTGGACGTGGCCTCAGATGGCACCGCATATATTGCAACCGACCCGCAGAACTCGGTTGTTCGCATCTCGCCCTATGGACAGATTTCGTTGGTGGCTGGTGGCCAGCTTTCCACTCAGATGCCAGGGCCAACTTCTTGCCGGCTCACGAGCGATGGTAAGACACTGTATGTTGGGACGAGCGGAGGCCAAGTTGCTCCCGTGCTGGGCACCTTTATGGAACCTGCCAAGGTGGTGAAGATTACTTTTGAGTGAGATGGACATGTAGATATGGGGGTTATTGGAGTAATGATTCTTGCTTGCATGTATTAATAGATAACCAGCCCCTGACAAAATATTCCATATTTTACGGGCCCGGGCTGGTTCAGGGAAAATGGATATGTTCTTCGGTCATGGAGCTCGGCTTTAGGAGGTTCTTTGATCGGGGCGTGTTGGTGAAGTTGGGCGTTTGGCATCTCAGAGGAGACTAAATTAGCGTTGTATGCGCTGAATCCCTGATATTTCGTACTTCATCCGTTCTCTTACTCTTCGTTTCTTTCATACCCCTACAATTCAAGTTCACCTCGCGTCCTGGCCTCTAATGTCCGGCGTAACGCTCCAAGAAGAGGCCGCTTCCCAATTGACATCTTTCTTCCCGTTAATTTTCCAATCTCCTGTTCGGTTCAGTTCTATTCTGACCTTGACACGCAGGACCGGTGGGATCATAATGCCATTGGGGACAGCCGGGAACAGTGGGAGCGACTCGTCTGGGAATGGGAGAGTCTCACGCTAATAGAGCGTTATATGTATCCAACAACGTGCACAGTCCGAGTCTGCTCCGCCATAACTTAACGAGGAGATCAAGCGTGTGCTAGCCACGCAACAGACAGCACACGAGCGAAATATCAGTCTCGTTAGCAGCGATGGCTGCCGAACTCTCTGGCTACGCACATGCTACGACCTAGATCTCGCCGAAAGGCGGCTCACGGCGGCGGGTATCGATGTGGGCGTGGGCACGGAAGAAGGGGTACCAGATTCCGGCTTGGTACCAGCGGGACAAAAGCTCCGTACGAACAGATGAAGTGGAATCTGAGGTCCCTGGAGCGGGAGTCTCGGGGGAGGACAAGATCCTGGACGACCCCTCTCGCTACGATTTCAAAGACGGTAGTAGTGGGGACTCATGGCGACGAGTGTTAATTTGCATGCCCGGGATCACTGACTTCCGAGGCGTTTTCGATATGGATGGCGACGGTAGTAACATGCAGTACATTAGTGGGCAGCACGACGAGGATATGGTGGCGCGACGACAAGAGATCGAAGAGACGTGGTGGCGGGACCTCAGTCTCGCGCAGCTAAGAATCCAGCCAGGTGGACCTGTACCTGTTGGATCGTGAGGCCATCGAGGACATGGATTGATCGAGATTCTCTAGTTGGATGAGCATGTGCAGATTGCCTGGGAAAACCGGTTGGATCCTTTCACTTCAACTTTGAGTCGGCTCACGGGATGCCTCCTGAACGCCACGAGTTTGGTGGATTTACCGGCTACGACTGCACCCGCGGCCCTCTAATTGAAAACTAGACAAGCTAGATCTTGCCCTTGACAGGGAAACTTGGTTAAGACTGCTTGGCATATGGGATGTTGACTACGGGCCGGGAGAGGGTTGAGTACAACGGAAAAGAGCATATCCTTGCCCGAAAGCTGAAAGATCCCTATTTGATATCTATAATACAGTGCTGAGATTCCCAACACAAAAACTCACATCCCAAGACGCCGAGCCAGATCGATGATGGCCCATGATACATACATACTTCAATGCACAAATAATTTCAACTCATGGCGATATCGTTTGAGGGCATTGCAATTACCGCACAAACTTATCAAGCCATTGTGAATCACGGGCTCGTTGCTCTCGCTCCCGCGCCCTCCGCTGCTGGATCAGTGCATAGCCGCATCCAGCTCCGGTGAAGTAACCGCCCAAGTGAGCGGCGTGGTCCATCTTGGTGAGTCGTGAGAGGGGCCAGACCCGCAGGAAGCGTGCTGGTGTTACCATACTGAAGAGTTCGGTGGCAACCAGACAGGCTAGGAAGATCCAGCCCTGAGTCCAGAGCGTCTCGCGGAGATCACGGGGCAGGATCCACATGGTGATTTTGTCACTGAGAGATGCGTTAGACTTGGAAGTGTTAGAGAGAGTTGGGAGATAACTTACTCGAAGTGATACATGCACCATGCTGCGACGATACCGCTGGTAGCGGCACTAGCACCAAGTGATGTCATACCAAGGTACCCAAGAAGGACGCTACGTGACAAAGATACCATGGAGCCAACGGCTCCAGAGGCTAGATAAATAGCCAGGAAGTTTCCACGGCCAAGTTCGTCGTGGACTGTGGGTAATTAAACGAGATTAGCTTTCTGGTACATAGACGATCATGTCACAAAAATCATACCTCGGGTTCCCATGAGACCCAGAACCATCATGTTCGTGGCAAGATGTCTCCACGTCTGATGGCTGAATGTGCTACCGAGAACACCCAGAGCACTTGGATAGAACGGAACAATGACGAAGAAGCGGTTGAGCAATCTCCATGATGGAGGAACATATTTCCACAAGAAGGTGACGGCGAGGTTGGCACCAATGATAGCTCCCACTGTTGCTGCTGCGGGAGGAATATCCGGCCACATGCGATCTTGTCGAGCAGGGGCCTCGTAGTTTTGGGCAAAGACATAGCAAAGGCCTAGGGTAATAATGGTGAAGATCAGCGGTGCAAGAAGGCGTTGAGACTGGGATGGTTCCAACGTTAGTCAATTCCATAAAACCGAGAAGAGAGTTATTCATACGGTGGTCAGATTGACAGCCTCCTCTTGATTTAGAGTTCCCGCGATGTGGTGTTTCTGAACCCACGCAAGGTAGGGACGTTCATTAGGATCCGCGCGAGGACGAGCTGTTCATGTTTGTCAGCAGTTTAACTGGAAGTTTCCCAGTGTTAAATAGCCATACCTTCTGTCAACGCAGACTCTTGATATCTCTGCAGCGCCGTGTTCCCTTCAACCTGACGTTGCAAACGCTCAAGTTCCTCATTTTCACCCTCAAGCCACTGTTGACGTTTGCGCTCCTTCTCGGCCAATAATCGCTTCTCATTCTTCTCCCGCGCCTCTTTGAGAACACTCTTTCCATAGACGGATTTGTCTTCACCAAGCTCTGCCTCGTAGGACCCACTCTGGGGCTTGTACAAACCCAGCTGTTCCGCACGTCGGACAAGCTTTTGTTCCGCCTCGTATTCCTCTCGTTCAATCCGGGCTAGGATTGCGGCATCCTCGTCGATGGGATAGTTCTGGCGCAGCCACTCCAACGCGGTATCGAGTTGTAATTGGGGCACGGCACGAGTAATGTCGGATGGTAGGTCGAGGTCGAGGGTACCTTCTACCCGGCGAGCTTGAAGAACTGCCAATGTGCGGTTCCCTAGTCTTGCGGAAATCTTGCTGGAGGCGAAAATCGACTTGATCTGTGCATCGGGACGTGGTTTCTCGCCTGGCAAGCTCTCGAATGTCTTTGCTGCAGCTGCTGCGGCTGCAGTGGTCCGTTTCAACCTTCGTTGGGTGGGTGCAGGGCCATCATTTTGAGAGATGATCGTGGAGGCACTAGGCCGATGTCCATGTAGAGACGTGGGGTGTAAGGAACTGAAAGGGCGGTTGATCGGGCTGCTGGACAAACTCCATGGCGTCATGCGGAGGTTCCGACAAATCGGACGGAAGGAGACTGGAGGTAACACACTGGGACTTCGGAGTCCCGAGCATGGTATCCGCCATGCGACCCAGAGCGCATTGCTCATGACCTGGGATAGGCGAGGGAAAACCTCGTCGGACGTGGACAACACGAGTGTTGAAGAGGAATGGAGGAGGCTCACTCAACTTCTGGACGGCCGATGCCGATGGTTCGGAGAAAGAGTTGTTCCGATAACCGGGGTATTCCCCGTGCAGATTCACATGTGATTCCAATCACTCAAGCGGGAAGTCGAGTATTCGAACATGAATGATGATGACAATGGCAACCTAATTTACGCAATTTAAGATATACAATGCAATATCATTTTCTACCAAGAAATAACTCCCAGTCAATGCAGTATAAACCTCACAAACCACCTAAATGCAACCCATGTATCATGTTTCAAGTAATGTACATCCCGCAACAGAAAGAGAACCAAAAATATATCCACAAAAATTAAACCCATTCAAAGGTTATTGTATACGCTCACATTCAAATCATCCACATCAACAAACCCAGTAAATGCCCGAGAAAGGAACGTGCGCCAGGCCTCGTTCACCTTCTTCTTCTTGGTGATTGAAGGGTCGAGGGAGAAGGTCGTACCAGTGGCAGCCGCACCCTCCTCACCGATGCGAATGGCGAGCTCCAAGAAGCTACGGACAGTCAAATCCTTCATCTGACAGGCGCCATCATCATCAGTGGAATATTCGACTTCAAAGTCGACTCGAGGGGCCTTGTTTTTTTGGGAAGCGGCCTCGTCGTTGATTCGGGTCAGGTTTGCGAAGTATTGGGTGTAGGCTAGCAGGGTGAATGGTTGATTGGAGTAGGCAGGGCCCGGGGGTGCCGTGGAAGACGGGGGATCGGGAATTTTGAAGTTTGGTGGCTTGTTGTCCTTGTCCTTGTCCTTGTCCTTCTTCTTTTTCTTCTTCTCGATCTCGACCGCAGGGTTTTGAGCCTCAAGCGGAATTGACCCCTCAGCAGTAGACGCATCAACAGAGGTTTCAATACCATTGTAAATGGAATCATCCTGCACCAAAAGCGTTTCCAGTCCAGTGATGTTGTATTCCACTACCCGCAGTGTAGGGAAATAATTCGGCACCAAACTCGGGGAGACCAACGAAAGACTGTATCGTTCGGCAAATGGACCACCGATCTTCTTCAAGTACCGCCGCTCCTTCTTCTCTCTCTTCTTCTCCTTCTTGCTCTTCTTTTTCTTCTTGGCTGCAACGTAATCGAGAGAATCGGACGAGCTGCGTAGCTTGTCGAATATACCAGAAGGTGGAGATGGCAGCGAAGACCATTGCTTGCGTAGTGAGACAAGATAGTCCTCCTTCGAGGAAATCATTATCGTGTCCTCCGTGGAATCCTCCACCACGGCGTCAATGTCGACGTTGTGACTGTCCTGCAGGATGAAATGGTCGATGTTCATGTGCCCATAAAGACCGGTCACGACGACATCGCGGTACCGATCCATCCACAGAGTATACTTCTGCCAGCAGCTCTCGTCCCAGTTTTTCTTCTCATTCGACCGAGCGGGAGCCACATGGCCCATCAGGATAGCCTTCATGCCCCGGCTCCGTAACAGTTGCAGCTGAACCCGTAGCCACTCCATGTGCTCGTATCCGGGCTCCGACTTGGCACTGCACCCATCCACCGCGCTGTTGGATTCGAAGAAGTACATGGTGTTCAGACTGATGACGGCCAGCTGGCCGGGAATGACCTCTATGGTGAACCACCCGCCCTCGACGAAAGTGTGGCGTTGGTCTTCGGGAATGAAATGGCGCCAAATTCCAGCAAATTTCTTGGTCCACGTATTGGGGCCTCCTCGGAAGATGTTATGGGGCAGGATGTCGTTGTTGCCAAAGGTAGGTATGACAGGCACGGAGAGTCGGGGGATGCTGGTTGGATTCTTGGCCTGATCACTGATTCCGAACAGTTCAACCCATTTCTGAGCCATAAACTCGTTGAGTTCCACAATCTCGTCTGCTGTTCGTGGTCGTCTCTCGTCGTTGTCATGGCGAACCGAGTCCCCTGTCCAGATGACAAAGTCGATCTTGTCCTTGAGGTTTTCCTCAATCCACCGGAATGTTTCATTGACCAGGGACAATGGAGAGTCACAGTCTGAGCCCTCCGCGCCGAAATAACCTGCCGATCCCTTGCCGCGGTGGCATGTTCCGCCTCTCTCGTCGGGCAGGGTGCCCGCTTTGTAGAATTGGTCGGGGTGGAAATCTATTCTCGTAGGCCCTGGTTAGTATTCAGCTGCCTCTTCACGTAGGAAGGGATGCCACTCTATCCAGCACGTACCGGTGATATGTAAAAATCGACCGCGAGGCCCTGAGGCGGCTAGACCTGCAGGGGGTTGGAGTACATCATCGGGCACGACATGGGCGCTAGGGTTTGTGTCGGGGTTGGCCAAGGGCTGTTGTACGACCGGAATTGTCGATGCCGCCGCACTGGCCCACAAGGTGAGCAATGCGACTGTCGACAACATCTTCATGCAGACCGTCCCCAAAAGTTTGTGGATCGGCCAAACCGACGAGGATTTTGGGGGGGGGGATAAACCCGATCTTATCGCAGTTCACGTCACGTCACTGCGCAGCGAAGGCTGCCGGCCAGGCCACCAATCGGCGAGCGTAGTGATGCTGAGTCACCTCGGAGAAGATTTGCGATGCCGCAGTCGAGTTCTGAAGGATTCGGATCGGATAGGTGACTGTGGTGGCAGTAATTATGGTGTGAGAGAGAAAGACGGTAGAAAAGAGAAGTAAAAAAGGGATCAAAATTCAACATGAGACTCGCTTTCATGTTCCCCCTCCTTTTTGCCTCGTCTGCGCACCTGCCCACTTCTCTTTTCTTTTGGGTGCCGCCCCGGATCGGCGCCCAACACACGTGCCCACCAGTATATAGCACAATGCCACTATATCCAATGATCACCACACGTGCCGGCGATCACCCGCTGTAGCCGCCTCAGGCAGCCGTTAGATTACAGTCTAGAGCCAGTCAAGACTTCCCACCACTGTTCAGATAGTAGGCTATTAACATCTCGGCCCTAGTCAGATGTCTTAGGTGGCAGCTCAAAGTCTGAATCGGATATGCTCCAACTTCACCTCCCTGGGGACATCATTCTGAATGTCTTTTAACCCGTCTTTGTCGATAGCTCCCGTATCATTTTTTAGTTCATTGTTCAACCATTGGCGGACAAGATGATTATAAAAACCTGTCGGGCTTTCAAACTTATGAAACTTTACAGTGGAAGTCAACAGGGGCGTCGACGTGCCTCTGCTACATTACTGCCTAGACGGATAATGTGAATGATCTAAATTCGTAACCATTGATGCCTTTTGTGGATATCTAGTGTGAAGGAAAAACAACCGTCATGTCGTGATCATGTCAATGCACATGCTTCTCATGAGATTCCCCTGCAGTTACTGGGCATAATCATAGCTCATCCCCCGGCATTTGAGCCAGAAGGCTCGAACGATTTCCACCGACTGCTGTCTCGCTCCTCGGGCCACGACCAGGGACTGTAAGAACCGAGACTTGTCTTGCGAAGAAAGAATCGGGACTGGATGAGCGATTCCGTCTGTGGTGTGAAGATCCAGTGTCTCAAGAGCCGCATTGATGCTGGGGCGGGCGAGCGCCATCTGCTTGAAGATCAAGCGGCGAAGCACATCGCTGAGAGAGGCCAGATCCGACCGCGCACAGCGACCGGCGATCTGATTGACCAAGGTCTGACTAAGTCGGGGGATGAACGACTCGAGGACTTGATCGAGCGCGGCGGTCTCTTCGGGAGAGTTGCCGCGAAGGTCCACGACGGCCATCCAGAAGGCAGATGCCGAGCGCAGAGTCAATGTCTCCGGTCGGGTCAACGCGTGGAGAGCAAAGTTCATCGGGACAGTAAATACCGGGGTGCTCTGATGGGGCGAATTAGCTGCCAGAGATGGCAGGGGTCCCGTCAGAGAGTAGAAGACCGTGTAGTATTTCGGCATTAGACGAGCGAAAAAATCAATGCCGGCATTGGCTGTTTCCGGATCGTACATATCTGGATTGTCGAGCATCGATGAAAATAGCTGGGCAACATGAATCATCAACGCCACCGCCTCGTCACGAATATGCATGAAATGAGATGCATGAGAGGCCAAGAATGAAGATGCAGTTCCCATAATCACATCAGTCCCGGAAATGCCCAGTGGGAAACTTTTGATAAAGTCCACCGTCATGGATGGGGGGAACACAAACAGTCCCGATGACTCGGTGTACCCAGATTTGAGAATATCACATGCGGAATCGATCATGTTGCTGTCCACGGGGAAGCCCACGACAAGCAGTCGCATTGATTCCATGATGAGCTGCTGAGCCCGTGACCCGGGTCCGGAGTTCCAAAAGGACGGAGGATATGGGCTCTGGTCTGCTGCGGCGGCATCGACGTTGATCACCTCGTCCGCATCCGATCGAAGACCCTTTCCGATGCTGGCAATGCAGCTCAGAATCAGGTGGCCATGCGAGCGAGCGATATCATATGCTGAGTTGGCAGCCTCTTGTTGCGCCTTGGTGGCTTCCTGAACAAAGAAGCTAAGAATTCGCTCAAGTGTCTGTACTTTCTCTTCATCTGTAGGCAGTCTTTGGATGATGGTAGCAATACCCTCGAGGACTTTGGGCATGGTGGAGGAAGTAGCTGTTGGCTTGGTGCGGAATCGGTCTAATTGATCCAAGAAGATGGGCAGCTCCGACGTCAGAACTCGAGAACATGCCTTTGAGAGGGTCAAGAAAGATCGGGAAGCCGCCTGGGCGCACGACTCAAAGTTCAAGGATTCGAAGAGAATGTTAAGAACACCGGGGAGCAAAGCGTTGTGTCGTTCAAAGTATGATTCATACTTTCCGAATGTGTCCACCAGAGTCTGACGTGCCTTGAGAGGTATCCCTGTCTCCCCGCCAGCACAAAGGCGTGCGAAGGCATCACTGCCAAAGATAGCGTCTAGGCATTGGTCTGCATGGCCATTCTCATCGACAGCCTCGGAAAGCTGGGCAATACAGAACATGGCAGCCTCGAACCCGCGCCAGTCACCATTTTGGAGGTGGCTTGTTGCACTTTCTTGAAACACACTCACCAAATCGACGCCAAGAATGGGATATGCAGACAGGAGATAATCGCAGGCCTCGTGGCGGAACGCATTGAATTCACTCCGCTCCTCATCGCTCCAGTCGGCCAAGTCCTCTGACAAAGGGTACAAAAGCTTGTTGAACAGGCCAAGCACGACTTGTGCTAGCTGTGCTTTGATCATTTGCCATCTAGGGTCGTTTGCCTCCAACTCATCAAGCACTCCCTCTGCAATTTCATTCCAAAATTCGAGCACACGAGGCGTCGCTGGGTCGTCAATAACTGCATAGCCTGGTGTTTTGAAGATGTTGTGGGCGACAGTGAGGATTTTTGCATTTTCCGGTTTCATGGGGTCGCTGAAGACTTTCAGCTGGAGATGTGATAGGTAAGCCACCAAGAGATCGACATAGGTCATACCCTCGGAGTCTTCTTGGCCCTCTGTGAGGGATATGATATGGTTTGTGACGATCGAGTCGGCGAGGACCTGTGAGAGAGCCCATATGGAAGTGTCGTCGAAAGCGGAACGGCGACTCTCAAAGACTTGGGTGAGTGTAGTGGCCGCGAGTTCGCTCAGAATAGGGACTCTCAGGGTCTCCATGATGTTGCGACCACAAGCAACCGCCAGGTCATGAACTTCGGCTGCATCTGAAAGCGAGCAGTTGGAAGCAACATTTAGCCATGCCTTCCAGGAGTTCATGACCTCACCCCCTAGGGTCTGATGGATTTGCGAGTCCAAATCCCCTCCAGATTGGTCTGATATCTGTGGCAGAATATACTTGACTAATAACAGGCCATCTTGGGTGTTGGTGACCGCTCGTCGAACTGCTGGTCCGGACACCTCATGGGGCTCGTCTTCTAGCCGAAGCGTGGCCTCAGCAAGGGTAACCGAGAAGAATAGCAAAGCTGTGACTTGCTGGGTGTCAAGATTGGGCAGCACACCAGTCGAAAAGTTCACTGTTCGGGCTTGCTGTTCAGAGACATAGCCCCCATGGGCCACACTGGCTGCCACCTGCCACAGTACTCTCTCGCAAGGACACGTTGGATGCTTGAAAATGGTCACCAGGCTGGATGCAAGCTTCCGCACGACCATGGCTTGCTCACCTGCCTTCACAATCATCACGAAGTTGTGAATCAGATGCTCGAAGACCTGTAGGCTCGTCGCCTCATCAATATCTTGACTGGAGACATTCACTTTCACCGTAAAGGTGAGGGCCCCCATAAACCGATGGTGTACCGAGGGCCCTCTCAACAGTGCATCAGCAATCTGCCAGGCATGCTCGCCTCTCTGAAGCTGCTGCAGACGCGTGTGAATGTCATTGATTCGCGTTGGATTTCTTTGATTGGCGGGAGAGTACAGCTCAGTGACCAATGTGTAAGCCTCTGATATGGGATCCCCAGAACCTGAGCCCATGAATGTAGGTTGGCTTGCCATGGGTCTTTCACCAGCTGCTGTCTGTGATGTGAGCGGGCACCGAGGAATGGCCTTGGTGGGTTGAGATGTGGACCGGTTGATACACACACAGGGCAACTGAGAGAACCTTATGTCATCCCTTCAATGCCCGCCAGAGTGGGCCGTCCTCCGGAATATAGTTCTTCCGAGATTCCCAGCATGGCCACGTCTTTCTAATTAAGAGGCATCCAGGGCCAAGGTCTCTTTGAGTGAGATTACAAAGTGTGTATATAAGGTCAATTAATCTTTCAACTGCTTTCACTAACAGATTTCTTGGGGTGACTTTGACTGGATGTGTCATGACTTCACGATCCCAACCCCGCCCCAGATCTAGATAACATCACGTGATTTGCTCTAAATCTCCGTATACCTCCAAAAGTCCTGCGAATTCAACATCAACATCGCTCGATACTGTCTTCAAGCGAGATCTCAGCATTTTTCATCCCTAAACTGGCTCTTTTTATGTTTGGAACACTCGAAAATACATACCTTGTTCTCCGACAAATAATGACTTACGGCTCTGAAGAATGGAATACGGTGAGCTATATCTAGCTCAGTGGACAGACGAAATTCAATTTGCATTTGGATGTTTCTGCCCCCAAAGCCTACAATTGGCAATCATTGGCTGCCTTACGGATCAAAACTCCATCCAAGTAACAAGTCATTCTAATCACCTCTTCTAGTTCCCCAACCCATCCAATATACTGATCGGGACGAACAACCACCATGGCACCCCGCATTCGGTCCACTCCCCATCGTTCATAACCCTTTCCATCGCAATCCCTGTTCCACGGACAGGCATCATCACACCAAATTTTATCATAATTCCAGCCCCGTACCGGATCGAATGGACGTAAGGTGTCTGGGAAATCGAAGTACTCCACTTCAGTCCACGGCGCGCTGTGGATCGCCATCACATCGATTGCGCATTCGAAACGTCCTGCAATGGGAACATAGCGATGAAGTACCGCTCCATTCTGATCATTGCTTCCTGAGAGACGTTGTGTCAAAGTCAAAAGGCGATTTTTCTGCGTTGCTGTTCGCATATCACCAGCCAAAATCACCACTCGGAATCGTCCATCGCTCTCCAGAAGCCTGGTTGTCCATCTGAGGTTACCATCCGCTTGCATACGCAGCTTGACCGGAGGAAAACGCTCTCCAGGAATCAGATTCCGAGCCGCAGGTGGATCTTCGTCATCTTCAAACTTCCATACGAGCTCGCTAGCACCATAGAATGACTTTCGCCCATCCGCAAAATCTTCAAACAATTCAACGACTTTGATCATGTTCTGGGTTTTGCCTTCCCCCTCACCTTCGGTGAATAGACCGGACCAATGTCGATCAAAGTCGAGCAGCATTTCGGCTAGACAGTGTCTCTCTGCATCATAGGTAGCCAAAATCGATGGCTGGGCAACGCCACTCGCCACCAAGGCCACCTTCCAGCCGATATTGAAGCCATCTTGCATACTCATATTCATTCCCAGGCCCACCTTGGGCGAATGCGTGTGTACCGCATCTCCAGCAAGGAATACCCTGTTTCCTTTCGAAAATGTTGGTGCAATCCGTTGTCCAATCTGATATACAGTCCACCAGTCACAGATCTGGAAATCGAAAGTATATGGAGCGAAAATCACTTGAACTCGTCCCTTGATCATCTCCAGCGTAATCCTTGAGCGGTCGAAACGGCCATCACCAGGAGCGGTCGATTCGATCGTCTGTACAGGGACATATAAACGGACCATGCTTCGTTCTCGTGGAATGAAGAGGATGGTGCCGGTCGCATGGGTGACGGTACCCAAACGACGGATATCAGCTATGTTATCCAAGTTAGTCAGACTATGTTGAGCTGCCCACAACCACAATGAGGCTGTGATACTTACGAAAATCGCTGATGGGAACCACATCGATCACACCCCTGGCATAGGACATATCAGTCGAAGCCTCGAAAGAAGCCCATGTCCTGCGCTATTTTCTACTCACCAGATATGATCTGTAGTTGAACCTTCCAAGGGGATGTTCACTTGTTTCCTCGTCCAGCTATGTGCCCCGTCACAGCCAATAAGGTACTTGGCCTTGACGATCTCTGTTTTAGTCTGCTTGGCTTTACTCTTTGTAATTAACTCGTTCCAGTCGTCTGGTAGTAGACTGCCTCGAGACACTCCAATGGTCGCTGCGCTATGGTTGGTCTCATTGATACGGAGGCCCGGGGGATTTGCTTCTTCATCACTCAACGTCCGGAGCTTAACGGTGATTGGATAGCCATTTGGATCCTCTTCCATATCATCATCGTACTCAAAAGTCTCTGCAATCACGCCTCGCTCAACTTGAAGGTCGGAATGCTGCTGTATACTGTCTAGCAGGAACCTCTCAATACGGCCTTGATTCAGTAGCATATTGCGAAACGGCGACTCGCTGGCTTTGGAGCTACAGTGTGGACCCTGCCGAATCAGGTTTCCTTTCCCATCAGGAACCTATTGCACTTGTCATCAGCTATTGCCCTACCAGTCTTCAAAAGGCTGCCAGACCCAAAAGTTAGCTTCAACAGCTATATGACCCTCCTGCTGAACACGATGTTGAAACCCTATGCTGTCAAAAAGCTCCAGAGTTCTCACGCGTAAACCATCAGCTTGACCCGTGAACACTTTAGTCCCCCGCTTGTCGACTATGCGCGCTTTAATGCCACAGCGGGCCAACCAGTATGCTGCCATCAGACCAGATGGCCCTGCTCCGATAATGAGCCTAGAAAAGCAAGTAAGATTTCTTGTCTGCAATACACAACTGGATCATCCTCTTACACATCTGTTTTTGATTCGACATTGTCGTTTGCTGTGTCCATGTTTCCTGTGATACTTCAACCTTGATGACAATTTGGCGAGAATTTGTTGGCATGCAATAGCAATGGCCGTGGATAGCTGGCTTTTTACATAAATTAGCTGGATTGCTATCTTCAATGGTGGTAGCCTGGGGCTGGAAGGAACCCTGATTGACGGGTAAAAGGCTCACGTCCATTCTTCATACGTGGCAAAGTCTGCAGGCTGACTCTCCTTACACTACCTCGCTGTGCTGCCTTCCCGGCAACCTTGGCGTATCTCCTGATTGGATTGTGGGGCTGGGACCTTCTTGAACCTGTGTAGCAATGGGTCGAACGGAGAGTGTAGATGCCTTCCGAAGCCGGCTTCGTGGCCCTGGGGATGATAATCGCGTAACGTGTGAATGATAGGAAGCTGCTCCGCCTCAGTCGGTGTGCGATGATAAAGATCGATTGATGCATCACATACGCTGCTCAGAACTTTTGCATGACAACGAGCTGGCCATATCAGCGCCTTCCCCCTCGCAATGTTTATTGGCTATGCTTGGGTATGTGTAACTTCCTAATTTGGGAAATATCCAGGCCATCCCGATGAATCTATGCACATTCATGGTCGAGGACTCCATATAGGCAAAGCCGAGAAAGTGACGCATCATTGTAACACTGCCCCATGCTGATAATTTGAATGGTCATTCTTTGACAGTCTAGACGCTGAGCAGATGCTGAGTCAAAGCTAACGGAGCCTGTGGAACAGCTTCGGCCGTTGAAACAATTATTTGACACGTGTGCGACTATGAATTCCATTTCTTACAGCGGACCCAGTCCGGGTCTAAGGAAAACAACCGATGGAGAAAATGCATCAACATCGCTAACATGGACCTTAGAGAGCTTGCCATGGTGTCAGCCCGAGGCATGAAGATTTAGTTGTGAGGAGAGTGGATATGAATATCAGCCTTTTTCTTGTAGAGATCTATTCTCTTCCCTCCTCAGTCTCGATATTTTTGTTGTACGGCCTAGGTTTATTTGATCTTCTTTCTTGCTGCAACAGCTGTAACCCGTCATTGGCGTTTTCCGGACTCAGCAACAAGACGGACTTCAGATTTTGCCTATCACAGTCACTACTCGATCATTTTCGGATGAACAATGAGTTGATATGGTGTTTGAATTCCCCCCTGCGGGAGCTCTCTCTAGTATAACAATGCAACCAGCGAAATACGAACGCGGTGTATTCAATCTGGTCCGCTTTTTCAGGAGCGAATTGCAAGCTTGTATATGGTCACATTACTTTCTTTGCACATCCAGTATAATATGTGATAGTAGTTGAGGAAAAGATAAACGGCTTTAACAAATGAATGAGGACATACCCCAGGAGTAACATATACACTGGCTTTTTTCAAAACTTTCTGGCGAAACACAATCTGCCACACCACCACTCTGGGCCCTTCGTAAAGCCTATCAATCGACTCCTCTCCCTTCGACAATTCGAATAACTCTAATTTTACCAGCTCTGCGAGCTAATTACGACCATGGTGGGCGGAAGAAGGGCCTCGAAAGATTCTTTATGGCCGCTCCCTTCCCCCTGAGGGGAGGGCGACCCTAATACTAGAGCCAACGCATTAGGACTACTAAAGACGACTAAGCAGTGGCTTACTGCTGCTAATTTAGGCAGACTACCGTTACCTAAGCGCTTATCCTTATTCCTGGTGGTAGTGATCTCCCTTTTTACTAGGATAAGAGACGACGAAGTGCTGCACGAGCTACAGCGTATCTATAAGCTTTTAGCTGACCTCGACTAGAAGCATCCCGATTTTATAAATTGATTGAATTACACTATCACTAGCGCCCGGTAGGGCCCCGCTAGTAGCTAACCCCTTCCTCCCCCTAGCCGATCGGACTCTAGAGTAGACCTCGACAGGAGTCGCGACTCTCCAGGTCCGGTCCGGTTCCAGAACCGCCAAGACCCGGTTCAGGTTCTGGGTTTTTAGAACCGCGATTCTACACTTGGGCTCTTGGAACCGACCCTGCAGGTTCTTGAAGACCCTGCAGGTTCCTCAAACACTGCAAACTAGGGAAGCCCCGTGACCTGCATATTTTATGCAGTTTTGGTCCGTATTTTCAAGTATTCGTCTTACATCTCTACACGGAAAGAAGAAATAGAATTGAAGCAGATTAGGCAGATTTTAACGCAATATAATAGCATGTAATTGGGGTTCTATCTTTTCTATAGCTTTTGATATTTATATAAATCTTTATCTCTTCGTATACGCTTCGGAACCCGCCTAGATGTACGCCTTTGGGTACAGCTATTCTGTGGAAGAGGTATCCTATCTTCTTTGTCTTCACTATTCCTGTCTTGTTGAATAAGCGGCGCCTGGGTACTAGGTAGAGCTGTTGCTGTTGGTTCGATTCTTGGTCTTTTACTAAGGACACTCTCATTAGCTACCTGATTCGGCTTAGATGTTGTATTAGTGTAGTCCTCTTCCTCCTCCTCCTCCTCCTTATTATCACTAATCAGATCGAATACCTCCTCCTTCTTTTTCTGAGCCTTATTCTCTTCCTTTCTAGTATAAATCTCTTGTATAGATAGATACTCATCAATAAAGGCCAGCTTCTCCGATTCAATATTAAAGCGAGTAGTACATATTATTATTATAAGATCCTGGATGGTTTTGGGCTTCAGAGATCCTCGGCGGTAGTGACAGATATCACGAGTAGAATTAAATAACCGCTTAACACTAGCACTAGATATAGGAGTAGAAAGGATATCTCTTGCGAGGCTTGCGAGAATAGGAAGTTTATTCTGATTATCCTTCTAGAATATACGCGGATTGATCAGACGAGTACCTATCGGTAAGGTTAGTATATAACAAGTACAAGAGAGAACGTCTACTTACTACTACCTAGGTAACGCCTAAGCTTATTATCAACGCTCGTCTGAGACTAGCTAGATTAGGTAGTTGATACTATCAACTCTAGGTTAGAGACCTGTGCTGCGGAGGGTACACTACTACGTATAGGTTAGGACTGTAAATAACGCTTCTTATATAGGATGAGGTACTTCTCGAGACTCTTACGGTATCGAGGAGCCTACTCTAGCTCCCACTCTGGCTTCTGAAAGAATTTAATCTTATTCTGAGGTGCTATAATAGTAGCAATCGGATAGAGATCATCGCTAATATCGTCTGTCGCTATGTAGTACTGCGAAAGCTTTTTCCTTGCAAATTTAAGTGCTCTAAGCATCACAGTCTTCTACTTAGCCTGCTTTCGCACTAGCTGTCCCTTTGACTTCTCTAGGTAAGCAAAGAGGGCATTATAGATGCTAAAGACGGTGTGGATAGTGATATCCCTGCTCTTTGAGACCTTATTGGTAAAGCTAAAGAACGGTTGGGTGATTGAAAGAAGATAGTCGACTTGGCGCTATTCCTCTTCGTTTAGTTGAAGATCTACCTAGTTATATACCCGGCAGAACTTATTGAACGTTGACTGTAGCCGTTTCGCTCGCCGGAGTATTAGAAAGGTTGAATTCTAGCGGGTTTTGATATCTTGTATCGGCACAAGCTTTGGCTCTTTGGTCTGGAGCTCTAAGAAATGCTCTCGGCGCTAGGGACTCTTGTTGATATGGATAGTAAGCTTTCGGATCTAGTGGATAGAAGACTATTAGTAAGGTTAGAAAGATAAGTAAGAGGTAACCGTACCTTATTTAGCGTGTAGATGATCTTATAATTCTCTCGGCGAGAGGATACAGTTCTACTAGTAAAATCCATCTCTTCCCGCTTATTCTTCGGATTAGCGTCCATCTAGCTAAGAAGCTCTTTCAGACTAAGCTGAATAACGTGTGCAATATATAGTATACGGATAACAGGTATATTGCTTAGTAGCTTAAGCCCCTGAATAGATCCCTTAAGGCTCTCTACTAGCGTTGAGTTATTAGACGCGTTATTAGTAGTAATAGTCAATACCCTATCCTTAACTCTATACTTCTGTAATAGTGGGAAGAGAACTGCGCTAAGATTTATACTAGTATACGAACTATGAACAGGTTCAAAGCCAAGCAGTATCTCGCGGTAGTTCCAGTCTTGGTCAATAAAATACCTAGTAACTGCTATAAAGGCCTAGCGGAAAGGTGAGGTCCAACAATCTAATACAATAGAGAGCTTCCTATCCTTAGGTAGCGTTTAAAGGAGACTCTGTTGCCGTTCTTTAACGATTATATATAGCCGACGACGGATAGTAATCGATGTAGGTAATTCGGGTATACTTGGGGCAAGACGGATTGTTTTAACTAAAGCGCGAAACTGGGGGTGTTTAACAAGCTAGAACGGTAGTTGTAAGCTTGAGAGGAAGATGAGAATCCTCTTAATCTAGGTATCGTTTGTAAAGGCAGACTTTTGGGGTGCGAGATATATCTAGTGTAAACCTAATATTATTATAAGTCGGATAAGTAGATATATTTGTTAACTTACCCTATTTTAGATAAGTCTTCGAATATCCTTTGACTGTGGTGTCTTTTTCCGATAATTAACACTCCCCTAGTAGTGTTTATTCATAGAAGACGTTCCTCGGTGACTATCTACGGGGTGTGAAAGGGTATAATCGTATGTTTTGTATATAACCCTCGGTTCCCTATTAGAAATAGCAGCAACTTAGTGAAAATGCTTCTAATATTCTACTGTTCGTGCTCTACGCTTATCCTCGAACAGATTGCGGTTGATACGGCTACTAAACTCGGTTTTCAACTACTATTCGATAAATTTATTGTTCACTATCTCCGTCTATAATACAAAGTTCTTCCTTCTTAGAGATCTAACGCGCTTAAGGATCTCTAGCGGAGATACTGATCGAGGGTGAGAAAAAATAATATCCGTGGTATAATCTGAAGTCTCGCTGTATAATATATTAGGGGGGAAGGATTAGACGCTATCGGATAGAAGGAAAGGTAGGTTATCTTGAGGTGTATCCTCGAAGATAGATAAGGGATACTGATCGGAGAACTAAGAGAGTTAACTCTGTGATATTATGAATAAGAGAACAGAGGTATAAGGGAGAGTAGATAGACAGAAGAGACTTATAGAAAGCCCTATAACTAGGAAAGGATTTATCAGAAAAGTTAGTATACCGCGGTCGTCGCTAGCTGTACGAACGCGTGGATATTTCAATATAGACTAGGTCTACTGCCGCTGCGCGTGATAATTGGCTATTAAAACCTACACCGCTAGGTTCTCTTAGGTTCTTCCCGGGTCGAACTAGGTAGAACCTGGCAGCCCCGGAGAACCTAGTAGCCTCTGGGGTTGTAGTATTTCTACAGAAATCAGCCGACCGAAGACTTTAGCAGATACTGCGGCTAAGTAGATTAGCTACTTTGGACGACAAAAATTGTTCATATTAGCAGGCCGATTTAAATTTAAAAAGCTGATGTTACTTCTGAGAGCTATCCTGTTCATTTGAGCATATTTTTAGCTTGTTCAATTGAGATTCTAGGCGTCTATATTATTTAAAGCGGTTCTACAGAGCTATATGAGGTAAAATATATATTTCCACTATCTTACACTACGATCTCTTTAGTATACTATCTCCCCACCCACAAAGACTAAAGTAAGATTAAATCTAAAGGTGAAGCCATATTTCTAGCCGAAATAACTGACATACGAGATCATTTCATATAATTTCATGTACTAGCAAGGTACAGTCGAAGACCAGTTGATGCCGAAACCAGAACAGGTGTAAATAACAGTAATAAAAAGGAATGAATCAGCAATTTATCTAGCCAAAATAGGAAATTTCTTGGCAAAATTATGCACTCCAGGTTCCTGCAGGTGCGAACTGGGAAGAGCCTGCAGGGTTGTTGGTCCGGTTCCAGTTCTACAAGTTGGAACCTGGGACCCGGATGGTCCGACTCCAGGTTCTGACCTGAGGAACCGGAACCGGACCATGTCGAGGCCTACTCTAGAGTCTAGATAGTTTATAGTTTTGTTTGAAGTGTGTTATGTCATGTGATAATTATGCAACCTAACATCCCGGAAGCGCCCAAAGCTAGCAGCTAGCCTGCAAGGCTTATCATTTTGGGTCGCTTAATTTATTTTCCGTGGCCTAGGAGACATCCGGGAAGTTAGAAGTTTGGCGTTGCTTCTGGTCCTTGTCGGGGCCCCATGGGGTTACATTTGATAAAGTAAACAAATGCGGGGAAAATTCAGGGTCCAGTGTATGGACAACAACATTACAGAGCATGCCTATCTCGGATTTCCCTGCATCCTTTCTCCATTTTGCCCCAGTACTAGCAATCTTGACAGTGGTGCGGAGACAAGATCTGCGCTGAAGAGCAGAAGAGCCGAATGATTGAAGGCGCTCCGCCCAACAGCCCAGGGAAGATAGCGCTTCTCTCCCTGCTCTATGTGATGACGACCATCGCAACGAGCGTCATGGCTACGGTACTGAAACTCCATACGTGCAGTCCAGCGGGTGTATTTCTTCCAACTCATGACTATCACGACCAGCTTCTTAAACACCCCCACAACCGTCACTATCCTCGCATCTGATCCCACTGCCCCAGACTTCTCAGCCTGTTAGCCTTCAGGATGGGATAGTATGAGTACAACGGATCTTTTACCTTTAGTCCAGACGTCTGTCCACAGCACTGGACGTATCAAGAAATGTCATCGACAAAGCACTACTCAGCTACGTACTGCTGTACTAGGTGTGTCTATAAGCCCGTTTATCTTATGCTGATTCGACAGTCACCTCGTCTGTTAGAGTTCTCTAACTAATGAGCCTCAGTGGTTTCGTATTTCGAGCACCGGGGTATGCTCTTCCTACGCCTGTGGTAAGCTAGCATATTCGCGCAAATTCAAATCCGGCGAGACCACTATCACCGAGGGGATGATCGTACATCGCGCATGGGACGTCTCGTGGCCCGCATCCGACACAGCGAGTATGTCCCCGTCGCTCCCATGACTCATAGCGGCACTAAACCCCTGTATTGTACCTTTGAGTGGGAGCGGGTAGCCTCTCGCTCCCGAACACGTTGCTCGTCACCGTATCTTGCATATGCGTCAGGAATGTATCGCAGCAAAACGGCCTCGCCAGGGCGACCGGTACTCATCAAACAAGACGAGGAAGACCTGAATAATCCGTAGCCAGAATTGTGAGGCATCCCGGCGTACTATAGGCCAGTGTGACACGCAAGGGATAATATACGAGCCATTTCTCTATCGCTTATGGCGGGTATACTCAGTATGTCACTGGGTTCCGTAAGAATTACCTGTTTAATAAGGCTGAGAATGAAGCGCATGAACGCTCTGTGTGTTCCGTCCCCACCCCAGCACGGCCGCCTTAAGCAATGGCAGCAGCTAAATTAAATCAATGAAAGTAGCAACGCCAATATGAACCTGAAGCCCTTTCCTCCTTAGTATAGAATTTGGTAAGGGCTTTGTCCAGTGTGGAGTACGACGAATAAGCGTGGAGGGTTCGATCATAAAAGAAATTCATGTATTCGTTAGGCCATTCCAATTAGCTAGGTCAGCTTTAATGAGTTTATCTCGATCATTCCGAGATATAATTATAGAGGATGAACATAGGAGATTTTGCTGGGTTCGGTCAGCAATATCAGTGAAGAGCAAATCCTGGAAAAATCACAATTGTAAGCATAATGTATTTATCGGCTATAAAGGTACGTCTTGTTTTGGGACGGGTTAGAGCCTACCCTACGTAAGGTACTTTAGAGGAGCCCAACAAAGCCCTCGACTAGTAATCGCACTTCTCGGGGTAATTATTTGTGGATTTTCCTGCCTTTGACTTCGATAAAAGTATCTCTCGAATCTAGGGGAGTTTAGCCCGGAGGGGCCAAGGATCCTGGTACTTTACTTTCCTAGCAGCCTTGTTATAATACGAAAGAATTTCATTCAAAGTATGCTTTTAGTGCATCAAATCCTTTGATTTATCTGAAATTATCTAGGCAGAGAACCAAGTCAGCGGATTGAGAAGAGAAAAACCTAGACTAGATTATTGCCATGGCGGTGCAAGTTTTGTTGAAGGCGAAGACGGATAATCGATTCCGTCATACTATCACTGTTATGTACTCTCGCATACTGATATGGATTCATTAATCGGCGAATTGAATCCTTTTTCACCTTATAACAAGATAGGTAACTCGTGGTTATTCAGAAATGCCATACAAGATACGTGCTTTATTGTTATGATATAGCATAAGTTGTCCACAATGTTGGTGCTTTACGCTACCAGACCATGGTATGCCGGTAATTCGCCACGCCTTTCGTCCTTGGTCTCCTAACCTACCTTACTGTGTAGCAATATCTCAGGACGATACTCGTGATTGACGTTCGCTATGGTATAACCACTGTACGGGCTATGTCCTGTCGAGAATAACTCACATTCGAACATAATATTCAAGCCCATGAAATTAATGGCGAGCAGTCTGTTCAACGGAGATCCATATACTGACAATACTAAGAAACCTTCGTCCTTTCTCTTAAGAATTCATTTTATCCTTGAGCCTCTTTGCCGCGCCCTGCTGTGCTTTCTCGAGGGCTCTTCCTTTCGCCTTCTCTTCATTCTTGAGCTCCTTTGCTGCCTTCTTCTGTGCCTTGTTGCGGGCTTTTCTTTTTGCTTTCGCTTCATCCTTCAGTTTCCTTGCAGCCTTCTTCTGTGCCTTGTTGCGGGCTTTTTTCTTTGCTTTCTCTTCATCCTTAATCCTTTTTGCGGCCTCCTGCTGTGCTTTCTCGATGGCTCTTCCTTTCGCCTTCTCTTCATTCTTGAGCTCCTTTGCTGCCTTCTTCTGTGCCTTGTTACGGGCTTTTCTTTTTGCTTTCACCTCATCCTTGAGTTTTTTTAAGGCCTCCTGGTGGGCCTTATCGAGTGCTTTTCTTTTTGCTTTTCGTTCATCTCTGACCCTCTTCGCTGTCTCCTGTTCAGTGTTGATATTTTCAGATGAGGTCACAGTTGAAGTAGACTCAGCTATTTCAAATATTCTTTTTTCTTCATTCATTGCAGTATCCCCTCCCGCTATTTTGTCGAAAAGCGAATATAATAAACAGAACAAAATGAGTATCGGTAAATTATTCTGAAGAAGCGAAAATAAAAACAGCACTAAAATATTAGACGCGGGTTTACTAAACCCAACCTAGACTATATCATAAGATATTATCCACAACGGACAATTAAACGTGCGAAATAACGAACCTTTCTGTTTTCAAGGTGCTTGAACTGCTCAGACGAACAGACGTGCGATTCACTGGAAGTCATTAAGCTTCTCAGTTCCGTTATATCGTTGCTGTGTCCTACTTGTCTCCATTTCCCCTTGCAGGGTCTCGATCCGAATCGTTTCACCCATTCCTCCCTTCTGTCATTTGGCCATAGCTCATAATAAAACTCTTCGTCTTCGCTTTTCTCCGTCATAGGATGTGTTATAATGATTTTTCGAACAGATTTATGATTGATTAAGCCCCGAACTATGGGCTCTTCGATGAGTTGGTAATAAGAAAGACCTGACGGATGAAATCGCTCTGGCGGTGGAGGCGAAAGCAGTGTAACCCTTTCACCCTGAGCTATACGCCAAGCAAATATAGCGGAAGCACCATGAACATATCTACTCCATTGCCGGTGATTCTTTTTCAGTTTTAAGCATTCTGGGTGTTTTTCATCCATGAGTGGCCCCATTGCTGTGGTCAATGTTTGAAGTCGATGCCTATCAGCCCATTCTTGGGCCTTTTCCCGAGGAATGCCACTCCAGAGGACTTGGCCATTCGGAAGCCAATTTTCTGATTCGAACTGTTTAATGATTTGAGCAGTTTCTTGCACGGATAGAAATCGCCCCACTACACCGACAAGAGCCGCTTGAGCTGACTGCTGGTTTGAAAGTAGTTGAGTAGGGTTTTCACAATCCATCCACCTGCTTAGAAAGGAAGGAGGAATAAAGAGAAGAGAAGACTTGTTCTTTTCTTGAATGGTTCAGGAAATATGTTGCTAGGAGCTAGGAGAGAGCGAAATACCACGGAATATATTTATGCTTAGAATGGACTCAGTGGGAAGGGTTACGTCGCGGCGTCGAGGCAAGAATCAGCGACGTCATGACTTTTCCGCTTTCTGTCCAAACCCTGGGTACAGTATTCACCTTTAGTGATAACTCTGGCTGTGATTATAGAGTCATTGAATCAAGCGGAGATATTACTCACTGCTACAGTACAGTAGTCAGTAGATCTTTCGAAGATGGTACTGTATATCCAGTAGAGGCAAAACTTTCTTAGGTAGATGATCACTAGGGACTGCTCAGAACTGACCGAAGTGAATCCAATCGATTTCTGTATTTCTCCGGCCGGAAACGGCTCTTCCCGATCTCAGTAGAGCTGTTTTGTCTTATTGATGACCTTGTGGGGGAGAATCTATATATTTAAACAATTAACCAAGGAGTGATGCTGAGCATGCTAGAGACCCTTTTCGGTTCTTTGAACTTTGTCGGGTAGTAAGAGCCCTAGAAAGGTCAGAAGACTAGAACGCAGGAGATATTCTGCCTTGACATACTAGCTGAGAGCGAAGGAACGACCAAAATCCAGACTGATCCGCGCTAAAGATAAAGACCTGCCCAGAATCTCGAATTCGTATGACTAAACAAAAGTCTGCCCCACAAAGCTGGCTAAACTCGTGTGACTTGTTCTCTAGACTCGTTTTGCGCCGGTCTCTTTTCTGTCGAAGAGAATTCTTCCCCTTCGATCCATGAGAGGTTTTGGCCATCACGCCGGCAAGGTCTGATTTTCGATCAAGTTCGTAACGGGGAGCAGCACAAGAGCGCAGGTTGAAAAGCAAATTAAGGTCCTCAACCAGTAGTAACCTGCAAATAATAACGCAGTCGAATATCTCTCATCGGATGAGGAGGCTGCAAGGCTGACTTGCATACCCAGCACTGACGGCGACAGTTCATCACCTATGGCTTGGTGGTGTCCATATACCGGTCCATGTAGATGAGCTGAAGCAAATATAAGTGATGGGTTGATTTAACCCGTAGAATGGTGTTCCAGAGCATTAAGGAACATGCTCTAGAAGACCTTAGCGGTCACCAAGCCGACACTGTTATCGGCCTGTGTAACGAGGCATTGGTGCCCGTTTCAGCTCCATGTCTTCCTTATTGGTGTTGTGTCGCAAGGTGCCGTCGCTATGATCTAGCTCCATGTCCTTATTGTTGATGCTGTGTCGCGAGGCGCAGTTTCGTTTGAAGTGTGGCGGCGTTTGAATGGCTATCGCATCGCAGTTCAAATCCATTTTTCCGGGCTTGATTTAAGCGTCAAAGGCAGTAACGGTGATTAGAGTCGGCTTTGTAATTTGCAAAGCCTTCTGGAAATCCATTGCGAGACAATTCTAGAATGACTAGGGTGTTATGAAACGGCCAAGATTAGTGGCCAGATATCCTAGAATCGTCTCGCAATAGATTTCTAGAAGGCTTAGCAATTACAAAGCTAGCTGCCTATATCTAGCGCGGATAGTATTTGTGGCCGCGCATTTAGAATACCTGTATTGTGACATAGACCCTGGCGATCAACATTTCCTCGACCTAGGTAAGATCGGTGAGGTAGGATAGCACTATCAGAGGAATCATACTATTGTTTAGTTAAAACTTATGGATTTCGTAGTTTTGATCGCATCTGTGACACCGTTAATAACTGCTGTCCCGGTTTAGACGAAGACCGAACTATCTCTCGCGGCATCGATGGTAGGTCTCTAACTTCTCCTCTTGTAGTACCTTACGGAAGTTACGGATCACCTAAAAGTGAGTGTCTAGAATTGCAGCGCCTAGGTCGACTTTAGGAGCGACGTCGAGGTGCACGCTCTCCGACCTCAACCGAGGTTGATTCCTGCCTCTAGCATTGAATACTTCGGCTAGGCGGCTTAGAGGGTCTGAAAGACTCGTATCTATTAGACGACTAGCGCGAGTCTGTCTTGTAGTAATGCTCGGTGGTAGCGTAGGGACGATTAGCGAAGTAGGGATAATCGCTATAGCAGAATCGCTTTCCTGTGTCGGGGACAGGATTAGCCTGACGACACGTGACGTAATTAGTATAGCGCCCCCTTCTCTTATCACGGAAATCAGGCTGTAGAGCCTGATGTGGTTCTGAGATAATACTATAGACGTTCGAATTTATTAGTGCATAATAGACAGTAGCTGTATAGGTCACCGTTTTGCCTGTGTGGATTCAACTTCTGGTATGAAGCGCGAGGAGGCTGGTAGCTAACGAAGCTGGTAGCTAACGAAGCTGGTAGCTGTAGCTAACTACAAACTAATATAGGCGAGGGCTGATTAGCGTAAACGCATCCCGGAGCACTGGGATAAGGAGATTTGTGGGATTTATCGCGATTGTGCTGGTGTAGATTGTACAGGCGCTGTTCGAATTGGACGATGATGGTCCGAGGGTGTATGAGGAGGAGCGGCCGCGCCTGGCGAAGGGGATTTTCCTGCGACGGCTTGGATCGAGAACTGGGTTATCTCGCTTGACTGCGAAGGCTGCTAGACTATATGATCCAGTTGAGAGCTCTCTGTATTCTGAAGAGAGGTGTCTCGAGGGTGAGGTGAGTGGGATTTGCGTAGCGTCGGGGCAGGTTGGGGCTATCTTAGTGCCTGGAAGGAATCTTTCAAGGCCAGAACTAGTAAACAGGGCTGTACACACATGTCTTGGAGTAATAAATGGATTGTTGAATTGAGAACGCGGGATCGGAAGTGTTGTAAAGTAAATCAATCATAATAATGTGGCAGAACAACTTCGTCGCAAGTATTGTCCTTCAGGATAAGGAAGAGAGACACAGTGGCTACATAAGAATCAAATACTGTAATCCTAGGAGCTGAACATTAGGACTGATATTCAAGGTCTGACATGTCCTTTCTCAACGACAAATCCCCTTCCAAAAAAACAAAAAAAAAAAAAAAAAACCTTCAAATCCGCACGGTCTACGGTGTCTTACTGTACTGTAGCTTTTCTCACACATCTCATTTGCAATGGAAGGTCCATTTGCTCGTCACAAGTCTCCGACCATGGTATTGCAGTTTGCTATTTCGCTCGGAGATAGCTCTATATCGAGATCTGTAATTTCAACAGGACCATCAAAGTGCACTGCACTAGGTCCCGCGTTCCAGCATAAACTGCCGAATGCCATTGAACTGAATATATATAATAACAATGCACCTGCCGTGAATTTGAAAAAAATTGACCGTTCATTCGAGTACAAACAATTTCGAAAACAGATTACCCCTTAGACACGCTGGACGGAGATAGGCTCAGAGCAGGATCTTCACCGCCGATTCTACAACAAACCATCACTGTTCCAGCTCGAGTCCTAGACAAGGAAACACTCAGCTAGTCAAATCAACAAACCTGTGTCCGCAACAAAGTCACTTTCCAAATTCCTGACTTCAGCATTGCCCGTATTCTTGCTCTTCCTAGCAGAGATGCAGCAAAAACAGGACACTCGTCGGTCTCATTCGAAAATTCATTACAGTCGCGCCATGCGAGCGTCCTATCCTGTTCGTTAAGTAGTTGCGTTAAAACCATATGTTTTTGACATCTTTGAAGCATATTTGCGTTGGTCCTTCAGGAGCTCTGCGAGGCGTGATTGAGGTTCCCATGATGAACTTTCGATGTAACGGCAAATAGTGGCAGCCGAAATCATTAGTGGAACGGACATCTTGACCAATTCTTGATGACGTTATTGCCAAGCCTGTCTTGGAGAATATTTCTGTCGTGTTTGATTTTAGTAAATCGGTCTTGCACGAATAAATGAATGTCATGTTCTGTCACTTCATCCGGTATCTCGTGAAGGGCTTGGTCTTGATATCCATGATCCGCGATCTCTGAAAAGCCGAGGCTAATTGGGAGTTTACGCCGGTTAGTCAGGAAGATCCGAAGGCGAATCGCTTTTGCTTTCTGTAGAAGAGGCAGTAATTGAATTAAGTTTCGACTATCTTGATCATGTTCGCATTCGTCCAAAGCGTCAATCACCATCACAGTAACTCCCATCCTGGTGACATGGAATGCCCTGTGTGATGAAACGCCCAGCAGGTACCCACACATTCGAGCATCATTCCTCCCAAAACCAAAACGCATGTTAATTGCTATCTAAGAACAGTAAAATTAACAATCAGTTCAACCTTTGTATCACGGCTCTTGTGGGATAAATGAAAACTAGCCACGAGCGAACTTGAGTAGATCAATACCATGCATCACACTGCACCAGATCATTAAGCTCGAATTCCACCTCCCGCCCTTGGGCCTCAAGCTCCAGATACCCAGGCGCACTCTTCTCGATAATCTGCAGCCACAGGTCCGGATGTCCGTAGCCCACGTCCATGAATTTGTTGCTTTGTCGGGTTGACTCTAAGAGCTCAAGAATAGGACGGTCCATGTCTAAGCTATCCACACCAATACAGAATCCTTGTCAGAATATAAAAACGAGGCGAGAAACCTAGGAAAGACAACGTACGGTTCATTGATCCGTGGCGGACCACCAATCGATGATTCAGCCAAGTCCGCGACCCGACGACCCATTTCGCCGAAAAGAACCACCAGGCCTATATTCCAGGGTCGACGGAGGATCGAGTCGCGGACTTGTCCGTTGGAGCCAAACTCAACTATAGCCATCTGCCCTATGGCTAGCCCTGGTGTGTCGATCACGTACCAGCTATAGTCCGGCCCGTCAGCGAACACCACCGTGCCTCGCCGAGTCATCGAGAGGGCATGGAAATCTGCTTGGTTAAGGTACAGCGCGGTACGCGCAGGGAGGTCTAGTAGCTCCGGAACGTGGCAGCGGGGGGCGTAGCCAGCACCAGCTGTTTCAAAGGGATGTGTCCCCCCCCCCAATAGTCTTGGTGGACGTATAGCAGGGTCAGGAACTTCACGAGGCGGATATAGTTGCGGGATGGGCCTGCCGGTCTACGGATGGCAGGCACAGGAAGCGCTTGTCCGGTCGTCGGGCTAGCTGTGAGAGCACCGAGGCCGGGTAGTCGAGAGCTGAGTCGTATACTGGGGCACGACTATAGTACGACTGTGCTAATTATACATTAGTTCTCATTTTCGGGTCGGGGAAGCGCGAGAACAGGGGAAAGAGAGACGAGAATCGTCTATACAGACCTCGCGGAATTCCTGACTGGCGGTGGCCCATTTTTCGATAAAGGCTCGCCGTTGACGTAACCCATCTTCGGGGGTTGAGGTTGGATAGGACTCTTCCTGCAGTGATCTGAGCATCAATGCCCCATATCATAATTAAACGAGCGCAGTTCCACAGGCTTCCCTACCCGTACGAATAACAACCACCCTTTCACCTCTTCCCGGAGCTCTGTCCGGGATATATCCGTCGGCTCCAGGCGGACCTCGGCAATGCCCGCCGGCCAAGATGCCTGCGATCTTGGCTGCGACATTCCTTGAGTCGACAACCTATGTTCGTGAAGGGAGTCAACCGAAGGAATTATTTCGACGAGTAGGGTCGCGGGATAGTGCCCTGCCGGTAAATCGGGCTACCGCCTGACAGATCCGTGTACGAATTGCATCATCATCATCATCACCACCACCACACTGGTCTTTTCATAAGTCACCATTTATGATGGACCTCGCTTACTTCGACTTCCTGAGTTGCAGTCCTTGCGATGTAATTAGTGTATTTCCGCCAGCTTCGCTTAAGTCTGCTCCCATCTTGAGTAATACGATGTACTAGCCTGTACCCTTTCTGGTTTCGCTCTAGGACCGTACCCTGTACTAACCTACTAGGTACTTAGCAGTAGCTCCCACGTAAACAATTCTATCATTGCGTTACATTTGGCGTTTTGCAAGCCCCTTGGCGCTAAGATGACCTGCCTCCCACGATCGGACAAAAGAAGACACTCGGACCCCACTGATCTGCCGTCAGACATTCCAATCTCGCGTTCCTCCAAAATGCCTCCCGAATGGGCGATGAGCGTTGTTGTAGTTCCATGGAAGTTTCACCATGAGAGCTGGCACACACCATGGACGTCATAAACCGGGGATTTTCCACCAGAAGGAGAAGACCGCGAACACGCGCTAAGAAGACGCGCGCTCAGACAGGAACTATGGTCTGAACAACACGAGTGCCTCCACGACGATATTGGTCAACTATTAGAAATTGAACTGAGCCGCTGGCCATGGGGATATACGATCTATCGCAGTGTCTACACCCCTGAATCTGATATCCACTGGGAGGCCGCCGTGGACGCTATACGAGCAAATATCTTTGCCAGCCTGGATGACGAACTCCAGCATTTTAAATCCAAGAACGAGAAAGCACATCGCATACTATGCGATGGATATCGCAGCTTAGTGTTCCAGGACAAATCCCAGCTCGACGGAGCCACTATTGATCAAGTCGCAAAGAAATTACAAAGATTTCCTAGATAGTGAACATGGGGGCTCTGGCACGCGCTTTCACTGGTGCTTGATGATTGACGAGAGGGCGATGCGGTCGTCCATACGCCACCCGGAGCCCGTGCAGTTTTCTACCCCACCGTCACAAGGTGGAATTAAGAAGAATGGTGCGTGGATGACGGTCGTCGACCCCGAATGGGATCCAGATGCTGCACCAACTCGCTCAAAGTATCAGGGATTCATGCGCTGTCATCTTCTCGAACTTGAAGAGCTGGCATTACTAGTATCAGTGCATCATATGTCTGAGATGATCCACTGGCATCGTTCAACAGGTATCCCCTGGTATGAGGATAATATTTGATTGGGAGTCAACTCCCTTACCCCTCCGGTTTGGCGTGTACCATATATCTTGAGAAGTACGCAAGGATGCGGTGTGATAAAAGGTCGGGCTGTTTCAATTCTGACTGTGGTTGAATCTCTGGGTAGACAGAATTGAAATTTTCTAGCAGACTGCTCATCGCTCCGGTACCAGTTGAGGCTAGCCAAGAGATTATGCTGCTCATTGCCTGGCCAAATCCCCTACCAACTCTCCCGAGTTGGCAGCTCGCAGATCCCAAGGATTGGCGAAGCACGCGACTGCACATGCAGAATCGCTCGCCGACGAAGCTCCAGATACACTGCTCTGTACGGTTGAGCAAAATCATCGCGTGGGGGAGGGTTGCACGGATCGAATCCTATCTGCTGTAGCTCTCGAGTGCACCATGCGAGGGTGTCACGCGGGAGATACTCTTCCGCGTCCCAGATTGCTGCATCTCGCTGCAATGATTCTAGAAGGGCTGGATCTGCTGGTTCGCGGAAGTTTTTCTTCGTTGAGTGCTCGTAGAGATAGAGCGGTGCGCCGTGAGCGACCCATGGGCGTTTTGGTTGTTTGCGAATCTTATGGCGATTCCAGGTCTTGACATATGAATTGACCGATGAGCGTATGGTTGGCATGAATACTGCGAGTAGAGCGACTTGGTCGGGGATGCTTGTTTTCGAATAAAGATGCTGATCTTGAAGTGTTGCGAAGTAGTTCTATCAGGGTAGAGAGTTAGCAAGCGAACATCGCAGTCGACAGCTGACAAGAGAAACAAATATCAACTTACGCGCCAAATAAAGACACTCGATTTTGATAGCTGTGACCACCAGCTGTCACGGCGATTGGTCTCCGAGCTCCCACCGGAAGAGTAACAGTCAGCCTGCACAATCTCTGGATGAGCCGCGCGCATGAGTGCCAAATGAGCATCTCCAACGAGAGTTGTCTCTGCATGCAGATTGGTTCGAACAATTTGCGGCACATGTTTCGATTCGGAGACCGCGTCAAGATATTGCCGGTAGACGCTTACTGCTGTGCGTGAAGGCACACCAACATAGATCCACAGAACATAGCGAGAGTATTCATCAATCGCGGCGTACATCTCGAGGCCAAATTCTGCCATTTTCATGAAACCAATCATGTGCCATATGTGGTTGGGGCCGGTTGAATCCTCAACTGGTTCTGGCGTTGGCTCAGGCTCAGGCTGCATGCGTTGAAGGTCAAGGGTCCGGCGACGAAGAGAGTCAGGGCGTTGGCGACAATACGCCGCGAAGACGCGATCGCTGAGAAAGTAGTCAGTACATCAATACTACATCAATACCCTCAATGAGTTCCCTGTTGAGTACGATGATCAAAGCTTTATACATACCGAGGAAAAACATGGCCTTTTGCCCGAAGATGCGAATGCAGGAGTCTTCTTCCGTATCCTTCAATCTCTCCCTTCTCAATCTCCTGTCGAATGACTTCTTCGATCTGTGCATCCTGTGCCTGGCGGGCCTGGGGATCGTCTGTCCGTAGACGCAGACCCATTTTTCGCCGGGTCTTCGAGACTTTACTTTGGGATAATCCGGAAAACGCTTCCTCGCGGCGTAATATTTCCGCGATTTCCTTGTCGGAGAGATCATCCCGAACGAGTGATGTGATGCGCTCGCGTAAAGCGGCATCATCGACCCTTTTCGAAGGTAGTCGGCGCAAACCCCACTCTCTCAGACGACGAGAAAGAGTACCATCAGAGAGATCTAGTGAATGACGCTGCTTCATGAGGGCACAGATGATCTCGGTGGTATATTTTTGATTGAACAGACCGATGATCTCATCCTTGTAAGGATCCAAATCAATCCGAGGGCGCATGTTGAAGGGGCAGCGCGTTGACGTTGATTTTTTGAATGGAAGCAATTTGGATCACCATACAATCCCGGTGAGATTCACGGTGGATGTTGATATTAAATCGTCGTTGGCCCTTTTGCGTAGTGCAATCGAAGCAGAGAAAGGGGTTTTTGCACTGAGGTCTTAACAGTCCGCCGCACTCAACTCCAACTCCGACGGAGCGAAGCTGTTCCGGTCCGTCAGTGTATTTAGCCAACCGTATCCACTAGTCCAAATACCATCGTTTTCCCCTTTTTCCGTCTAACTCCGCCTCCGGATTCGGAGAAAGTGTTGTTGCGTTCCCGTGGCAGTACAGTCTAGATGTATCATATCAGGTGACTTAGACAAGTTGCAATATTAATTGGAACTGTCATATTATGTTACTCGGTCATTGACTACTCGGAGAACTCCATGTCCACAACTATATTATGTTGGTACCCGGAGGTGCAGGCAGCCCTTTTGGCCGTGATAATGTCCCCTCGAGTGCTCAACTGTTGCTAAAATTTCCATCAAGCCATTCTTAATGGGGATTGCCCGGATTGGAGGCCTTGACAATGTTCAAGTTACCTCCAGTCTGTCAACGGACGAGTGCTGAAACCGCATAGCCAGGTTCTCAACTATTGTTTGTACAGCGATCTTCCACGCTAGCTAGCTCTTGGCATAGTTAAAGTTCCCTTGAGGCTTTCTAAAATTTACGATCCAGCCTCATGCGATCTTGACGATCAGTAATCTGTGCCGGCTGGATGCCTAACGAGCCATGCTCTAACTTAATTGGGTTACCTCCCGTCGCATGGACCACCCAATCCCCACCGGTTTACAGGCATAATGGTTGAGAGGTTCTCTGTGATTATTGTTGAGGCCAACCACTTGGTGATGACTGATGACTTATAAGGCAGACTGTCAGCCTCGAATATAGCTACCTTACCCTTTCCCTGTTCACTTTCTCTCCGTAAACCACTTACTTGACTTGAAATCCTCTGAATATGACTGCTGGTGGCTGTTTCTGCGGCAAAGTCCGCATCCAACTCAATGGCCAGCCTCTGAAAGCGGTAAGTACAGCCCATAGATTTCATTATATCATGAGCCTATATCCTGATTTTCTATTTCTTCTAGGGACTGTGCCACTGCCTCGATTGTCGCAAGCTTACCGGCTCAATCTATTCCTTCGGTTTCGTCATCAAAACTGCAGACCTGGAGGTCTTGGGAAGTCCGAAAGCCCTGGTCAAAACTTCGGATAGTGGAAATGAGAGACACAACTATTTTTGTCCTGACTGTGGTTTGTCTTGCCATGTTACCTTTGGGAAGATTGCTGCTGATAAACATCACAGGCACGCCGCTTTTCGGACAGGGGATGAAAGCGGATGGTACGCCTGAAGAGACTACAGTCCTTCGGGCGGGGATATTGGAGGATTCTCAAGTCTTGACTGAATGGAAACCGCAGGCAGAGCTATACACCGATCGACGTCTGGAGTGGGTGCCTCCCATCGAGGGGGCTGCTCAATGTAGTGCCATGATACCTCTATGATAAATCGATGAGCAACCTTGACCCTTTGTGGCAGGTTGTGTGAACATGATGATGCCAAATGAAGCCACGGATGAAGCGAGTGTATATCATGCTAACCTTATCATCATCAATACATGATCTACTACAAAGTATGGGATGTTAATCATGTTATACTAAGTAAAAGTGCCCCTTCAGCCGTGCCACCGAGTATAGCACTCATGACCCCAAAACAATGTCTACAATATCCGCCACCGTCACCTCCCCACTGAGCAGCCATCCCGTCGAAATTTCTTTCTGGAACAACTCATCAACCTGATTGCGCAACTCACTCGCAATCAAACTATCGATCCCAATCCGCGCTAAGCTCGCCTGCATGCTGATCTGCTCTTTTGGGATAAAGAGCAGCTCAGCGAGAACTTCTGCGACTGCAGCTGTTGCTGAATTGCGACGTCCATCTGCATCTTCAATTGTGATAGAGCGGAATTTGGCTATTGCTGTGGAGGTCGGGGTTGCTCCTTGGCCGTTGGTCGTGTTAGCGCTAGCGGACTGAGCCTGCGCAGCGGCTGTTTGGAGGATAATCGCCCATTTATCGAGTGTTTGAGGAGGGACATCCGTCTGTCGTTCGTGGATGAGGGTGGAAGCATTTGCCGAGGAGAGACCGGAGACGATGGATTGAGCATAACACAGTTCAAGAGAGTCCGAGGCCGGTGCGTTGCTATTGCAGAAAAGAGCTTCTATTCCTGGGATGAGGTCATCGAAAGTGGGCTGGTCTTGGAATATGGTAAGTAAGCTGGATGCAGGGCCTTGTTTCGCCCATGAGTCTGCAATACACTGCGCCTGTCCGCTCCTGCGGGCGGGAAGATCGAAGAAGGTTGCATCCGCAGAGGTGATAATGAGGACTTTCTCTGGTGCCCAACGCCCGGAAAAAGCATGTTGAGCTACACCATGAAGATCCTCCATGACTATACTGGCATCTGGTCTGCCAAAAATGACAGCCTTCACACGCGGTGATAAGGTTGCGCGCAGCTGCATGGAAATTCTGTCTTGGTGCACGTTCAAGAGCGGCTCCCAGACCACAGAGACGGCAATTCCCAACTGGCGAAGGTTCTCGAGATGAGACAATATCAATTCATCTATTAAATTGTCGTCGGTATTTGTGCTCATGCTCCTAGCGATGATGATGCCTCGAATTCCCATTGCGACTACCCAGATTGTCAAGTCTGCGAAGAAGGGCTCGCCGATACAGTCGATGAGAACCACAGAGTTGGAATATGATTGTGCGTTCAAGCTGGCACCTTCCATGTGCTTCGATGGTGTCATGGGGTAGAATCGCTCGATTAACCCCTTGTCTGCACTTTCAGCGTGGCCATTCATCGAATCATCTGCAACAGAAGAGACCAGCACGTTCATTGTCCTGAATGGATCGGCATAGTCTGGAAGATCAATCCACGCGCTTGTGAAGCCGCATTTTTGCAGTGTCTGATTCCACAGATCGACAGAGATGAAGGGTGAGGTAGGTCGGTCGTCTCGTCGACCCTTCCAGTAGTCTGAAAATCCACCCTACTCATACTCAGCATCATGGAGGCTTTTTAGATCCCTGGAGAAGAGGACAGGGGCTTCTCTTACCAATACAATTGTAAGCCATACCGTCTCGATGGTCTGCAAGTATCAAGTTAGTGTCGTGCTTTCTGTTCTGGAGGATAGGGGAGGTAGGTCAAGGAAGAGGGTTAAGTACAGTTTCCACGAGGATAAGCTTCCCATTTGGCTTCAAAAGCCTGCGGACATTGAGAAGTGTCTCCTCTAGTGAGGTCGTTGCGTGGAGGACCTGTCATCTATGTGTCAGTTCTTGCTCTTCAAACCAGAAGCCATGGGACGAATACATTTGCGGCAACAACCACATCATAGCTAGCTTCCTCGATACCTTGCTTCGAGGGTGCCTCCTCAATATTTAGCGTGGCATATGAGATGTCCTGACAGTCCTGGAACTCATCCCGAGCACCGCTGAGGAAGTAACTGCTCACATCAGTGAAGCAATAGCTCCCATACCGACGCGCTCCACCCCACGCACCCAACACGTCAAGGATTTCTCTTGTCGCACCTCTTGTGCCACCACCGATTTCGAGATATCTTGCACTCGGGTCCTTATGCCCGACCAGATCAATCACGCGGCGGAGCTGGATCATCGAGCCGGCAGCTGTGAGAGTTGAGGTGTAAAGCTTGTGCAACAGACCATCAACCATTAAAAGGTCATGGGCCGAGACAGTGCCATCCAACACACAAGAAAGATTTGTATACATGCGCATCATGAGTTGGGCTTCTACAGAGTCCTGATAAACTTCTTCGTAGAGGGTGGATATGAGTTTGGAGCGGGCTGGGCCATCCATTGCTGCTAACTCCTGCCCGTAAGGCATGCTGCCGTTGGGAATCTGGGCGTACGCATTCTCAAGCCAATCGAAAAAGTTCCGACCTGTTTCCGAGAGTGATTCCGACGTTTTGTTGCTGGAGCTTTCTGTTTGGGAGGAGATATACTGAACAACCACGGCAGAGGCGAGTCTGTGTACCTTGGTGAACGTTCTTTCGCCAGGAAAGACCGGCGCAGGGAATATGCCGGATATTGAGTCTTGAGAAATGGTCGTGTAGTCTGGTTTCGAGATTGACTGGAGAGCGGGATACTCCGTCGGTTTTATAATTCTGCAATCTAGATGGTTCAAGCGCACATCTTTGAGACATATCGCCAACTGGCTATTTGTGTCCCAGAGGTCGACGGTCTTCACAACATCTCTGCTTTGAATCGTCGATGCAAGATATGGAGTAGACATATCTAAGTTGTCCCAGAAGCCGGTAATAACAACCTCCCCGATTGATACGGGATACGCCAACTGGAGATCGTGTGTTTGCTGGTGGGTGACCGACGACATAATGGCCAGCTGAATGCATGTCTCCAGGGTGCCGAGTCTGCTGAGAGAAGTCTCTCTCAGTTCATATCGGTACACATTCTCCAGCGGATTGGCATGAACTGTTTCAATCGATTGCCATGACACATCATACTGGAGCCCTGTAGCTTCCAACTTCTTGTACAGTTTTGCGGCAGAGATTGTGATAGGCGTAATTCGCCCATCAAGGATACTGCCTTGAATTGGCTGATCCTGTTTGGCATGAATCTGCCCAGCGGCATGAACGATCGCTTCCCTGCCCTGAATGCTTGTGATCTCAAACAAATATGATCCTTCATCCACATTCGGATAAAGACAAGTAACAACATCTTTCTCCACCTCCAGTGTCAATGCATTCGGCAGCTGAATATTGGTGAAGGTCCATGTCCTAGCAGAAATTGAAGGGACGGTCTGCTGTGCAGCAACAAGAACCATCTCTAGCAGACATGCGACGGGAATTTGAGCGGTCTGCAGAACCCTCAGCCCTCCAACGTCCTGTGCGCTGTCCGAATTGATGACATTTCTCCAACTAGGTGCTCGCGGCGAAGCTCCCAGAACCCGGCTCCCAAGGAGATTATGGAAGGAGAACTGCGGGAATCGAAACTCGGTCTCAATGCGGCTCATATGCTGCAATGAGTCGCCATATGCATACCTATACGTCGGCAATGAAGACAAGAGTCTTGGCGTGATTTCCTTCCCCGTCGCGGCCTCTACTGCGCAATTCACGGCCCCAATGTTAAGCTTGCAGGCTTCGTTGAAGAGCGCACCCGCTAGCTCGAGCATGCACTCCTCTGCATCACGCTTTCGCACCAGCGTCGGCATGTACGGCGGAAACACTTTTTCCTTCCCGCGGAAGGCCTGCTCAAGCTGTCGAATGGGGCCAGCAAGCGCCGAGTGTGGGCCAATCTCAACAATCAGATCAACGCCATAGTTCACCAGTTCCTCCAGGGCAGGTGAAAAAAGCACGGGACCTTCAAGATTCGATCGCCAGTACGACGGCGTGATCTGGGAGCCCTCTGGCAATCGGTGCCCTGAGACGGAGGAGAAGAAAGGTGTGACGGCCCGCCTTCCCTCCTCCTGGTATATGTGAGACATTGCTTGTCGCGTACTGGTCTCAAAGATCTCCCCAATCTCTCGCATGTGAAAGCTGTGGTATGCTTTCCCACCCGTTGAGAGCACACGATTGAAGATTCCCTTGCTGTTACAGATATTGCTGACCTCTTGGATGGCGTCAGTGTCACCGCTGACCGTAATGCTCTCAGGTGAGTTGATTGCCGCGATGCTGACTCGATCCTTCAGTGGTTCCAAGAGAGTCTCGCAATCATTTGGTGTTAGACCCAGGGCAGCCATCGAGCCCTCGCGGGTTATGCGAGCAACGGATTTGCCTCTGTAGTAGGCAGCTACGATGGCTTCCTCGAGGGTTACTCTGCCAGCTGCGTACGCGGCTGCCATTTCTCCTGCAGGAGGTTAGTAATCGCCATAGCCATGACAAAGTTTAACCTGAAGATATGGTTGGCATGATATACCCACCTGAAGAATGCCCCATGCATGCAAAAGGAACGATATCCCATGAGTTCAGAACTTCAATCAGTCCGATCTGGACTGCTGCACAGGCCGGCTGCGAAACTTCTGCCACGTATACCTGGCTCTTGTCCGCCGGGGCAAGCAGGATTTCTGTCAATTAGTATATCGAACATTTGCTCAGAGCCAATTCAATTAAGGGTACCAACCTTCAAGCGTCCAGGCGGGTCCATCAGGAAGCCGTTGTAACGTTTCATTCATTCTGCGAATTGCGCGATGGAAAGCTGGCCATCGACCAAAGAGCTCTTTTCCCATTTGCGGCCATTGAGCCCCTTGACCTGCACTTAGTTAGTCCCAAGCTTTTGACAGACTTTTCTAGGATGGGGAAAGGGGAAGAATACCTGTGAAGATGAATCCAATCATGGGCGGTGTTGTACGTAGCCGCTTAGCCATCTGCAAGTGGTCACTTGACAATGAAAGAGAAGTATATGGATTTGCTGAAACGACAGCAAATCCCCTATATGGCAGACGGGATCGGCGCCCAAGTGTGTAAGCCACATCGATGGGTGAGTATGAGTATCGATCAGAAGCGGTCGCTAGTGCAGCGCAGTTCTGAAGCAGAGACTGAGACTTATGTGCTGAAAATGGCAGCAAGAAGCGCGAAGGTCGTATATTTCGATCAACCTCTGCATGTCGACCGTCGGATACAAATTCTTCAACAACAACATGTGCATTGGCGCCACCAAACCCAGAGGTAGCGACACTTGCACGCCGAGGTAGGTTGGCTGGCCATGCTGATTGCTCCTGGACTAGTTGAAAGCGATTGATATCGAGGTTCAGAAGAGGGTTGATAGAAGCCGGCGTGATCATGGGCGGTATCACACCCCGTTGAATAGCAAGGACGACCTTAAGCAGCCCGCTCAAACCACTAACAGGTTCGCCGTGTCCGATATTAGCCTTCACTGATCCTAAGAGTAAAGGGTTCTCTTTATCACGTGCAGAAAAGAACGATTGGATTGCTTTAAGCTCGATCGGATCTCCCACTGTGGTTCCTGTGCCATGGCATTCATAATATGCCGTGTCTCGTGGGTTGAGGTTCCCGGCCATTTGATACGCCTTGCGCATGGCAGCCTCCTGTGCTGTAGGACTGGGATGTGTGATACCCCCGTTCGGCCATTGGCATTAGCTGCCGTACCTCGTATGACAGCCAGGATATTGTCGTTATCACGGATCGCGGAGTTCAAATCCTTAAGGTAGAACCCCACAAACCCGTCGCCACGACCGTAACCGTCTGCATCTGAACCGAAGACATGGCATTGCGAGGTGGAAGAAAGCGCACCTAACTTGTCGAGAAACATCTGCATATCCGGGGACCAGATCAAGTTAGAGGACGCCACAATTGCAGACTCAATATCCCCAGTATTGATGGCCTGGCAAGCAAGGTGTAGCGCGTACAGCGATGCGCTACAAGCCGTGTCCACTGTCATACTACAAAAGATCATATCGATTCCGATCAGCTTACCTCGCATCTCATGATCCCGTGAAGGGAAAGGTAATGAAAACGCACCTAGGTCCCCTCAAATCGAACGTATATGAAATTCGATTCGCGAGAAAAGGTGCAATGGCTGCGGTGGCTGTGTACGGCCCTGCGAACTGGCTATCGCGCACCTTGCTAAACAGCTCGTCGTGGTTAAAGCTCCCGATGTAGCATCCTGTATCTGAACCCGCGAGTTTCTCCATAGAGATGCCAGCGGATTCGATCGTCTCGTACACTACCTCAAGCAGCTTCTTCAGGGCTGGGTCGATCTCAGCAGTCTCGGTGGGCTTCATGGAGAACAACTGCGGTTCGAAGAGCGTCGGGTCATCACGGAGCACGTAGCCTCCAGCGGTGGTCATACTTCCCGGACGGCCGCGCTGTGGATGCAGGAACTTGTCGACATCAAACCGGTTCAGAGGAATTTTTCCTGCAGCAGTTTCCTTGGCCAGAAGCATGTCCCAGAAGGCAGAAGGATCTGTGGCGGACCCAGGAAGGCGGCAACCTTCATCACCGTCAGAGAGCGCGTTCAAGAATGGAGCCTAGTCAGTTCAGATTGTGGAGACTTACCCATTCCGATGATGGCGACGCCTCCAGAGGAAGGCGAGCCGGGGCTTCTACTGCCGTCTGTGGAGGTTGATGCTCCATCTTGCAGCCACGCCCGGTTGAGCTCCTCAATTGATGGCATACCGTGTATATGAAATTTGTATGTTTGTTGACTAGTTCAAGTTGAATTGTTCTTGTGCTCCATCAATTATTTCACTATTCTCTTTCGAAACTAGGATCCTGGATATAGATGGTCAATTGCTATGATCGACACGAATTTGACACGAGTCCTGCCGTCCTGTGCCCACATCGTATTCACTCCATTCGATCATCAATCGCTTGACAAGGGCCTCGTTACTCGGGTCAGCAGATAGTAAGCAGCCACCGTGATGCTCAAGAGAAGGATGGTCGACCTACCCTGCTTAACTAGTTGAGGTTCTAGAACAGGCCTGTATGGCGAGATAAGCACTGGACCTTGTACATGTTTCATATAATCTCCCATTCCCCCGCTGACCGCTGCTCCATACCACCTTACAGCGTCGCGACGGTATACGTACATCAATTTACGTATACTAACCCATCATGAGACTTTTAGCAACTTATCTATTCACTTTTATAGACTTATTTTTCTCGTTCTCTAGCGCAAATGCAGATGCACTCAACAAATTCGGTGGCAATACCCCCATTTCCGCGTACACCCCACATTCCATCAAAGCAACGCTTTCCCCCAATCTTTCCTCATCTGCTTCAGTCGTCCTCCCAGGCGACGCAGAGTACGAAGAGCTAACAACAAAATACTCTGATTACAACCGTCCCACATACTCTGCTGTCGTCGCGGTAGCCTCAATCGAAGACGTCGTGGCAACAGTCAAATACGCGCGCGCAAACAATATCCCCTTTCTCGTGCAATCCGGGGGACACAGTTTAACGACCTCCACACAGGTCACACAAAATTCCATCCAAATTAATATGCGGAGGCTCAGCTATACTCGGTTTGATGGGGAAAGAGGCCCAGAGTACGCAGTTGTCGGGGGCGGAACTCTGACGGGAGAATTTGCGAATGCGACACATGCCAAACATAGAGAAGTTAGTAAGTCAAACATGCGCCCGATTATTCAATTCACCATTCCTGTAGCCTTAGTGTGAACAGTATACTGACTGGCTCTCGGAAAGCTGTTGGATCCTGCCCCTGCACAGGCGTGATGGGGATCGGCCTGGGTGCAGGAATCGGCCGACTCCAGGGGATGTACGGATATTTCATGGATAACATCGTTGAGCTCACGCTCGTGCTATATGATGGGTCCATTGTGTCTGTGTCCGAGACCTCCAACACAGATTTATGGTGGGCCGTTCGAGGCGCAGGGCACAACTTCGGCGTTGCCGTGGAGGCAGTCATCAAGACGCATCCGCAGCTCAATGCTGGCAAGCACTTCGTCGCGGATATGGAATTCCCCGTCTCACGTACCGCAGAGCTCTTCCAGCTCATGAATGAGATCTCGACACCAGACCTCCCGCCCGAACTTGCATTCTTTATAACGGCGCACTACAGGGGAAAGTCGGGGAAGCCGATCATCAACATTGACTTTGTCTGGCATGGCCCCCGTGAAGCGGCACTGTCCTACCTGCAACCTTTTCTCGACCTATCTCCAATTTTCAAGAAGGAAGAATATGTAACCTGGGATTCACTGCCCTGGGTAACGTACCTTGAACTCAACAATATCCTTTGCTCACAGCCAGGTGGGCAAAGAAATTTCTACGCTGCAAATGCCGCGACATACGACATCTCTGCGATGGTCAGCTTGTTTGAGGATTGGGAGAAGACATCCAAGGAATATGCCGGGCGTGCAACCCTTCTGCTTATGTTCCAAACATTTGGCCAGGGCAAAGTACAGGCCGTAGAGGCCGATTCGAGTGTTTTCCCATGGAGGGATGGGGCGAAGCATTTCTTGTATCTATTCCCCTTCCCTGGCAACCCTCAAAAAAGAAATGCAAGCTAATGGAGTTATGCCAGAATCGTCCAAGCAACATATAAAGACCTCTCCCTGCGCATGACGCTCGACAGGTGGCTCAAGGCAGCGCAGAACCTCATCATCGAGAGCAGCGGGTACGGTCGGCTGCAGCAATACGTAAACTACGGGCATGGGTTTGCCGACCCGGCGGAGAGTTTGTATGGGTATGATGGACGAATGCCGCGATTGCTCGAGCTCAAGGATAAGTATGATCCCGAGGGGTGGTTTGACACTTATCAGCCTGTAAGACGAAGCCCAGGGGGTGGATTGCGAGAGGCGTCGATATTGCCTAAACGCTTGGCGGCCAGCAGAAAATTAGAGACGAAAGAGGGCGTTACGAATAGTGAGCATGATGAGTTGTAGGGGTACCTAGTTATCATGATCATTTCAACCGAGGTAGCAAGGCTAGATGCTGATCCTGCTACCCTGAGCAGGAACACAGAGATGTCACCTACCTCCCTTGGTGGACGAATGAATTCAAATTTTATCTGCATTATATGACGCGGTGAGATTCTATTTGCCACCCTATTCGGGCACACCCTCAAGTCTTTAGAAGCTCTCATTAGTGTCTAGTCACTGGTTTCAATCTACAACGTTTGCACCATGCATAGCAAATACCGTCAAGCGGTTAAGGTGTCGATGATCGTGATACGTCAAGTCAAAAGTCTGGCCTGTATAGCAAGGGAAATAGGATATGACGAGTATTCGATGTGCACTCTTATCATTCTAGAGAGTGTTGATATTGTTCAATGAGATCTAAAGTTATATATTGTGTACAGGTTTCAACTTATCCTTGCTCCTCGCCTTCATTCCCACTACTTCCATTGTCAATGCTGTGTGTAAGACTGCTACTAAACGATAGCCCATGGCCGTTTCTCCAGCAAAAATCGTGCAAGAATCTGGCAGAGCAAGCCTGCAGTGACCATCGCCCCGCTGAACATCGACGCCTCTAGATATCCATAACTCCGGATCAAGGCCCCGTTGATTGGTGTGCCGGCCAGCGCGCCGAAGCTACAAATCGCTAGACCTTGCCCGACATACGTGCCAATGTCGCTTGGATTCGGGCATACTAAATCCATTGCGTATAGGTCAGCAAAAATTTCCAACCCTCCAAAGACGGTAATAGTATGTGCTAAAGAGAGGTGACAAACCTTGAGCAACAGTAGGTGAATACAACGAAAACGCCCCTCCAGAAAAGAAACCAAAGAAGGCAATCCAGACCATGATCGCTGCGCTGGAGGTGGCAGCTGTCCAGCAGAAGAGGAGAATTGCACAGGCGGCATAGGTAAAGATAGTAATATTGAACCGACCTAGCTTGTCACCTGCGAGATTGGGGATTGTCCGTCCAAAGAATGAGGGGGCATTGAGGATCGCGACCTGATACAGGGCCATCTGTGGACTCATTCCCCCGCGCTCAATGGCATAGTCAGCAATGTAGAAAATGGGAGCGTACAGGCCCAACAGAGCCAGGAGGAAGCCCGCATTGGTCAGATTGTAAGGCCACTGCTTGAAGGCGCTTATCAGAAACATGTTTTTCTGGCGACGAGGAGCAAATTCCTTAGTGACAAGAGCAGCGTAGACCAGCAAGACAAGCATAATGAAGCCAATAATACGCACTGACCAGCCGAAGCTAAGGTGATGGTGATTCAGGAGACGGTTAAGGGTAATGGGAAAGACAATACCCCCGATAGCAGCGCCAGACACCACAACCCCCATCGCCCACGCCCGACGCGTGGTGAAATATTGTCCAACGCAGGAGACCACCGGTGTAAATATCATGCCACAGGCCATGCCTCCTAAAATACCCTGGGCGAGGATGAACTGGTAGTATTCATGGCTTAGGCTGGTCATCATGACGGAAAAGACAAGAGTGAGGCCAGCAGGAATAACAACTGCCTTGACGCCCAGGCGGTCAGAAAGGGGACCGCTGGCGGCACCGAATAGGAAGAGGAGGAAGGCTTGCAGGGAGCCGATCCATGAGATGGAGCTGGAGGATTCAGAGGAGAGGAAAGTTGTACTGTAGTAGCTTTGGAAGACCCTGGAACATTGTTAGGGCAAGAGAGCTCCCTATCTCATTTAGTTGCACCAAACTCACCCGAATGTGTTGATGTAGCCGAAAGTGCACCTAACATTGGCTTAACTTTAGATCGACGATACCCGAAAGTATAGATTAGCAGGGGTGGAGACATACATTTGAGCGGCAAAGGCTCCCAGCGCCACGCCCCACGCTCGGGCACCTCCATTGGGAGGTTCCTGGGGGTTCTGGCGCTTTTCTTCGTCGCTTGGCATTTTCCAAGAGTAAATTGGCCAGGAAGGAAGTAATTTTGTCTCGAGCGGATTAGAATAGACCGAGGAGAAAGGAGGCGGTAAAAAGACAAGCTTGTCGGAGTTAACAGATCGGAGTCCGAGCGGCTTGGTTTTGATAGATGCTTGCATTCCAGCTAACAGAGCAAAGAAACATGCCGATCGTTTTGTAATTACCAAATATCCTGCGTTCGGAAAAATGCAGAATTATGCAGAATGCCCTATGATCCTTCTCTAGATGCTTAAGGATACTAATCACTAGTATTTAATATAGGTAAGGGATTTTCAGATCGCAAGAAATAATAGATAACATAGCATATGCTAGTGGCCTCGTTACTCGGCCTTGGAAATAATAGAAGCGCGCATCAGATATGTATGTTCATCTTCATGTAAATCCTTCTTGTTTAATATACTAGATCATGATTTAAACCCTGATCTGGATTGAGATCATCATTTTATGTCTATAGTTCATAGTCTATTTCCGTTACTCTAAAACGATGCATCTTAAGCCTATTGTCGTTCTTCATTTTCTGTCTCTATGGCATTCCTCCGCGTGGTTGTGCCCCTGACACTCTTTACGTATTGTGTAATCCGCGACCTGCTGTATCTGAAATTGCGGCGCGGCAAGGCTTTGTTCGACATAAATCTATTTTACACGGAGTCGTAGCCATAGAGAGAACGGGACGTTTTCCATCGAGCTTGGAGGCCAACTTTTAAGCCACCGGAATTTATTTCATGGTGTACATCCGGCTCACGTTGCAATTCTCATGTCTGAAAGCTCAGTTATCTCGCTTGATGGATAGAATCATTGGCCCATGAATAACCATTCGCGTCATGTTACTGGAAGGATCCTTAGTACGATTACAACTGCGGCAGGGATCCTTTCGGTGTCTCCGATATTGCAGATCGTTTATCTGATCCAACATGTGAACATAATCAGGTTCATTCATCCTTGCTGATGAGCACTTCGGGACTAGTGGATTTGTGCAGGTTACAATGCAGTAGTGCTTACGATCCATCGATCATAGGCTGCGGCTGCGGCAAAGCTTGTCTCTCATCTTGAAACATTAGTTTTAATATCCATATTCGCCTAAATGCGAATACACGGATCTACATACTAAGTGATGGGTGATGACGATGGGAGGGCTAGTAGTTGAGAAAGAACATCTCTTCAGCTTCTCCTATGTGCTCGAATCCACTCGCTTCCCAAATTCTCGTAATTCAATGCCGTTTCCCATGCAAAAATAATTCAGTGATTCTCATACCATATCCGAGCCCTTCCAACTGATATTTTACCGTAATGACTGGATTAAATTTGTGCATATTTCTGGGGCTACTGTACATAAGCACGCCAAGAATGAGGCGCCATGACGGGTCGACCCGGTCCCGCTTTTGAAGGCAGACGAAAATTACTCAATTTCATCAACATCCCTAGGTGAATCGCTTGAACGGGGCTACGATTGCCATTTAATACGAGGGTACATTCATATTCTTGCTACAGTGATTTCCCGCCCAGTATCCTTGGGTGATCGGCGGAATAATCTTGACCGGCTGACTTGCATGTAGATATCTTAGGGGTGTCGATTGATATGTACATTATTCTTTTTTGTTCGAGGGATATCAGAATACTGTATGGAACGGAGGGAAAAGCTAACCCTTCAGTAGTACCCTTCTTTCCCTTGAAACTAATTACCTGCCCATGTACCTATGGAGCATCAGCCCAGGTTTTGTTCGGTCAAACCTTTCATGGCGTAATGCAAGGACGCGACTTCGATCCTTCTGGTCACAAGGGGCGGAGTAGCTGGACTTTCTAATCTAGCTCTACTTAACCTTCGCCGGAGGCGGAAAATAAAAGGTTCTCACTGCTATTTATCTCTATCCTATCATCACAAAGTTGCAGCGCTCTCTCGCCTACCGTTGTGCCACGACGTACGCCCATTGGCTACACAATCAATCATTGCTTTACCCCCAAGCAGACTTCGTATTATGATGCCATACCATATCCACTCCAGAGCAATCAAAAGTACGAAACAAAGCCTCTGCAGAGCCAAGGCGGGTTAAGATGGATAAGCGATGCCCTTAAATTGTTCCCAGACACCCAGGTTGAGAGTCTTATCTTAAGGCCCAAGCTACAGCTAAGCTTTGCCTCGTGCTCACAAATTGGCGTTGTGGTTTAGTTTATTTCATCTGTATAAACCTTCGAAATGGGCGCGGGGTCATGGACTGAGTCTGAAGATCAGATTTTGCGAAGAGAATATGCTCGACAGGGTGCTGGTAGGAATTACTTTCAGAATCACGCTGCAGATTCTAACGCACATGATCATTTTTCCAGAAAATACCTCGTGCACAACACGTTGGGATGCGATCGCCTCCTGTCTACCTGGAAGAACCAGCCGCGACGTCCGAAAGCGCTGGATCAATGTACTGGAGAACCAGTTTAACAAAGGTGCATGGACTAAAAGCGAGGATGATCGACTACGCATCGCAGTCCAGCTGCACGGAACGAGATGGGTGAACGTCGCCAAAGACGTAGGTACCCGTAGCGCAGACCGTACGTTCCTTGTATCTGTTGAGGAGAGTACAGACTAATAATTAATCTAGAATGCTCGAAGCGATGGAACCAGCATCTCGATCCAGCCCTCGTGCCTTCGCAATGGACCCAAGACAAGGTAAATTCGACTGCAACCCACCAATGGATGTGATCCATGCCCTGACAGTATTGATAGATTGGACTCCTCTTCCGAGCAGTCTCCTTTCACGGCACAAACTGGAGTACTATCCAGCAAATGCATTTTCCACGATGTCCATCAAATAGCATAAAAAACCAGTTAAGTCTTGAGGTTCTGCCGTTGCTTCGTGACCTCATTGTCTATTTAGGCATGCAATCGTTAGCCGCAACTATGAACGATTGCAGGCTGTATTGGCCTCTATCTCCGATGCTCCCCCTTGCTGCCAGAACGAAGCATCTGGCTCACAAAACACCACTGTACCCCTCGGAATCATGACACCATTGTCCGACACAAGTCTTTGGAACCTCCAATCAGTCCCATGGACTCCTGCATTTCCAGAAACTATTGAAGACTATACTATTACTGGCGTGGGGTCCCCCACTTCGGACTTTTTCTCGTCTCAGCTCGACGTTCTACGTAAGTGCCGTATTGCCCGAGCTCAGGCAACTGATTTAACACGCATCGACAGACTATTCCCTTCCTTCTGATATGACCATCAATTATTCCGCATTGTTAGACTCTGGGACAATTCAAGAAGCACGAGATACTTTCAGTCTCGTAGATGGAGACCTAAGCCCTTTGGATCCTTCCTCTTCAGCCTCTTCAGCCCAAGAAGTCTCACTGGTCATTCAGAACCCCGACCAAAATCTTATTACTCGCATGGTAAATGAGTTGGTAACAGCAAAGGTGGATTTCAAGGTTGTCCAGGGCTCCACTTAATGGACCACATGTCTCATAAATCAATCCTATCATCATTGAAAAAAAAAATCACGACTGTGCCACAGTATGCCAAGAACACAAGCTTGCTCAAAGGTTTCCATGTGTTATCGTGTTATGCAAATGCATATCGACTAGACGAGGAGACCCGAGCACTACGAGTCTATCCCGACTCCGGACAATCCCCTCGGATGTGTGGCCCGGGAGTGATTTTGCTCAGCCGATATTCCACGTTGAAGAGTGACGATTTATCGCTATTCCCTGGCATTAGGCGGAAGTTGCCGACAAACATTGAGTCTGCAAGGTTTCTGTATTTGGTACTATTCTTGCTGACATCGAATGTCCACACCGAGGCTTTTATCTCATCCTATCAGCTCTGCTCTACCCCTACCTATGCATGTATGAAAAACCACAGCCTGGGAAAAATGACGTACCTGAATAAGATTGCCCCCAATCTTCAGACGGATTGCCAGGATTGCCGGCCAATAAGCTCGTGATCTCCGGGGTCCGGGCGAAGAGACCAGTTGCGTGCACGCCGATAGCAACGCCATCGTGGGTCACGGCCAGACCACGAGGTTCAATAGAATAGTTGGATTCATCTCCATAGAGGCTGAAAAAGTCGTCCATATGCACGACTGTAGCATTAAGGAAAGTCTCAAACTACGGACCAGTTTGTGGGTAAGCTGCACCGATTTACGTGTTAGGCAAAGAAAAGCGGAAGAATAACTGACCCCCTCGACCGACTTTAGAGTGCCTTTGCTTTCCCCATTGTAGAGAATGTAGCCGATATCTGTGGGGCCGATTGTATGCTGCACAAGTGAACTGGATTAGGATAAAACATGACAGGGATGGATTACGAGGGCTGACCCACCCTCCGCCAGATTTGTAGCTACATCAGTGAAGGATCGATCATCGATTAGCCAAATACCTCTATAAACGGAGCAGAGGGGACGAGGGAGGGTTGCATACCGAGAAAATCAGGGCAGGAGCAAGTGTACTAAAACCACAGGCAACCATATTCGTAATCTATTATCTGGGGAACAGAAAATGCTTGATTCAGATTGGGTTGGTTCGAGTATTGCGTGGCGTTTTAATGCGGATATAAGGGTCGGACTCTTGCCAGTTTTCCGAAAGTCCGGGGTCTCGCTGCGGGTTGGTGGAGTGATCTGACCCTGGTCGGGGGTTTGCAGCCAGCAGTTTGTGACCCCGTTACGCGGGTTATTGTCTCAGCTCACTGACCCATACTTTCTATCCGCTTATTGATTTTCCAGGTACCGCAAACGGAAGATTAAAGTCGAGTTTCGGCTTCGCGTGAACTACTCAGGTATACAGGCTAATATCTCATTGAACTACGCCCGGTACTTTGGTTCCCCACACAGATAAATATGCTACCTCTCATTGCCCCAATATCATTTTTCGCTCTGATCGCCGTCTGCAGGTCGGTCGGTGCCGCCGCCGCCCAGGCATCATCAAGCCAGTCGAAGATAGATACCTTGCTAGACTGCCTGCATAGAAACATACCCACCTCGTCAATCATTACCCCCGCCAATACAAATTTCGTCAATGACAGCATCCGCTGGACGACCTTGGCAGCTCCCTCGTACTCCGTTCTTGTCAATGCAGGGTCTGAAGAGGATATTGCGACTTCAGTACGTTCCACCTGAATGGTTTCATATGTTGATATCACTTTATGGCTTCTCATGCCTTGGCGGAAACATCCCTTAGATTATTCGCTGATTGATAATGGCCTAGATTCAATGTGCAACACAGTCAAATGTCACATTCCTAGCGACTGGTCCTCGACATGGCTACTCCATCACTTTGGACTCTGTCCAGAATGGCCTCGAGATCAACACGGCCTTCCTGGACCATTTAAGCGTTGACCCTGACGCAAATACCCTTACAGCAGGGGGATCTGTTACATTCGGCCAGGCCATTGACGCTCTGTATCCCATTGGAAAGGAAATGCGTAAGCTTTATCCCCTCGCAGATGACCTCACCCATAAATTACCATATATGTCAATATGAAGCTAATAATATTAGCAACGGGCTCTTGCTCATGCGTTGGCCTACTGGGCGGAAGTCTAGGAGGTGGCGTAGGACGGCTGTCGGGCCTACACGGTTTAGTCTTGGACAGTCTCATCTCCGTTAGACTGATGCTTCCCAACACGACTATTATCACTGCTTCCAAAACCGAGAATGCAGATATATTCTGGGGCATTGGTGGCGCGGGCTTCAACTTTGGTTATGTCTTGAATGCCACGTACAGGATCTATGACCAGGTCCCCAACGGCTTGCACCTGAATGCGGACTTCAAGTTTCCCATTTCCCAGGTGCAAAGTTATTACGAGCGACTTGACAAAATGGCAAAGTCTCAGCCTAAGGAGCTTTCTATCCTAACACTATTCAATTATGATGCGGATCTTAATGAAACCATCATCACCGCTAACGCCGTCTATGCTGGACCTGAAGCAGACGGCCGAGCAGCCGTGCAGTTCCTCTTCGACCAAAACCCGCTCATATCTAATATCACATCGGTTCCTTGGATCAACCTGCTGGATACCGTGGGATTTGGCTTCACAGGACCAGCGATCTGTAAGCGAGGGAATAGACGCAGCCAATGGGTAATCGGAGTCAACAGGCTTGACCCAGACGCCTACACTACAGCCTCTGGTATCTTTCAAGACATGATAACCAGATACCCAGCCACCCTTGACAGTTCGATAGATGTACAACTGTTACCTACGCAAGGAATCATTGCGGTGCCAGATAACGAGGCCGCATATCCATGGCGAAGTTTAATTGCGCATGTCCTTCTGGAGTTTAAGTACACTGATGCACAGCTTGATGGGATTGTGGACGGGTATGCAAGAAGGATTAGAGATGTTATTGTGCGGACAGCCGGGACAGCCGGGTTGAATGTTTATGTCAGTTATTCGCATGGGGATGAAACTTTGGAGGAGATTTATGGCAAACAGAAATTGGGGAGGTTGGCAAAGTTGAAGAAGATGATCGACCCAGAGGGCTTGTTCGATGCGTACCATGCTTTGCCAACGGCTTACCCTTGAGCTAGTATCATATCGATAGTGATGCATAGCTGAGAGAGCTTTGATCGAACAACTTTATCTACCATGTATTCATGCTTAGAAACCCACAGTATACCGAGAGAATATACCTCAGTGAGCCTCACATTGTATGGTGGGTCGACAAACGAGTTATTCGTAAACCCTGAGTACCTCATCTCCCTCATACAACTGATACTCTCCAAAGCTCTCATTCATCGAAAGCTTCATCTCCTTACTGGCCAAGGGCGCCGAGAATGGCTTGCCAACAAGCGGCACCCACGCATTATAATCCGCCCATACCTGTTCCGGCGGCACAAGACTCACCTCGTTGATTCGTTTCTTTGCCGCTGCCAATGCCTGGACTGGAAACAGTGCCAGTCTCTCCGCAAATGCCCCCACGACCCCATCTAAATCATATGAATCCACGGCATGATTCACCCATCCGATCCGCTCTGCGGTGTCGGCATCGATGTCCCGCCCGGAAAGAACGTACTCGAATGCCTTTGCGCGGCCTATTAGGGATGCAAGATATGCAATGCCACCAGCGCCAGGAATCAGTCCTATGGCTGTTTCGAAATTGCCCAGAAACGTGCGTCCCCTCGCCGCATAGCGCAGGTCACATTGTAGTACTAGCTCGTTTCCCGCGCCACGTGCACGACCCGCAATACTAGCGATAAAGATCACGGGGAGTGTACTGATATCGTAGGCGGCGTCAATAAATGTCTTCGTTTGTTCTGTGGGTGTAGGCCAGCCATCGTGTTCGAGGAGGCTGAGCTGGGCGATGAAAAAACTCGGGTTTGCACTCTGCAGGATCACGACTTTCGTATGGGATTGATTGTAAAGAGAGACTGTGAAGGTTTGCAAGTCCTGGATCATTGGCCAGTTCATAATGTTGATAGGACCATTGGAGAAGATTGCACGGGTGATGTTGCTCCCCGGTGTTCGGATTGTGGAGATTGTGCCATGGGGCAATACGCTCATTACCGGCTCAATACTTCCGATGCTGGCGCTAGTAGGATTGTGGATGCTTGGTATAGGCCCAGCGAAGGTGCTATTGTCTTGGACTAGAGAGGCCCATGTGGAGGAATACCATAGGGACAGAAAGTGAACAACGACAACGGACTTAAGATGCATCGTGACAGTGACGAATACAGACTAGAAACTAGAGAGCCTCAGAGCATAGACGCAAAATGATAAGCTGATTAAGGTTAATATCAGGATCTAGTGTATCAAATAAGACGGATTAATATAAGCATGAACATAAGTTGGATCTGCATTCGCGAATCGCGCTGGTATAATTTTCTAGGCCGAGTAACGAGGCCACTGTTAGGTAACCTATGTTCCGTTAACTAGGACGCAAGCAGCAAGCATCTATGAATCAAGTGGCCCGGACTCCGATCTGTTAACTCCGATAAGCTTGTCTGGCAATGACGTAATCAACCGATAAGGTAGATAAGCTTTCCATCTATCATCACGTGCCGTCCTGGAGGTTGATCGCGACAACAGCCGATGGAACTCATGTTATTCCCAAACAACCACCAATTCCCAAACAGTTCGCACACCATGCGCGAACAGTCATGGCGGCCAGATTGGAACGCTTTCTGAATTCCAGTTCCTTCTTCTTCCTGGCTCTGGTCTGCTTCTGCCTTATCCTCCTCACCCCAGCCGATGCCATCTATCAATGCTGGGAGACCAACCGACCAACGAACATCTTCTTCATCGCCGGCGCCTACGTCATCGCCTTTATCCTGGCAATCCTCATCTATGCGACTCGAATCTACACGAATCGTACCACTTTGGCGGGCATTCCCAAGGCGTGGATCCCCATTGAGAAAGAAGATGTCAACAAGAGCGTGAGGCGCCTGGTAATGGAGGGACTTGCCCGCAGTGCAGTCATCTCGTACCAGGCCCGCCCGCGCGATACCGCAGACGAAACACAAAGTTTCTCGAACTACAAAGATCTTCTAGTTGATCCTGATCGTCCGCCATGGGGTTCTGTCGAGCATCCCGGCTGGTCATCCCCCGCGTCTCCCGATCTTCCCAACCTTCCATACCGCACAGTCATCCAGGAACTGCCGAACCTGATCGAGGCCAAAGCTGTGTCGATAGCTCCCGCCGATGATTCTTTATCCAATGCTACGGACCCATTCCCTGATACCCGCGTGGTGGAAGTACTTCAAAGACCTGCCTCGATGGGCCTCAGACAGTACATTCGGCATCTCACAAACTTAGGCGTCATCACTTCCCCAGAACTCGGTGCTGATTTTCTGGCACTCTATGAACGTGCGCGTTTCTCATCGTATCAGCTCCATGAGACGGAATTTCGAGAACTCATGCATCTTTTCGCGGAGATTTTGAGAGGCATCACATCCCTAGCACCACCAGTCCTCGAGGTGATTCGCGACAGCGCAAGTTACCGTCGCGCAGATACCGAGTCAGTCATTGGTCCTTCAGACGAAGAGGGTGAGACAGATACCGTGGACCATTCTGGGTATGGAGGCACATTCACTCCGGTGCGGAGTAACAGTCTTCGCCCATCTAATGCGTCTACGTGGGAAACACAATCGGGCTACGATACCGCGCCTGATATGCGGAGCCCGGAGTCCAGAGTCTCGGTTGATAGTGGCTTTTATAGGGGGCCACGAGCGGTACGCACACCCTCGACTCGATCACTTCGGCGGGTGCAATCTGGCCAGTCTGGTAGCTCGGGGGGTAGTGTGATTCGCCTGGCGCGAACACACAGCCCTGCAGATTTGCCGTATACCGTCCACAACGCAGGTCGTAGAAACTGACTGGCCCACGTACAGTTTGTGTGCCCAATCAGATCATGTACATTAGCAATAGACTATTCAATGACACATTTGACGAGTACAGAAAGACCGGAACAGTGATATTAATTGGCAAGCAAGTATATTCTACTGATCAGAAAAGACAATCTATCAGAGCAAGCCACGGGTTGTCCGTGTTTGAAATCGAGGCAACTCGTGTGGGACTATCCATATTCGTACCCCACAAAACTCCTGACGAGAAAAAGAAAACCAGAGACCAAAGTTAAAGTGAACATCAAACTGCAACGCCATCCAAGTCGCATCGGGGTTGTCTAAACGGAAAGAAAGAAACAAACGAAAAAAAATTCAGAATAGAAAATGCTTGCTCGGGTGTGTTGTGTCGTATCATCTGATATATGGTTGTGTCGCATCCCCCGAATGCATCAGTGGACAGCTCCAAATCAAATTCGTTCGTATATGTCGCGGTGATCATCTGCCGAGACAGATGGCTACCAAAGAAGTCTTGTATATGTATGCGGGCCAAAAGAAGTGATTAGCTTCGCGGTTGGCGCTGGTCTCGGTATCCCAAGAAAAGAATCCAGGCGTCCATTATGGCGAGCGCGTTGGTTCACTCATGGGCGGGTGTTGGTTCGGAGATGGGGTCCCGACAGCCAAACCAGCCAGGCTCCTGGCAAGTGCAAGTGGCCGAAGCCGTTGGCGAGGGCAGCGTCGTGATAGTTGGCGCTGGCGTGGCCATGTTACTGGTGGTCGTAGAATCATGGCAGCCGAACCAACCGGGTGTCTTGCACGACGAAGTCGTAGAAGTGGAGGAAGACGTGGATGTCGACGTTGACGTTGCAGTGGCGCTTGTGGTCGTCGGGTCGTTGCAGCCAAACCAGCCAGGCGTTTTGCAGGTCGACGTGGTGGTTGTAGTGCTTGTGCTTCTTGCATTTGTCGTGGTAGTAGTGGCTGTAGTCGACTCATCAAGACAGCCCCACCAACCCGGAGTTTTACATGTTGTTGTCCTGGTGAGTGTTGGGGAGGCCGTGGTTGTGGTGGTTGTCGTCGTGATTTCAGAGCCATTGCTCTTGAAAAACTTCCACAGGACACAGTCGTAACATTCCTCCTCGGCTGCACATGGTGGCACATCGTCGTAAACCTTGATCACGTCCGAGATGACATTCCTGATCTTATGCGTTCCAAGGCCCACACGCCAGCCTTTGTCCCCCACTGTGTCATATGTACACATCTGACCAGTGTGGCAGGCGGATTCCATTGCGTAGCCGCCCCATGTGCAAAGGGAGTTGATGCCGTTGCAGGTCCCCATGTATACCGGATCAGCCGTGTGGCCAAAATGGTACGCTCCCGTTGAACGCCGTGTCTGCGGAAGTCGGGGGTCATGGCCTGGTGGACTGGGAATACCGAGTCGAGCCGCGGGCAAGGCTTCAGGGACTGCTTCAAACGTCACTGTTGGAAGGCCAAAGGTCAAGCCGAGGAGACTGGCCATGGCACCACCCAGGGAATGTCCAGTGAGCCAGACGTTTGCGTCGGGGTAAATCGCAGTGACATTGGAGTAGAGATCGATGGCGGCCCTGTAATATTTGTTCTCATCGTTCATCGCCTCCACGATGCAAGTCACGTTGGCGGTAAACAGGGCGCTCTGGCAGTCACAGACCTGCCTCCAAAGATACGAGCCTCCCTGACCACAGCAGCAACTGAAGAACAAGTTGTCATTGGTCTTATCATTCGTTGTGGTACCAGCTCCGTCAAACAGAGCCGGGGAAGTGCCTTTCAGGGAAACCACAATGGTGCGGTTGGTTTTGTCGGCATAGATGTGTCCTCGAAGTCCGTCCTTCTGCCATCCAAAGCTGTTGGAGTAGTTGAATTGGCCGTGAATGTTTTGCCAGTCCTCTGTGCCGGGCTCCTCGATGTAATCATTGGCCGTCATTTGTGCAAATGTCAACACCGTCTGTTTGTCCGTGATATTTGGGCCGGTGAGTGTGTCCATAACCCAGTCCGCTGGAGATGAAGCTGTTGCAATGCCGGAAGATCGGGCAGCCAACATGTGTCCTTCGATCACAGATATGCGTCGATCTGCCAGACGTTGTATCGTCATGGGAGATGATGAAGCTATCAAGGGCGTCTCGATTGTAAAAGGCTCCCGCTCAGTGCCATCTTCTGACACTGCCCACAGGCGGGTGTTGGGGTTGACATCGAGTCTGGCGTGTAGGTCTGGGTGTTGGTATCCCCCTCGGTGGAATATATGACGGAGAGACTAGAAAGACTTAGCCATGAATCTCAATGAGAAGTGCACGCCTGCCACTTACAAACTCGTATGGTTCGGAGGACAACTCCGGTTCGTCCAAGGATGCTGGTGGCGGGATGATGGGGAGCTGGACCGCAGGTACGTTTCCATGAGCCCCTGCGGCCTTTGGTAGTAACACAGCTGATAGTAACAACGCACAAAGGTTTGACATGTCCCGACGAAGGGAGTGAGATCGCCGAGAACGAGCCATGATGATGATGATGGATGATGCAGGGAAGCCGAGGATGGAGATGGGCTATCGTACCTTATCGGTCGGAGTGACGCACTGCGGAGTGATCCACACGTGACTTGACCCCGTGATGCGCTACGCCGATCAATCGATAAGCTGATAAACGATAGCGATGAGGAGATAAGGAGATAAGCTGAGCCTCGTTTTGGGGACATCACGAGATTCACGACACGTCAACCAGCCACATGGGCTGCCCCTGCTCGTTTTCTTATTGTATATGCCGTTCCTGCTAGCATGACCATGACTAAAGTACCGTAAGCTTCATAATTAAGATTTCGTGTACTTCAATCGACGCGGGGAAGCTGTGACACCATCATTGTGCGTGCCCCACTGCGGCACGTGGGAAAGTAAAATTCCCGCGGGGAACTGGGACGGTCCAGCTCACCAACTACTCTCTTGCCTTGATAGCCCAAGCTTCCTGGCCTCTGGTTATCTGAATCAGCCACCACGATGAGCGACTTGGACGAGAGATGCGCCTCTCTGCGAGCGCAAATCACAGCCACTGAGGCACAGCTTACAGGACTCAAGCGGGAACTCGCCAGCGCTCAAGAAGCTGCCGCGGCGAAGTCGAACAGTGCGGAGCTCTCGGACAACCAGCAAGTTCAGTCAAAGAGTGCGTCTCGTTGGCCTTTGCTGCAAGAGGAATATAAGCGATATGGCAGACAGATGATTGTTTCACAAGTCGGGCTGGAAGGTGAGTTTCACTCCAGTGTCTTGGGTTTGTGAGGCAACGGGAACCCCAACTCGCTAACCTTGCTCTCCTTTCGTCTGAGCAGGTCAATTGAAGCTGCGTGCAGCCAAGGTTCTTCTAGTCGGGGCCGGCGGTCTTGGATGTCCTGCGGCACAGTATCTTGCTGGTGCGGGTGTGGGTACACTGGGTCTGATCGACGGAGACACGGTCGAGGTTTCGAATTTACATCGTCAGGTTCTGCACCGCAGCCACAATGTGGGGAAATACAAGGTGGACAGCGCCATTGAGTCATTGCGAGAGTGAGTCTCAAATCCGAGAACTTTATGATGACCCAGCACCAGCCCTGACTATGGTACCCTGAACAGACTGAATCCTCATCCCACCTACATTGCCCACCGAACGCACCTCACACCCAGTGAGGCGCCTCGCATCTTTGCTCAATATGATTTTATTCTCGATTGCACAGACAATCCTGCAACACGGTACCTGATCTCGGACACTGCAGTGCTCTTGGGGAAACCCTTGGTATCTGCATCTGCCCTACGCACCGATGGACAGCTGATGGTATTGAACAATCCTCCCCGGCCACCTGGAGATAAACAAGGAGGGCCTTGTTACCGCTGTGTTTTCCCGAAGCCCCCTCCGGCCGACAGTGTGGTGAGCTGTGCGGATGGAGGCATTCTGGGGCCCGTAGTTGGGACCATGGGCGTTTTGCAGGCCCTGGAAGCGATCAAGGTTATCACTGCCGGGGCTGGTAATGGAGAAGCACAGAACACCGGAACGGGTGCGCAACAATCTCCACTGCTCCACATGTTCTCGGCATACTCCAATCCCTTGTTCCGTACGATCCGCATTCGTTCTCGCCGGACCAATTGCGCAGTTTGCTCTGCGGAAGCCACGGTCACTTTGGATACCATCACCTCTGGGTCGACCGACTACGTCTTCTTCTGTGGCTCGGCTCTTCCGCCGTCGCTTCTCGCTCCCGATGAACGCATATCTGCGCGAGAATACAATGAAAAGTACCCCGGTTCTGATCACGGATCCCAAGGCTCCTCTGCCTCTCCAAGCCATACCATGATCGACGTGCGAGACAAGGTCCAATTTGGGATTTGCAGTCTGGGAGATAGTATAAACATTCCCATCTCTAACATTCTGGCCTCGACATCAACGGGGAAACCCCCTCATGGGTTCCTGCCGGGCTGGCTGCCTCCGAGTCCAATGATCCGATCTACGTTGTCTGTCGACTGGGCAATGACTCCCAACTTGCGGTCCAGAGACTGAAGGAACTGGGGCTGGACCGTGGCGGGCAACGCTACATTGGCGACATCCGAGGCGGGCTACGAGCGTGGCGAGAACAAGTGGACCCTGAATGGCCGGAATACTGAGGACGCATTGTAAATACTGCTGAAGAGTATCTCTGCCTTGGGGCCAAATGTCATATCTACCTTGTTATCAGGCCTCGCTCAATCCACTGAGCAAAATATCAGGTCCATGCTGACATGCTTCGTAAGATGTTCTATATGGATGGTTATCTATTGGCTGAGGCTACTCGCACGCCAACTTGTGCTTTCGCACGACAGACTTCTATTCTCGGATATGGTGGATAATAGGTACATTGAGTACCTAGATGTCTGGGCTTATGATGCCTACTAAGCTTTTTACATTAGCTATTAAAAAAGACCGTTCAAAAGACCTTTCAAAAGACAGTTAGTTAGAACTTTTATACAAGTTTAATTCAGAGGATGTACATTCATATTGTACTCTAGGTGACGGTAAAGCTGCCGCCTCGGGAAATGATCGGCTCCCTGGAACACAGGATAATAATTAGTCACCTCGCCGCCCTAAGCAGCTCCTAAGCAACCTGATCGCTCACCCTGATGCTTGGGATCTCATTTTCCCTCTCCGTTGCATAAGATCCTCCGGCGCTAACCGTACTTCTAGTGTTCCTAGGAACAAAGGCTATGATATGACCGTACTCTCACGTTGCTATAGTAACTTCTCTGGCCTTTCCTGCTACTGTAGTTATGAAATATTTATGATCATGATGAATTGTACGTCTTACATAAGGCCGGTTGAAGTCCATGTCATAAATGCGCCTCAGCCGCAGCTCAAAGAGGAAGTTAAATAGCTCGAAAAAGTGGGGGCGGCTCTTACCCCTATCTGTCACCGTCGCTAACCACTCACGAGGATCACAAGGGGGATTTTTGTTCATAGAATAAGCTGCAAACTACCTATGCCACGTTATCATCATCCACAATGGGCTTTCTTCAGCTCTTCAAGCATCTTGGTTCACCCAAGTTTGCCGAACAAACAACGATGGGCATTCAATCATTGCCGACTGAGCTCCTAGAAGCCATTCTCGCGCTACTAGATTTCCAAACGCTCCTCCTAGCCCAACGAGTCTGCCGACAATGGGCTAACTGCATCCAAGAATCCCCCAGGATTCAACAGGTGCTTTTCTTCCAACCAGCATCTACAAGCACATCCCGCCAACAAAACACATTCCTAGCATCAAAATTCCCCTACTGGTTCCCCGCCGATACACCCAAGTCTTGCAAGACTTCCTTCGGCGCAGAAGACATGCAAGATTTCCTCAACAACAGCGACGCATATAAACGGCCAGAGGCGAGTTGGCGTAGAATGCTGGTTCAGCAACCGCCAATTATGGTGCTGGGGTGGGTAGAGCGCAGCATCGCACCCGACGATATGGTAGACCTGCACCGATGGGAAATCCCGCTCCAAGCATTCGCCGGATTACGAATGAATATGCTCTACGACCTTGTCGTCAAAAAGGCCGAGGTTGCGCCACCCTATTTCTATTTCAGGGTGTTATGGTCCCAGTACGAGAGTTTTGAAAATAATATGGTGTCGCTCAAGACGGATCCTGACCCTGCAATTTATGGAGGGAGGATCGCGGCACCACTTAAGAGAGCTATGCGGGGTGCCGATGTTGTTGTTGATATGTGGCATGCGAGCCACTTGCCCTCTCATATTTCGCATCAGCGGAGGGAAGATACCTGGACTTGGAGTCTGGTGCGGGGACTTGCGGCACCAACGGGGGACTTGGAGGTTGGGCTGGTGCATGACATGAGAGAATTAAAGGAGGTTAATGGGTGGTCTTTGGCCAGTGATTTTCCTGCTGGAATCGAACGATATATGATGGAATTCCCAGACGGGTGTAGTAGTGCCATGCCGTTGCCTGATGACGGTGACTTTGATCTATGATTTAGAATGTGAACGAGCGAAGAGAGAGACTGTTCTCTGTCACGGTGTCAGCCGCCCATAAAACAGTGAAATTATATAGTGCTCATAATGATATCTAATAGATGGTCGAAATGTTGTAATCGCTATGCACAGGTACATTACTCTAAATCTGGTCTTTGATCTGGCGTCACGTTGATGGATCAAGATAGCATCCAAACTCGAGGTAAATCTAAATCAACCCCAGAGCTATTGATATTCATTCCACTCCAAAATTTCTGACATCATATCTGGCAGCTGGTACTTGCTATTTGCATGGGAAATGTGTGCGAGACGGGTCTGGAGCGATGATTCTCAGATAACATGATGCGCTTAAGGGTGTGTCCCTCGATCACTTTGTGTGACTGAGGCCCAGGTAATCCAGGCACCTGTCGGTCTTTCGAATATCATCAATATTAATCGTTATTGGGTTCTGATCCAGCTAACGAGTAAGCTTCTTGAAGGCCGTAGAAAACTGAACGCCTCGGCATTCGTGGTCAGAGTTCGCGTCACTCTCAGGATTGTGATCAAGTGGCACGCAATCATAATATTCTGTGCGACCTCCTAACAGCTGGAGTGCAAGTATACTTTGGCTGCATCCTGTTAGTGCCTCTAAGCAGCTAGAAGCCCACCAGTCTTGTTGTCCAGGCTCAGTGGTGAGTAGAAGCTCTTCTATCTTTCTCTCTCACGGTTTAATAGTTCAATTAGTCGACAGCAAACAATGCAGTTAGGATTTGGGGGCGAAACGGCTTAAGCACTCGGCTAGGAACCTGCAGGAAGAGTACTCACTTGTCTCGTGACGGACGCAATCCCAGGTGAAAAGCTTCTAGGCAATGGCCGCCAGTAGACGAGCGCATTCTAGCGATTGGTGAAGGTCTCCTCGATCTGTGTTAAAGAAATATTCCGGGAAAGACAGGGGGGCGAGTAGGGACGTATATAAACACGTCAGTATGGAACCGCGTTATTGATTTGAACCATGGTCATCTTATGAGAGGGATTGGCTTAAAATAGCGTTAAAATTGTCGCATACCCTATTTAGCGAACCATCGCGTATAAAATGTTACAAGCTACATAGTACGAGGGTTACCCAAACAAGTTATAGTTATGAACTACTAAAGTACTTACGCAAAAATAGCCGTTCTCGGCGTCGAATTTACCGTTACCTAGCATTGTGGTGTAAAACCGATTCTCTAGTCTAGATATTAAGGATCCGGTGTACCTATTATCCACTATATCTAAAATTGGAATAATCTGTCGTGCCAAAGCACAAGTTGGCGTGCGAGTACCCTCAGCCTATTTATTCTCAAATCAAATACATATAAGTTTCTATTGAAAACAAAGCCCGAAAAACAAAAAAATCTACCCCTTGATGAGGTGCCAAATATTGTGCAAAATCAAACGAGTCCAATGCAAGAAAATTCGTGTCATTAAAAGTGGCCGCCTAGTGGGCGAGGTTCTGAGGCGCAGCTGGGGCAGGGCCTTCGGCAGTGACGTATGCCTGGAGGGTTCGCATTAGCATCACTAGCCTCATATTATCTAGGTGATCCATCAACTTTATCTAGAACGTACCTTGCTGAGACCGCCATCCACCACAAAGTCTGTGCCATTGACGAAGCTGCTTTCGTCGCTGGCCAGGAACACAACGGCGTGTGCTTGCTCAATGGCCTCGCCGAAGCGGCCACTGGGGAAGTGCACCTCACGGCGGAAGCGCTTGGCGTGGTCGTCACCAAGCCAGTCCTGCAGGAGGGGAGTGCTGCCAACATTATCAATGGATGTTCTCATGACTATGGATATCGAAATGGCTTACTTGAGGGGACCGGGGCAGAGCGAATTGAAGCGGAAACCCTCACGGGCGTGGACGATGGCCAACTCGCGAGTCATGGCCAGAACAGCACCCTTGCTGGCAGTATAAGCCAGCTGAGGGGTGGCAGCACCCATCAAGGCGACAAAGCTAGCCGTGTTGATCACGCTGCCGGTCTTCTTCTTGTTGCGACGCATGCTCAGCACAGCGTGCTTGCAACCGAACCACACTCCCTTGACGTTGATGCTTTGGGTCAGATCCCAGATCTTCTCGGGGGGTATCAACGGCGTCCGCATCATCGGCGTGCATGATACCAGCATTGTTGAAGATCACATCCACACCACCCCAGCTGTCCTGAGACTCGACCATGGCCTGAACATCGGCCTCCTTCGACACGTCGCAGCGGATGGTCTCCAACCGACCGGCGGTGGGGACAACCTCCTTGACCTTTGCAAGAGCCTTGGCCAAAGCTGGCTCGGAGATATCGGCGAGGAGAATGTTGGCACCCTCACGAGCGAAGAGGATGGTGGTCTCGAGACCAATGCCACTGCACAGGTCGAGGATTGGGATTAGCAAGCTTGCTCTGTAAAACAGGTGGGAAGGACGAATGCACTTACCCAGCGGCACCGGTGATGATGGCATTCTTGCCTTGAAGACGACCCTTGGGAGCAGACATTGTGAGGTTTTTTGGTGGGGTAGGAGCTTCTGCAAGGGTTGAGCTGTTAATAATCTGTTCCTCGGTCTCCCCGCGGGGAAGATGCACAGCTTTATCATTCGAGGAGCTGTAGTGGACACTCACTGTGCAAGCGACTTAACCGAGCCAAAGGATTCGAAGAGAGCGCGCGGATGTAATTGAGTGATTGAGGGGAAAGAGAAGGCGAACGAGGTTGAGTTGGCAACAATTCCTCATTAAGGCGGTCTCCAACTGTATAGTAGCGGGACCGCGGGGCAGCGATTAGATAAGCTCTGACCGCGCTCTCGTGACCGCGCGGACCGCGCTGTGGGTCCGACGGCGCTTATCCGACGGTCATCGCTCGGCGTCGGCTCCTCCCTCCTTCGTTGGTGGCTGAACATGGGGGCCCCACAGCCAGGACGGGCAGAATGACCTTCACTGATAAGCTTGTGCTCAGGGCATCTTACCAGCAGCCCCTCTTCACAGTTCTCAAGATAACGTCTGTTGCCCTGTTTCTGTTGTGGACATCATCAGCTTCCCCAAGATTCCCTTCCCTTGAACCTCGACGCCCTCGTTTGCACTCTGCTTCACACGATGTCGGTCCCCGACGTCACCGCCGCAAATGTGGCCGAGATCCTGCAGAATGATCGCATGGTCAAGGTGGCCGGTATTGATGTCGATGGCCAGCTGCGCGGCAAACTCATGAAGAAGAGCAAGTTTCTGTCCATCGTTTCCGAGGGCTTTGGCTTCTGCTCCGTGATTTTTGGTTGGGACCAGCATGATATGACCTATTACAAGGAGCTCTCCATCAGCAACAAGGAAAATGGTTATCGCGACCTTGTCGCAGTCCCAGATCTCAGCAGCTTCCGGCGTATTCCTTGGGAGAACAATGTCCCTTTCTTCTTGGTCAGTTTTTTGGACCCGGACACACGAGAGCCAGTTTGCGCCTGCCCGCGTGGATTGTTGAAGACTGTGTCCGCGAAAGCTGAGGCGGCGGGCTATCGCGCCATGGCTGGTGGTATGTTCACTGGATATGCACTCTCTTCCCACAGGTTTCAAGGGGCCTAGCTAATATGCCACAGCGGAGTATGAATTCTACCAATTCCGGGCACCGGGCGACCATACCAGCCCAGAACGTGCCGCATCTGCCACAGCATCTTTCCTGCAGACGAATCCAGTCGAGTCGTTGCCACCACTCACAGAGGGCATGTTTGGATACTCAATTACTCGGCCGCTGCACAACCAAGATTACTATTACGGCATCTTCGATGCCTGCGAACAGTTCCGTTGCGATATTGAGGGGTGGCACACAGAGAGCGGACCTGGCGTTTTCGAAGCTGTGAGTAATTAACAATTCAAAAAGATTGGGGCAATGGTCCATAATGGAATGCGTGTTATCGTACACTAACACTGGGCCTTGTGACAGGCACTCCAATTTGGCGAGGCCAAGGAAATGGCTGATAAGGCAGGCTTGTTCAAGTGAGTAGATTGGATTTCGACCATTGAGCCCTCGAACTGACCATATTTGTTTCCGATAGATATGTCGTCAAGGCCTACGGTATCAAGCACGGTATCACGCCTTGCTTCATGGCCAAGCCGCGCCAGGGCCTCCCTGGAAACAGTGGCCACATGCATATTTCCCTTGTCACCGCGGATGGCAAGAATGCTTTCATCCGCGACACTCCTGACCCTTCTCCCCCTACCCAGATGTGGCACACCTCTCTGATTTGGGTCGCCATTTCCTCGCTGGTCTGTTGGTGGGTTTGCCTGATATCATGCCACTCTTTGCTCCCACCATCAACTCCTACAAGCGCTTGGTGGAAAACTTCTGGGCCCCGGTCACTGTATCCTGGGGTCTGGAGCACCGCGCGGCATCTATCCGGCTGATCACGCCCCCGACAGCCAGTGCGAAGGCGACTCGCTTCGAAGTCCGCACTCCAGGTGCGGATGCCAACCCACACTTCGTTCTTGCTGCGATCATGGCTCTTGGCTGGCGTGGCGTTGAGAAGAAGCTCGAGATACCCGTGCCACCTTTGTCCAAGGGCGAGGATACGGGTGGTGCCAGCGACCAGGGTGTGCGCCTGGCCAAGTCTCTGAAGGAAGCAGTTGCTACCTTCACACGGCCAGATAGTGTGGCCCGGGAGGTATTTGGAGATACCTTTGTGGACCACTTTGGCGGCACGAGGGAGCACGAAATTCGACTGTGGGAGGAGGCTGTGACTGACTGGTAAGTGTATCCCTGGGGGTGGTGGCGACCAGTCCCATCTTTCTATCTAGTTTTTTTTATCGTCCTTTGACTGGATTGGAGCTAACGCTATGCTTTTCTAGGGAGGTACGGCGGTACATTGAGACTGTCTGAAAGGAGCCTACTGTGATGATGCTTATACCATACATGTCCATTTTACTTTTCTGTTTTCTATTCGCTTTACCTATGTTGCCACCATTCGGCTTATGGGCAGGACAAGACTTTCAGCTGGAAGCTTCATTTGATTGTGTTCTTTCTTTTTCTTATAGCTGGATCAAGGGCGCTCTGGTCAGGAATATATCTTCGAGATAGATACACGCAATGGAACCCAATTTTACAAAATCCCAGAATTCCATGATCCTCTCGGCTTGCTACTGAGGCTTCTAACAGAATTATTATTTTTTGGCATCTCTGAGCGCCAGATGATGCTTTGTCTAACTTCACTGCCATGTGAAGTGAGAACCGAGGCGAGGATTTATTATCCTTCGATGACCAACCAATCACAAACGAGCCATACACGGCAAACAAGCTGTCCGATAAGATAAGCATCCCGCATCACGACATGGAAGAGGTCACGTGATAATCCACTCCGCCCGGTCATCGGAGCAACGGCCATCGGCCCATCATTGAGTTCCTGACCAGCGCTTGTTCATTTGTTGGTGCACGATTCGACTACCACTGTGCAAGATGTTCCGTCAAAGCATTCGACGCTTTGGAACCACTGCCCTTCGGACTGCGGCCGCGGAGTCTTACACCGCCCGGGTATCCACGGCGCAGGGCGTTGTGAATGGACTAACGGAAGGTATGTCAAGCTCCGAAAGAGCTCCGGATGACACAAATTTGACTAACTTCTATCTGTGCAGCAATTGGAAACACCCCTCTGATCCGCTTGAAGCGACTCTCCGAAGAAACCGGGTGCAATGTCCTGGGCAAAGCCGAATTCCAGAACCCCGGTGGAAGTGTGAAGGACCGCGCTGCACTGTTCGTGGTTGAAGATGCTGAGAAGAAGGGATTGCTGCGTCCCGGTGGCACCGTGGTGGAGGGAACAGCAGGAAACACAGGAATTGGCCTGGCCCATGTGTGTCGCTCCAAGGGCTACAAGCTGGTCATCTACATGCCCAACACCCAATCGCAGGGCAAGATTGACCTGCTTCGACTGCTTGGTGCGGAGGTCTACCCAGTCCCCGCCGTCGCCTTTGACAACCCCGAAAACTACAACCATCAGGCACGTCGTCATGCTGAGTCGCTGGACAATGCCGTGTGGACCAACCAATTCGACAACAGCGCCAATCGCCAAGCTCACATCGAAACAACTGGTCCAGAGATCTGGGCACAGACGGCCGGCAAGATCGATGCATTCACCTGTGCCACTGGTACCGGTGGAACGCTTGCTGGAATCACTCGCTACCTCAAGACCGCCAGTGACGGTCGGGTGAAGAGCTTCCTGGCCGACCCGCCAGGCAGTGTCCTGCACAGCTACATCCAGAGTGGTGGTAAGCTGATTGACCGCTCTGGTGGCAGCATCACCGAGGGCATTGGACAGGGTCGTGTGACGGACAATCTGCAGCCTGATATTGACCTCCTCGATGGCTCTCTGAACATCCCCGACGAGAAGACCATTGAGATGGTCTACCGCTGCCTGGATGAAGAGGGTCTGTATCTCGGAGCCAGCTCTGCATTGAACGTGGTGGCTGCCAAGGAAGTGGCCGAGAAGCTCGGCAAGGGCAGCACAGTGGTGACTATCCTTTGCGACGGCGCCTACCGCTACGCTGACCGGTTGTTCTCCAACACTTGGCTTGAGTCGAAGAACCTGCGGTCATCCATTCCCAAGCATCTGGAAAAGTATATTGTGTTGCCTTGAGCATTGTGTTGAATAGAAGTCGTGTATTTCGAACATATTCCTTGTCAGAGAACTTATCCAATCCATAATTATCCTTATTCTACCATTGATGTTCAACCCTTTCGATCTTTATTGATGCCCCTTATGTACCCACCCATTATCCTATGTAACTCCAATGATCATCATACATCACGACCATCTTCATATTTTTTTTCTACGTATTCTGATGCATGTCTCTCTCCATGTCTCTCTACATATCTTTCAAAATCGACTAATTGATATTGACGGAATGCGGTGGTAGAGCATGTACAGTAAACAGGGGTAGGCATTACTTACACGCCTATTGCGAGCAGAGATTTTCCAACCCGCAAAGACCCATCTATCACTAAGATTTAGATGACCTAATTTAGAGTACCTGACCACGCTGGGGCTCCAAAGTTGAGCGTGGTCAGAAAAAGGGCGCGCAATCCCAGACAACGCTAAGCTAATTTATGACCACGCCCAGCTGCATGCCCGGCCAGAAAAAGGGAGAGAAAAGTCACATCAACGGCAAAAAAGGAGGAAGAAGAAGCACGAAACCGGGCCGCATAGGTGGGAACTTGATCCAGTAAGTGAAAGGCCCTTGACATTCTCCATACTGAAGCTTCCGAAGTTACTTGTAACCAGCTCTACAGCAACGAAGTAGCATTTATTGTAGTATGCGAACGAGAGCAGAAAGAAATAAACGTCGCCGAAAGCAGTAGTGTGAGCTGTCTCCAAAAATTCATATGAGAGGCTAGCTAGAGAATGCGAAAGCTATGATCCATCATCTCCCTGATCCCCATGGGCATAGAGTGAGCCATAGGTTTCATCCAAGGCTCTGGTATGCCTCACAGGACGTCAAGGCAGAGCGGGAGATAACAGTCACATGTAAGCTCATTATGAATCAGCTTGCTAGGATCATTCTTAAGAATGTGGCTGCGAAGTCTCTCAGCCGTCCAATGCCGTTTCCCATATGTTCCATCCTTCCATCTCTCAATAAGTTTCTTCATGTAGATATAACAGCACAGCCGAGTCTCATTCAGAAATGGGGTTTCTTGAATGAGGTGTCGCGGGTTGATGTTTCTATGATTGACAGCATTAAATCAGCTCTGATATGAAGTCTCCTGTAGAGGGTATACTGACTGCTTTGAGAGTTCTCCGATATAGACCGTGTGGCTGATGGCCATTTCGGACTGGAGGTCACCATGGAAAGCCTGGTAGGTCACTTCATGGGTGAAATATTTGGTGTTATTGATTGTCACTATATCGATTATAGAACGCATCAACACGAGGATATTAAACCATGAGGTGTACAGACTTTGCGGATAGCCGTCATGGGTGTCACCATCGGGTGGGAAAACGGGAGAAGCGGGCCAAACTGGGGGCGAGGCCTGCAATCCAGCGAGCTCATCGCGTGAGAGATGGCTGTCTCGAGGACAGCAAGGGGGATCTTGTCGAAGGAGGTAGAGTGTAGAAGGTGAGAGAGAAGGCAGGGAAGGAGAGAAAAGGAACAGAGAGATGGTTGGAAAGGTGAGGGAAATAAGTTCTGGCTGGGTTCAAGAAAAGCGCTGAGATGCAAACAAACGGACTCAGGAACAGGAGGGTGCTTGTCTCTCACCCTCGATCGCCTACACCAAATTAAGCAAGTAGGCAATCAATCAATTCCCATTTTTGAACCTCGTCCAGCTTTCTTTCCACTGGGTGAAACAGAAAGAGAAGTGAGTATCTATACTACGCCTGCCAAGTTGTGCTCTCAGAGTTCTATCAGACCAGGTAATCAAACAGCAAGATGTATTGGAAACGAGGAAGAGGAGTTCACAGGCTGATAAATTCATCCAAAATCTGAATGCACCACTATATACAACACGGCAGTGGAGAGATCGTGCAACACCACCTTGATCCATCCCGAATACCTTTTTTGGAAGCCCTGGTTCAGCCCAGGCTCCTTTCCAATTGAGTCGAAGCCCCTTTCATGGGAGGATCTCAAGCGTGGATAACGCCTGTATCATTTCAGAGCAGCAACCAATTCGTCCACGCTCTTCATCTCACGGTCGTTGTTCTCACCAACATCCAGGGCCACCAGGAAGCGACTCACGCAATTGTATCCCGCAACGCCAGTGGTCAGCTCCACGATCTCCCGGTCATTGAAACCGACTGCCTGCAGCTGGGCAAAAACAGCATCCTCTACCTTGATGGTCCGAGTCATCTGGTCGGTGTATCGCAGCACAGCGCGCTGGCGTGGGGTCAGCACGCTACTCTCCAACTGAGCGAGGTCACCTTCCGCGGTGCAGGGCAATGACCGGCAAGCCCGGAGTTCCTCCGGTGCAATGCCTCCCCTCAGTGCGAGGGGAGCGTGGGCATTCCACTCGTAGACAGCGCCATTGAGCACGGCGACACGGCACACGGCCAATTCGAGAAGGCCCAGGTCCACGACGGTGCGCGTGCGAATGGCACCGAGGAAGCTATTCCAGCCATCAGCGACGGGTGGGCTGTGCAACAGGGAGAGATCCAGCGGGATGAGGGGTCGCGGTTTTCTTCGTGCCGCGATGCGGGCATAGATGTCCGCAGTGTCGGCTGCATCGTCACCATCGGTGGGTGGGGTGTTGGGGGCGTATGGGAGCCGCATGGTGCGCGTTATGATTGTGCTGGCGAGAGAGGTTTGGGGCAGAGAGGTAGGAAGTAGTCTGCGCTGCAACGTTCGATACATCAGCCGTATATCAAGTCCGGTTCCACTCCGATGGCCATTGCCAGTGCCAGTGCCACTGTCAGTTCCATTGTGTCTCCGATCGGTTGTGGCCGTTGCAGGTTGCCGAGTCACTCCGCACGGAAATGAGTTTACGCGGGAGGAAGGCACCCACGTGACTGGAGACTCGGTGCGGGGTGGTCGGAATCGGAAATACTGCTTAGCAAATCATACCGCGCACCAATTGGATATCAACCAGTCTGAATTGCTATACGCACTGCGCAAAGCCCTTAATGTCTGGCAATTTAAGTTAGTTAACGTAGTTCCCAGCTTACCTGATACCCCGGTTAACCCGATATCCCCCTCCAAATTCGCGTCTTCCTACCAACACACCAACTTCAACCACCTACCATGCCACCAACCCGCTCTGAATCCTGGCTAAAATCGGCCAATCAGGAGGGCAAGATTCAGTTAGCCCTCTAAGATATTAAAGAGGGTCGAATCAAATCTTTACGCGCAGCGACGGAGCTATATGATATACCCTACGCTACCCTGCATACGCGCTCTTCCGGAGTAGCCTCACACGGCGATACACGATGGCATCGTCATAAATTGACCTAATTGGAAGAGGATTCGCCAGCTCAGTGGATTATATCTATGGATACGCGTGGTGCAGCCCCTAGGCCCTCTACCGTGCGCGATATGGCTAATATTCTACTAGCTGCGCGTGGTGAGAGCCCACCGGCTACTGTTGGCAAAAATTGGCCATCTTCCTTCGTTCAACGGCGCGATGAGCTTCGATCACGCTTCTCTAAGCGATATAACTACCAGCGCGCTCTTAACGAGGATCCAAAGGCTATAAACGAGTGGATTTTGATGGTACAACGCGCGATTGAGGAGAACGGTATCTAATCGGAGGATATCTACAACTTTGATGAGACCGGATTCGCAATGGGTCTTATATCATCGCAAAAGGTGGTTACACGAGCAATACTACAGTCGGCGATCAATTCTACAGCCAGGAAATCGCGAATAGGTCACTGCGATCGAAACTGTATACGCTGACGGCTATTCACTGCTGCCCTGCATTATATTCAAAGGCTCGGTTTATATCGCTGGTTAGTTTGGATCAAAACTCCCTAGGGATTAGCGAATCGAAGTATCGAATAATGGCTGGACTACCGATGAAATCGGCCTTCGCTAGCTCCAAAATATCTTTATTCTATACACAAATTCGCGTGTACGAGGGCGATTTCGGCTGTTAATCCTTGACGGGCACGGTAGCCTTCTTACGCCTCAATTCGATCGAATCTGTGCCGAAAATGATATTATACCACTCTGTATGCCTTCACATTCGTCTCACTTACTACAACCGCTTGATGTTGGATGCTTGCAGTGCTTAAGCGTGCGTACGGTCGCTTCGTGAGCGATTTAGCCCGAACTGGCTATACTTATATCGACAAGCTTGATTTCCTAGCAGATTATCCTTGCGCACGACTAGAAGATTTCCAGCCGAATATTATTCAGAATAGCTTCGCAGCTGCTGGTATTGTACTAGTTAGTGCCGAAAGGGTGCTTTCTAAGCTTACTATATCTCTTCGAACGCCTTCACCCCTATCAAGCCGACTAAGCAGCAGATCTAGCCAATTCACACCGAAAACGCCTAGAACAGTAGCCTAGCTACAAAAGCAGGCTAAAATAATGAAAGATCTAATAGATCAGCGGTCAAAAAGCCCTCCAAGCCCGTTGAAATTGGTGGTTGATCAGATTCTCAAGGGCCATGAAATTGCATTGCATAACACTGCACTATTAGTGAAGAGAACGCCGATCTACGCGCAGCGAATGAAAAGAAACGTCGAAAGCGCACTCGATAAACTAGGCAGATTGCACACAAAGGGGATCTATCAACCGAAGAGGGCCTACAGCTAGTTGAACAGCTTTACCAGCCGGCAGAAGCTGATAGGGTAGTATCGCATGAACAGGTCGATCTGCCTAATCAGCCGATTCAACCGGCCAGAAGGGCTCCGCCTACCTGCAGTGGATGTGGACAAACTGGCCACAGGATTACTTCATGTAAAAATCGTGCTATCTAGTTAGATTAATTGGTGTTGGTTGCGATTATCGATTTTGAAATTTTTGTAATGGGGGTGGGTTATCTGGTTAACCGTGTTAAAAGGTAAACTGGGAGCCACGTTAACTGGAACTATTTTGAAAAAGACCTGGGCCAAGGATTTGATCACTTACTTGAATGGTGTATTGATACGGTTGGCGCTAGAAGGGCGAGCGCTCGAGGCCATTTCCGACACGCAGGATTGACTGTGGAGGTCAAACTTAGCGACCCCATCGGCTGACGTTAGATTAAAGTATAAGAAGAGTCCCGTTTAAATTACCCCGGATTTTTCTGCCTTGTGCATTGTGCATAGAAATCAGTTGCACGACTCAGCTCGTTTAGATTCTTTTGGTAACCTTCTCTGACAGAATCTTGATTATTGCATTCACTTCATTCCTAGCAATCGGTGCCGTATGTATTACCTGCAGGATAAATTAGTTGCTATTAAATCAATTCGCCTCTGTGCTGTTCAACTCTCCATCGTGCGCTATCTAATCCTTCCAGCCCACTCGCTTGGCCAATATTCTCACAGCGTAGACTAGCCCTAGCAGCACGGGCACTTCTATCAAAGTCCCTACTGTTGATACAAGAGCCTGGTTACTATTGGCCCCGAATGTAGCGACAGCAACAACAATTCAAAGACAGATAGCTGTAGCTTTACCGAGACAGGTTGAAGCTGTCTTTGAATTTTGCGGTTTTTCGGGAAAAAAGTAGGACCTAAGTTGTGATTTTTTTGAGTTCCTCGATCAATTCAAACATGAACGACTAGTTGAAGTTTACTGTAATGGCGAACATTGCGCCTGCAATTTATTATATAACATAAGCCTCCAATGTCTGCGTCAAAAGGAAATTATTGCCAACACCAATTAATGACCAGAAACCTCATCAGGAACGTGCATTTCTCCTTTTTTTATGTGCATCGGATGCCTCTGTAGCTGACTTTCACCACTCCCAGCACCTCATCAATGACGCTGAAACTGAGACTACATCAGAAACATAGCCACTGTTAAGGTAAGAATGGACAAGGCACTGAGATCAGTTGAAACGCGCAAATTTCCTGCTATATTCGTGGAACTAGGGCTGGGGGCACCTGTGCTGGTGGTCGGTGTCCCGCTAGCAGCAGAGGTCCTGCTGCTGGTAGTCATACTACTGGTAACGGCAGGACCGCCGCTTGTGGTGGTCTTGCTGCCTGAGTTCGTGGTTGTCTGACTAGCACTTGGTGTACCGAGAATGCCACCTTGGGCCGTGGCTGGCACACTCTGACCATTTGCACTAGAAGCTGCCGACTTGAATGAATCAAGCGTATCTGAGCCACTGGTGTTGAGGAGAGAATTAGTTAGTGCTTCTACCATTTTGTGGCTACTGATATACTTACGATGGGTTAATCACACCAACCATGCCAGCTTGACAATGTCCAACCTGACCGCAGTAGAACCAGATCGGATTTGTGTCATTAACAGTCAACGACCAGACAGGCTAAATGGTCAGAAAGTTATACAACCTGAAACGATGCTCATGAAATTACCTTTCCATCCCTAGCAGATGCCATAAATCCACTAAAGAAGCTAGTATCGCTCATTGGATGGCATGGGTTATTAAAAGCGGCCTGGGCAACTGAGTGATCGCCTGGATAGAAATGGAACTCGACTACGCCTCCCGCAGGGACGTGGATGGTGTCAGGATTAAAGGTAAAGCCACTTTCACCAACATCAACTGATTGCGTGGTACTTGAAGCTGAACCACTCTCTGTTGAGCTCGCAGTGGTCGTAGTTGTATCGCTAGAGCCGCCTCCTCCATACTGGGCACCAGCAAGAGGGAGGCACAAAAGAGTGAAAGTGCACAAAGACGCTTTGATCATGTTGCCACTGAATTAGATGAGAAAGCAATGAAGGCGAAGGTCTGCGTGGAAAGCCCAAAGTTCAATTCCAAGGAGTCAGGAGATAGGTCTCCTTTATGTGGTTTAAGCTACAGTATACGTGAAGTACCATAAAATCCCCGTGGTTTGAAGATGAATGTTTGGAAGCTTTAGAATAGCCACGTCATTACCAGCGTAAGAAAGCTAAGCTGACTGGCTTCAACCCGAGGGTCTAGGCAGTTGGTTACTCAAAGTAGATAATGCGGTTCGTTATCGTATTGAATTAACCAAGGAAGACGGGATGTGGCTTTTATTATACAGAGAATTATAATTTTTCGAAAGCAGATTACCCCCAAGACACACACGTTTACTCTCCCAGAGACCCACTTGGCGCCTAGTCCGGATCGCTTGGGTTCCAGATTCTCCCACAGCCAATGATACGGCGTCATACCTCAAGGAAGGGGCTCCATCTAGCCAAAATTAGCTTAGCGCAATCTTAGTGGGGCGCTGGGAAAGAAAGCGTGTGTGTCTGGGGGTAATCTGTTTCGAAATCCTCTGTAACCAGCAAACTAGTCCTATACCGGCCGATTATTCAGAATAACCTTCTGACATAGTTAGTTAACCAATTATGGCTTGTTATTCGGAGTGCGGAGCAGCTGACTAAGACAGAATTATTTTCTGGAACTGAGAACAAGCTCTGGATAAGACGTACGAAGAACGCCTAGACCGCGCGACGTTCTCAAATGGCAAAGGTGACTGGTGAGTCTCGCAGTCTTATGATGTGGTGTTCAATGAAAGATTTAGTCGCACAGATGGAAAGATTTCTTGGAAAATTGATTGACTGTTCCTCGGAACTGCCATCTTCCAACTGTTCAGCAAGTCATGACGCTTAGACTCAAGTATTTTGGAAATCCTGGCCGCTCTAAATCACAGAACGCTTGCAGCATTAGCTAGGGCAATGGTTGGTGAGCATTTTCCAGAGAGGTAGAAATTTGGTGGAGGAGCGCAGCTAGAGTAATATATCGGTTAAGAAATATATACCGAGACCTCACGACAAGCGAGTATATTTAAGGTCTCTCTTGACGGCCAGCAGTACACACGACCCTTGCACCGCAATGGCGAAGAAATACACATATTTCAGTCTTTTTACACCCATTTTTGCGCTTGCCCAGTTACAAACGTTCGTGCCTCCCGGGCAAAATGGAATCACCTATACTGTCAATATACCCCAAGCTACCGTGTCCTCGGGCTCCGGGCCGATTTTTCTCCAACTGAAGTCCACAAACGAGCTTCAGTGGTTTGCTTGGGGCCAGGGCTCTCGAATGCAGGGAGCAAATATATTCATTGTCTATGCATCTAGCGATGGCAATAATGTTACCGTCTCCCCAAGGCTGGGCGTGGAGCATGCTATGCCACTATATAACTCCAAAGCTCAATTGTCAGTCTTAAATGGCAGTGGGATCGATAATGGAATTATGACCGCAAACATCCGATGCGATAGCTGTATCACCTGGCCCGGCGGAAGTGAAGATCTGAGCAGTTCGTCGAGTACATGGGTTTGGGCAGTGAAATACGGGAGCCCACTCAACACGAACAGCTTAGCGGCATCTATCACCATACATGACGCTGAGGGGATTGCAGCAATAGATCTCCAACAAGCAACCGGTGGCTCGTCCGATAACCCGTTTGTAACCTCGAACAATATGACCTCCTCGAGTTCATCGCATCCGATTTCGACCGTTAGCACTGGGTCGGTTGAAAAACGCAGGAAGGCCCATGCTATTATTATGATACTGGTCTTTGTTATATTCTTCCCTTCCTTTGCTCTGATGCTTCATATTATTCCACATTCGAAGATTGTCTATGTCCATGCTTCGTTCCAGATCTTTACTCTTGCTTTGGCCATTGCCGGGTTTGGAATTGGAATCTCGATGGCAAGAAGCCTTGGTTTCATACGAATGTATCATCCAATTATCGGGATGGTGACCGTCCCATGCCTTGTCCTTTTTCAGCCTGCGATGGGCTTTCTTCAACACAGGTATTTTCACAAAACTGGAGGCAAGAGTGTATTTGCTTACCTGCATCGGTGGCTTGGTCGCTGTCTCATAATTCTTGGCGTTATTAACGCTGGTCTAGGTTTTCGCCTAACAGGTGTCGGCCTTGGGATCGCTCCTGTTGGGGCAGTTATTGCATATAGCGTGGTAGCTGGGATCATCGGAATAGGGTACGCCTTAGTTGTTGTGCTTTTGTCACTCAGAAAACGCAGAGTATCCTCTCCTTAGCAGTTTCTGGGCGCTACCTCATATGCTGGGGATAAGGCATCGCATGCTCTAATATCGTTGAATGCGATTGTGTCGCCTTTAGGTCTTCATATGTGATATGATCCAGTCTTGTTAGTCTAGAGTCTTACCGTTAATTGCTTACTAACCTAGCGCTCAAGCTTCATGGCTGGCTGCTCTGGGCATCTCAACATTATCTAAAGCCAGCCTAGTACGGTTAATAGTATATCAGAACTTGAAAATCTTATAGACACTCGTGCTTTGTTTTTCTAAGTCATTCTCAAAATGCCGTTTGCTTCTAAGAAATGATCCAGCCTGTCGAGGGAGTACCGACTCGGCTAACCTTGACGGAACAGAAGCAACAGTGGATCCCGGAGGAAGGGATATAGTAAACCCGCAGGTATTAGTCATTATTATGCTCACATAACTAGTTAACTAAGTTAACTAAATTGCCAGACAGGGGGGTTTAAGCAATTCAGACTTTTTGACATCCAATTGGTGCGCACCATGATTTACTAAGCAGTAATTCCGTGTCTCTGCGAGACTGCGGGGCAGAATGAACTCACCGCCCGACCGCCCCATCCATGATCTCGGAAAAACTTCCCGAATGGGTCCACGACCCTCCGAGAATATTTCACCAAGTCAAGAACTCCGATCCTCCAGAAACACTGATACCCCCCTCTGGAATCTGTTAAACAAAAAGTCTTTGTTGGTGGAGAAGGCAAAATGGCCAAGGTCATTTTCACAGCATGGAAGACCAAGGCTCAATTACTCGACGTCCGGAGTGAATTTTACCCGCCCTCGTTGTACAATGGGCCGGACATGCGCTCTCACGCTTGCGCTACAGTATGTGAATACTCGCAAATAACCAGGGCCCAGCTAAAGCTAATGGTAAAACAGGTGGAGGCCTGGAAACTACGCGGCAATGTCCCACATCATGTGGAGGCCACCGCGTTGTTGACAGACGCGATTCTGCATGACGATGGGCAGAGAAACTCGATTTTTTCCATCCGCGCCACATACTCCGCGGCTTTCTGTCGGTATGTAGTCACCATCTTTTTCAAGAGCTCGGGGTGACGGGCATCCATCGAATCGGATGACTTGCGAGCCCCCTCAGCCAAGCGGTATGAAAATCATGCGTCTTCTGGAACTGGCTGACCAAATCCACAGCTTTGTTACGGGCCTTGTAGACACCAAAGTCACTGGTCCCCGGAGAACAATGTTCCAGCGCGCAATGGATATGGGCCTGCCAGCCTCGTTTGTCGAGCTGCGCCATGAAGCAACGCATCGCGAGCCTCCATCGCTCGTTGTCCTCCGCAAAGCCGCACAGCGCTCGCTGGAGTGGTTGTGGGACAACTACTGGGCGAGCATTGACCTGGATGGAATCGGTGGTGCGCCTCGGCCCGCCCATGATGAAAACCTGCCCATCGCAACAGCACTCAGTCGAAAGTTACACGAAATCAGACACGGGTCAGGCTCGAGACCAGTGCTGAAGAAAAGGAAGCGCGAACAAGAGGATGCCGTTGCGGGTCAATTGCTTGAAATTTGCAGTGCATCAGAGGGCGGAATCAGTGCCGGGTTGGCTAAGCTGGCGGTTCTACTGTTGGATTCCGCAATGTTGGTGGACTCGGAGAGAAAGTGAGCTTCCTTGTTTGTCTGATGGGGCTGTTGAGCGAATGGCTAACTTTGACTTTAGACTTGGAGACTCCATGGACGCGATGTTCGAAAAATGGGATCTGGTGCTGCAGAAGATGGCAGACGGTCATTCTTCATTCTTGCTCTTTCTGTCTGAGGAGCTGGTGCACAAATTGGCACTGGACCCTTCGACGGAATCGTTGGAGAACACTGTGGCAGAGGGAATCTTTCTATGGCTGGAACATCTGCTCACTTCGCCCGCATGGGAGTCGCAGAGGCATTTTCTTCCCCAGGGCTACCTCCTTGCGGTCTGCAATGACCACCCCACCCATTGGGCGAAGATGCTGGGCAAGAGACTCAAGCTCCAGCAGCAAGGCACGGCTGCTGCAGTGTCCGCCCCCCAAATGACAGCGAACCCTTCATCGAAGAAACGGGCCCAACCCGATTCGACTGGACGGTTTTCAAAGAGGCTGCAGGAGCATGGATGGGGTCTCGCTGCTCAATGGGAAAGTCGGCCTCTGGGAGTTACCTCGAGTCACTGATGTATCACTTGTACTCTAATTGATGATATTTGTACTGCGGGCAGTACTTCACATGAAAATTTCCAGGGCTTCTTTATTATCTGTGGACATTTTCATCTCATATTCATCCCATTTTCGTCATCAATTTACCAGCCCTGTAGCGACGCGATGACTTTGATCCTCTGTTCCAGCCTGCGTTACAATGAACGCTTGCCTGCCACAAGCCAGATGTCAGGACTCAGTTATGGTAACATTTCTGGCACCTCGAGTCTCGAAGTTTGAGGGACTCGAGGGTGGGCAGGTCACATTTCCATGCCTTACACTGGTGCTGGAAGTCCGAATAAAGGGTAATTCTGCTCTTTCGTTCTACTGGACAGTTCTATCTTCTGAACTCCATGAGGAATTGAGTACCTACTTGGTAGCACACCAGTGATATTGTTGACCAGATGTATGCGGCAGGACCTCGGCATTGGTAGCTGTCTCCGGAGAAACCATTCTTCTGCATGACGTGGGAGTCGGAAATACTGCTTAGTAAATCATAGTGCGCACCAATTGGATATCAACCAGTCTGCATTGCTATAAAGCTCCTAACTATCTGGCAATTTATGTGGGCTTAATTATGACTAATACATGCGGTCTAATACTATCTCCGTTCTCCGGGATCCACTGCTCCTTCTGTTCCGTCAGTGGGTATGTCATCGGGCCAGTTGTGCCCCAAAGAGCTCCATTGGCCCTCCCCGCACAGCAGACAACGGTGTCCGGTTATGCATTTTGCAAGAGCAATCCAGTTTATCAATCCTCGTTTCATCAACCTGCAGAGATCCCGCGCCATGCATATCCAATCAATTCCGATGTGTAAGTGTGTTGGATATTGGTCCATGTTGTGCTGTCCGCGGAGCATTGCGGCACTGCGGAGCGATGTCGCAATCTGGGCGATCTGACTGATGTTTTGCAGGGACCGGAAAAGGCAACAATTATGCCTACCTGGTCACCGATGAGCCGTCAAAGAAGTCGGTCATCATTGATCCTGCCAACCCTCCAGAGTACGTTGACTTATTCAGACGCCAAGTTCCTGACCTTGAGAAATGTTGTTCTCCGGCTGAATCTAATTTCCAGGGTTGCGCCAGAGTTGAAGTCCCAGATCAGCGCTGGGAAGATCGACTTGACGGCAATTGTCAACACGCACCAGTAAGTCCAGCATCGGTGGTTTGCAAAACGATGCTGGTGCCTGACTTCGTGAGCTGCGCTGACATGTCAAGCTAGCCACTGGGACCATGCTGGAGGTAATGACGAAATGGTCAGTTTACGATGAACCCTTCTAGAGTCATGGCTCTAGGCTGATGTATTCCAGCTGGCACAATTCGGCAAACTCCCTGTCATTGGAGGAAGCAACTGCAAGTCGGTCACGAAGACGCCTGTCCATGGCGAGGAATTCAAGATTGGCGAGCGGATCACGGTCCGCGCCCTGCACACCCCGTGCCACACGCAAGACAGCATCTGCTATTTCATGCAGGATGGGGAGCAACGCGTTGTCTTCACTGGAGATACACTCTTCATTGGCGGTGCGTTGATGACTTAGCCTGAGTCGAGCCGTGGTAAAAATGGTGTCTAACTTTTCACAGGATGCGGCCGATTCTTCGAGGGTAATGCCGCAGAGATGCACAAAGCTTTGAACCAGACATTGGCTGGCTTGCCTGATGATACCAAGGTCTATGTACGTCGCGGACTTTCCCTTCGAGCTTTTTAAAGCATCTGCTGACAGCCACATCCTCCAGCCTGGCCATGAGTACACCAAGGCAAATGTGAAATTCTGTCTCCATGTGTCCCAAACTGAGCCCATCAAGAAGCTACAGGCATTTGCAGAGGCGAATCAGCAAACGCAGGGCAAGTTTACCATTGGCGATGAAAAGGTATGTTGCACTGGCCCTGAGAAAGTCGTATGTTCGTCAAAGGCTAATCCACTCTTGCTCTAGCTTCACAATGTGTTCATGCGTGTCAATGTAAGTTTACTGAGCCCCAAACATTCGTTCTATTTTTATGATCTTACGCTAATCTCATCCCAGGATCCTGAGATTCAGAATGTGACTGGCAAGACTGATCCAGTGGATGTGATGGCTGCGCTGAGAGAGATGAAGAATGCCATGTAGATGTAGCCTGGCCACCAACTCATGAATTTCAAACCTCCAATCCTTCCACCAATTCGTACTCCATGTCTAGCTGGGAATACGTGTAGTTACTTCTCATACTAAGTCAAAACATCGAGCAAGGACCATGCTGCCCACATGTGGTCGACCATATGACCCATGTCCATTTGAGAAAAGCCGAGGGAGGGGGGGAACTTTGGTTGACCGCACTGTGAGTTGAAAACATGAAATTTTGGAACAGTCAAATTACAAGCACACGAGCTTTTTTGTCCAATTTCTGCTTCAGATGAGAGAAGGTTTGAAAAAAAAAAAAATTAAAATTAAAATTAAAATGAAGACAAGAAATCCGTGGAGATATATTCATTTCTTGACTGGGGACCACTTTTGTTCACATTAACTAAGTTTTCAGCCGCATCCATGTATCAAGCAGATCCTTTGATTGAGAACCTCGCCACTATACAATGGCCTGCACATGACTGGCAAAAGGAGCACCAAACTGCTCATTTTATTTCCAATCCCATGCATACACACGCTTCTCGAAGAGCAAAGAGCATGAAAGTATGACGCGCCAGTTTCGGTTTAGCGTGTGGTCGGAGATCGCTCTTACCGCAGGCGGTGTGGCCTCGGTGGTGATCTTTTTTGCCGACAGAAAAAAAGTCCGCGGATCTTCTGTCTCCTCCACCTCCCCGGCATGCAATAACCGTGGCAGACTTGGACACCCCTGGAAATGGACGCAATCACCCTTTCCAGCAACTGGAAGAAGCTACAGGCCACCCTCAAGCAAAGAAGTGCCGCGGCGGGCACCTCAACCGTCAAACGCAAGGCCGCAGATCGCGACGTGGAGACCAGTTCTGTGAAGAAACGCAAGTTCGTCGAGAAGAACCCCTCCCAGCCACGAGTCTCCCAGACTACAGCCCGGAAACGCAAGATGTTGGACGGCTCCGCCAACGCCAGTCCCGCTGGCACCGACTCGGGCTCCATGACAGTCCGGAGGAGATCAAGCACGGTTGTATCTGCTACCACAGTCGCGGTATCACGGAATGCAAAGGTGAACGAGGGCCGTTCTCCCAGGTAAGTCACCACGACGGGAACATGATTTACTTCTCAGAACCTCATACTGATACGACTTTATTCTAGTGCGGAGATCGGGAAATACATTGCCATGGATTGCGAGATGGTGGGCGTGGGACCCAACCCCGACAATGACTCGGTTCTTGCTCGTGTCAGTATCGTCAACTTCAACGGCGACCAGGTCTACGATTCATATGTGCGACCGAAAGAGATGGTGACCGATTGGCGGACCCATGTCAGTGGCATCGCCCCCAAGCACATGGTGGAAGCCCGCACACTGGAACAAGTTCAGAAGGAGGTTGGAGAGATCATGGATGGACGCGTGCTCGTGGGCCATGCAGTCAGCAACGATTTGGATGCATTGCTTTTGGGCCACCCGAAGCGTGACATTCGCGATACCAGCAAGCACCCCGAATACCGCAAGATCGCCGGTGGTGGATCCCCGCGACTGAAGATGCTGGCCGAGCATTTCCTGGGCTTGAAAATCCAAGAAGGTGCCCATTCATCTGTGGAGGATGCTCGGGCAACCATGGCACTGTACCGTCGAGAAAAGGATGCATTTGAACGGGAGCACCTGAAGAAATGGCCCGTCCGCAATGCGCCGGTCAGCTCGGGGACGGGTGACCAGAAGAAGAAAAAGAAGAAGAAGAAGACCACCCGCAAGCGGTGATGATGATGATTGACAGGGAGACGACACTGCTGGACTTGGATTTGTCTGTGTATAGAAATACTTTGGATACCCCCAATTTGCATTGAGTTCGAAGAACAAAACTTCTGTTGAGCTTTCCACATTATTTGTAGAATCCGTGAAACAAAATAATTCCCGGCGAAGTAGCGTGTCACAAACAATGTCCATCTTTGCATCTTATCGAACAAGCCCTTTTGGGGCATCGGATCGCGTGCAGTTGGGACCCTTCGTGGCTCCATGGCTGGAGCCACACGAGAGATGACGTAGGTGTGGTATTTACTCCATACCCTCTGTCGCATGTCAACATCGAGGCATTCTGTCAACATGACATGCAGATGGTCTAAACAGCCATAATTTCAAACCTGGAAATGTTGTCCCATTCATCCAAATCGAGTCTCCGGTTCCTTATGCATCTACGGTTCTTATGCACCACCACCAAACTTGACCACTGTTTGGTACGGCCGGGAGAGAAGCACAAAACAGAGAAACAGAGAAACCGGGATTTCATGGAACAGAGAGTACGGTAATCCGAATACAGACCGGACTAATCCCGAAGAGGTTGAATTGGATTGGCCACTGGTTTCTTGGCCCACGCGGAGGAAGGAATATTCCGATGGTTCGGATCATGTGATTGGATGAACTCATCCCAATTCGACCTGTCAGTCTGTCAGATTCGGCCTGATCCGCTCGGTAATTTTGGCCTGGACAAAAAGACTTGGTCCCGGGGCAGACAGACTGACACACTGACACTTGGTATTTTTCCCTGTTTCCACCGTTTCATCGGTTCATTGGCCTTCGAGTCTAGAACGCTCTTTCGGCCCCCCTTCGAGAGCTGACCCTGATATGGATCAAAGGATCAAAATGGATTGTTCCCCGACTTTCCGATTTTGTTGCGCCTCTCAATCCCCGCCGAGGCATGCTTCTTCACACGCTCCAGTACACTCGTTTTCTCGGTCGCACACTGCGGTCTCTCACGCATTTCGGAGCGGCGTTAGCAGTTCATCCTTCCCCATATGCCTGGAGGTGAATTGCGATCGGTCGGATGCGGATCCCTATCGCGGTGCAGCTGGCGCTGCTCGTCCTCATCACGACGCTGACGGGAATCGCCATCCTCGCGATTGCAACAGTACGCATCCCATTCCCAGTCCCTTTTCCCGTCGATGCGAGTGCATTATGCTGACAATGGTGTAGTGGTTCACCACCTATAATTTTGTGGTGGATGTTGGGTAAGTCCCGACTCCAGTGACACAGGGCATGGTGTTGGATGCGCGATGTGCTGCGCAGCAGTGGCGTGCAAGAACTGACCATTCCCACAGGTCGCAGAGCCTTGAGCTCGTTGCATCCATCAAGGCCAGTCAGATCGCGTCAACCCTCGAAGTGTTTGAGGTGACTTGCAAGACCATCTCCACTCGAATCTTGATCCAGTCGGCCCTCAAGCGATACTATGCCGGCAATACCTCCACCAGCAACTGGGCCAATTCCGTCCTGGATTTCGAGTCGGCACTGGGGAGCCGAGGATACCTCAGCATGTACCAGGCGCTGCTATACTCCCGGAGTGGAGATGGAGACTCGCGATTGCTCAATGTCACCAGTGACGCGCTCCCGGAGATCACCCTGCCATACACCGACGCCCACGGGAGTGCCGTGATGCTGGGAGATGATGTCTTTCCTCCAATGCTCTACCCCAATTTAACTTATACGCAGTCCGCGAACGGGACGTCCTCGTGGACCGTACACGCTTTTCCGAACTATGCGCTTGGTTTGACGACGCCGTTGATGCTTGGGCCGCTTTGGATCAACAACTCATTCTCATTGGTATCGTTAACTGTGCCCATTGTGAACAACACTTCGGATACCGACCTGCTAGGCTTCATGACGTACGTGATTTCCTTCTCAGCCACTCCGGTCAAGCTTTGCCATCTAATGCTAATAACCATTTCCAGGATACTGGCAAGTGCTGCCAACATACAAGACGTGGTCTCATCTCGCGATGGATTGGGAAACACTGGCCAGGTACTGTTGCTCGGCCCGTCGCGTCCTGAGAACGTGTTTGCTGCAGATGCCCAGCCTGCCACGGCCACTTCGGCCGCCGACTCGGCAGCTTTGTCGGATGCGCAGGTGCATTATGTCTTTGAACCAACACCACTACCCGGCCAGGCAAGCCGACATAATCGGATGACAACCAGCACCCCGTTCGCGCTGTCGAAATACGAGATGGCATTGGACATCATGCTGGAGCCATACGGTCGTCAGAACAAGTCCATTAGTCGGCTGTCGACAACCAATGAGGAAGGCGCCCAGGTGGCAGTGGGCGTCATTCGTCCTCAAACCACACTGGCGCAGTGGATCTTGGTCGTGGAGGAGACCCATGCAGAGGCATTCGGTCCCGTACTGCGCCTCCGAAAGATCATTTTGGCATGTGTGTTTGGCACAGCGGGCGCGATCCTTCTGCTCGTGCCGTTGCTCACCCACTGGGCCGTGGCTCCGATTCGGAGACTGCGAGAAGCTGCACGGAAATCGGTCGTGCCACACGTGCAAAGCCCACCATCTTCGCAACCAGCACCCAAGGGAACCAACACGCTCGAGGATGTCATTGGAGCGATGGAGGAGCAGCCGAACGAAAAGAGCAGTTCCGGCGCATGGGTGACACATATCCGGCGACCGCTGGAACGATTCAACAGCGCAGGCAACGTGCTCAGCGGCAATACCCATCGGCCCTTTCAGATCCCGGCACGCGTGAAAGAACGGAGGCACTGCGTGAACGATGAGTTGACAGAGCTGACCAGCACCTTCAATGAGATGTCCGATGAATTGACCATCCAGTACAATCGTCTGGAAGAGCGAGTGGCCGAGCGAACCCGCGAACTGGAAAAGGCCAAGCTGGCCGCCGAAACGGCCAATGAGAGCAAGACGTTGTTCATTGCCAACATCTCCCACGAGCTGAAGACACCGCTGAACGGCATCCTGGGAATGTGTGCAGTCTGCATGGGTGAGGACGACCTCTCTCGGGTCAAAAAGTCGCTCCAGGTGGTCTACCAGTCGGGCGACTTGCTTCTCCACCTGTTGAATGATCTGTTGACGTTCAGCAAAAATCAAATCGAGCAAGCCATCCAGCTGGAGGAGAAGGAGTTCCGAATCTCCGACATCCGATCCCAGTTGACCACCATCTTCCAAAACCAGGTCCACGAGAAGCGAATCAATTTCAGCGTGGACTGCTTTGCGGGAGACGAAATTCAAACCGGCCCCCGGAGTCGCATGTGTATCGATCAGGATCATGGTCAGCCGCGGTCGAGTTTGGATGCCGCACCTGGGAAGCTCATGGACATGGTTCTGTGGGGGGACCAGCATCGGATCCTGCAGGTCTTGATCAATTTGGTGAGCAACAGCCTCAAATTTACTCCCGAAAAGGGAACCGTGGAGGTGCGGATTCGCTGTCTGGGTGAGACCACCGGCCTCGGGGACGTCGAGGCTCCCACGGAAGCTCGAACGGGGAATCCACAGCTGCTCGTTGATGCGTCCCCAATTCGAAGAAGCGTGCCTGAAACGGCGAACGAAGACCAGTCCGCGGTCGCTCACCTTCCCCAGCTGGTCTTCCAATTCGAAGTTGAGGACAATGGGCCGGGCATTCCAGCACATCTTCAGCGGCGCGTCTTTGACCCATTCGTGCAGGGCGACTTGGGTTTGAACCGGAAGTATGGAGGCACAGGACTGGGACTGAGTATCTGCGCCCAACTGTCCCGCATCATGGGCGGCTTGATTCTTCTGGACAGCCAGGAAGGGCGAGGATCAAAGTTCACCTTACGAATTCCGCTCAGATTCGTCAAGGAGCTCGCCCCAAGTACCCTGGCGCCCAGTACGCCCGGGTCGCGAACGCCTAGTGTGCTCTCCTTGGAAGAGTTCGCAAACGCCGCGCGAACTCCTTCCAACCACAGCTCTGTGCGAAACGAGCCAGTCGCGCCAGGATTTGAAAAGTCAGAGATCCAGCCTCGACTTGTGGGCCTCAGCCAGCCCTTTTTCACCCCCAGTGTTCCCTCCTCCAAACCATCCACTCCCACCAAGAACCACCGCACAAACCACGGCTCCATGGAACAAGAAGATGGTGCCAAGAAGATCCGTGTTTTGGTCGCGGAGGACAATACCGTGAATCAGGAGGTTGTGAGGCGGTAAGAATGAGAAAATCCTTTTCCTTCGGATGACATGAACTGACCTGTACCAGGATGCTGGCCCTTGAAGAGGTTTACGACGTGACCATGGTCAAAGACGGGCAAGAGGCGTTTGATACAGTCAAAGCCAACATGGAAAAAGGCACCGTGTTCGATCTGATCTTCATGGATATCCAGGTAAGAATCGGTGGCCAATTACAACCGATCTTGACGGGCACTAACCATCCATGATAGATGCCGAACCTGGACGGTATCCAAAGCACGCGACTCATTCGCGAGATAGGGTACTCGGCCCCCATCGTTGCACTGAGTGCCTTTGCCGAAGAAAGTAACATCAAGGACTGCATGGATTGTGGGATGGACATGTTCATGAGGTATGTTTGAAAAGGAAGCTTTGTGCGCATCGACATACTAACGAATGACAGCAAACCGATTCGGCGGCCAGTTTTGAAGCAAGTCCTTCACAAATTTGCCACCATTCCCGAGGAATCCGAGACCAGCGCATCTCGTTGAGGCTCTTCTTGTGAATGTGTAATTATATTTTTGGGTGCATGCGTGGACGTTGGCCGGTGCCGAAATGCATTTAACTGGCGTTGTGGGCGATTTCTCATCATCTGTTTCTAATCCGTTAGATCAATCAATCAATCAATTAATCAATCAACACTCTATTAACCTGTTGCAGCCTAACTAGTGGCGTAATGGCTATGCAGGCGCTTCCTCCGGCGGAAGCAAGAGTGATCCGAACGCCAGACCCGCGCATGAAACAGTAAATACAAAGGAAAACGGCATCTTGCTAAGTAATACAGCTCTAAATCAGCCCCAAAACAGTATCAAACGCCCGCAATGCCCTCAATCCCACGATATATTTCTCAATTCGCCCTCACATTGGCCTGCTGTTTCCCTGTATCTCCATCCCGGTATCTCTCCTGCTTCGTTCTCAATTGGTGGCGTTCGTTGTTAATGTTGGATGTATTCTTCCACGACCTCTCGGTTAGCCATAGGTTTGTCGTTCCTCCTACCCAGCGTCTTCACCCCCTGTGCCGTCGCTAGATCATCCCGGGAGATCGTTTTCGTTGCCTCCACTCGGCGGCCCTGGCTCGATTTCGGCGTGCCGGAACTGTCCCAGGAGGCCTGTTTGAAGCATAGATTCGGCCACGTAGCGGGTGGCCTGCGAGTATGATATGATCGTGTCGTAATCGGTCGAACCCCTAAGATCGGTTATCCGGATCTTGTTAAGGAAGGTCTGCCTTAGATCAGCGTACAACGGGCACTACATCAAGATATATCTCGGTGTTTAAGACCCCTCTCTATAGTAGCACTTATCTAATTCGACCGCCTTGATTTTGAACAAGAAATGATTCAGTGCGATCCGCATCGAGCGCATCTAAATCAAAATCGAGGTGTACAGCTTCGAGCGGGATTCGAACAGCCGGAGCACCTTCCTTCTTGTCTAGAGCCTTAACCAATCGCCGGTTCGGCTTGCTAGTTGTCTCCCTCGCCCACTCTTGTGCCTACCTTTCCTTAATATGCCGCCGTACGCAACGTTTTGCGATCGATACTAGAAGGACGCGATCGCCGGGGGACTAGATCTAAGAGGAACGGATTAAATAAATCACCTACAGGCGGTGAACCCGTTCTGCCCCTCTCTACACCTCCCTTTACCGCTAACTTTGCTTCAACGTCAGCGGTCTCGTTACCAGGAACGCCTACGTGTGCGGGGATCCAGCGGATCTCGACGGGAATCTTATCGAACGTAGGCGTTTGCTGCTGCGATCGAAGGGTCCGAGCGTGGTTATAAATACTTACGAGCACGAACTAGCCCGACGGTCGCTTTGGGTTTTGCACCGCCTAGATAACGGCCTAGCAGTCGGAGAAAATAACCAACTTTATGGGCCTTTTGTTATATTGTTGTTGGTTAACGAATCTAGCGATCGCCATCTCAATACCGTTAAGCTCGGGAACATACACTGTTGATTCGTCGGTAATTCCAAGATATCGCCATTGAAAAACGCCCTCATGTGGGGCAACAGCTGAAGCGCCGACCTGGCCTTCATATCCACTTCCATCGGTGAAGAACAGAATCGTTCGGGGGGGGGGTCTTGTATACCTGTCGGGGTGCAGTCTGAGAGGGCCTGTTAGAACAGAGACTCTATCTCAATCTTGTTATACAAGGCTCGTGCAACCTCTGCATCCCGGTCGATAACGCATAGGATCCGTGCCTCCCATGGCGCTAGAACAAACGCTTTACGTGATTCCTACACGCTTCCTTTCGGGTCCAAAATACTAGCTTTGTTCCACCTAAGGGCTTCGAGAGGCCGCCAACCCCCTTTTTGATCTCCGCAGGGATCGCTTTCGACGTAGACACTCTAGCTACGCCCACGTAGCCCCTGTTTGGATTCGGATTGCTGTTTCCTGAATAATCTGGTCTATAAGGAGGTGGATTAGTGTTATAAACAGCTCGACGTTTAAGGGCTGCCGCACTAGTAAATTTGAAGGCTCCACTGATGAGAATTGCCGCACGCCGTTGAAACTTAGTAAATTCGTTGATCGTACGCTTCATCTCCCACGCGGGCATATGTGATCCAAGATGGGGGCAAAATGGTGCATGAGGTTCTATTCGTTTCCTACGTCGAACTAGATATATTATATGTTGCTCCGAAGTAGGATCACGTACACGGAAGTGGCAGAAGGGAGGAGACCGCCTGCCATCTGTAGTGCCCGGCTTCGGCCGAACGGGAGCCCTAGGAAGAAAAGGTCCCGGTATCTCATCCTCCCCCACCAAATTCGATCTCGCCCCGAGATCGTACATCCGCACAAAGGAGCGCGTAAGCGGCAGCATCCGTCCACGGTCGGGTAACAAAGCAACTAGATACATGAAAGAAAAGGGCACAAAGTCTGAAACTTATGGCGCATAAAAAAAGAGTGGCAGAAACCAAAGGATTCCAAATATAGAAGGAGCCAGGTGTGGCAGGCCACTATCGTGGGCAGGCGCGGCCAGCACACAAAGAAAGTGGCCGAATTTGGCAAACAAAGAATCAACACTGGAATCAACACAAACATCACAACATAAACAGACGCGTTTCCCCTCTCTTGCTCACTTTCCTTCCCCTCCACTATCTCTCAACATAACAACTTCTCCCTCTCTCTCGCATTCGCAAGATTCCAACTTCGACATAGGTAAGAAGTCTCCAAGATCTTTTTGAAGCTTTGCAAACTGACGCATATGATAGTTTCCACTCGCTATCAAGCTGGAAGTCCTGAACAGGACTTCTCCGGCCACAATCCTTCACTTGTGGACGTCCTTCTCTCTGTGGAAGTGAGTCCTCGCGTCCGTCCCTCCATGACTCTTGACACTGGAATGTCCCGTTCGGTTCCTTTCGGCTCTGGCCTCGACGGAAATTCTGAGCTTCAGACCGCCGCTGGAAGACGTGGTGGTGGTGGTACACGCGGACGGAAGCGTAAGGTCGATGCGGTAACTGATGATGGGGGTGACGCTGCGAAGGCGACCAAAACTGCAAAGAATGCCCAGACCGCAAAGACGACTGGCGGTGATGGGGGCGCAGGAAGTAACGCTACAACCAGCAGCGCACCGTTTGATTCTTCTGCCGCGCAGGTGGCCAATGCCAAAACTCGTAAGTAGCAGAATTTCCCCTCTCGTGTGCTTTTGCTGACATTCGTAGTTCTCACTGGTCTGGATTCTCGCAACAACCCGCTGAAGTCGGCTTTCACTTCTGTTGCTGAAAAGGCGCTACTAGCGGTTGCACCAGTTCGGGACGTTGACTGGCGTGACAGCGCAAAGCCGTTGAATACCTCCAGCCAGCGCCGGGCTGCTTACGTCCAGCAGAATGGGCTTCAGGCTCCGTCCGGTTCCTCCTGTGCTGGCTGCGGACTCCAAAAGGGTCCTTTCAAGTCCTGCTGCGTCTTTGTTGTTGGTGGTGACTTGGCCTTCCGCGGAGCTTGCGGCAACTGTTCTTTCAATTCTGGGGGCACCAACTGTTCCTTACGCTTCAGCTCGATCCCAGACTGGATCCGACCCGAGCTGGCAGCTCAGAATCCTGACCATCCCGCTCTGAAGGACCCTTCCGTAAGTTTCCATTCTCATCCCTTTGGGTCCTTTCAGTGGCTAACGTTCGAGAATTTCCAGATCCTGACTCCTGTCAAGCGCCGCGCCGGGCGTGTTTCGGAAACTCCCGCGCTCTGTACCACTACTTCTGCTCCAACTGGAGCTACTGGAAGTGTCCAAGCTGCCCCTCACGCTGTTGCAGTTGCTCCGTCTACTCCTCCCACTGTCCTGAAGTCAACGGCAGCTCCTGTTGCCCCAAGGTCGGCTGCCGCTCCCGTTGCTCCAAAGCCAAAGGGCACGGATGCCGCCAAGGCTGCCGCGGCCGGTGCCTGGAAGAACGCCTGGCTGACCTCTCCTCTCGGGGATCCTGCTGTTCAGGATCCCAACGATAGTTCGGTCGCTCTCGCGGCCTTTAACGCCCTTCCGGAGATGGTCGCTCGCCTTCATAGTGACCGGAACATTCTGGGTAAGTACCTTGTGAGTAAGGGGGTCATTAAGCCTGAGGACGTGCCCATGAACAAGAAGGAGGAGAAGAAGGAGGAGGAGAAGAAGAACCCTTTTCTCGACTTTGTCTAGCGTTCCTCTTTTTTGACTTGTTTTATGCGTTCATGGTAGACGGCGCCAGGGAGAATTTGCTGGCGCGCTTGAGCTTTTGTTCGTGTGAGGCGTTTTGGACCCAGTTAGCTTTGGACGTCCGTGAGCGTTCGTGATCTGTCGCAATCTTGTAATCTATTGTTGAATTTTGCTTTCGCTTCTTTTCGTAGGCCTGTAGCCTAAACCATGACAGCCACGGGGCCATCAAAAAGGGTCCTTTCGTGAGCATCGGCGTTCCGAGGCCCACTTTGGACTGACTGAGGAGGATGTTCCTCTGAACTCTCCTGGTCGCTGTTCCCCTCGGAAGTAAGCGATTGGAGTTCCTCCCAATCTCTCGTTGGCTTTCGCGATTTTTTTTTTTTTTTTTTTTTTTTTTTTTTTTTTAACCCGCTGCCAGTCGCTTCCGGCGACGCTCGAGAGTGTTTTCTGCGATACCGCTGTCGATACCGCTGTCGATACCGCTGTCGACTTCATTCGTGGGACCGCTGCCCTCACCCACCTGCTGCTGATGTGCACTGTCAGCCCGAAACGCATCCCATTCCTCGTGAGTGAATGTAAACAGTTCGTGGTAGGTAGGGGGAGAGTCGTCCTGAGCAAGGACTTTTAGGATCTCTTCAGGCCCTTTCAACCGCAGGAAAAACGCCCTCACGCGGGGCAACGGCTGAGGCGACAACCTGGCCCTCGTACCCACTACTATCTGTGAAATAACAGACCGTTCAGGGGCGGTCGTTTGAGAGGGCCTGTTGGAACAGAGACTCCGTCTCGATCTTGTCATACGAGGCTCGCGCAACCTCTGCATCTTCGATTACGCATAGGATCCGTGCCTCCCATGGCGCTAGAACAAACGCTTTACGCG